AATAATAAAATAAATTAAAATACTTTTAATTAATAATAAAATATTTTAAATTTTTTTAATTTTAAATATTTTAATTAAAAAATTTAAAACTTTATAAATAAATATAAATAATTAATTTTTTTAATAAATATTAAGGATTTTTTTAATTTTTTTAAATTAAATTTTTTATAAAAGAATATTAATTAAATTTATTTAAATTTAAATATTAAGGTTAATCTTAATATACTTTTAATTTTATATTATAATTACTTTTAAAATTATAAAATATTATAAACTTATTATTTCTTTTTTTTAATTTTAATTATTAATTTAATTTTTTATTTTAAATATTATTTTAATAGATAATTAAAATAATTTTTAACTTTTATTTTAACTTTATTTTTAATAACTTTTAATTAATAATTATTATAATTTTAAACTTAATTTATAAATATTATAATTTTTATTAATATTAAATAGTTTAAAATATAATAATAAATATTATTATAATAATAATAAATAATTAATTTTTTTATTATTATTAAAAATTAAATTTTAAAATAGTTTTAAAGTTATTTTTTAAATATTTTAATTAAATTAAATATATAAGTTTTTATTTTAAAATTTTTAACTTTAACTTTTTATATATAATAAACTTTAAATCTTTTAAAAGTTATAATATTTTAAAAGTTTTTTTATCTTTTTTATTAAGGGTTTTATTATCTTTTTTATATTTTATTTTTAATTTTTATACTTTTTTTTTAATTTATTTAAATATATTAATTTAAATTATTTAAATAATTTTAATTATTTTATTTTAATATTTAATAAATTTAAAATATATTTAATTTAAATTTTAAAAATTTAATTTTATAATTTAAAAAGAAAAACTTAACTTTAAAATTATTACTTTTAACCTTTTATTTTAATTTTAAAATTTTAAGGTATTAATAAAAGAATTAAAGGTTTTAATTTTTTATTAATAAATAAAATTAATTAGTTTTAAATAACTTTAAAATATTTTAAAAGTTTTTAAAGTTATTATTAAAGGTTTTAAACTTATTTTATTTATAATAATTAAATATAAACTTATTCTTTTTTAAATTTTATATAAATATTTTAATAATTTTAATATTTTTATTAATATAATTAAATATATAAATTACTTTTATTTTATTATTATAAGAATTATAATTAAAAATATAAACTTTTAAGGTTTATTATTTTAATTATTATATTATTATAAAATATAAATTATAAATAATAAAATAATATTAATTAACTTTAAATTTAATTTAATTTTTAAAATAATTTTAATTATTTTAAATATTTATTTTATTAAAAATTTAATTTTATTTCTATTTTTAAATAAAAGTATTATTTATTAAAAGGGTATTTAAATTTTTTTATTATTATTTAAATTTATTTAAAAATTTTAATTATTTATTTTAATAATATTATAAATAATATAAAAAATTAAAATTATAATAAACTATAATATTAAATATAATAATATAAATAAAAGAGATTTAAAGGTTTATTAAGTTTAAATTTAATATAAAATTAATTTTTATTTTTTAAAAAGATAAATAAGCTTTATTTATTTTTAATAAATTTTAAAAGGGGTATAGTTAGGTATTAAGGCGCTTTTAGTACTTTTTATAGCTTCTACTTAATTATTATAAGTTTAAAAAATATTTTAAAAGTTTAAAAATTAAATTAAATTATAATATTATAAAATAATTAAATAAAAAATTAATTAAAATATTAAAATTATATATTATTTAACTTTATATTTAAAATATAATATATATAATATATTAATTATTTTTAAATATATAATTAAAATTTATATAATTTAATTATTTTAAAATTAAAATTATTTTTAAATTTATTTAATTTATTAATATTTAAATAAAATAAATTAAAATATAATATTTATTATAATTTAATATAATATATATATAAATAAAGATTTAATATCTTTTATTTTATTAATATTTTATTAATAAATTTTATTAATAATTAATATAAAAATATAAAATATTTTATTATATTATAATAATTATTAAATTTAATTTAAATTATTAATATTATTAATAATAATAATAATAAATAAAATTATATATATTAAAATTAAATTTATAATTATTTAATATTATTTTATTAATATAAAAATAATATATTTTATTTTTTTATTATTAAATAATAATATTTTAATTTATTATATTTATTATTAAAAGTTTATTTAAATATTTAATATTAATTTATAATTTAATAAAATTAATATATATATATATATATATTAATTTATTAATTAAGTTATTATAATTATTATAAATTAAATATTTTAAAATTATTAATTAAAACTTTTAAGAATTATTTTTAAATATATATATAAAAATAATATTTTTATTTTTTTAATATAATATAAATAAATAATATTTTTATAAATACTTTTAAATAATTTTATTAATATTTAAATTATTTATAATTTTTAATATAAAATATATAATATTTATTATATTATAATTAATTTTAAATTTTTATTTTAAATATTTATAAATTTTAATTTATTTTTAATTAAATTTATAATATTTTATACTTTTTTAAAATATATTAATTATTTTAAATATTAATAAATTTATTTTAAAATAAAAATTAAAATTAAAAGTATTATATAATTAAAATTTTAAATATAATTTAATTAAATTAAATAAATATAAAATTATTATAATTATAATTAAAATTATAAATTTATTTTATATATAAATATTTTTAATTTATTTTATAAAATTATATAAAAATAATTATTTAACTTTTTAATTTATTATATTATAATATAATCTTTAAATAAATAAATAATATTTTATTATTATTTTAATTATATAAGTTTTATAATATTATTAATAATAAATTAAAAGAATTATTATTAATTAAATTTATAAAATTATAAAATAAACTTTTATTTTATTTTTAAAAGTTATTATTTTTAAAGTAAATAATATTTTTATAAAATTATTAAAGAATTATAAGTTTAATTTAAAATAAATTAATATTTTTTAAATTTTAAAACTTAAACTATTATAATAAAACTTATAATATTAATTAATTATATTTAATAAAATATAATAATATATAAATTAATTATAAAATTTAATTTAAATATATAATATTCTTTTAAAATATTTTATTATAAAATTAATTTTAATTATTAAAGAATACTTTTCTTTTAAATTATTTATATTATTTATTCTTCTTTCTTTTTTAGTTTAAAGTAAAAACTATTTAAGTATTTATTTCTATTTTTAGCTCTTTTAACTCTTTTTTTAACTTTTTAATTTTATAAAGCTTATAAATTTATTTTCTATTAAATATATAATCTTTTTTATTTAAAAAAGAAAAGAAATTATATTTAAGTAACTTTATAAAAATAAGTTAATAAAAATTTTTATTAAAATATAAAATTAAATTAAATTATAAAGTATTTTATTATTATATTCTTTTATTAAAATTATTAATATTTATATATATTTAAAATAATAATTTAAATTATATTATAATAAAATAAATTAATAAAATATAAATTAATTTAAAAATTATAATTATAAATATTTTAAGTTTATATTAAATTAAAATATAAATAAATTAATTAAATATTTAAATATAAGTTTAAAAGTATTTATATAAAGTAAAAATATTTTTAAAATCTTATAGTTTTAATATATTTAAAAAAGGTTAATCTTTTAATTCTTTAAATAAAAGTAAATAAATATATTTATTAAAATTATAAATATATTTATTTTTCTTTATTTTAATATATATATAATATAAAAATATAAAATATATTTAAAATTTATTATTTTATTTAAATATATATATAATATAAAATATATAAAATATAAAATATTAATATTTACTTTTATATTTTTATATTTATTATAACTTTATATTTTATATAAAATTTATAAATATTAACTTATTATTAATTTAATATTTAAAAGAAATCTATTTAAATATTTATTTAATTTTAAATATTTATTTAATTTTAAATATTTATTTAATTAATTATTTATTTAATTATTAATATTTAATTTTAAAATATAAATATAAAATATAAAATATTATTAAAGTTTTATTTTTAATAAATAATAATAATATTAAATAAAAGTATAAAAATAAAATATAATTACTTACTTTCTTTAACTTTATATAAAGTATAATAGTTAGTTTATTATTAAGACTTTTACTCTTTCTAAATAAACTTAATTCTTCTCTTGTTTAACATGATGTGGGTGGATGCCCTTGGTATCGGTCGCCGCCGAAAGGCCCTGCATGCTACCTGAAAAATCAACTTACTTGTTCGGGTCCCTGACGCCGACGCCGAAGCCGAAGCCGAAAATCATCCATATACGGAAAGTAGCCCGGACGTAGAAGACGGCCAAGGCAGCAAAGAGTTAAAGTGTGACCCAGATCGGCGCCTGCTCCGCCCTTCGGTAAGCACCCCATTAGGTCGCCGCCGCGGCTGTGTGTCTGCACGGCTTCACGTTAGCAGGATCGGAAGACAACGGGGCAGCAGAGAAGGTGTACACGTCCGAGGGCACGGATGAGCACCGGTCATTGCCTATACGAGACAGATATTCTCTGACACCTACAAGGGCACACAAGTCCGACTTTGACGCTCTGTTGCCCATCACTACCCACGGAAAGCCGCAATCCGTGTGGGCCCCGGTGCCGAAGCTGTGTATAGACCGAAAGTTTTCCAAATATGGAAAGCAACCGACCAGCTCTCCCTCGGGCGGGCCCTTGTATTCCGGAACTGAGGACCGAAAGATGTTCACGTACCTAGGTACTGAAAACACCCCCAACACACCGTCGGCGGGGTTTGTGACCACTTTCGCAGCAAAAGTGATCCATGACCCAGGCTCAGTGCATACGCAGTAATACGTACCGTGGTGGATCAGGCGCAGCACACATACAATTGAGTCACTTTGAGGGCAAACCGTCCTCACTCGGTGGTGTTGGTTTGAGGGAATAGTTACTAGCTGCTAGTTGCTGCCAAACTTGCTAGGGAATAACCGACAGTGGGTTGACCTGTCTCCTCAACCCTTGATATGCTCTGAGCCATGATTATTCCATGCTAGTAGTCTTCTCCGCGGCTGATGACCTCTTTCACATTAGGTCGGAGAAGGATTGTCTGTGGTGATGCAGGGGATCAACATCCGTCTTCCACGGTGACGTTGAGGACGAGCTTACGTGTTCAAATTGGGCCGTGTACGTGCCCTTCTTTTCCACCATCGGCGGATAGTCTTCTACGATGCCGGCCCTGACAAGATGATTGAGCTACACATCAGTCAGCCACGAGGGTCAATGAGTAATGATGCAACTAGGTGTCGTATACCCCGAGCAAATACTTGTCATGTCCAATCCGATCCAGATAGCGCCGGCAGAAGGGGATAGTGCCAAAGTTCTGTTTGATGACCTTCAGTAGAGACTTAGCCGAGGAGAGGCGAAGGTCGACGTGCGGTGTATCGCGACGGAGGGCATAATGCGAGACTTCGCCCTGATCGACCCATCGGCCGGTGCCAGTACTGCCAAATGTCTCGATGGCAAAAACATCGCCCTCCTCCATCTTGGTTACATCATTCGTCTTGACGAGGGGAACACTTTTGGTGCCATGGATGGAGTAGGGCAGAATGGTATGGCCACACAGGTTGCGGACTGGCTTGATCGGATAGGTGACCCCGTTGATCTCGCACTCGTAGCTCTCCATCGTCTCTTGGATGTACCCACCCAGCTCGCCAAGGCGGACATCAATTCCGGCCTCGCGGACACCCGTGTTCGTGGCATCCTTGACGGCCTCAAGGAGGTTGTCATACATGGGATCGAATGACATAGTAAAGGCGCTATCTACGATGCGGCCATTGACATGAACGCTGCCCGTAGCCCAAAATTAGTGCGTACTCTCGACTCATGGCCTGAATACGTCTCTCGGAGCAGCCTAACCAGTACCCGCGGCAATCCGCGGCGTAGTCTGCAGGTGAAGATTCATGAACAGGGAGGACTGGATAGCATACCCAATATCGACCTTGAGGACATTGTCCTGCTGGAGCACGGTCTTGCAGCCTGCGTTTGGGCTGTAATGGGCGACAACATTGTCGACGTTCAAGCCCGTCGGGAAGCCCATGCCGGCAAGTAGGGCATCGCCCTGGGTCAAGCCATCATGGCCGACCAGGCGACGGGTGGCATCCTCGATACCGTTGGCAACCTCAAGAAGCGGCTGACCTGGTTTGATGCTCCTCTGTGCCCACTGGCGAACCTGACGGTGGGTCTCGGCCGCCTGGCGATAGTCGGTGAGGAAGTCGCTGTTCAGATGATCAAGATGGCGCTTCTCCTCACTGGTGGTGCGATAGCGGTTGTCGTCATTGTACTCGACCTCCTCGCCCTTGGGGTAGCTGTTGTTGGGAAACAGCTGGGAGATAAGGACCGATGGGGGATCGGTTTGCGCAATCGGCGTCTTCTTCTTCTTGGGCTTCTTCTTCTTGGACTTCTTCTTCTTGGGAGCGGTGGCTTCGGCGAGCTCCTCGCCAGCATCATCGTCTGATTCTCCGCCAGACGCAGCCGCATCGCCGTCGCCATCGCCGTTCGCCGCTGGTTTGGCAGCTCTGCTCGCAACCCCGGCGGCGCGCTTGCCAGCCCCATCGGAGACTTCCTCGGCTGCAGGCAAGACTTGGTCAGCTGTCTCTCTCGCTCCCACCCCCCCATCTCTTTTGTATATGTGTGTATGTGTATAGGTATGTGTCTCCGAACAAATGTTTGATGGTAACATACCGCTGGGCGCAGCCATTTTCATTAACACTTAACACACTAGATAAAGATTAATCGGCGCTTATTTAGGAGGTGACGGACCCGACCATGCTTGCAACAGCGGAATCGTCCAAAGCTCAGTGCTAGAAACTGGGCGGCTTGGAGGGAGCACTGGTGGGGGTTGGTGCTGTGGGGGCGCTGCCCGTGTTCAAGTGTTGGCTGTGTATAGTACCTACCATAGCGCTCCCTAGGGGGTTTTTAAATATAGTCTTTAAACTATCCTTTTTACTTTAAAATAGTACTTTAAATAGTCTTTGATATTTTAGAATTATTTCCTTATTAATACTCTTTAATAATAGTTATAAAGTATATTAAAATAAATATTTAAAATTAAATTTTCTTTAAAATTAAATTTTCTTTAAAATTAAAAAGATTTTTAAAAACTTTCTTTTTAATATTTTCTTTTAAAGTTTTAAAATATAAAGAAAGAAATCTTACTAAGAGTTATAATATTTAAATAAATAAATAAAGAGTTATTTAAAAATTATTTTAAATAAAATATTATTAAAAAAAATAAAAAGAATTCTTTTTTAATTAATTTTTATATTAAAGTAAAAAAGTAATATTTAGAAATTTTAAAAATTAAACTTTTTAAAACTTAATTTTCTTTTTAAAGACCTTTTTTTTTACTTAAAAAAGTATTAAAGAAGGAAAGATTATTAAGAGTTATAACTATTATTAGAAAGTATTAATAAAAATATTATTTTTAAAAACCCTTAGGTGCGCGGTATAGTAGGTAGGTATAGTAGGGTAGAAAAGGTTTTAAGACATATCTATAAATCCTACCCACCCTTATAACAACCACCTAACTTTAATTAACTATAACTTTATAAGGAAATTAGTTAAGAATAATTAATTTATATTAAACTAATCTTTAAAGGCTTCTCTTTAATATCCTATATAGGCTCCCTTATATTTATAAACTATAGCCACCATCCGCTCCAGTGACTGAATAGTATTATTAATCTTATTTTAATCTATTGCCCACCACACTTCCTTATCTTAGACTTTATAAATCTATATAGAGCGTATCTCCACTAAGCTAAATAACCCTTAAAACTAAATATAAGTAAAATTATAACTATAAGAATGTAGATTTATTATAACTTTATATATTTTAATTCCTTTCTTAAATAATTTAATATTATACTTATTAAAAGTTTCTTTTAAAATAAATAATAATATTATATTATAAGAATCTAAGGATTCTATTATAATAAATTTAAATAGATTTAAATAATTTATAAGGTTATTATTAAGAGAAATTAGGTCGTTATAAGAGTAGGAGGGGTTATAACGTATTTAGTTGTAAGGGTTATTCTGCTTGGTGGAGACGCGCCCTACTGTGTACATAACTCGCTACTGTCCTGTCGATCCACCGCTTTTCCCAATGGCCCGGGGTTCCGAGGAGCCTGACTGCCTGGGGGCTCCCGGCCTGTCAGCACATGATGATGCACAACATCCCGGTTCAAGTGTTTACTGCGGGCCGGTACGACCCGTCTTTTCCTCTGGATCGCACCATTCCCGGACGCTGTCTTCCAACCTCTCTGCAAAACACACACACATACACGCACACACATACACGCACACACATACACGCACACACATACACGCACGCACACACACCAGCCCTGAAGACCAGCAACATACGATGGCCCATAACGGATCATCTGCTCGAAAGTGTTTGGGAGCAGATTGTGAGAATGATGCTGGCAACCTGCAATGCCCAACATGCCTGAAGACGGGCGTCCAGGACAGCTACTTCTGCTCCCAAGATTGCTTCAAGAGAAACTGGGTCTGTGCAATGATGCTTCGCCCGCGCCCATTTTCGAACTCCAGAGTCCAGGCTGACCGACCTCGTGGCCCAGGGCCAACACAAGGTCCTCCACAAGACTGTTCAAGGCAAGATCCAACATAACAAGATGGACCCAGGCATCGTCTCTAACCCACACCCAGGCACCCGACAATACAACCCATTCCCAACGTTTTCTTTTACCGGTTCAGTGCGACCCGTGTATCCGCTCTCGCCCATGCGCACTCTTCCCAAGTCCATCAAGCGCCCCGACTGGGCCGAGACGGGCGTACCAGCGCGTGAAATGCGTCTCAACAGGTCCAAGATTGACATCTTGGATGCCGAGGCACAGCAGGCGATGCGCAAGGTCTGTCGACTCGCCAGGGAGGTTCTAGATATTACCGCTGCAGAACTCAAGCCGGGCATTACCACAGACTACCTTGACGAGGTTTGTCACAGGGCTTGCATAGAACGAGACGTGAGTGTGGCCAGTAACTAGATTTTCCCTACACTATGATGAGGCTGCTCGTCTAACCTTATCAGGCATACCCGTCCCCCTTGAACTATAACCGCTTCCCTAAATCACTGTGTACTTCGCCGAATGAAATTATCTGCCATGGGATCCCTGATCAGCGGATCCTTCTCGACGGCGACATCCTCAAGTCAGTATCACTCTTCTCTTGTTACGGTTTACCGTCTTTCATGTTTTGGGATGTTCTAGAATGCATTATTTGAGGACCCGTAGCAGGACTAACGTGACACGTAGCCTCGATATCTCCCTGTACCATGGTGGTTACCACGCCGATCTGAACGAGACCTATTACATTGGCGACCGTGCTAAGGCTAACCCAGATGTAGTTCGGTTGGTTGAGACGACGCGAGAATGCTTGAATAAGGCTATCGAGATTGTCAAGCCTGGAACCCTGATACGGGAGTTTGGTAAGGTTATTGAAAAGCACGCCCGGTCTAGAAACTGCGGTGTCGTCGCTACGTGGGGCGGCCATGGTATTAACTCCGAATTCCATCCCCCGCCATGGATACCTCACTATGCCAAGAATAAGGCCGTTGGTGTGTGCAAACCCGGCATGACTTTTACCATCGAGCCTATTCTAGCGCTGGGGAAACCTCGTGAGGTTTATTGGCCGGACGAATGGACGAACGCGACCGTCGACGGGAAGTGGACTGCGCAGTTCGGTGCGTATGACCTCAGAAATCCCTTCCAGGCTCGTGCATGGCCCGTCGCTAATTTTCATACAGAACACACCTTGCTGGTCACAGAGACTGGCGTCGAGGTCCTGACCGCTGGCAACGCGGACTCGCCAGGAGGACCCGTGCCAATGCCCGTAGCTACGGAGGGGGCGGCAGAAGCCAACGGGGCAACGAGTATGTAGAACGCCGGGTCTACACATTTTGGCCTCTCTCCGCAGTTTACAAAGTGTTGATGTGGGGGGGTGGGTTAGGCATGGAGATGGGCTGCTCTTGAGGGCTTCAAACACATGGGCAGACGTCGGCCTTGTCGGACGACGGACGTGACCGTACCTCTTCCTTAAGGATTGCCTCAGTCGTGGATTCGTCGCCGCCTACTTGAGGACGGCACAGAGTCCCTTGGTCTACAAGCTGCACGACATGTTGTGGAGGGCTCTGGGAGACGAGTTATCGCTCCGGAGAACGAGTGACGCGCCATCCGGCTTGTCTGGTGGGCGGACCTACCTCATTCTTGCGCAGTGGGATACAATTGTGGTCACAGACGAGTTCATACAGGACTATGAAAGGTTACTTAGTGAAGAAGACGTTGATTTGCATATCCTGAAAGGGGTCCATGAGATCGGGAGTCTGAATAGCGAGGAGATGGCGTCACTGTCGATGAGATCTTGGAACTCGAAAAGATAGGCCAGTCAGGACTGTTTGGAGTATTTTCTAGGCTGTAATTACCTCATCAATTAGGGCGGGCCATCCGCATGCATTTGTTTTCCGCATTTCGATAATGATACATGTAAGGCATGGTCCGTGAGGCTGTAGACGACACTGGGAACTGACAAGCTCACAACAGCCGGCCAGATTCGGTCATGTGTGCACCAAGACGAGAGTTCTCGATCTAGACCTATCAGTCTAACATTACTGACGGACCTATGTTAGTCTCTGTATGATACGGATACAACTGAGCTGGGATTAGAATCTCACGCCGAAGCTGGATGAAACTGCCGGAAACTCCAGGAATTGGTACAATGGATTTAAGGTCAGTATTCTTTTCTCGCGTCTAGCTATTAGCTGCACAGCCTCGTGAGATCAGAACTGTCTGCCAGGCCACGAGGAATTCAATCATTGCCACTCAATATAGGCGACTTTCGTATGATGCTACCCGAAACTTGGTCTCTCTGCTGTTCCTCGAACGATTTTTAATCGTTCGTCGCTTCTGACCTGGATATTGTAGCCAAATTTCAGCGGTCTCGGAGCCGGCACCGGTTCAAACTTCAGTGTCTCCCAAGCCTCGTTCACATTCGGGTCCAGAGGCCCGAATGTCCACTGCCCATGCCAGCTTGGCGACCAAGATGACCAGGCTTCTCTCCGCAAACTGCGTCCCGGCGGAGGCTCTTCTACCAAAGCCAAAAGACTCGTAATTGAGGCAGTTCTGCGCTTAATTATTAGATAAATACTCACTTGATATGTGATTTGAAGCCACAAACATCCAATATTTATAATACTGAAATCCACTTCTTCGTTCTTACGTAATAAGATTAACCTTGTCTCTGAAGAAAAAATAGATTTGCATTCAAGGACGTCCGTACTACATATTGAATGTTATGAAAATGAATGTCATCTTATCAAGTGGACATTGCCTCAGAGCAAGACAGAGAATCGAGTTCAAGCGCAAGTAATTAATGACATCTTGTTTCAGCCATCAGTATGTGAAATTTTGACCAACCAATTTCTCACCAAGCTTCCAGCATCTCTCCACGTGGTCTGGGGCATTTTGGTGTCAAGTGTCTGGTATGGAGGGTTTGGGGGCTAATGTCTGACACAATGCAACGGAAACATCACACTCAGAACTGGTGTGCTACTGGGCTACTGATTTATTAAAGTGTAATTCCGAATTGATTAATCGGTCGAACCCTGTGAGTCGGCTCCAGAAAGCTGAGAAAGCACAACACTAGTACGATGAGTGTTGAGAGCCGATAAAGCACGGTTGGGAAATGCAGTGCGGGCCGTGCGGTCACGTCCCGAGGTCTGAATCAGTCAAGTAGGCTACTCAGTATTCAGAACAAAAGGTTCGATTATATGACTGAAACCTTCCCTGAATAAACGAGCCGTTGATTTTTTAAAACGATTTGTTAGGATTTTAATGTTTACAAAATAGTTGTATGACCTGAAGCTGGTATATTGTTGACTTACCTGTTTGCTTGGCCCTTTAAATGTTAGGCTGGGCAGATACTTGTTGCTGTACCGTGCCGATGGAGACTGTCCGGTCAAGACAGGATAAATGGAGTTTTATATACCCTAACATAGTTAACTCGAAAGCACCGGAAGCAAGTGTGGAACCCCCGGCCTAACACGTACATACCCACCTAGGTAGGTATAAAGCTTCTAGGGTGTAATAATATAGGCTTATAAGTGTTGAATTCTAAGTTTAAAGGACTTAGAATTATAGTCTTTTAACTAAGATATTTATTATATAATATTTAATAAATTTATTTTAATTTTAAGTTAAGAAGTTATAAGTTTAAACCTTTATAATTTAAAAGTTAATAATATAAAGTGTTTTAATAAGTATAAATTCTAATTATTATATTATAAAAGATAATTAATTTAATAAATTATTTAATTATATTAATAGTTTATTTTAAAATTATTTCTTTATTTAAGTTTATTTTAATAAGTGTTAATAAGCTTTAAATAAAGGATATAATAATATAAATTTATAAGTATTAAATTTTAAATTTAAGGAACTTAAAATTATAATCTTTTAATTAGAAGGCCTATTATATAATACTTAATAAGTCTGTCTTATAGGGTTCCTAAATCTTCCCTAGTCCTACATATAGGCCTTTTTACCCTTTAAGGAGCAAGTAAGTGTATTAGAATAATTAGTTGTAATATCTATATACCTATATGAATATGAGCAGACCCGTTGTTCCTTGTAACGCTGTGCTGCTCTTATATGCTGGTGATAAAGGCCCAAAGGCTCGGGTCATAATCCTGTTAACGATAAACGCGTTGTAGGGAAGGATTGGGCACTTCAAGGGCTGCAGTCTTTTATCGTACCACTCAAACCGTGACCTGCATTCGCTGTATGCCGCTCATGGCGGGGCTGCGGTTGTCTCATCCTCTGGATGCGGCACAGAGGCTTAGTCAGGAAAATGTGCGGTGTCACAGAAGAGGATATCTCTCGGCACATCACCCGTCAGCAAAACCAACTCTAAGAGCCTGCCAAGCAGGAGATGATAAATATTCAATCCTGCACAGTCACGCACTGCTGGCGCCCTGCCCCCTGCTGTACAACTTGGCACCCATACTAGGCCACAGTCCAAGTCACAATCTAGATCGGGAGACCCGGCAGGGAAGAGCCTCCAACCACCCCAAAATTGCGCCAACTCCTCGGGCGTAGACAGCGGAACGACATCATGATGCTGACCGGCAAGAGGAAGCGCGAAGTGTCCGCCTGCATTCCTTGCTATACGCGGAAACAGAAGGTAACACAACCGCTCTGTGCGTCCCTGCACACCTCACTTGAATCTGCGAAGGGCTCAGCTACTGACGTTTTGTTTGTTCCCGCCTGGGATAGTGTGACCGGCAATATCCGTGCGACAGGTGCAGCCGGCGCCGCCAGCCAGAGCAGTGCGCATACTACCCTACCCCATCCCCGACCATCACCGAGAGGAGCCGCGATGAGGCCGAAACCATAGAACTAGACAACGAGGGCGAGCCTCCGGACTCGTCCCCGACATCCGTCGACTCCCGGGCGGGGATAGGGCCGAGCAAGGGGGAGCCGGAATCTTCGTCGTCGTCCTCGTCGGCGACGCTGGCCGAGGCATTTGGATACTACGGACCAAGCGAGTTCAACACCATGGCTCTTGTGCGGAAGGTTGGTCTCCTGTGCTGTTCTTCAAAACGACGCAGGTGATCCAATGGCGAGGTAATGACACTGATTTTTGCGCAGCTGCTTCCCGACGAGGAGACCCATGATTCAGTGGATATTCCCATGCCAGCCGAGATCGAGGCCGAGGTCCGCAAGACGCTGCAGATGATGCTGCCACGGCCGGTCATAGACGTGCTGGTCAGATACTTCGTGGCGGAGGTCAACTGGTTGGTTTCGTCTGATCCGTGTTTTCTCGTCATATTCTGCGCGGCATCAATGATCTCTTGGCTCACATGTTGTGAATGTAACAGGATCGATCAGCTCCTGCATCCGCCTTGGTTCCTCTCACAGTACCAAAAGTGGTGGAACCTGGACACTCTCTCGCTTGCAAGCGTTGAGTTCGCCATCCTCTTCCTGCGAGTGTGCTGCTATGCCTCGTTGTTCCTCCCATCTCCCTCGCACACGATCGATAGCGTCAAGGGGGTGTCTGTGGTCAACATTCGCAGATCGTGCGAGGATGTCATCAAAGCATTGTTGCCCATCTGCAGACAACTGGACCCGCGAGGGTCTCTAGTAAGGGTTCAGTATATTGCCTTCGCCGGCCTGGCAAGCATCAGCGTGGGACCCATGGACGCCTTCTGGGAGCATGTCAGCTGTGCTTCACGTGTGGCTCAGCAGATTGGCCTGCACCTTGACAGCAGTCTCTGGCCCGAGAGCATGGACGGAATCGAGAAGGAGATGAGACGGCGCATGTTCTGCAACCTCTACGTATGGGACAGGTATGCTACAGGGCCCGGATCGTGCCCCGGGGTGAACTGCATGCCGTTACTACTTAGTCTTCATGTCCTAACATCTTTTTTTCGCTTAGTTGCCTTTCAAAGCGTCTCCACCGACTACCATTCCTGCCCGATGATGCCCTAAGCGACGACATCCTGCCTCGTATGCGCCTACTCCGCGAGCCAGACATGGGCGCTGACGCGCCAGATGTCTTCACAGAGCGTCTTCTCCGTGCACAGCTTGCCAGATTCTGGCGCAACTACACCCCGAAAAGGGGGCCCATTCTAGGAGCTAACAAATACGACGCTGTGGCGGCAGAGGAGTGATACGAGGCTTTCTGTAAGGCCTTCCTGCCCACGATCCCGCCCGCCTTTGCCCTCGCCCAGCCAGACAGGCAGTGGGATGCACGAATAAGGACATTGCCCAAGCAGCGTCAGCTCCTTCACATGGCCGTTTTTGAGTTCCTGTGCTGGAACTTCCGGGCCACGATTTTGCAGCCGGCAGATGGGTAAGTTGCAGGCTATAAACAAGTCCTTCTCTCTAATGGCAAGCGAGCCCTTGCGGCCGCCGCGCTCGGCTTGCTCGAGACCGTGTCCGCTCTCCACGCGCTGATGGGCGGCTCGCACACGCGCTTCTCAGGCATAATCATGCCCATATTCGAAGGGGCGGTGCCCTTGCTCTGCCTGTGTGCGGACCCGAGTTTCCCCGGGGCAAGGGAGGAAGACAGAGAGTCAAGCTCTCCTACCCCCATGCTTGGTGGGGGTCCTGGAAGCCGGCCACGCTCCGGGCCGCGGTCGCAGTCCCTGGAAATGGTGATGAAGCGGATGAGATCCGACCCGCTCGGGGCCAGGCTGAACTCGGTAACGCGGTCCGAGTGCATGCAGGCTGCTCGTGGGGCGCTGGCGACTCTGCAGACGCTGGCTGAGGTCAGCGAGATGGCTGAGGTGGGAGCCCGGACACTGGCGCGGCTGATCAAGACGGTTGACGCCAGCAGAAGCGGCGGTGGCAGAAGCGGCAGAAGAAGCAGCAGCAGCATCATCGCCACCTCAACGCCGCCCGCACCACAGCCAAGCAGCCGTGCTGATGTAGCCAGTATGGGCGGGCCAGCCCAGCCCGATGGTGGGAGCGCCTGGACAGGGGCCGCGGATCATCAGGATGCATTTATACCGCGGCCACAGCCGGCAGTCGATGCGACTTCTCACTGGGCATTTGATCCGGAAATGCACTCTGCAGGAACAACAGGCTCCCACCCTAGGTTTTCCTTTCCAGCGAGCGACATGGGAACCAGCGCAGGCGGGGCAGTGGGGGCTGAGAACTGGGAAGGGTTCTTTCGCGAGTTCACAGGTGGCTATGGCTTATAGACTACCGAGGCGCCATTTTCTGAAGTCGAAGTATATAACTTTTTTTCTTTCGCATATATAGTCGTGATATATTTCCCGTCGAACCTGTAGCCTAAAAGAATTCACGCGTATTGTGACCACGATGTGTTAAAGGCGCGGATGAATTATACTTTCTGCCTTATCAAACCCTTGCGGCCTTTTTGTTCATTTGAGTTCTTCACTCTAGTGCCCACTGAGGGTGACATCTCTCTCGAAGAGCTAGCAAAGAAGGCTGGACTCGACCAGGACCGAACCAACCGTGCAATCCGCATGCTGATAACACAGCGGATATTCCAGGAGACCAAGGGTGGCTATTTCGCTCATAATGCATTCTCCATTGCTCTCCAAAGGGACAAGGACCCGAGGTCCATGGTGCACTACTCGTGAGCGTCATAAGCCGTTGCATCATGAGATCAACCACTAAATGATCTGCAGATTCGATGAGACGCTCAAGGCCAGCGCCAACACCAGTGATGCCATCAAGAAGGTGCCCTTTGAAGCCGACAGTGTGCACTGGCCGTTCTACGACCGTTTCGGAATTCCCATCTTCAACTACTATAAAGAGCACCCTGAATACTCTGCTCGGTTTGCCAAGGCAATGCAAGGTTGGCGAAAGCGTACGTACCTAAGCGTCCCAAACATCACGATTCCTTGACGAACCTGAACCTTGGCTTCTAGTGGATCAGAAAGACAACCCTAACAGACTATTCACAAAGTGACTTCAAACATAAACGAATTAAGAGACAATTACCCCTGGGCAGACCTTCAAGGGACGGTCGTGGACATTGGAGGCGGCAGTGGCCACGTAGCGATGGAGCTGGCTCGCGTAAGTGCACAAGTCTGCCGCTCCATGATTCGACATCAGCCCTGACATTTTCCGGCCCAGGCCTTCCCTCACCTGAAGTTCGCAGTCCAGGACGGCGACGCATCAATGCTGGCCGTCGGCGAGAAGAACGCGCCAGCCGATCTGCGCGACCGCCTGAGCTTCACGCAGGCCAACTTCTTCACGGCGCAGCAGTATAAAGGCGCGGCGGCGTACCTGATCCGCCAGTGCACCCACAACTGGGCCGACCACGATGTGATCACGATGCTCAAGGCGATTGTGCCCGGCCTGGAGGGCTCGGCCCCGGGCACGCCGTTACTCATCAACGACATGATTATGCCTGAGCCCGGGGCCAAGGGCGTGCCGCGCATGTGGGAGCGCGAGCGCAGGCAGGCGGATATGGTCATGCTGGTGTGTTATGGCGCCAAGCAGCGGACTATTTCGGAGTTTCAGGGGCTGCTCAAAGAGGCGGATCCGAGATATGCCATCCGCAAGGTGCATGCTGAGAGGGGTGCACTGGGAATACTTGAGGTGTTCCTGGACAAACTTGGTCAACTAAGCAGTGCATAGTAAATGTGGGATAGTTAGTCAACAGGTTACCATGCCCAAGTGAATTCGGGGTGATTCGGGGTGGTCGATAAATCAATCAACGAATCATGCCGCGCTTCGAGTTGTTCGAACTTTTGTTTTCAATCTACTGCATAATCTAAACTCTCTTCCTGATGAGACTCCCTCCCTGATCAACTACGAGCCTAGTATCAGAATTAAGCCACCGGGGGTGATGATTAGAATGTGCCCCCCCCCCCCAACCTTTGTGTTTGTCATGTCTCACTGCGAAAATGGAAGACCGACCGACCCTCATCGGTCGGTGGCTGAGAAAGCAACATAATGGCAACACGTCCTTTGTCGGTGATTGGTGGCTGCGCGGCCGAAGAATGACACACAGGGGTCTCGACCGACAATTCTCGGCCGACCGGTGCGAGTGGCGCTTGTGAGGCTCTACCAACGCGGCAAAGATCCCAGGAGGCTGACCAAGAGTTGAAAAGGAAATTCCATAATCTTCCCTAGCTGAAAACTTCTTAGTCAGTTTGGGGCTGGATGGGTCCAAGTACGGGAAATGGATTGCAAACATGTTACCTAGGGAACAACGGTTGTTGTGTCTTTTTAACTTGGGAATTGTCACTACAATGCTCTCAAACTGGTCTCTACCTCCATGCCATCGCGCTACCGACTCGAACTTTGGCACATAGAGCGGACCGTCGAACCATATCTCTGTATCGAACATCATCGCTTCCTCGCAGCCAATCATGTCGAACAGCGAGACAACCTCGGTCTCCGGCCCAGAAAAGCCTCCGGTGGCCACCGAGAACAACCACCAGCTCAAGGAAGAGAAACATGGTGGTCTGGACGAAGCTAGCGACAATGTTGACAATGAGAAGGGCGTGACTACAGATGCGGTTGCTGATGCAGCAAGCAACCCGTCCCCAAGATCCGTCCACGGTATCTCATGGTTTCTGGTCGTAGCAAGCATCCTGATGGCCAACTTCCTGTTCGCAACGGACAATACCATTGCCGCCAACATCCAGCCTGCTGTCATCCAGACATTCCAGTCCCTCAACAAGCTAGCATGGCTGGGCGTGGCCTTCATGATGGCCTCTTGGGGCACGTGTTTTTTCTGGCAAGTATCAAGACCCGCCAAGTGGTTTGTCCTGTGTGGGACACGAGAACAGACCAGACTAACCATAAGATCGCGGCTAGGGGTGACCTATATGCACGATACAGCGCAAAGTGGACCTTCTGTGTAAGCTTCGTTGTCTTCGCCGTCGGTTGCGCCATCGCCGGTGCCGCGCCCACCATGGACACCCTCATCGTGGGACGAGCCATATGTGGTGCCGGAGGCTCCGGGATGTACTTTGGCTCCATGGGTCTTCTTACACAGATGACCTCAGCCAAAGAGAGACCACTCTACCTGAACTTGGTTGGCATCACCTTTGGAGCCGGCACGGTGTTGGGTCCCGTCATTGGTGGCGCTTTTGCGGGAAGTGATGCAACTTGGAGATGGGCTTTCTACTTGTATGCACCACCCGGTCCCTATCAGCCGTCAACATTCTCCCTCCAGGAGGCCCTCAAGTGCTGTTGGTACTGACATCCAAGCGCAGCAACCTCGTCGTCGGTGCCGTGTGCGCCCCTATCTATATTTTCCTGCTGCCGACACTCAACCCGCGCCCCGGCCAGTCCATCTTGCAGCGGGCCAAAGAGATCGACTTCCTTGGGATCGTCCTGGTCATCGGCCTCATCGTCTCCATCGTGATGGCCATCTGCTTTGGTGGTGTGCTGTATGCCTGGAACTCGGGTCAGGTCATCGCCCTTTTCGTGCTGTCCTTTGTCCTCCTCTTCGCCTTCCTCGGCCAGCAGCACTTCGCCATCGGCACCACCCCGGAAAGCCGCATGTTCCCAATGCACTTCCTCAAGTCTGCGACCATGGTCGTGCTATTCCTCGAGGTAGCCTGCTGCGCGACCAACGTCTTCGTGCCCGTCTACTTCCTGCCCCTCTACTTCCAGTTCGTGAAGGCCGACACGGCCATCTGGGCCGGCGTGCACATGCTGCCCTACGTTGTGTTCCAGTCCGTCATCGGGATCGTTTCGGGCTTGGTCACTGGAAAGACAGGCTACTACGTACCATGGTACATTTTCGCCGGCGTGTTCTGCATCTCGGGCGCGGCGTGCCTGTACACCGTCAACGAGTTCACCGACCTTGCCAACATCTACGGCTACGAGATCCTGCTAGGCCTGGGCTCCGGCGCCGCCACCCAACTCACGTTCGCCGTGGCCTCCATGAAGGTCGTCCCCGCTGATATCGGCCGCAGTACCGGGTGGGAGGCATTCGCGCAGCTGGGCGGGCCTACCATCAGCCTCAGCGTCGCGCAGGCCGTCTTCATCAACAAAGCCCAGTTCGCTGTCGGGTCGCTGCTGCCGGATCTCACCATCGAGGAAATCAGCACCATCATCTCGGACCCGGCCAGCGATCTGCTGAGGGGCCTGACAGAGCAAATGCAGCACGAGGTTGTCAGCGACGTTGTCAATGCCATGCGTGACGCGTACATTGTTTGTCTGGCTGGCGCGTGCTTGGTATTGCTTCTCATCTTCCGATTCAAGGTCAACGACAAGCTGTGGTAAAAGGATATGCCCGTTACGTCATCCGCGGATTTGATTAGGGTTTTCTCAGGACCTTTCTCAAGTTATCTATCTGTTTATTATGTGAAAAGGTTACTAAACCGTCCACAATCACAATGACACTTTGGTGCTTATTCTGATAGACTAGTCAAGCCAAGGTTGTGAAAGAAAAGTCCTTATGAGCATAGCATTGAGGAGTAAACGGTACCCTGGTCAGCTCAAAACGTCAGAAAGTTTGTTCTACTATGTCAAGGAAGACTAGCATGTTCTAGTGTCATTGGTATCCTGACAAGTATGGACGTGGATTACTGCGTGGAGGCCGTGGAGGTCTTGGAGGCCAAATGTAAACTGTGATCTTGACCACATGGATCATGTTATTAATGGAATCCAATTTGGATACATAATTCACAAATATCACTGACCTTGTGCCAGAATGCGTGGAAGTACCCAATGATTAGGATACCACAGTGTGACCAATAGAGCATCACCTAATAGTGATGCAATACAACCATGGTCATTTCAAATAAATGATGTACTTATATTAATATTACCGGAAACCACACAAAACCTGCTTGATCACAGGCAACCTTCTAATCGCTGAGGATGTAAATCTCTCCAGAATGACATGTCCATAGGGGCACCGCACTATTTATCATGCATAGATGTGATTGATCTCTTGCGAGTGCTACATTACTTTGGATTGGAATACACAGGGTTTTGGTCGCTCAGTTTATCAAAGACCTTGCTGAGCATCAGGCATTCACTTTGTTTGATACTGTGACACGGTGTGTTGAGAGCCATTTGTGATAGACTACCATAGTAGTCGCTGTAAGTGATGGATAAGCAAATTAAGTTGGCTCCAGCAGTTCTTCACCTCCACATGTCTTCGAGGTATCCATAGCTTTGTCGGCGACCAATTATGAGAATAGTGTACATAGTGAAGCAATACCCATTCCAAGAGTAACAACCAACCCACAAGGGCTTCAAGGAATAGAAACACTATACTTCCTCAAGCAGCAGTCGAGTTCTCAGAGACAATGACAGACCTATCACACAAAGCTTGAAAAGAGGTAGGTATCTAGGCACATTACCTTGCTACCTGCCTCCCATCCCACAGCCCACATGGATCCCACCCTTGCGGAAGAGAAAACAACACACGTTTTTCCAGAAGGGTGGGGGGCAGGCTTTTATTAATAATATCTGCTGGTATGCCCACAGCTCGACGCAAAGGTTGTGGTGCGACTGTTACACCACATGCCTGGGCAGCCTCTGAGCTTCCGAGCCTGCCTGCCTGCCTGCCTGCCTGCACGCCAGCACGCCTGCATGCCTGGGTGCCTGCCTGCCTGCAGCATGACAACAGACTGACAAAACCAACCCGACAGCCGGATCGGATCCCATGCACGCACGCACACCTACCTACCATCGCATGCACTCCCACCTGTCAGGCAGCGTGCCAGCCCCAGCCAGCCGGGACGCGACGTCGTACCGTAGGACCGTAGGACAGGTTGGTCCAGTGGATTGCCACACTGCCCGTCTTTTTGACTTCCGGGGAAGCTCTTTTGACTCCTCCGCCCCCTGCCTGCCTGCCTGCCTGACTGGCTGACTGGGTGAGTTGCCTGCCGCTGCTCCTGCCGATACTCACTGAACTGTTGCCCTGGCTGGAAGGGAGGGGGGGGGCAGGACTCTCGGCAGGTTCCAGATGTCTGCGACCATACCTACTATCCACACTCCCTCACCGGCTGGCTGGCTGGCTGACATCGGCAGGAGTCAAGCGCAGCTCACTAAGCCGGTGGTGGCTACTGGCATGTTTCGAGGTCCTCCCCTCCTTTCCTCGCGGCTGGCTGATTTCTGGCACACCTGTTTGTGCTGTGAGCCACGCCACCCGCGGCTGCTGACATTCCGGCAAGACATCTGTCTGTCTCATGGCCCACCTGCCCAAGACAGGCAGGCAGACAGGCAGAAAAGGGGGGGGGGTGGCCGGCAGAGGTAGGTGGCACATCTGTCTTGTCTGCCCTGCAGCCAGGTGGTGTTGCCCCGCGGCGACACTGCTTGCCGGAGAGGCATACCTTGCGAGGCGACACATCACAAACTTGCCGAGTTGGCAATACCTCATGTTTTGATTGCCGAAAAGAAAAGGAAAAAAACGAAGAGATGCCGCTCGGCCAACCTGGAGTGTTTGTACCTGGCCTGATTCTGGATTGCTTGCCTTTTTGTTTTCTCGTAAAGGCTTTCAAAAGGGGCTTCATCAAACGCCACATGTGTGTTTAGTAATCTGTTCATGAATGCGTTTTTGCCACGGTCCGACTGGTGAACACTTGTAGTTACACGCCGTAAAAACAACAACTCCGCAAGGTTTCTTCTACTATTTCCACACTCATGTCTGGATGCATCCAAGGATTGTTTGACCCTCTTCAGTGGATCTGCGAGGATACGTCTCTTTCCCTCGGCACGATGCTGCTGACTTGTTTGAACAATGTAACTAGTTGTCATAGACTCTGCGGGTCTTCAACTTCTGGGACCTGTTCGGCGCAATATCAATGGCAATAGTACATATGCCCCATAGATGAAATCAGATATGCTCGAAAATTCTGACACAAGGAAATTTTGAGTATTGTTTCACGCTTTGTTTCAGGCATAATTGTTGCATGATTTCAGCCATAATTGTTGCATGAGGCCTTGTAGAAAATGGTTGGAAGCCTTTTTTATGCCTGGTTAAACGACTCGGTTTCCTTTCAGCTACCATTACCAAAACCGAGCTAAGGAATTATCTTTTTGCACGTGAGGCAGCTTGCATACTGGGAAGAGTATTATGTGATGTTCCCTGAGGCCAAGTGTGCCATAACTGATACCTAGGTACACTGCGATATTGTAATGGGTATGTTATTCAGAGGATCAAGGGCAAAACAAGACAACTTTGGAAGACCTACGTAATAAAGAACTTAAATAGAAGACTCTATTTGTTGCAATCATAATTCATACAAAAACACACACACACACACACAGAGAGAGAGAGAGAGAGAGAGAGAGAGAGAGAAGCCGAAGTAAGAATTCAAATAAAAAGAAAGAGAAACTGACAAAAGACAAAAGACAGCGATAATATCACATCTCACAGCTCTAGTTTACTGAACAGACCACACTCAGAGCAGTAGTAATATGTCTCTGCCCAGTTTCCACTGAGTTGTTGTCTGGATCCAGCAAAACGAGCTGAAAGAGCAAGGAAGGTTGCACCAAATGCTGGATGAGCTAGAAGGATCAATGTAATATACTATTGCCTAGGTATGATGTACACCAACTAGGCACGGCTATGGGGACGACGCAACGACTGGCTAGCAAGCATCTCATCAGAAACCTCGCATTGATTCGATGCCATCTGAGTGAACATCATAAATTATTATCTGGGTAATCGCCCCAGGGTGCGCATCAAAGCTCTTGCTCACGGTCTATCTCAATCCATCCCCTCCCACTCCTTTACTACTTGCTGTTGCCAGGATCGCTCTCTATAAATCTAATGCATCAAAAACCCGTCTTTTCGCCCCAGGCCAAAAAAAGCCCCATTTCCGCCGAACCAGAAATTCCACATGCGGGTTTTTCTTTTTTAATCAAAAAGGCCGCCCAGGCAAAACACCCGACCCAGGCCCCGAGACGCCTCGTAAAAAAAAAAAAAGCTCCCGGTAAAGCAAGCAAGCAGTCAACGATTGGGCTTGCCAGCGCGCCTTCCCTCGGCATCACATCGCATCGGCGGCCACGTCACAGACAGACCCCCTGCCGTGACAGACAGCTCCCAAGGGGCTGCCGGACACATCCGGCTCGGGATACCCACGAGCACGAGGGTATCCGGCTGAGGGGCCGGGGCCGTGTCTCGTTTTCGTCTGCGGGTATTATCCGGTCCCGTTCTCCGTGTGCCCGCTGCAGCGCGCGCGAGGCGGCGCTCCTCCTCCCCCGTCTCTGCCCAGCCGTGTATGGGGTGGGACCTCCTCCGCCGAGGAGAACCTCAGCGATCACCTTTCCCGCCCTCCTCGAGGGGCCGAACCGACCGGCCGTGTGGGGGGTTTTGGGCGGCCGGCGGGCCACGTTGCGCGATCTTGATCTTGTCGCCCTCGAGGGCCACTCCGCTGCGCCCCCCCCCCCCTGTCGCAAGCCAGGCGCGATACCATCCGTGGGGCCTCGGCCCGGGTTCACATACCCCATGTTGCTTTCTCCCCATGTGCCACCTAGCGTTCTCTTCCTCTTCCACTTCGTCTTCTTATTCTTCGTCCTCCTCCTCCTCCTCATTTTACTCCTCGCCGTACTCCTCGCCATACTCCTCACAGACCCAGAGGCAGAACTCCTCCCACATGACCCCCCACTCCTTAAGCCTCTGCGCCTTCACCCCGGCGCCGAGGCTGGCCTCTTTGACGTCGCGCGCCCACTCCTCGCCCGTCTGGTCCTCGAAGCAGCTCCACCGGACCGAGTTCTCGGCCAGGCTGCCCAGCCCCGCGAGGCCGAGGTTCTCCCACCCCTGCAGGGCCTGCCAGAAGTCGTGCGTCATGCCGGCCGTGTCCTGGCCCAGCATGGCCGGGTCGTCGTTGCTGAGGGCGCAGGGGACGCCGCGCGCGAGCAGGGCGGGCAGGGGGTGGCTCGTGACGGAGCCGCAGAGGCGCAGGACCTCGTTGGAGATGGGGCACGACTCGACGAGGATGCGGCGCTCGCGCACGAGCCGCGTGAGCAGGGGGTGCTTGTACAGGCTGAAGCCGTGGCCGATGCGGCGCGTGCCGAGGAGCACGGCGTCGAAGAGGTTCTGGTCCGTGGCCGTCCCGTCGCCCAGCGTCTCGCCGGCGTGGAAGAAGAAGGGCATCGCGCCGTCCCCGAGCCCCTCCTCGGCGAGCTGCTTGCGGAACCAGAAGAGCTCCGGCAGCACGTCGGCCAGGGGCCGGCCCAGGTCCTCCTGCCCCACGAGGTCGAAGCCGGACAGCAGGTGCGGGAACTCGAGCTTCGTCGTGATGGCGTGGTCCATGTTCTGCACGATGGACTTTTGGTCCCAGATCCGCAGGGACGTCCAGATCATGCGCAGGCCCCAGAAGCCCTTGCCCTCGGGGGAGGCCTTGAATGCCTTGATCTCCTCGTCGATCACCGTGAACATGTGGCTGTAGTCTGACTCGGGGGTTTCCTGGCCGAGGCGGTAGTAGTTGAGCGGCCAGGTGAATCTGTCTCGTCGTAAGCATACATGATTCACTCTGAAACATGTCGTGGCCTTCAGAACCGGCCCGGAGGAGAAATAAAAGGAAAAAAAGAGGGGGGGGGGGGAGGGCACTCACCTTATCTCACCCCAGTACACGCCGTCCTCGTAGTACTGCTTCATCATCCTCCTGAGGAACTTCCTGAAGATGGGCTCGTAGTGGATGACAGTGCCCATAATAACAAAACACTTGCTGAACTTCCTCCAGATGTGGTCCACACCATGGTGCTGCTCGACGGCGTCCGTCTCAGAGATGGTAGTCTTGCTCTTCATCCAGCGGATCCAGCCCTGGCGGCCCCCCTCGGGGAAAGAGTCGGCAGCCCTGGCCAGGGGCACAAACTCGCCGGGGGAGTAGCTGGCGTCATCCCAGATAGACATGGTCGGGTTCCTGTCCGTGGCGAAGAAGCGGAAGTTGACGACGGCGTCGGCCCTCGCCTCGGCGGTGCCCAGGCGGGCGTCGGGGGCCGAGATGTGCATGCCCGGCTCGCTGAGCAGGGTGTCGAAGACAAAGTCCAGGTCGACGATGGCGTCGAGGTGGGCGTGCAAGACGGAGCCCTTGGGCATGCGGCGCACGATGCGCCACAGCTTGGTGCGCTCCATCAGGCCCTTGGCCAGGGTGAACATCATGCCGCTGTGCATGGTGCAGTTCTCGCGCACCGCGAGCTGGTCCTCGTACTCGTACGTCCATAGCGTGCGCTGCTCCTCCTCGCGGATCTTGTCTACGATCCGGCATGCCTTTTGGGCGATTGGCGACAGGCCCTGGCGGAACGAGTAGTCTGGGGGGGTTGGGGGGTGTATGTTAGATTTACACAACGTTGGTTGGGGACGATGCATGAGGATGCAACTGTACTTACCGCTTCGTGATCTCTTCTCCTCAGCTATCAGGGCCTCGCGGCCGGTCATGTACTTCTGGATGAAGGCATCGTCCTTGGCGGGGATGGTCTGGGCGATTTCTTCCCATTCCTCCTTGGACATGTGTGACAAGGCCATGCTGAACGAAAGAGTGGGGGGTTGATAATTACAAGGAAGTAGGTATGTGGGAAAAGTGGGATTGGGAGTCCTGCAAGAATGAGAGTGAGAGGTCGGATGGGCGTAAGGAGTGAGAGAGAAGGACGGGCAGTTTCGAAATTGCTGGTGGTGTTGATGTTGGAGTGGCCTTGATTGATGAGTCAGGCAGGTGGAAATTTTAGTGCCAAAGTGTGGAGGATGCCGAGGTGCCGAGATAATGATGATGTCGTGACGGCCAATGTAGGCAGTGGCTGTGGTCGATAGTGGGAAATATAGGCTAGCCGGTCGATGGAGTGGTAGATAGAGAGGCAGAACTGGGGGAAAGGCCGGGAGAGAGGGCGACGGTGAGCCTTGATGTAGTCAGTCCGTTTTGGGGCCAAAGGAACCGCAGCACACTCAGTCAGTCGGTTGGCTGGCTGGTTGGTTGGTCGGTACGGTCGAGCTGCTTTGGTCTCTCTCTCTCTCTCTATCTATATCTCATTCAAGGCAGGTCAAGCCAGACAAGGCAGGGCAGACGAGAGCAGGGGACATCAGGACGAGAAAAAAAGAAACCAAAAGGAACCAGACAGGGTCAAAAAAGTCTATATCACAAAAGTCATAATCCCGTGCGCGGGCTGCCAAGACGTCCAAACATATCAGCCGGCAGGGAGTGGGGAGACTGATGGGCAGAGTGGGTGGTGGCTTGACAGGAACAATGGTGTCGTCGGCGGGTGGTCCCAAGGTTGGAAATTGGGAAAACGAGATGAGCCCTGAGATTGAGGAAATCCCAGGCCCGGTCGGGGTTGAGTGACGATCCTGAAATGACCTCAGTCCGCATCTGGCCCAGTGTAATCCAGTCGGGTTCAGGGTTGGTGGTGGTGCGAGGGTGCGAGGTGTCAGGGTGTCAGGGTCTTGCTTCTGGAATCATTGATAGCTAGTGTGTTCTGGTAGTGGGTTGTGTCGCCCAGGCCGAACCAAGGTGACAGAAGTGTGGAAAAGGGGACCCATAACCCATCAGTCTGATTGATGTGCTGTGGGGACGAGCCCACCCGTCCTGTGTGCCCTGTGGCCCTGTGGCCCTGTGGCCCATCCCGCCCACCAAAGTCAAGGTTTCACCACACTCTCGTACACACACACACACTGACTGACACACACACGCACACACTATTATACCCCCTACACGCCCAAGACACCAAGAAGCCAGACCAACACAACCTACCACCCACACCCACTTCCGCATCCACACACCCAACCGGACGCAACCCTCGCACATGGGATCTCTGGCTGCCGGCTCCACCTCCCGCTCATGCAGGGCCATGCAGGGCCATGCAGGCCACGGTTGTGCCCTCCCTCCCCCCGGCCCAGGACCAAGCTGCCGGGTCTTTCGGGTCGCGTGTGCCAACTACCGACGGATTGATTGCACCTGCTATTGTGTGTGGTAGTGTGTGTGTGTGTGTGTGTGTGTACAGTACAGTGCCTACCTACCTACCTACCTACTGTTAATAAACGACAGGGCCATGTGGCCTTGTGCCCTGCCGACCCCCCCCTTCTTACCCCTGAGCGTCGTTCGTGCTTCGATCTTGTCACCTCTGAGATGTCACATCCCATCCCGCGATTTCGGTTTCCATTTCCGGCCATAGGGATACATGGTCGCATGACCACGAGCCCATTTGCGATCCATCATGGCCATATCTGTGATATGCATTGTATGTCATAAGTCAATAGTACCAGAATACTCCCTCCCTCACACACACCACAAACCACACACGCAACACAAGATGCAGCCCAGCAGATGCCGCCCTCCCGAGCTGCTCTCGTTCTTGTGCCCTGTCCCCTGTCCCCGGCCAACCACAAACCAAATTCTCGTCAAAATAGAGCCCCGGCCCATCCGTACCACATAAAGATGTGCTCGGTCATCGCCGCGCCCTTCTATAGCACTATAGTTCAAGCCACATGACGCCGTCTCTCGTCCCATGATATCAGACACCACATATATGCTTCGTCTTCTTCTCCTTCTCCTTCTCCCCCCCCCCCCTGAGCAGTCAACCACCAGCCAGCCAACCACCAGCCAGCCAGCCAGCCACCCCCGGCCGGACCTACGCCGGAATCAGCCCGACCCGCTCGTGGATCCCACTCCCGACCCACTCCCCGTCGCCCTCCCCCTCCTGCCCGGGGAGCACCACCAGCGCCCTCGAGTTGGGCGGGACCTCCACCCTGAGCTGGAACGCCCTCGTCGCGCCCGCGCCACCACCAGCAGCAGCAGCAGCAGCAGCCACGTCCTCCTCGGCCTCGCCCACCTCCCACCGCACGGCAACCCTCCCGCGCGGGCCGTCGTAGCTGACCTCGGCGTGCCTCAGCCCCCCGCCGGGCCGCGGCCGCACCAGGAACTCGGCCCACCCGGCGCGCAGGGGCCTCACCCCGCCGACGACGGCGTGCAGGAACTCGGCGACGCTGCCGAGCGCGTAGTGGTTGAAGCTCGTCATGCTCCCCGGGTTGATGCTCCCGTCGGGGAGCATGCTGTCCCACCGCTCCCAGACCGTGGTGGCGCCCATCGTCACCGGGTACAGGAAGCTCGGGCACGTCCTCTGCTGCAGCATCCCGTACGCCAGGTCGAGGCTGCCGCTCTCGGCCAGCGCGTGCAGCACCGCGGGCGTCCCCGCGAACCCGGTGGCGACCAGCAGCCCGCCCTTGCGCGTGAGCCGCGCCAGCCGCCGGCCCGCCGCGCCCGTCTTGTCCAGCAGCCCGAACCGGATCGACAGCGCCAGCGCCGTCTGCGCGTCGCCCACCACCAGGCCCGCGGGGCTGACGTACTTGTCCTGGTACCGGCGGCGGAGCACCTCGTGGTCGGCGCCGTACCGCGCCGCGCTGCCCGCGTCGCCGATGACCACCGCGGCCTCGGCCATCACGCCCGTGACGTGCACCAGGTACGCGTCCGCGACCATGGTCCCGTCCGTCCGCGCAAAGTCGGCCTGCTCCGTCGGCGCGTTGGGGTCCAGCCAGTCGCCGAACTGGAACGTCTCCTCGTCCCAGAGGCCGTCGGGCCCGCGCCGGATGCTCTGGTCCACGTGCGCGCGCATGCTGGGCCACTGCCGCCGGAGGACGTCGGCGTCGCCGGACCAGTTGTAGACGTTCCACGGCACCAGCACCGCCGCGTCGTCCCAGACCGCCTCGGGGATCGGGTCCTGGCCCGAGTGGCCCCGCAGCACGTCGGGGACCACGCAGGGGACCACGCCGCCGTTGGTCGACTGGTCGAGCCAGAGGTCCTGCAGCCAGTTGGCCAGCAGGCCCGCGCTCTCGTAGATGAAGGACGCCGTCGTCGAGAACACCTGGATGTCGCCCGTCCACCCCAGCCGCTCGTCGCGCTGCGGGCAGTCGGTCGGCACCGACAGGAAGTTGCCGCGCATCCCCCACACCACGTTCTCGTGCAGCTTGGTGATGAGCTCGTCGGAGCAGCTGAAGTGGCCCGTCCGCCTCATGTCCGAGTGTAGCACCAGTGCGCAGAGGTTGTCCTTGCTCAGCTCGTCCGCCGACACCCCCGTGAGCTCGATGTAGCGGAACCCGTGGAAGGTGAACTCGGGGCTCCATGACGATTTTGACCTCTCGTCGCCCGAGAATATGTACTTGTCAGTCGCCTTGGCGTTCCGGAGGGGCCTCGTCCCAAGTTCACCATTTTCCAGCACCTCGGCGTGCCTGATCTGTAGCTGGTGGCCCTTGGGCTTCTGGAGGCCGTGGATCCTGACCCTGCCCACCAGGTTTTGTCCGAAATCCACCAGCACCTTACCGCTTGGGCTATTGAAAATGTCTACCACTCCCACTGTCTGCGTTACCCGCACAGGGGGTACGTCAGGCGAGAAGAGCCGAACCTTTTCAAGGTCCACCTCCAGGATGCGAGTCGCATCCCAAGAACCAGCCGCGTCAAACTCGGGGCTAGACCAGTCCGAGAGCTCCTCCCGCGCATCGTAGACCTCCCCATCGTAGATAGACGAGCTCAGCCGCGGCGAAGGGTGGCAAACCCACGAGTCGTCCGACACGACCTGGGCGGCGTGGTCGTAGCACCCGCTGTCATCCTGGGTCTCAAGCTGGGCGATGAACCCGGGCTTGTCGCCGTACAGGTTGCGCAGCCCGGGGACCCAGAGGAGCCGCCCGGCGTACCAGCCCTCTGCGACCTCGACGCCGATGACGTTCTTGCCATCGTGCAGCAGGTCCGTCACGTCAAAGACCTGGTACTGCAGGCGGTGGTGGTAGCTGGTCCACCCGGGGGCCATGTGCAGGTCGCCGACCCGCCGTCCGTTGATGGAGGCGGCGTACAGGCCCAGGGCGCTGATGTACAGCCTCGCGCGGGTGTGCTTGCTCTTGGGCTCCAGGGTGAACTCCTTGCGGTACAGCGTGGGCCGGTGGGGGACGCCGTCCTTGGGCGGTGGCTCGGTCGAGGTGACGAACTTGGCCTTCCAGTCCGAGGCGTGGAGGAGCCCGGCCTCGACATCCTGCCAATCACTCCACACGGACAGGTCCGGGTTCGCAACTGGGCCCGGGCGATCCGGCAGCGAGTGGCCGGACGCCAGGACACGGACCGATGCGGTCTCACGGGATTGGAGGGGCTGGCTGGGCCACTGGTTCAGGACGGAGTTGTCGGAGGGGACGCGCCATGTCTGCACGTTGAGCTTCTGGGCCGAGGTGTTGTCTGTGTGCCTCCTGATCTGGACCTGATAGCTCTTCTGCATCCAGTTGTGGGGCAGAGTGCTGGCGGACAGCCGCCATGACAAGCGAGGCTTGTCAGTGCCCAAGCCGAAGCCATTGGGATGATGTTCGAAGCGGATGTCGACGGGCTTGACCGGGTTGTGGGAGGTCGGCTTGACGGAGAGGTCGATGAGAGTCATGTCTACCGTGAATATGAGACCACACATATGAGTTGAGGGATTCACACGGACGAACAAGCAAGGTGAGGCTGAGACGGCATCCCTTGGAGCTTATAACCCCACCTTTTGGCAGCTCTGAGCCCAGGGAGGCGCGGGTGGATGACGCGGGGTCTTGTCTTGGGACCTATGAAACAAGCAGCCACCAACTCAAATCCATTACCCGAGCAGAGCAGAGTAAAATGGATCACGCCGTCTTGTTCTCGTCGGCGATGGCGACGAATCTGATTGCTTGGCCCCCCAGGGTCCCAGTGGTGGGTCTGCACTTCTACAGTGCAGACAATGCGGCTTCAGCTCATGTGCACGCGTGTTGCCGGAGTTCGGCTCATCGTGACGGGGTCTTGGCGATCTGCTGACAGCATCGTGGTCATGAGCGTTGGGGGTATCTCGGTTCATCTCCAATCTCAGACATGCAAGGTCTCGGCGAGGGGTTCCGAGGGCTGCAGGCACGCTTGCACGCCTATGAAGCTGTCGCCCACAGCACACCCTCTCCGGCAGCAGGTCACCCCGTTGCCATGACGGGCAGGTCAGAGTTCCCGCACACCACCTGCGGGCGAGACGTTGATCTCACGGCGCAGGCCAGTAGGCACAAGTTGCGAGAGCAAGTCTCGTGGATATAACGTTGCACAGAAGAGTCTAAGAACCAGTGTTAGCATGACCTGGGCAATGCAATCATGGGTCATCGGTAGGCAACGTGGCGATGCACACGCACAGCAGAGGCTTGTCAACGGTCAAGCGAGTGCTTATTACTGTGTATTAGAGTGGCTGAAAGAATGGGAATGTCTCTCGTCAGCATATCACAGCTGCATGATGGCATCGCAGCGTGACGAGCATTGACGGCTGGGCTGGCTGGCTTGGCCCGTCGCGACCAGCCTGCCAGCCTGCCAGCGTGGCGAGCCAGGATACTCCAGACCATCCCAATAGCATCGTGGCAAGAGCCGAGCATCAATGACAGCAGCCGGGGAGCAAGTCGCGCAGGGAATGTGAAATGAAAATTCATGCGCTGTCGGGCGAGATACGTGTGTGTTGCCCCAGTAACGCGGCCCGCCCCACGCGATTCCAAACAAGGCCTGCCGTCCGTGGCCGTCGTAGCTCGGGCGCATTAGATATGGGCAGGAAGGAACAAGGGTGTGGGTGGCTACTCCTCCAGTCTCTCCCACACACACACACACACACCTTGCGCGTGCCTGCACATTCCTCGATTCCTCCGTCCCATGGCGTCTGGCTAGCTCGGAGCTGCTGAGTTGTGTCAACTTTTTTTGTGTGGCAAGTACTGTCGCGAGCAAGCTGGCATATCGGAGCTCCAGCCATCACCAAACAACAACCTCAGCCCCAACATTGCGCCTTCGAAGCTGTTCCTCCTGCTCCTCGACTCCGCCCCCGACCCCGACCACACGATACACACGACACACACGACACACACGATCGGCTTTGCCGTAATGGTCGCCAGGCTGTCAACGACATCATGATAGACTCCGAAAACCTGCGCACAGCGTCGCTGTACATAAACAACCAGCTGCTATGCCGGGGCCTGCTGCGCGATGGCCGGGCCATCGACTTCTCCGACCCGGGCTACAGTGACCATGAGCTTGCCGATACCATGGGCCGCATCATGGGCGTCGTCAACGACCTGATCCTGCGCCGCGACGTATGCTAGCTACTACACCCTGTCCCCAGCCTCAACAAGGCCAATCCCCGCTGACCTGAACAAAGCGCGACGCCGAGCACCGCGAGGCCCTCTCCACAACCCTGCGCTCCGTCCGCGCCGACTCTCTCCGCCAGACCGACACCCTCTCGCGCCTGCACGACAGGTACACCGAGGCAGAGCGCAAGATAGCCCTGCACGACGCCGAGGAGGCCGCCCTGCGGTCCCAGCTCAAGAATGCCGACGCCACCATCCAGAAGCTCAAGGACGAGGCCGCACGCTCCAAGAAGCTGGTCGCCGAGACGAGGGCCGCCTGCGCCAATGAGGTGCGCAAGCGGGACAGGCAGATCGACGCCCTGAAGAAGGCTGTCACCGACGCAGGCCGCGCCAGGGGCGAACGCAAGGGCAACACCATCACGACGATCCAGGTGGCCGGGGAGATTGGTGCCGAGGACATGAACGCCGGTGCTTCCACCACGGACCAGGGGTACAACCTGCGCGAGGAGACCAACGCATTCCTGGCCCAGCTGGCCAGGGGCCTCAGTGAGGAGAATGAGACCCTTCTCTCTCTTATTCGAAAGACAGGCGACAGCCTCAAGGAGATGAGCGGCTGGGACAAGGAGGACGGCGCTGCCGGCAACAAGAGCGTTAATCACGCTGTTGTGCTGGCCACGAGCCCCGAAGACATGGCCAACGACATGACCAGCGTGCTCGAGCACGTGCGCGCCTTGCTCACCAACCCGTCATTCGTGCCAATGGAGGAGGTCGTTGTGCGGGAGGAAGAGATCTTCCGCCTGCGTGATGGCTGGGAGAAGATGGAGACCAGGTGGAGAGATGCGGTGCATCTCATCGACGGCTGGCGCCGTAGGATGGCTGCCGGCGGTCACCCGGTCGACATCGAGGAGCTGAAGATGGGGTTGCGTCTGAGCCCGGTTCGGGTGCAGAATACGGACAAGCCGTCTGCGAACGACCCCTTCCAACTATCGACGCTTCAAGAAGAGGAAGAAGAAGAGCAAGGACAGGCCGAAGAGGAGGAGGACGACGAAGAAGACGACGACGAGAATGAAGACGACTACGGCGAAGAGGATCAAATGGACTTCAAGCCGGAAGAACCACCGAGCCGCGAAGGATCATTGCACCTTGTTCCCGCCCCAGGCTACGAGGACATGGCGCCCGAGTACGAGGGAGCTCAAGACGATGGCGACGAAAGCGACGCGGCATCTAGCATCTTCCAAGATGACGTCGAGGACATTGATATGGACGAGTTGCAAGCATCTGAGCCGAATATTGAGATCCTCCAGCATTCCACCGGGCTTTCGGATGACACCAACTCCATGACGCTTCCGCCACCACCAAAGATCACACCACTAGAAGAGACAGCCGTTTCAGGGAACCGGAAACCATCGGCAAGACTGACCGAGAAATCGAGAAAACGGTCATCAGAGCTCATGCGAGACGCTTCGACTGAGAGCGCCAGGGCACCACCACCACCACCACCACCGCACCGCGTGAAAGAGGGCGAGTCACCACAAAAGAGGCTCAAGGTCTCTGCAGACGGACAGAGCGACCAGCCAAAGTCGAGACCAAATTCTGCCATATTCACCGACCCTGGATCTTCATACGACACGCCCGAGTCCTCAGTTTCCAAATCCTCGACAAAGACGACCGTCAAGTCTACTCGGTCTGACGTGTCGGCTAAGAAAGACACGCCAACGCAGAGCAAGCCTTCCGCAAGAGTCACCCGGGCGACCCAGGCTCAGGCGCAGGAGAAGAAGGACACCCCGACGAGGACAATCACCCGTCAAAAGTCAACCAGGGCCATTGCTCCCACCAACGCGTCATCTGCGCGATCCGCCGCCACGAGACAAGAAACAAGCAGGGCACGGGCCCCACCAGCACCGACAACCAGCAGGGCGGAAATGCCCCCTCCGCCCCGCCCGGGCAAGTCCACCCCGAGCAACGACAAGTCCCTGCGGCCCCCACCACCCCAGAACGACGCGAAGAAGCCCTCGCCCAGGGAAAAGCAACAGCAGGCCCCGCCAATCACCACCACGGCCGCGCCCACGGAGCCAGAGCCCTCCTCATCCTCCGCCTCCGCCTCCGCCAGGCGCCCAGCCCCGGAGTCCCCGACCCGCTCCCCGGGGAAGGCGGGCTCCCGCCTCCCGCTGCCGCGCAACATAGCGCCCCCGCCACAGCAGTCCCCGCTGACGATGGCGCGCATAGCAGCCAAGCTCGCCGCCTCGGAGCGCGAGGCCGACGCCGCCCGCGTCAGGGCCAAGCTGAGGGCCGCGCGCCTGAACCAGGGAGGCGGCGGCGGGGGCGGCGGCGGGGGCTCGACGTCCACGGTGGCCAGCAGCAGCTCGCGCGTGCCGAGCGGGGGGTCCGCCGCCGCCGCCGCAGCCGCCGATGACGTCGGGGAGGTGGGGGGAGGAGACCCCACCAAGAAAGACCGCGCCGTGTCCGGGGGGTCGGCGGCGAGCGGCAGCGGGAGCGGGGGCGGCGCGAGCCTCAGCACGGACGAGAACGGGCTGCGGGGCGGGGTCTCGGTGCTCGGGGCGAGCGGCGGGGATGATGATGACGACGAGGAGGACCGCGGCAGGGCGGTGGTGGTGGCCCCGTCGTCGTCGGCGGCGCGCAAGGCCGCTGCCGCACCTTTGTCGCCCAGGAAAAACCCCGCCGCCGCCGCGGCACCACCACCTCATGCGCCCAGCCCTGGCAGGCCGGCCGTCCGGAAGCGCGAGGTGCGCGGCAGGGCGGCCAAGGCGGCCAACAGGCGGCGGAGCACGCTGAGCCCGTGGGAGCTGCAGAGCCTTATTGCTGGCGAGGTGGTGCCCCCCACGCCTGGGCTGCCGGGGCCGGGGTCGGGTGCGCGGGAGGGGGAGGGGGAGTGAGTTTGTTCGGTGGTTGGGTTTCTTGGAGACGGGTCTGTTCATAAGGAAGGAGAGGGGGTTTTGGTCTTTGAGTTGATGATGATATCCTGAGGTTGGTGGTGTGTTTTTTTACGTGCCTGCATACATGTGTGGTGTGTGCAGAGAGAAGATGTGGGAAGTGGTTGTGTTGGTGTGGGAAGAAGACTACTACTACTACATTTGGTGTTTGCTTGGTTCTGGGTTTCTGTTGATCGTTTCTTATTCTTCTCATTTTTCTTCTTGTTCTTGGTTTTTGGTCTTGGTCTTTTGGCATTGCGGACTGGAAAGGAAATAATGACTTCATGTTCACGGCCCCTTGATCATGTTATGAGTGCTGCATGTCCCCCGGCTCCAACCCACCTTCCCCCACCCCACCATCTGACGACGTGATGAGTGCTTGACGGCCGTGCATTATTGTGACGACTTGATGGTTGACGTTGATGATGTGATGAATGACTGTGTGCTTACGACATGTGTATACATGGAAGAACATGTTGAGGGCTTCTTGTGTTACCTAGATGCGAAGCCAGAAATCTTGTTACACTGCTGTGGGCTTGGTTTGATGATAGAGAGTCACAATTTTTTCACAGAGCAATTTGATTGATCATACAAAGTCCGGTTTCTACCTAAGGATTCATCATGAATCTCTGGCTGCCTAAGCTCAAAGTGCAGCAGCACGTGCCTGGGGGGATTGCACCTCTAGGGCCTGGCCATCAGAAATGGCCGCAAGTTCCCATAACACCAGCAGCAGCCAGCCGGTTTGAAACCACAAACCATCGCCAAATGTGTGAATCCCTCAAGTGCAACAGGCCTTGCAATGCCTGGAACGTCCACACCTCCAAGGCCATCGATGGGCACAGGTAGGGCATACCCAACCCTCAGAAGCCCATTCAAAACAAGACCACCAACCAACCGTGTTGAGGACCCATCAGCTGTGATGAGACCATGGGACTTTCCAACCTCGAGCCAGTCCTCATCAGAGAGGGGTTCTCGGTTTCTCATTCCTGCGTGTCATGACGCTGCTGAGAAACAAGCCACGCAAAAGGAGAAAAAACCAACCAAATCCAGTGGCAACCATACCATGTGTGTGCCTTTCTTCCAAACGGCCAGGTAAACCACCGTGGCCTATTCCAGAGTGACCAACCAAACCTGGGTATCATTTCGACGCCGGCACCATGCCATGCCATGCAGTGTTGCGCCATGCAATTCTTGCAAAAACCAAATCCGTGAATCATTATTCGTGTCTGCGTTGTTGGATGGATGGGACCTTTCGAGACAGATCGAGGCTCTTTGGTGTGCCTCCCGTCATGCAGATAGACATCCATGTCTGTTTGGATCCAGATGTCTTTCTTCTTGAACTCTCTCCTTCTTTGTCCATTTTTTTTTCATCTTTTTCTTTTTAGTATTCGTCTTCTGTGGGGATCCTGGTGTCCCTAGAATTCATGTCCCCGCTCGAGACGCCTCAAGACATCAGAGGGGCACCACGGGCGACCTTCCTCCGGGATGCGGTCCAGGTGCTCAATCACCGTGATCCCCCGCTCCTTAGCCTTTGCAAGCACATGGTCGCGCATGGTGCCAGCCAGGACATTCGTGTAGATCAGCTTGATCATGCTCTCGTTGTGCAGGACCTTGAGAACGTGCATGCCACATGTCATAGTCCTCTGGGGGAAGACGCCCAGTGCAGTGAGGTTGGGGAAGGTCTGGACCCAGGTGCAAAAGCGGTCTCCGCAGCTTGGCTCAGGACCTGAGAGCCACTCCTCGTCGATAAAGTCCATGCAGCTAAGCGTACGGATGGCGTGCTTGTTGAGGACGCTATCGAACAGGTGCTGTGTCTGGCTGTTGAATGAGATGGCCAGGGACTTGAGGGTACCGTTGGTCATGCTCGGCTTCATGAGCTCGAGGAACCAGGACAGGGCGGCTAGGTTGGCAATGGCTTCGTTTGGCGGAGACTCCGGCAGTCGCAGGCACAAATGCTCCAGTCGCGGAAGTTCCATCACAGGTGGAAGTGCCTTGGTGTTGGGTGCCAAGTGTACAAATAATGTGGCTATTCGTTGGTAGGCACGAATCAGGCCTCCGCTCCTCCTGGGAAACGAGAGGGATCGCAAGGTTTCCCGCAGCCGAGGGAGGGTCAGAAATGCAGGCGGGAGAGCTGGGGGCAGGGTGCTGATGGGTATTGCACCAACGTCGAAGTATGCGTATGTCTTTATTGTGAGTTCCAGTCGTTCAAGGTACTCCCATGACGGTGTGGCATAGGGGTGCACAGTAGTATGTAGGGCACGGATACTTAGATCCCGAAGTGCAGGTGTGACACTGGCAAGTTTCTCCAGATCAACCATCACATGTGTGTTGAAGGCACCTGATTTCATCTCAATGGTCCTCAACTTTGGCCACTGTGTTGAGTATAGCATCTTGAGAATTGGCGAGTGACTTGTCACGTTGCCGACTCGGAGCTTTTCCAGAGACTGCGACATTGGGATAGTTGCTGGAGGCAGCCAGCTTTCCGAAACAGTCATGGGCCGAAACCCTTGGAAGTCCAGGGTCTGAAGGGACGCTGGTGCCTCTGCGAACACGACACTAGACCAAATGTCCGCAGGGGGCATCATGTCCAAGTCAATGCCATTGACAGCCTGTGGGTGTGTCGTGCCTGTCAGCTCGAGTGACTCCAGTTGGACCAGAAGCTTGAGCACGGCCCTGAGAACTTGTGGGTCGATGTTCAGCTTGCCCACACACAAGAGAGAAAGATCCTTGACCTTTCCCTTGGCTCGCTTGGAGACGACTTGGTTGAGGATCCCCTTGCGGACCTTCTGCTGAGCCCCTCTGAAGGTCAGGATGGTCCAGAGACTGGGGTCTAGACAGGTTCTATTCCAAGCCTTTGAGACTCGCATGGCACGGCAAAGGCTAGTGTCGCTGAGGTATCCGAGGACGTGGAGCTGCAACTCGGGTGGCAGAGCGTCGACGATGTCCATTCGCAACATGTTTGTCAGTGTCTAAGCCAACCAGTCAGCACTTTTCTGCTATAGTGAGGCCGGTTATATGTAGTCTTGTGGCTACAGACAGACAGTGTAGTGTACACAATGAATAGCCAATAGATAAGCCACAATGACTGACATACCTTAAGCATAAGCACGGGCTTGACCTTGCCACCATACTCTTCCACGCTCTGGATGGCTTGACGGTAGATCCTCCTGCATCGGGCGACTGTGTTGGGAGAATTCTCTGTATCTCCAAGACGCAGAGCCTCGGCCAGTCTCAAATAACCCTGTGGGGCGTGTGGGCAAGTGATGATGAAAAGAATGGCATACTGACGGGCCTTAGCCGGAGCCTGGAGCTTTTCATATGTCGCAATGATGCCATCCAGGGCACGCAGGTGGCTGGAGACATTGCAGTGGACGACATCGCTTCCACAGGTGCAGGGTCTCTTGGCCAGCTTGTACATGCACAGCTTGGGTGGGGTTGAGGCCAACAACAAGTCGAAATCCTTGCAGTGGCAGCGTGAGATTTGAATGTCCTTAAGACTCAATCCCAGCTTCTTTGACTGCACCAAGACATCTCTGGTACAAGGGCATCTGAGAATGGCCTTGCAGGAGTGGGTCAGCCCGTCGTTTGTCACAGGTGCAGTCCAGGGCAGTCCAGGGCGCGATGCGCGATGCGCGATGGTGAACTTACCTCCTTGAAGGCGGCCAAGGCAGCCTTGAACTTGCCATCGCTGTAGAGCTTTTTTGCATGATTCAGGATGTTATCCTGCCGGTCGGCAGCCGTCACCTCGGGCATCTTGGAGTCGTGCACCGAGATGCTGGAGATTCTGGCTGTGGTCGGTTGTGTCGCAATCGGGGCTCTGGTGCAGTTGGGTCTCTTGTCTGCCGAGTGTCGGCTGGGAGCCCCAGACGGTTGGGAGACGCGCCAGACGCGTCTTGGAGTAGAGAGCTTCCCGGCATGGTCCGTGCATCACGACCACTGCGGGGCACTCACAGCAGCAGGGGCAGCCGGCCGGCAACCCATTACCCACTGCTGCAGGCACAGCACCTCTGACACTCTGGCACTGCTGCACGGAGCACCATCTCCCCCACAATTCCACAATTCATTCATTTGCACAATCTCGAGGCAGCTCCCAGGCCTGCCAGGCAAACCTTGTTGTGTCACCATCAGCATTCATACTTTTGATGGCGAGATGAACAGCGACGATCAGCCGTGTCGCCACCAATTTCTCCTGTGAAGCAAGACAACAACCAATCGCTTATTTGCAGGTCACGAGCTCACAGTTCCTCTCTCCCCGCAACTACAAGGCAGAAGAGAAACATTGGTGGACCTTGCTGCTTGCCCAGATATCTTCGCAACTGTGCTCAAACAAGCACTTGGGCACACATTCCCCAGGGCCACCAAGCTCACAGCCAGTCCCACAACACAATGCAATGTTGGATGTAGTACGGCTTCTCCGACATGAACCAGGCCACCGTGTTCAGGACAGTACCATACAACAGTACCATACTAGAAACAGATGAGCAGCCGCTGCAATCAGCTCTCAGCCATGGCCGCCTCATCCTCCCCGAGTTCCCCTGGCCCCAGTTTGGGGGTCTGTTCAGGCTGCAAATGGCCTGGATGCCAGCTCTTCCAGCTCTCAGTGCCAGCACCGCAGCCGGCCCCAACCTGAGACGGGGCATCAGAAGCGAAACAGCGCAAATCTGAGCCGCCACATGGCGACATGGCGTGAGTGCCTCGCCGCAGTCAGCTTCTGCCTCCCGGGGCTGTGGCTTCGGTCGGGTCGAGGTAGCAGTGCTGCCGCCGGGTAGCGTAGCTGAGACATCGGACGGCAGCTCGCCAAAGGGGCTTGACTAAGAGTGACAGAGTGACAGAGTGACAGCCTTGGCACTAGCGGGTTCCGATTTAGAACTTGGCGAGCTATGTAAATCGCTGCGGTCCGATCGATTCGGCGCAAACCCGCGGTGCCATGCCATGCCAGCCTGCCAGCCAGCTTGGACTTTTGTGCGACGCGAGTACCGTACAGGACACACACAAACACACACAAGGCAAGCAGGCGCCCTGCATCAGGTGCGAGGAGTGACGGGTCACCGTTTCTGGCTCGCACCCACGACCGTTCAACCGGGGGTGAAAAAAGAAAACTGCCCCAAGAGGCCAGTGATTCTAAAGTCCTATCTCACGACGCAGCCGGGACCCAGGTTCCGGACATGTTGTGCAACCACCACGGCAGACAAAAACGTGGTCAAGCGTCCCAGAGGTTTAATTTTGGGGGCGGAAGATGCCCGAAAGCAGCAAGGCTGGGATCTTTCTTGGGACTGTACAGCCGCTCTGCAAGGGGGCAGACAGCAGAAATCAGCATCATCAGCATCAGCATCAGCATCGGCATCAGCATGAGCGAGCAGGGCAGCGGGCAGAGGGCAGAGAGCATCAAGCAGCATGCAGCATCATGACCGCGACTCTCTCTCTCTCTCTCTCTAGTCGCCGGCCAGCCCTGTTCTGATATTTTTAGGCCCCCAACACCAATCCTACTGCAGGCACCGTGGGCCATGTGGCCGGACCCCTGCCTATATGCCCGGCTTACTGGTCGGCGGGGCCCAGGTGCCGCTGCGGCAAGCACACCTCTTGTCTGGCCTGCGCATCACTGATCACGCACCACACGGCACAGCGACCCCGAAGGCTGTCGGCGAAGTCTGCACAGGATCGCGATGGACCGTCGATGGACCGCCGATGGACCTCGGATTGCATGGGGGCTCCCCTGAGGCTCGGAATGCGACTGTTGTTCTCTGCGAGTGGACTCGGGCGCACACTGCAGCAGCAGCAGCAGCAGCAGCACTCTGCAGCAACTCTGCATCACTTCTGCACTGTACCTCCGAGCGGTAGCGCGGGTGGTGGGGGCTATTTTTAGATATCGGAGCCCCGCTAGCTAATCTGACAGGCACACTTGGCAATCTTCGGGCCCCGGACGGCTTGCTGACCTGCCCTGACCTCACCTGCTCCACCCTTGCCCCCTCTGACCCTCTCTCCCTCTCGCAACGGCCTTTACCTCACTATGAGGCACCAATCTGGTCTTGCGCCTGGGCTTGTTTCTCTCCCGAACCCCTGAGCTTTGGGCACGGGCAAGGGAAAAAACGGTCATCGTGACCCACGGAAGGAAGACCAAACATCTGACCAGCCAGGCCGAGTCGAGCTCCTTTGCCCGCGCCCTGCAAGCCCCTGGGGCCAATCACGGCGCCCAGCGACTATGTCGGCCAGATGACGGCTTCTAAAATCCCTCTGGGCCAGCGTGGCTAAAGGTGCTGTTTCGCACAACGATGACTGTCCGGCTTTCTATATCCAGTGCACCTCACGGGCGCTGCGGCCACGAGGGAAGACTAAGTGTCCCACTCACACACACTCGCACACACACATGCACACACACATTCATACAATGCACACGCGAGCACACGCACACGCACACGCATACTCCACTCCACACACATGTCACATGCACACCTACTCCCCCCTCCCCCCCTTTCCCAAGCCCACGGTAGTTGTCTCAATGTGATGCACCCGAATGAGCTACCTTGAGGGACGGATGGGCAAAAATAACGTGCTCCGCCGCCGCCCCATTGGCCCATTAGCCGCGGGGAATAGTCCCAACACACACACTCACGCACTCACTCACACAGACGCGGCACGCGCAGCCACGACAATGATCGTGGCGCGGCGGAGATCTGCCGATGGTAGGGCTAGGGAAAGATCCTCCCCTCCGGTTGGGCTCTGCCACTCTGCACTCTGGTCTGATGTGCTGTGTCGTTAAACGGATCTCACAGCCTGCATTTGCACGACATCCACCGTTTCTGTCGGTGGTCTCCCCTATTAGGAAAAAGCCTCACACAACCACCCCCCCCCTCTCTCTCTCCCCTGGGCGGCGGCCCCTTGTCCACATGCCCGTACGGAGTAGAAATGTTCAAGCGCTGGGTAGGATCGCTCGGAAAGAAAGCATGCACGTGTCGCAACTGACGCAACCGGGAAGGAAGCGAAGGCTCGAAGGAGGAAAACAGACGAACGCTTTCAGGGGTTCGCCTGGGCCTGCCCTGGCCCTGGCTTTTGCCCGGCTGCAGTGATGTGCACTTACATGCGTTGGCCATCTTCCGTGCATCATTCCCTCCCCCCCTGCCCCCTTCCCCAACAAGCTGTCAAACACCATGCAATGGGTAACACGGCATGTGCGCGTATTTTTTTTCTATTTTTTTTTTTCAATCTCTCGTTCCGTTTCTTTCTCCCTGCCCTGCCGGGCAGGCTCTTGTGTTCCCCTCCATCCTTCTGGTACTACCTCCCTTGGCGCGACTTGTCGCGCTTATCCCGCAGTCTCCATTCGTACGGGGGCGGTCGGGCAACGGCACGGGTACACCATCCCTCCATCAAGTCTTTTTTTTTTTCCTCTGCGAGTGAAATTTCGTCCTAAGTTTTTGCGCCAATTGGCTGGCCTTGTATTTTCTGGAAGTTTCCAAATTGGGAAACCTTCCAGAAATTCAATCCAGTCAATTCTCTGAATTGTTTTTTTCTCTCACCCTGTCCCCTCGCTTTTGAACGCTGTCACACCCCCCTCCATCGCTTCCATCCCGGGCTCAGTCGCTCCCAGTTCGTTGCACAGCAATTCAGCCCGCTTTAAGCCTCGTCTGTTGAAGCTCCCACCATCCACCCCCCCTTGGCCAACACCCAAGCAACCAACATGTCCGTCGTAGCCGCCGCGCGCCCACTTTTGTCCAAGTAAACCAGGAGCCTTAGTACTACTAACCAACCAACTATACTACACTGCTAGACGATCCTGACCATGATGTCGCGACGACGTACCATCGTCCTTGCTCCACGTACAGTACCCACAACGGGCCACATCTCAACATCCTTCCCCAATCCTCCCGCCGAGCGAATTCCCTAAATAAGAAAATTCAACGGTCGCCCGTTGGCTTTCTGAGTGGGGCGGGAAAAGAAGGGTTGGCAGCAACAGAGGCCCTCTATTCGACCTACCTGCCTACCTAGGTACCTAGTATCTGTCACTCTGGCTGTTAGTTGTTGTATGTTGGCTGGCTGGCTGGCTGGCTCGGGTCCCCACCCATGTGTTTACGTCGGAAATCCTACGAGGGCGATCTGTTTTCCAAAAATGGCCCCCAAATCATACGTCTTCCTTTCCCTATTTTCTTCTCCACATGCATGTATGTATGTATGTATGTATGTATGTATGTATGTATGTATGTACCTTGGTCAGTTAGGTAGCTAGGTGGGCTACTCCGCAGGTAGCTTAGCTCTTGGCAAACCTATGTAAACAGAAAAACCCGCTGGCTATGCAGGCAGGCAGGTAAGGTACCTGAAATCCGCCAGCCATCCAACGCAGGCCAGGCCAGGCCAGCCAGGCCGCACGACACAACCAACCAACCGGCCACAGCCAGTGCCTGAGCCATCTGGCAGTGCCTGGCCAACAGCTAGCTGGCAATGCTCGCCTATCTATTGTAGGTAACTAACTCGCCCAGCCAGCCCACCGTACCTCCGCAACATCACCAGCCACTCACTCAGTCAGTAAGGTAAGTCAGTCAGTCAGTCAGTCAGCAAAGGTAACCAAGCAGCCACCCACCCTGCCACCCACCCACTACACAAGGCGAATACTGTAATAGCATAGGGACCCACCCGCGCCCGGCTGTCTGTCTCACTCTTACTTACTCGGGTTTATGTTTCAATTAGAATCACAAAAAAAATCCAATTACATTTTACCATGTACCACCACCACCACCACCACCACCCCTCCCCCCCTGCACCAGACAGAGAGACTCCGCGCTTGCACTGCACATCACAAGTGCATCATCATTCCCCATCCCCTGGTCCCCCCCCCGATGACACCCCCCTGCCACCACCACCACCCCACGTGGGCTCTGGCCTATTTTCGACGGCACCCACATCTACTCTTACCAGGGGACCCTCCCCCTCCCATTCCTCCCTTTCTCAGCGCGCGTGCGACTTCAACCCAACCCAACCCCGTCACCGGCCCACCGTTCCCGGCTTTGCATGCAAGGTGAATGCATGCATTGCATGTATGCATGCCCATCACGGACATAACCTTGGAAAACTACTACGGGTGTGGGTATGAGTGTGGGTGGGTGGGTGGGTATTACACTTCACTCCTAACTACACTAGTAAGGGTTTCTCCATGTCAGGAATGGAAATTTCAGGTTCTATTTTTCTAGGCTATCTTTGGGATTAATATGGGTTGTGTTTTGTGTTTGTTTGTGTTTGTATTTGTTTGGTAGTGATGTTGGTTGTGTGTGTGAGTGAGTGAGTGAGATGCAAAGATACTCGGACTAAATCCAGTTAGTCTGCCCCGGTGTGCCCAGCCACCATTCATCCATCCCATCTGTGTGCGTGTACACACTACCATCGTGGGCTCGCCCCCGTAGACATTGATTCCTTTCAACCGTCATCGTATCCCACCTAACCGCGCCGGCCCGCTCTGCCCCCCGGTGGTGAAGGTTCGAAGGAACCGGCCGAGCCCAGCCTGCCCCGTATCCTTGAATTCCCCCACCCCATATCAAATCCAATGTGACGATTTTCCACGCCGCGGCCCGTGCACATCAGAGTAAACGAGCCATATCTCCCAGGGCCCCGCTGTGGGAAAATAATGGCGCGAAACCAGCTCTGGTGCGGGCGCGGGTGGGCGGCGGGGTCGTCGTTTGATGGATGTGATCGGTTCAAGCGAGCCGGTTGGTCGTGGTGGGAAAGGGTTTCTCCCCTCCCGAGTTGCCGCGCAGACCCCGAGATACCTGTCCCCCCCTCTCGCACGGGAATAGAGAGGACAGGAGATAGGAGGCCCTTTCCGAATGAGGGAGGTCCGAACGGCCAGCAACCAAGCCATTCCCGATGGCCTGACGCGGCGCGGGCCCTTCCTGTCGAAGCCTAGGATCCTCCTCCGGCGGGGTCGTTCGCAGACCAGCTCCCAGAGCCAGTCAGTGAAGTGGAAGGGGGGTAGAAGGAATCGAAAAAAAAAACATATGTAGAAGTGGACCCCACGGCGTGATAAGCGAAGGTCTCCTCTGGAGCCGCATCGAGTTCCCAGCCTCGGCTCCTATTCCTTCCCAAGCCCCAGCAACTGTGCCGCAGTGTGATATGATAGCCGCTCTCGGAGCAGGCAAAGGAGAAGGAAATGATGTCAGGGTTAGTTACAACACTGACACAGGCAAGAGAGAGAGAGAGAGACAGAGAAAGTGAAATGACAGTAGCAACTTGAAATTCGAGACGAGAAGAAAGAGTTGGGCAGAGAAATCAGAAACGGAGTATGAATCAAAACAGAGAATAAAGTCAATCCCAACAAAACGCTTCTCCGCCCTTCCCTTTGCTTTCGCCAAGTTGCCCATTCCACCAAAACGCCTGGTATTTTCCCTCCGCCCAATGCATATCATCGTACAATGTGAGACCTAAATCCCAAGCCTTCGCCCCCATAGAAGTAGAGAAAGAGAGGATATGACAGAGATGAAGAAAACAACAACAAAACGCGAACACCGGATGTAACAGAATTGTCCCTCAGAGACGCATCGCTCGAGAAGTAGAGCCCCAGGAAAAAAGTCAGAAGGCCGCCGTGAGGCAAGATATAGCCCGAACCCCAGAGAAGTGAGACAAGGTCTAAAATGCAAACGCCCATCCGCCACAAGCAGAAAAAAACAATCCCGCTCCAAGCCATCGCTATGCTCGCTCAAGCATTTAAAGACACACAGAAAGCAGCCCAAATCAGGAAATTCGAAGAGAGATAGATGGTCGGAGTCGCGAGAGACCGGCAGGACAAGAAATCTCAAAAGTCCACAATGACGAGACGTAGCGGCCGGTATCGCGCGGGGGTGGTTCAGCCGGGTATCGATGGAATGAGTTGGCTCGTGTCGTGAAAGGTCGTTGTTGTGATCAACGCTCGATTGGGTGACAATCTATCGTTGGATCGGCGTTGTGAAATTTCCAGGCTCTGCGTCTTCGACAAGAGACTCCTGTGGTCGTGGCAGCTTGGCATCTGGCCCGTGGCCGAGCCCCCCGGTTCGATCGGGGTAGTCACCCGAGATTTGGTGGCGCGGAGGTCGACATCAGACTGTCGTGGCCAACGAAGAGGTAAGACAGCTGGGATGGTGGTTGCGCGAGGGACGACGACCTCTGTCTGAAGGAGTAGAGGTAGTCGACCCACAGTCCCATGCTGAATCTTTCCAGGGCGGGTGAATGCCATGCACAGCAGCCCATCACCGAAGACGATACATTTCATCGGTACTTGCGGTGGGAGCTCTTGGACGAGCGGCTTGCATAACCCGAGTCTGCGTAGCTGTGGTCGTCATATTGTGACGAGTACTGGCCCGAGTGGCTTGAGTGGTCCATGCAGGCGTATCCGACTAATATCGTCCTCTGTGTGATACCATGACCCCGAGTGCCGTACCGGGGGCATCGGTCGACGGCGTGTTGGTAGTAGAGGCAGCGGCATGCCGAGTAGAGTTCCAGCACTTGATAGCACATGATGGCGACGTAAAAGGCGGAGCTCCTCTGGTAAAAAAAAAGATGTTTATATATGCGGTATAGGACTGAAGGTCGGCGGCGGGTGAGATCGAGTAGGCCTGAGGTTGTCTTTGTAGTTGGGCGTTGCAAGGGTGGTGTCGAGTGGCTCGCTGGTCAGGATGTTCAGGCACCAGGAAGGCAGGAACAGATATAAGAGAAAATCGAACGCCAGGCAGGTCGACGGGGGTAATACAGATGAGTCAAAAGACAAGAAGAGGAACAGCAGGCGACGGAAAGGAAAAAGCCAGACTAGGAAAGCTAGCGAGTGAGAGCTGCTCAGGTGACCTGGGCAGAGAACGAAGGAGAAGATGATAGTGACAAGGAAGATTAGACAGCTGTCAAGGGGGAAGGCATCGCAGCCTTATAGGTTTGGAGCCTGGCGACCAAGGGCAGGGGAGAGAATAGGGAAGGGGGAGGAAAGGAAAAGGTTAAGCCATGGTACAAGGTACAGAAAGAGGTGTGAGGGCGAGAGGTGTGGACTGTGGACTGCCGTCCTAAGGCAGCAGCACGTACCACCAGGTCTGTCTAGGAGCAGAGCAGAACCGCAGCACCAGCAACAGGAGGAGGACAGTGACTTGGGGTGGAGTCTGACCTGATGACTGATCCGACTAAGTTAAGAAATGCGCAGTCCACCAGAGGTCAGGCAGTACTTGGGTAGGGGAAAGGAAGGACCCAATGCAAGCCGATGCAGGTTGCAGACGAATGTAGATGGGGCGCAGGGCGTGTTGCTCTCTGCAAGGTGTCAGTCGGGAGGGCAGGTAACATGGGACCCTGAAAGTAGACGAGCCCACCAACGTCGAAGGGTACGTGGGGAAAGGGCAGCCTTCGGTGTGTGGACGAGGTACGCAGTACGAGCTGTCAGGCCGGCGACCGCATGTACATCTTGTAGCATGGCCCGGTCCTGTCAGTACTCGAGCGACCAGGTGCCATGCAGGACAAAGTGTGGCAGATCCTGGGAGCGATCTGTTTTGCCAGTGCCGTCGCCTTCTGTCTGGGTGTGTGTGTGTGCGTTGAGGTGTGTGTGAGTGAGTGCGCGTGTGTGTGTGTGCGTTTCTGCCGTCTCTGTCAGAGATACGAGACTACCCGTACCTCCTCGACTGCCAAACATCCAGAATGCCCTGTCGGTCTAACCCCCAACCTTCTGCCTGCTGTCGCAGGCACTGGAACGAGGGCGCCCCCGGATCCATGATGGATCCGGGCGCAGTCAAGCAATTGGGGTCTCTGAGGGGCGTTTTGGGCCTCATCAGGAGCTCTCTTGGAGTTCGAGGCCAAATCGTCGACACTCCAGCCAGATGTTGCGGGTAACATGTTGCGACGGGATAGCTTTGGTGTGTTGAAGACAAGAGACGGAGCTGCGGGGGGGTGAAAGGTGAGAGGTGAGATCCCAACCCGGATGGCCCACTGGTGCTGAGCAAACCTGCAGGGATCAGTCCTTAAAATGGGAACTACCTAGGTACCAGCTGCGTCCGCTAAGTTTGTCTTTCTAACCCGAAGTGGCAGTATCCCAGCCGTTCCGTTTTAGCAACGTACCGTACCGCACCTGGTCCAGTACCTAGGATACTTGTTGCAACGTCCGTTTCTCAGGCCCGGGCGCCGTCGACGATGGCCCGCCGCCAGAGTCCAAGATGTCAAATCTCTGCCTGCGCTCGATGCGGTCGCCGACTATGGCTCACAGAGTTGCCACTGCGCGCCGAGTTCATGACTAAGAAATGGCCCCGAACATGAGCCGACATGCATGTCCAGCCCTGCTTGTGCGCCGTTATACAGGATGCCGAATATCAATGGGTGAACCGGCCTGGCTCACGCCCATCGGCGACTGGAGCTGACGTCCAAGGTCCAACGCTTGCGGCGCCTGTGTCTTGAGGGTGACAGTGTTTCTCAGCCAGGGTCAAGTCATGGTCAGGGGTCCAAGAGGACACATTCATCTGATCGCGGGAGGATGGGTTTGTTTGGCCTTATTGCCCTGCAGTGGAGTTGACCTCAACGTCTTCCTTCCCGCTCGGCCGCCCATGGCCTAGAATCCAGAAGTGCAGCCCCGGCAGCATGCCTACCGAGGTAGAGCACTGTGATGACTCCGACAGGGAGTTTGATCAGACCATGATCCCTGTGAAAGTGGACATAAACACCTGGCTTTAGAGGTGCGATCTCATCCAAGGCACTTTTCCGGCCCGTAGGGGACGCATGGCGATGCCCGGGTCTGAGATGCCTGGAATTGACAGCCCGTATTCGCTGTTCGTCTCCTACCCAGCTGAAGGCTGAAGGCATCAGTCAGGCCCGAATGGTGAGACGTCCGGTGAGGGCCGCACCCAATGGAGCGTGGCCGAAATAGCAGAATCGGTAATCTGGCCCATTGGAAGCCTCACAAGACCGGGTGTTGGGTCCGGGAGCGCGACGGAGGCAGTTCGTGAGGCCCTTGCCTCTTTCGGCCCGTTGATGGGAGCTCGGTGTGGCTTCGATTATGTGGGCGCCGCTGCTCCTTCAAGCCAAGTCTGGAAGGCTCTTACATTTTTGGCGGGAGTCGTGGCTGAGGTATGGCTTTGGTCGGACGAGAAGGAAGCCAAGAACTGTGCTGACAACGAGGGTCCGGTGTGGCTGGAAGCGCGAGAGCGCGGGACGGTGGTGCAGCAAGGCCAATGCAAGGGACTTTCCCTGGGGTCCACCCACATTGCGGCAGAGCAGCGAAGACAATTAGGGCTGTGAATTGTTTTGTTTGGCCGTTTGTTTCATGCTTGTCGCCTCGCAGGCCAGAAATGGCATCAGCTAGCCAGATCCATCATCACCATCGTTGACACCCGTGCATGTCTCATTCTGTGTTCAAGATGACGATGACGAGAGTCGCTGCACCGTCCTGGTCTTCCCGAAGTGTATCGGGGACAACAAAGAATATGCCACATGCTACTGTACCGAGACCGTATGTTACGAGGAATGGACGGCCTATTGTTGGGCTCCCCACTCCCCCCGACCCACTGGGAAACGATCTCATCAAAGGGCAGATCGATTCCGTGAGCTCTGAACCATCCACATGGCCTGTGCAAGGGAAGCTAATGCGAAGGGGGTGCCAGCAGGAGGGTGAAAGCCGCGTACCTGAGGAGGTACTACATAGTATGACCAATGGTGGAGTGGGCTGCAGGCCACAGACTGCAGGCTGTACTGTGGTAGACCGTAGACTGTAGACTGCATCACGGATGCCATGGCGGCTTCAGGAGGAGCGAACAGCGAAGAGGGCCCGGGGGGTTAGGGAAGCGACTCGTGGGAGTGGGTGAGATGACGCAATGTGATCAAGAGAAGGATTGAGCAGCGTGGGCATAGCGTGGTACGGCGGCATGCTGGCACGGTAGTGCGGTGGTACGGAGTACGGTAGCACGGTGGTACTGTGGGCGACACAGTGGTTTGCGCCGGCGGTCGTGTATTCTCGAATCCTTGGGAGGGCGGGAAGAGTGAGTCTGTTGCAGGAGGGCAGCATTGATGACTGCATGAGGCATAAGGCTGAGCCAGAGAGCTGGGTGACGGTGGTCTCGGTGGTCTCAGATGCAGCACGTCCAGGCTGGAGCCCACAGCCCACAGCCCAGGGAGGACGGTCAGACAGAGCTGCAAGGGCAGCGACACATCCACGGCTCGGCATGCAATAATCTCGAATTGTGGGCGCTTGCTGTGCTGGGCTGTGGGGGCTCTGACACTTGACAAGTTGACGTCTGTGGGTTGGAATCGAACCTGCAACGTGGGAAATGGGGATTGAGATTTGACTTCAGATGCCCAGATCCCTGCAAGGCCCAAGGAAGAAGATGGTCAAGCGAGCCGTTGCATTGGCTGTCATACGGAAACGGATGGGGGAGCCTGCCTGCAAATGCGACCCGGGTCGACTCAAGACGCTTCCCCAGGAGGCCTAGCCTGGCGTTAATTGACGAGGTGGGCGTTGTCGACGACTCGCAGCCTGATCGGATGATGACCACCCGGGGACTGCAGCCATCGTCGTGTGGGTGTGGGTGTGGCTGGGTCCATGATGCAGAGGTTGGCGGCGACGGCGGCGGTGGTGATGACAGGTGGTGGTGGCAGGTGCACATGGTGAACAGTCGAGTTGACTGGGGGAGAGAGAGGTGCAGCTGACGAGGCATCCCAAAATGTAAAATGGTACAGAGAGGGAAACAGGGAGAAAGGACGCTACTATGCTGGCTGCCTGGATTCGTGCCTGCCGTTGCGCTGCGTTGCGTTGCGACTACCCGTCTGTGGTTGACTTAGTTGACCCCCACTTTCCACTTTCGACCGTTGCATGTGTGTTGACCTGGATGAGTAAACGGGAGCCGGAAGGAAGCAAGGTGAGAGGAGCTTAGGAGCTCACTCACCTTGGCCGCTCGGCTGATTACAGCATCACTCACTCACTTCGAGACTGCACTCAGAACTTCGACCCGCCTGCTCACCACGACACACGCCGTCCTGCCCATCGTGCCCGTATGCGTCCGATGCCATTCCAAATCTCGCCACTGCTCCCTGTCGCCGTCGTCAGCAACCAGTCGCCGACCTTGGTCCATCTGGACCGATTACATTGCACGCAAGCTCGCCCATTACTCATATGACGGCATCACGACACGGCCACCGGGCGTGCAGTTGGGCCGAGCCGCCATTCTTGCAACGGCTGACCGATCTTGCGCCCCGTGACGGAGTGGCGAAAACACCCCAAGCATGGCTGGCATGTCACGAAGTGCCAAGTCACCACCTGCCATATCTCGATGTTCGACGTTGAGACGTGCGGGTCGGACCGGCCATGGCGAGCCGCCTCGTCCTAACTCCGCCCGCCCATCGTCGACCTCACGACCGCGTGGCCAGCGCGAGCGACAGATACATGCACCCAAGTGCTTGGTGGTCCCGCCAAAACCTCGGCCGTAGAGTCTCAACGGCCTAACTCCAGCATCACGGCCGCATCTTGGTGGTACAAACCCCGCCAGAAGGCGTGGATGACTCGACGGACTGTGCTGAGGTAACATTGCTGCCTTGCCATCCAGGACTCTCCGGAGCACCGCGCGGCTGCACACGGCGGCTGCGGCTGCGGATGCGGCTGCAAGCCCGACCCTGACGGCACGACTACGAAGGCAGCAACCTCCCCCGGGGTCGAGGAAGCATTCATTATCTTGGATGTCTACAGCCATCATGTCATGCTCCTACAGTTAAGAAGGGCCGATGACGAGTATTACATGCGTCGGTAATGCCAGAAATGCTGAGAGCCCGTGCTCGTGACGCCCGGCGCAAAGGCATCCCTGGCCGGATCGCACTGGGCTGCCAAGCTGCGTAGCCGACGTTGCACCATGCAGGCCTCGCCTCCCTCTATTGACAATGGGCCCTGATGATCTCACCTGCATCACTACTGCCGGAGCGGAATACCTCCTGCAGCGGACCTCGACCTCGGATGAGCTTGGTCTACGTCGTCGACAGGCACACGGTAGAGTTTTGGTTTCCCAGGTTCCGCGCAGAGCGTCCGTATGGGCGACAACCTGAAACAAGCTGAAAAAAGGGCTGCCTGTGCACCGAGCGAGGCCTCTTGCGAGTTCCTCGCATGCAGTGTTAGTGTAGCTCACCACTCACCTGCACCCAAGCTGCAAGGGACTGGGCCCTGGCATGCAGCTCGACTCCTGCGAATGCAGCACGGACTGACCATCTGGGTCAGCCCTAAATCGCCACCGCCTTTTGGTACCGGCCACGGCAGCACCACTTCGACTTCGACTGTGCAGGATTGTTCGTTCCTGCTTCTGCGGTGCAGTACCGGCTCTCAACCATAGACCGTCTAGGGGCACAGAGGGCACCTGGGCAGAAACGATGGATGACGAGGTCTCCCGTGGTACTCTGTACACCAGAAATCCTCACCAAGCCCAGCTGCCGCGGATGCCGGGGGCTGTCATCCCGTTCCTGTCACGGCAGGTGTGCTATCCGCCCGGTTGGTCTCCGCGTCATTCAGCTCCGGTTCATCGAGCCACCGGACCAAGATCATGCCATGGGTCCGGGATCCAGAGACCTGGAGACTTTTTCCTCCCGCTTCAATTTGCCTGTTAAGCCAAGGTGCTGGGCAGTCAAGCCGCCCGCGCAACACAATTTGCGGGGGATTTGCATCGTGCTTCGCTCACGATCCAATCGCTTGTCTTGCCGGCACCTATCTCCCCTGTCCCGAGCTTGTGCTGCGGCAGCTGGTTGACTTGCTCCGGCTCGCCCACAGTGGCTGTGCTACGACCAACGCCAACTGCCAACTGCTGTGCGCAACCACTCACATCATTCTGCTTATCTCACCGTTGCTCGTCGCTCTGGGGCCCCGGCTGTTGCGCCTTTCACCGCACGATGGTCTACCAACACCAGGAGCTCCCACTTTACGATCCCACCCGGGGTCGCCGTCGATCGCTCATTATCTTAGTATTCGGACCAGCTTATGATTTCATCATCGATATTCCACTTCCCTCCTCCCACCCATAGCACCGTTCATATGACCTGGATACCAAGGCTCAACTCTCCCTCCCGCTGCCAGGCATCCAGGCAGCCGCCCGAAGATCCGGCACCTGCTCACGCAAGCCCATGACAGATCGGGCATCCTGGCACACCATCCGATTAGCGATGCTGCGCTTAGAGACGACAACTACTGAAGCTCCTGGCCAGCTTTGCCGCGAGAGGCCCCACGTGCGCTCGTCAACCTGGTCGTCGGCCTGATGACACATCCCACAATTGCTTGCGGCAGAGCTCAATTAATCGTGTCTTTCCTGAAGGGGCACCATTGATTGTTCCCGTCCTCCGTTTCGCCAACCTCCCGCGTCCGTCTGTCCCCGTCCTCCGTAACACGACCGACCCACTTGGATGGACTGACTGACTGCGTCCAGTCTAACGGCATACCAAGACGTCAACAATCAGGACAAATGTGAGTGTTCACTGCTCTCTCATGTTGAAGCTGAAACACTGAAACAAAGGCCCCCCCCCCCCCCAAATTCCTATTACCTGTGGCATCGTCCCAGGCTCAGCCAGCACCGCAGTCCCCACACGATGCTCCTCGCTGTGATTTGCGCCGGCCCCCACTCTGCTCACATCTTTTGCTTTCAAACGGGGCACCCAATGGGATGATCAAGCGATCTGATTTTCTTATTTTGACGGCTGGATTATTCTGTGGCGCACACGGCCGAGATGCCCGGCCGCCTAGCCAACATGCTCAACCCCTTCCGTCACGCTCGCCTCTCTCGATGACCACATCCTCCGGTAGATCACGGCGACCCGAAGCAGTTGACCACAATTCCAGCCCCCAAGTTGACTCACCACTGGCCAGAAAAGCTTAGCAGCCATCTCCTTTATGTCAGGAATTTGCCACGCTTTCTATCATGATCCTTCCCTAGGGACATGATTGCGTTGAGCCGGGGAGCCGGTAGGCTTCCCTCATGCCATTGCCTGCGACTTCGCCCCCACGAAGGGCATCGTCGTTGCCCTCTTCGCCTCGACGACTCGAACTTGTGCCCTACACACACCAAGCTCTAATTCTGCTGCAAGCGGCCATCACACCACAGCCGATGAGCCCAACGCCTGCTCCACCGTTGTTCCTTCACAAGACCCCCGGGCTCAGCCAATCACAAGCCAAAAACGCTCCTTGAAAGTCCCAGGCTCAGCCCGACGGATCTTCTAGTGCCACGGCGGCCGCCCGGCCTCAGGTCTAGCAGGCCCGCGTACCTGAACCCGGCCGTATTCCTCGCTTCTAGGTAGGGCATCTGTGTTCCTGGGTGGTAGGTAAAGCTCCTCGGAACCTGCCATCACCGCGTTGAGTGTGCTGCAAACAGATTCAAGCCACTGTGCGCCACTACTAGTATGACTTGAATCGTGCTACACAAAGATGCCTGTGACCAGGCTGTCGACAGCGCCCTACCATCCCCTAGTCACTGATCTGATGCTATCACTGCACAGCCCGGCTTAACCCTATGCCTATGAGCACAACTTATCGGGCATTGGGACGACGAACTGCCCCGCGCGTTGTCGCATGGGCAAGCCAACTATACGGTGTTGGGCAGCATACCGTCGCTTCATGACAACTCGTAATGCCGTCCTGTATTCCTTCGGTCTGGTACTCTAAGGCACCGATGGAAGACTCAGCCAATTCTATGGCCGTGGAAGGACCAGAGGCCTGTCATTCTGAATCGACTCAGCCCTTGTGTCAGTCAGAAGGTTATGGCCACAATCAGATGCCAATGCTTGTCGACGTCGTACAAGAAGGAGCGCGCACAACGTGGCTAATCATTGATAAATTCAGAGTCTGCCTTGTCTCCTTCCTCGTAAAGCATTGACTGAAAACGAGCCGTGCTGGAAAAGCAGGCCTCGCAGGCGATCATGTACCGCTGCCGAGGTACCGCGGCTTTCAAACTGCCTGGAGAAAATCCGACACAAGGGCTGGGGCTGGTCGCAGGTGACAGACTGTCAAATTGTCACACAAGTGTAACTCAAGATGAGCGGCGTCGGTTCCCGACAATTTGGCACTCCGACTGTCTTGTCAAGCATCACACAAGCGCAACACCTTGTATCTCTTATCGCCCAGCCAAGGCGTTGTGACACAGCGCGGCTAAGCAGTTGTCTTAGCCCTATACCAGGCAGACAAAAGGGAGAGAAGGAGGACATCTTAATGTGCCTCACCCCACCCGTGGCAACGGTCCATCAAAGACATTCGACAAGGCAAGATCTCGCCCCCAAAAATACCAAAAATGTCTTAGAACTGCCAGGTACAACGAGTAGTACATGCGGCCCAGCCCAGCCCAGCCCCGGTCGTGGACTGGGGTTTGCTGCATGTGTCGGCGCTTGTCTTTTTCCGGAGTCAGGCCACAGCCGCCGAGTATGCCTTGCCGATCAGGGCAGCCTAGAATCTACGTTTCGACGACATGCGTATCCCGCGCTTGTGGGGACCTCTGCAATCCTGAATTGCGAGTTTACGATCAGGATCGATTGCGACCGAATTTCGCTTCCTATTTCGGGAAATGCTTCAAGCGATTCGGCCTTCCTTCTTGTTTTGTTGGGGTCCTCTGGCCGGATCATGTACGCTGTGTTGCCACACACTGCTTCTCGTCTCGGCGCCTCTCCTTCGATAGCACTCAAGGCACGCTTCTGGCGCTTCTTGTGCTCTTCAATGGCAGACTTCGTCGAAGAGCGGATGCTTCATATTTGTCTTGTTTACATGCTGACCAAGGATAGTCGGAAGACCGCTGACTCGAGCCGTGTGACCCAATCCCAGTCCCCAGTACGCTCGCCCATTCCCAGGCCGGCCAGCACAAGCGACCCTTAGGCAAACAAATAAAAAGGAAAGGCAAGGGCATGTGACACCAGAAGAAGGTCTAACGCGCGGCGGGCCGTGCCCGAACCTGGTCGATGATCTCCGTCGAGACCTCACTGGACGCGTTGCCACTTTCTCAGAGTGTGGTGTACACATGTGTTGTGTTGGAAGGCCCTGCCGGGGGCCTCGTTCCAAAACCACCGCCGGGCCGGTGGACAGGCATGGCCTCACTATAATTTCCCGACATGCCCAATCAAACGGTCGCCACCACTGTGAACTATTGGGACTGGAGCCTGAGGCGGAGGGGGCAGCTCAGGCGTTCACAGCTCACGGTGGCGACATGTTTGGCAAGTGAGGCAGCATATGGCCCCCGGTGCAACAGGAACTCTTGCTCGCCAGCCAATTGCTCCAGACCACATCCATGCGTCTGATACAGAGTCTGGCGGTACACAGACTGCTTGGGGATGGTCATGGTCTTGTGTAACACAATTGTGGCCGAGACGAAAGGGACTATCAAGATTGGCTGATACTCCGCCTCGTGCGTGACAGTCATTCCATGCTGCATAGCATCTGTGTTCCAGGAAGAACAGGATCCTTTCCCGAGCGGACCCCCACTGGCATGGCATAGTCTTGCCTGGGCATGGTAGAGACCGAGGCAGGGCAGGGCAGGCAAGGCATACACACATTGACACGCAGCATCGAAAAGAACACGATGCGATCCGGCAACACAAGGATTCAAGGTTATGGGATCGGCATGGCTCACCCAATGGCCCCACGCCCGTTGTCCCCCGTCCCCGGACTGTGGCTTGAACGGCCCTCGTCGAGGTGGCAGGAAGGGTTGGTGTGGTGTGGGTGAGACCCAGGGCCGGGTAGGAAGAAGAGGGTGGAGGGAGGGCTGAGGCAGGCAAGCAATCAAGCCAGCATGCAGTGCAGTGCCAGGTACTTGTTCCGCTGTGGGTGGTGTACATGGGCCGGCCGCCCGGATGGGGGCCCGCATTGTACCTGGGCCTCACAGCCGATGTACCTCCACCTGGCTTCACCTCTCTCCTCAGCATGGTCACGCCTGCCCGTTCTTGGCAACGCCGGCAGGCAGACGAATAAGGTGAACAATATCACATTCCTCCTCCTATTTTCTCTTGACCCTTCTGGGTATGGGGTTGGGGGCCGGCTGGCAGAGGCATCGAGCTGGACTGGACTGGACATGCTGGCCGGCCGGCCGCCAGTCAGTCAGGCGGGCAGGCAGACAGACAAACAGGACAGTTTCCTGCTCTACTCTGCTCTGCTCTGCTCTGCACATCTGATCCCACGGCATCCCTCTCGCTATCTCTCACTTGTTGATGCCTTGATCCTTCTTCCCTCACAGCCCGGTGCGATGTATCCCGAGGCGAAGCTGATGCTTAGGTTGCCGGACAGGTGATGGCTGGGTAATATGAGCTGTCTTTTCTGTCATTCTGTCCTCTCCTGCTGCGGAGCCTCGGGATGGGGGACGGATCGGGGTAGGTGGGCGTGGATGCATGTGATACCTGCTGGTAGGTGTTGGGCTGAGCTGGATTGCCTGGGCTATTCGCTACCCGACGCGGTCGGGTGGTGGTGGTAGTGTGGCCTGTTCACACGACCGTCCCTGTGGATGGATGGGCGTACCGGACGGGCGGTGTTCGCCACCCCTTTTCGCCGTCGTTGATGGGGTGGGAAGGTGGACTTGCCTTGGGTCTGTCTGTCTGGCGGGCGGGCGGTGCGCCGGCCTTGCATTGGTGGTCTGTCCAATATCTATCTGTCTATGCTGATGAGATGGTTCCCCCGCCTGGCCTGGGTGGCGTATCTCATAGCTGTGGGAAGGGGACACAGGGTGGGCGCGTGCGTGGAACGGCATGATGCCTTGCCTGTGCGTGGACGGCCAACCGCCAGGCCGCGAGATCCACGGATGAGAAGGGAAGGTGAGTGAGGTCGTGGATGGGTGGGTGGGTGGGTGGCAATGCTTGGTTGAGGGATGGACAGACTGACTGTTGGGGCGGGCAGGTAGGTAGGTCGATAGATAGACGGATGGGAATTCATGCGTAGATGGCTGGCTGTCCTGTCCGGTGTGGCACGGCACGCATGCAGATGTGAGTCGGAACGAGAGGAAGTTCCTTGACTTGGTGGTTCTTCAAGTTGTTCAGACTCTCGGCACCGAGACCGTGACGTCGTGCGGCAGTTGTTACAGATGAGGAATATTTATGTGGATGAGACTTTTTGTCTGTAGACTTTTTTTTGGGGGTTGTGGGGAGAAGTGTTCTCTCTTATGCTACCGCTATTACTACTCCCATAGAGCATGAAACAATCTCCACAGCCGCCCTACCAGCATGGGTAAGTAGACAGCTGGTGATTTGGGCTCTGGCTCCTGAGGTCTGTCCGATAAGGAGGGTGTGGTTACAGATAGACGTGAGATCTGTTCGTAGTCTCTATCAACTGTCGTGCTGTTACTCCCTTCAAAGTCTTCATCCATCAAACCTAGTTGTGGCGCTTGTCTATCACACACACACTCTCTCTCTCTCTTTCGCGCGCTCTCTCTCGTCCTTTTAAACTTATTTTTTTTTATTCGAACAGCAACAACCAAACCAGTACAGTGTGCCCAGCAAGACAAGAGGATATCCTCATTCGCATGGCAAATCGCTCTTCTTTTCTCAACCCACCAGTGACAGGAGGGACAATGCCCCCTCCCCCAAACTATGGATCTAACGTATCTCATTGTTTCCCGTTCTTCCCTCACATCTTCATCTATAAGTATGTATACATGTACAGATACCCCAACTGAGACTTGAAGTCAGCTGGTGGTTGCTGCCATGCCGTGCCGTGTTGATGCATCCACATCATCCACATCATTCATTGCACGCCATGCCTTCCCGACCCAACACAACAAGCCTTTATGAAGCAAACCAAACACATGCGACTTTCAAGAAACATCATGCGTGATTAAGAGGCGGACGCAGGGAAGAAAGACACCGCCAATCTGGTGTAACCATAGCCAAGTACCGTAGCCACTTGCTCCGACCCTCTTTCCTCCCCTAGATACTGACCAACAAACAACAAACACCTTACCTGCTCGAAAAAGGCACAGCGAAACTCACCATTTGATATGGATATATACATAGGAAGATAGGTAGGTATTAACCAAACCGCATTAGCAAGTCAAGTATGGGAAAAAAAAAAAGAAAAAAAAAAAAAGAAAAGGTAACATAAGGCGAGAAATGATACAACAACGCTCTCAAGGCAATGAACGAATGGTGCACAAAATATTCGCGAGGCTGCAATGAGCTAGCTGGTATGGTATCATTGTCTTTCAAGTATGTGCTCTGTGATTGATGCGCTTCTTCTCCCCGTCCCCCTCCCCGTCTCACTCCCATTCCACACCCGCCCCTCTCTTTCTTTCCCTAGTCTGATCTCGCTCGCCCAAACATAATGAATCCCCGCAAATGTATGATGCCGTGGTTTGTTGACCTGCCTTGCGCCCTATACCGCCCGCCTGTCTTCTTCGCCCCGCCGACCAGCTTGACTCTAGCGCTGGCCTGTCTGCCCTCCGGGATGAATGGCCCTTGGAGTGCCTATACGCAGCACCACTCAAAAGGCAGGGTGCGGCAAAGATTCGGTCGACGTAAAAAAAAGAAGAAGAGGTTGGCGATAGTGTAGTAATGTGATGCATAGCGGGTATGCCATATAAACAACGAGAAAAAAAAGTTGGAAGAGTGCCCACCCAAGGAACCCTACATAGTCTCTCTCCAGGCACGGAGGAGACAAACGTGAATGATACTCCAGATGGGATGGGGCCGACGCCCTTTTCCTTGCTGTTGAACGCCGGTGCCTGCCTGATTCCATTCCTGTACTTCCAACAGTCACCCACACACCATATATAGAAAACAGGGCCGAACCCGGCCGGTACGCGCTTCCCACCGGTCACGCTCATCTTACAACGAGACCCGTGTTCCATGAATTTCGTAGTATCCCCAACGCCAGCTCTTCGCGAGTGTGCTCCACGAGGTCCTCAGGGACACACACTCAGACCCCAGTCCTCCGGCTCATGGCAGCTGTGGCCCCCGCGCTCGCGAGATCCTGCTTGGCACTAACAGTACGTCCTGCAGCGCGTGGAAGATTGCTGCCCAAGGGTCCACTGCTAGGGCCGGTCGTGCCCGTGCTGGTCCGCTTGGGAGGAACACCAATCGCACCCGACGTTCTCCTAGAGCCCGGCACGGTCGCGGTTGTTGGTTTCGCAGGGGAGCCAAGGATGGTTGTCGCATCCTTGGGGCGTATGCTGGAACTGACTCTCATCGCGGTGGCTGCTGCTGGAGGCTCAGGAAGTGGCCGTGGGGTGGATATCGTGTTGTGGCGCTTGATCGGGGACTGTTCGCGGTTCATAACTCGTGCAACGGGGACAGAAGTTTTCTGGCCGGTAATAAATTCGTGGCGGATGGCCTCGTCAGGCTTCATTCGTCGGTCTGGGTCCCACCTCAGACATCTGGCGAGGAAGTCGAGGAACGGCTCGTCGTCACACTTCAGCACCTGCTGCAGCGTCTTTGATGACGGCCGTCTTCTTCTGCCCTTGGATGAGACTGTGAGACGGGGTTTGCCCATCGAGTCAAAGAAAAGCTTCTTGCGCGTGCTCTTTTCAATGAGGTGCTTCTCTGGCGGGCCGAACACCTCCATGATGCAAGCCAGTTGCTCCTGCTCATTCTCGCCCGGGAAGATCGGAACACCAGTCAGAAGCTCGGCCAAAATACAGCCCAGACTCCACATGTCAATGGGCATCCCGTAAGACATGCCCAAAATGACCTCTGGCGATCGATAGAACCGGGACTGGATGTACGTGTAAACTTTCTCGTTCTCGAAGCAACTCGATCCGAAATCGATAACCTTGATCTCCGTATGCAAGGGATGGCGCAAGAGGATATTTTCGGGCTTGAGATCACAGTGAATGACCTTCTGCTGCTTCAGAAGGTTCAGGGAGCTGAGCATCTGCTTCGTAAAACGTCTGATCATCTTCAAGGAGAAGCCGCGGAAGGCATTCGCCTTGATGAACTCGTAAAGATTCATATCCAAAAGCTCTGTGGAAATGCAGAGATGCCCACGGAAGTAGAAGCTGTGTGTGAAGTTGACCATGCTGTGCTTGTTGTGCGGGTCCTGGGAGGCATGTTAGCAGACAATTCCACCAGAAGCTCAGAGAATACCCACCCATTCACGAAGCTTTTGTAGAATATTGACTTCGACAAGAGCTTGCTGGTGGAACCGCTTCTTGTTCCTGATTATCTTCACGGCAACAAGAGCACCCGTTTTGTGATCTATGCACCTCACGACCTGACCAAAGCTTCCCTTTCCAAGAACATCGATAATCTCGTAGCGGTAGGATAGGTGATCTCCTGTCACGATGGTGTAATCACCGCGTTCGTCATCATAGCCAAAGTTTGGCACATCTGAGTTGAGGTCTCCAATGACCTTCTGAGCATTTTGCGTGCCACAGAAGTAGATGTCGTTGTAATCGATGATCTCGCCTCGTTCGTAAATGTTCAACATCGCTATCCGGATGGCGTCCTGTGGGCTGACGCGCTCCTTCGGCGTGGCGCGCTTTCGCAGAGCATCCAAAGTCTTGGCGGCAAGTTCCGTCTCCTTTCTCCGGGTGCCTAGCTTCTTCATTTCCTCCTCTGCCACCAAATCATCCTTGTCCAGGTCGGCAGTCCAGACGTCCGCATGTCGGACCGATGTCGACGAGGGCTTGGACCTGAGGAACTTATGCATAACTGAGGAGGAGTGTGACACACCGCTTGGGCGGTTCGCTGCACCGTCAGCAGTGTTCTTGACCGTCCTGACCGTCGTAGCCTGCGTAGCATCGCTCCGCTTTCTTTCATGAGCCATAACAGTGTTGAGGCTCGACCCAGAACTCTTTCGCCTCTTCGAATCGAGATAAGATGTGCTCGGTTTCGAGGATATACTTGGGCTCCCGGACTTGTGCGTCATATTCCCTGTTGTAGCTGAGATCGGAAGTCGAGGTGGGGGCATCGCGTCGTGTTTGGCGTTGTCAGCCGACTTCTCTTGACCGTGGGTGGCAGCCTTCGAATTGCTGCGCTTCCAGGACAGGCTCAACTTTCTACGCAGAGTGGTCATCGAAGAGGGAGTAGCAGGTTCCTCGGGGCTAGACTGCTGTGTGGGCGACTTCGGGGTCGCCTTGATGGTGGGTTTCGAAATAGACTTGGACGGTTGTCTTTGAGCTCGAGGCCCTGATGGCTTTGACTGGGCAATGGCGGGGTTGTTTGTAGTTTCTTCTGCGTCGCGAATTTCAGTGCCGGTCTGGGACCTCTTGAAGTATGCTTGTTCGATGGCCCCATCTTGGGGGACGGAGGAGGAAAGGTAGGGAGAGACTGAGGGTTTCCTCATACTGCCGTTGATCGATTCCGAGCTGCTAGTTTCGGGAACCAGCGGGCTCTCTATGCGGCCGTGGTGAATGGAACTGCTGCTTCGGAAGTGGGAGAGTTCCTTGTCCGCCCGGTGCTTGGAGAAGAAAGTGCTCCTGGACGCTGTCATTGGCGTGGTAGGTGTCTTTGCCGTCTGCCGCGCTGGCGGGGAGCTGATGTTCCTCGGCGCCTGACCTTGGTGGTCATTCTGTAGCTTGGCGATCTTGTTCACGGTCGGGGTGCTCAAGGGCCCGACTGTGAGCGGCGGCAGGTTCATCGGCTTGAAGGTCTTTCTGGGCTGCACCGGTTGGGTTTGTGGAGTTGGTTGAGCCTTCTTCTCGGGATCCGGGTTTGCTCTCGTGGCCATCCTCCGAGCACTGGGTTTGCGCTGCACCGGCGTTGCTTCCTGAACAGGGGCCCCAGAAAGGCTTCCTGTTGACGTGCTGCGAATACTACTCGCATCAAGTGTGAGGTTGGACTTCTTCTTGTCCAAGAAGTGTAGCTCGGCAGGCGAGTCCTTCGGTGACTCGTACGCTTTGGGGATCGCAGGCACCGGAGGCACATCTTCGCTCTCCTCCTGGCTCGAAGACGGGAGGTTGTTCACCGACTTGGGCGCCGGTAGACGAGATCCCCCGTTCTGCGGAGCGCGAGGCTGCAGTGAGCCCGTCGACGTCCTCACGGTGTTGTAGCTCGTTGTTGACCCGATAGACATTCCGGAGCTATATGACTTTCTGTTGGGATCGGGAGTCGTTCTTTGCGAGGAGGGGGTCGCGGTCTTTCGCGGGAGCATCGAGGGTGATCGTGAAGACGGCCGAGGCTCGTTCAGCGGCGGAGGAGGCAGGGGCTCCAAGATCATGGAGCTGTTAGCGGAATTGGGCATGGTGGACAGTCTTTTCAATCGTTGCGCATCAGTGGGGCTCACGGTTCTCGCACCGAGTCCGGACGCATGGAGGCCATGTGGTTGTTGGCCCGGCATTATCGACATCCGCCTTGAGCCCGACCCTGGGGTGCTAGATCCCGGCTTATTACCCCTGGGGGAGCTCGGGAATCCCGCGGAGGCTCTATGTTGATCGACCGACAAGGTATTGCCGTCCGCGGACGCGTTCATGTTAGCTGAGCGTGGCGGCGGGGGCTGCGAAATTGTCTTGAGCTTTGCGGCCCTCGATGCAGTCATGTTGCGAGAGGTATCGGGGTAGCCATGACTTGTCCCATCCACTGATGACCGTGTAGAGTCCAGCCCATTCCGGTCCAAATTCGCCGTCTGGCTAGGGACCCGGCGCACGGAGGGCCCGTTGGTCGAGTCTGAGGCGTCAAAAACGCCGGGGCCGATTGATTTCCTCGGCTGGTGTTTTGGGATATGACTGTTTGAGACTGGCGGGTATTGGCTCTGGCGCCGCGGGCGGATGGTGCCCCCGGCCCTCTGGTTCTCGCTAGCCGTTGACATGTTTGACGCAGTTGAGGAGACGCTGGTCTGGCGATTGGACACACTGGGCCTCCTGAGTATGGAGCCTGTGCGTGACCGCGCTGTGTGCGTCTGGGTCTGGGTCTGGGTCTGGGTCTGAGCCGGGGCCTGAGGCTGCTGGTTCGCGTGCTGGATGGCGATGCGCGTCATTGTGCCGTTATGTGAGACGTTTGGGTCGTCCCGCACGCTGGTAGCCGCTGCCAGTCCCTGTGACTCCAGAATGCTGCCCTCGCCGGTGGGGGAGGGAAACTGGGTCAACGTGAAGTCGCCCGAGGCGGATTCTAGGCTGCTCTGGAGATCATCGAAGCTGACCTGGGGCAGAAAGTCGTTGTGGGCGGGTGTTGGGTCGTGGTCTAGCGGAACAGGGCTGGTGGCGGTAGCATTGCGGCCAAAGGAAAACAGAGAATGGTTGTTTTGAGAGGAAGCGCTGAGCATTGGAGCGCCGGTGATGGAGGAGCGTTTCGAGTGGAGGCGTTTGGTGGGACTGGGGACTTCTCTGCTGGGTTGCCTGCTCCTGAAACAAGAAAGGGCAAGCCTGTCAGTGACGGGTGCCATGGTGAATTGGCGGGATGAGAGGGTCGTGTCATGTCATCGCTGCATGTCAACGGGGTGGCGAGCAGCAGGTTGGACGGGGTGGCTTGTGCAGCGAGCAACCGGGGCGCTGGACTGCAGCGTAGTCTGCAGCAGCCACCGACGGTTGACAGCGGACAAGACACGCACACCGTACGACTGGCAGATGTGGTACTCCGTACAGGGCGCAGGGCAGAGGGCAGAGGGCGAAGGGCAGAGGGCAGAGAGGGTACAGAGTGGGCTGGCTGGAGGGGAGTGGATTCGCGTGGGTGCGTCGCTGTGTCGGTGCGTGAACGTGTGGATGTGAATGCATGTGCTGCAGAGAGATGGCGGGGACGGAGGTTGGCTTCTTCACACTGGGCTTCAACATACCGGGTTGGCGAGGATTGGTTGCCAGTTGCTGGTCGCGGACCAGCAGGAACCTTGTGCTCCCGTCTCATGGGGATGGAGACTGACTGACTGTGTCGAGAGGGACGAGACGAGACGAGTCGAGTCGAGGCGAATGGAGGCGGTCGGGAGAGGCAGAGAGAGAGTTGCTGCGGCTGCTGCTGCTGCTGCACTGGGCTGCTGCTGCAGAGAAGTGGGCGGGGGCCACGCTGCCACGATGGAGATTGTTTGGTTCAAACCGACAAAACGACAGGTGGGCAGCGGTCAATTGAAGCCGCTATGCTCGTAACGATGCGACCCTGGTAAGGAACTGTGGGCTTGGATGGGGAAGGAGGCGATATTTTTCCTTCCCTCGTCCCTGGTCGCGAAAAAGCGGACTCAGTCCGATGAGGATCTGAGTGTGAGGGCAGGGCTACCACATCCCGTGTTCCTTGTTCCGAGTCCCGTTCCCCAGGGTGTGTTGATGAGGACGACGAGGAGTAGGCCTGGTTGTTCATTCACACGCGTAGAATGGAATAACGAGGACGAGGACAATTGAATGCGGGTTTGGTTGGTTGGTTGGAGAGAAGGGGGGGGCCGGCTTGGTAGTAGTCGGACTTGGTTGCACGTCAGTGTTGGGGGGTGTGTCTGGTCCGTGCTCTCTTCTGCCCACCCAGTACTAGTAGTGGGAAATAAGAGTGAGTAGGTGCGAGAGGCGGGAGGCGGGAGGTGAGGCAAGCCGATGAAGCAGGGCATACACACACACAAACTCTTTCTCTCTCTCCCTCTCACTCGGCACGGCAAGGCAAGGCAAGGTAGGGTACGGTGAGATTGGACGGAGGAGAAGGGTAAGGTGAATGAATGGAAGGGCAGGCAGCCTGGCAGCCTGGTGCTTGCTCTACTGTCCGTCCGTCTGTTAGTGTGGTGGTTGATTGGCCTGCATACCAGTATCACTGCACTTGGCTGTAGGGTGCTAGGCATGGTAGGTACTTCTTGGCGTGAGGCAATGAGCTCTGGTTGTGAGCTGCCGTTGGCTGTGAGCAACTTACAGCACTGCATATTATAGCCCACACACATAAGAAGGGCAGACACCAAGAACGGCCATTCTGTATTCATCACTGCTGTTCACGGCACGCGTCCATCTGATAACAACAGCTGTGTACTGTGTGTGTGTGTGTAGCTACGGCAGCAAGACTAATGACGGCTTTCTTAGCTGGGGTATGTACTTACCATGTATCGTATCTTGGCCGTTGCCAGATGTGCCAGTCCAACGGCAGAGAATTGCCCGACCTGCCTGCCTGCCTGCCTCCCCACCCCACCTACCTCCACCTGCCTAACCGCAGTACGCAGTACATGTGCCGGGGTACACAGAGATGCGCACAACAAGAAGGAAAGAGCCATTCAGACTGCTAGCAGGCAAACCCAAAATCATGGGTCTCGATCTGTTCCCTCAGAAACTGGGCCATGGGCCCGTTATGCGGCCACTTGACCATGCACCAGCCCCTCCCCCCCAACCATCTACCAGGCTGTCAGGCCTGTTGTTTTGATCGGTATATTTGTGGATGGCTGGGTGGCAGGTGGGTGGGTGGATTGGGTGCACACAGCAACCAGAATCCTGCCCAATCAACCCAGCACTTGATGCTCCCCTCTGGTGTCAGCCTTGTTCCGGCACCTGCACTTGTCACGCCCTTTTCTCGACTCAGTGTCGTCCTTTGTTCCTGCATACCGATCAGATACACGGGCAGACGCAGGGGCGTTGTCACGCATGCGCCCGTCCTCGCACAAGCATTTTGTTAGTCGCATCTTTTCTGCAGGCCTCTACTACCCTATCATATCCGACATTAATTTTACCCAGTTCCTTGATATGGACAAGACCTCCTAATACGAAAGGGAATCATTTCGTGAACCAGGGAACCCTTTGGTCGAGAAGAAGAAAAAACGACATGTGGCAGGCTGGCAGCAGGCCAGAGGCTGGAGACTATGAACTTTGATGACGACCAGCATCAAATGTCTGACCGGGCAGGGGCCCTGCGTGTCACTGGCCCCCACCCTCATCTGGGCGGGATGCGATCCAGTAGCATCAGCCAGACGAGTCAACACACTACTGCACGCAACGCACGGTGCAATAACACCACACGACAGCCTCTCGGGCCTCTCAAGCCTCAGCCTCTCTTGACGAGGTGAAAGTCACGAGCAGGGGCCGTGACAACACATTATCGACACGATACTATATCCGATCAAACTACAGCCCGGGATCCACCACTGCTTGTTTTCCAATTGCTTTGGAGCATTTGCTTTAGAGCATGAGCAGCGCCATCTGAAACGGCCCGCCGCACCCGCGCCGCTCGCCAACCATCAGCAAACCGCGTCTCTTCTGTTTTGGTGTGTTTTGGCAAGGTTGCCGGTGTCATATATCATAGGGCTGGTATATGTCGCCAAAAAGACCCGGGCAGGACGGCATCGGACGGCATCACTGGCCCTTGGGCATCTTCGGGGCAACGGGGAGGCCCTGCAACCAGATGTGGATACGCATTGCGAACCCGTTCATCCATCACCCTGGATCGTGCCGGGCAACCTGACAACCATGGCCAACCAATCCTTCCAGAAAGAGCCAAGGACCCTTTTTTTTCTACTTCCAACGGGCTGCGACCAGCCACCCTGCCAGCTTGCCAGCCCACGGTTGCCACGGTCCATGCTGCCATGTTCATCAGATCCTCGTCCACCACGAACAGGACCCCAGTGCTTAATTCCCAATTCCCGGACACGACGGGTGATGGGTGGGTGGTGGTGAGCCTGGAGACCAGATGGGCGCTGATTCTATTGCAATATTATTACAGCCGCCTCATGTCACATCATTCAATGGTCAGGCGCAATTTAGGGCTGGATTGATACGAACGACACTGGGCGGTTAAACTCGTCCGTCCAGCCCGTTGCGGGTTTGGCAGAAATGGGCGTACCGCAGGCTCGAACACTGACGCCTTAATCGCCACCAGATATCTGCCAGTTCTTTGATGCATGTGGCCCATAAGAAATCTCGGTGGCGACTGGGACAAAATAAGGGATCGCCGAAATGGCTTGGCCTGCCCGGAGGGTCCTCTTCCCCAGGTTGGGCGGGCGGACGGGAGGGCGGATTGATCAAAAGGGGGGGGGGGGCTAATCAGATTACACTAAGAGGCGGGCTCTATTTTTCCTTGAAACATGGTCTATCGCAGCCTGTCGCTTCTGGCATCGCTGGCATTCCGACACTCTGGCATGGAAATTGGCAATCTCGTCGATTGATAATGCTGACGGGTCGGTGACGGGTCAGCCTGCCAGCCTGCCATCCTTCATCTGCCACGACACACTACCGCATGCTGTGCTGTGCGTGTGCTATCTGTGGCAATGCTGGTCCGACCGGTTGACCTGCGGCCGAGGTGTGGAATTTCTCATTCGCGCATCACCCAGCCACGGCGATCTGACGCCCTCACGCAACGACGGTCCCCCCCCCCCCGCAGTCAAGAAGCAGCATGACGCCATGGCAAGGGTCTCACAAGTCTCGTGAACCTTACTCGCGGGGGCCTTCATTGCCGTTGGTTTCGAAAGGACGTATCGATACCCGATCTTGTGCGGTCCGAGTGCGAGCACGAGTGGGCGGTCTTACTATTGGATCCAAGGCTTACAAGTGTAAACCGGGTGTAGTAGTAGTATCATGCGCCCCCGTCCTGCCGTCCAGCTCTCAAACGTGTGTAATTCGCAAGCAGCCAGCACAGACGGTACTGGGGAGTACTCAGAGGGCAGGCCAAAACGCCACCAGAGGCGCGGGAGCGGCCCGCCGTCGTTCGTCCCCTCCACCAGCTGCAGCAGCTGCAGCTTGCTTGTGTTGCATTGCACAGGCACGGCGGCAGGAGCGGGTAGCTACTAGTAGGCAGCCTGGCAGTCTCGTACTGTTAGTGTGGGCTGGCTGGCTGCGTCACATGCCGAACGGCGCTGCACTGACACCGACACTGATCAAGCACAGACGTCAGCTGCCCACGCCCGAACACTCGTCACACCTGCTTCACCCAGCAACCACCAGCGCCATCCTCACAGGCACAACCTATCGCATCGCATCAGGCGGCGCTCGAGCGCAGCAACCCGGCACACGCTGACTCAGAATGAGACCCCGGCCATCGTTAGCATCCCAGACCCGGTGATCCGGAACAGACAGACAGAGCCAACATGGACAACTTTGCCGACGACCTCCTCTTCAACGCCGTCCAGACCGACGATGATGCCACCGGGAGCGTCCACACCGATGCCGATGCCCAGAACATATCCTCGCCAGAGCAGGAGAAGAAGGACAAGACCAAGGGTCGCAGGTGGCGAGGGCTCTCTGCCCTCTCCGCCTCAGCCAACATGCAAGACAAGATGCTTGAAAAGTAAGGCCCCTTGTACCCTTGCGATGCCATTACGATGCCACTGCGATCATTGTCCCTCTGACTATGAAACGAGCAGGCTCCTCTCCTCCATGATGCCCACCGACCTGGCCCCGGGCGGCGAGATCCAGAACACGCCCATCCCCACCGACTCCTTCAGCAGCTACGAGGCCTCGCGCCCGCCCTTCACCCTGCCCACCATGTCCACCAACTTCCGCCGCTTCAACGCCCGCATCGGCGTCGTCTTCAAGTTCCAGTCGCGCGCCATCAAGCTGCTCTCCTGGCGCCGCCCGAGCCACACCCTCTCCTTCCTCGCCGTCTACACCCTGGTGTGCCTCGACCCCTACCTGCTCACCGTCCTGCCGATGGCCCTCCTGCTCGTCGGCGTCTTCATCCCCTCCTTCATGGCACGCCACCCCCCCGAGGTCAGGGAGCTGGGCTACAGCCCCCACGGCCCGCCCCGCGCCCCCGCGAGGACGGTCAAGCCCGTCAAGGAGCTCAGCCGCGACTTCTTCAAGAACATGCGCGACCTGCAGAACAGCATGGAGGACTTCTCGCGCGGCCACGACAAGGTCGTCACCGGCCTGGTCCCAAAGACAAACTTCAGCGACGAGGCCCTCAGCTCCGCGCTGTTCGTCGCCCTCTTCGCCGTCACCCTCTTCATGACCATCGCCTCGCACCTGCTCCCCTGGCGCGCCATCGCCCTCTGCGGCGGCTGGGCCGTCGTCGTCTCCTCCCACCCGGCCGTCGCCAAGGCCCTCCAGGACCAGCAGCGGGCCTACTTCGCGCCCGGCGGCGAGGCCGACAGGCAGGGGGAGCGCGCGCAGACCGCCCTCGAGGCCTTTGTCGCGCGCGACATCATCCTCGACAGCGCCCCCGAGACCCGCGAGGTCGAGATCTTTGAGCTGCAGCACCTCGACGCCGGGGGCTCGGGCGAGTGGGAGCCCTGGGTGTTCTCGCCCAGCCCGTACGACCCGCTCTCGCAGGCCCGCATCACGGGCGAGAGGCCGCAGGGGACGCGGTTCTTCGAGGACGTGCGGGCGCCCGAGGGGTGGGAGTGGAGCGAGAAGAAGTGGGCGCTGGACCTGTGGTCGCGGGAGTGGGTCGAGGAGCGGATCATCACCGGGGTCGAGGTCGAGACGGAGGGGGAGCGGTGGGTCTATGACATGTTTGACGAGAGGGCGGGGGCCTCTGGGGTGAGGGAGGAGGAGGATAGAGGACAAGACGGGGCCGGTGGTGGTGCGGCGGCGAACCTGCTCAGGAGGAAGAACCTCAGCTGGGAGGAGGGCGAGGAGGGCGAGGGCCGCCGGGGGGAGTGGAGGCGGCGGAGGTGGGTTCGGTTGGTTAGGAGGAGGGCTCAGGGTGTGGTTACTTAGGCGGACTGGCCGTGTGGTGATCTTGCATGGTTGCTACGTATTCATGGCCATCGACTGCCATCTGAGGAATAGGGAAGCGAATCGATACAGGTGATATCGGTTGTGCAATACAATACCCTGAGAATACCATACTTGAGACCTGGCGACGAGAAACTGAATCTTCTCAGAAGGTGGTGACACCGACCCGAAGCCACCCGCATGCTGTCTCCCGAGTCTGCACGCGTGGAAATATATTTGACAAGCCCGGACTCTTGCGTATCCAGCTGGTTTCGCTGCTATTCTGCATACGTCCGAGGACATACATGGCACCTTCATACGGTTGGTAAACACTCAAGACCCTGCGCTTAAAACAAATATACGATGCCGATAACTATAGTTAAAATATGATGGGTGCTTTTGAGGAACAACTTGAATCTTCTAGAATATAGACGGCTAATTAGTTAATTGCTCATCAAACTGTAGGCCGCTCCATGTTGACAAGATGTACACAAACTTTTGTCTTGTACTTGACAGTTCTTTCTATCCTTGGTCACCTCCTAATAGTGAAATAAACCTCTGTGCTCTAACGATTTCCTACTATTAGCCACTGCCACAACTCAAATATGCAACATTGTTTGAATATTGGTTTTCTGAATAGTGCCTCGTACCTTCTTGATACTCCGATAACAGCTTTTCAGCGGCAAGGTTATCGAAACATCCTAAGCCCCTCAGGTAGTCCCTGAAGCCAATATTAGAGAATGGGCTTCTTACGACAGCCTCTCTAAACCTTCTTATAATCACTTGATCCACTTCCACCCCATCAAAAATGCATGTAAGCATCAAATTTGTTAGACTGGCAGAGTCCTCATCACTGAGTTGCCGATATGGCACGTCGGCAAAATTCTCGAACGGCTGGAGAAAGCCAACAAAATGATCACTCGCTCCGCACTCGTGCTCTTGACACTTCTGGGACAAGACTGAAATGGACTTGGCAAGATTCACCAAGTCAGAATCGTCCTCACCGGAACTATGTTCGGCCTTGTCAATGTCGTCCAAGATCAAGTCTGTCTTGAGCAGGCTAGCTAGCATCTTCTGGATCACGGTTGTTGGCTGAAGGGCCATGACGCAGAGAATACTACCGTCACCGTATTCAAATGGGTGCTGATTGGAAGAGTCCCAGCCGGGAATCTGAAAAAGTCCTCCTGGCCAGACTTGTTCCCTCGTGTCAAGTGTTGCCATGTCTTTCCGAGTGTGCAGACGAAAGGCCAGAAACACTGTACTGTGAAAGTCGGCGCCACGAAGGGCGAATTCTGACACGAGGTTTAAAAATTGAAGTTTTGCATGGGAGGCCCGAGTCTGTTCTCTTGCCAGCGGTCTCCAATCCAAGGTTTCCAGGCCAATCCCCAGAAGCCTGGTAAAAGGTGATGACTCCACATGGTCCAGAGGGCCAATCTCAGAGCCGTAGACCACTGATAACGCACCTTGCCTGGGTAACAACACGGGACATTTGAGGTTGACGTCGACCTCAGGGAGACGAAGCAGTCGTCGAGTCAATTCGATAGGAAGACCCTCCCGTCGATCCAGAGCGCACAACAGAACGGCTGACCTGAGACTGCGTCCCAGAACCTGGTCTTTGACAATGGAAACAGCATGTCGGTTTAGATTAGAGTACAATGCGACGAAACCGAAAAAGTTTGCCGGGCGTGTGTAACGCCTGTCAAATTGGTCTGATAAAAGGTCTGCTGAGATGTATAGCTCATAGTAGCGCGAGAGAAGCGCTATCACGGCGCCTTCTCTGGCATGCGCAACGATGGAGAGGTCGGAGAGGAAGTTGTCCAAGTTTAAAGACAGAGGCGAGGATCCACGCATCATCGAAAGGAGCTTAGCGGTCCTGACACTGGCACTGAGGATTTGTAAGTCAAGGTCCTCTGCCGGCGTCCCATCATGTCTTAGGATATCCCGTCCCTCCATTGTGTCGACAAGGAAGTCTTGCGCACTGCGGTGGATGAATTGAAACCCCGCTTCCTTATTTGCGTACCCAAGAATTGCAAATCGCGTAACCCCCAAGCCCCCTTGTCTAGGTTCCGTTGACCTTCCCGTGTTCACGAGAAGTCCCGCGCAACGCACCTGGACTCTTCTACAGAACCTTTCACATTCTTCCAGGAAATGGCTTTCTGAGATTGCAGAGGCATCCGCAAACCCATGGTGAGAACCTTCGAATGAAGCAAGCATCATCTCCGCGATGCTGAGCCCGTCCCTTATGCACCTGAGCCGGGTATCGTGGGCAGCTATGACAAGCTTAAATCATAGGGCAGCATTCTTCCGGTAGAGGGGAATGTCGTCGTTCAGTCTTCCCCACATGTCCCTGTACATGTCGTTGAGGCGCTGAGGTAAATTTTCCAGCCTCTTGCGAAGCTCTGCATTGCTTTCTCCGTTTTCGCAGCCTCGGTTGAGGCTCTGTACTGCCAAAACCAACCAAAGAAAGACGCCCTCAGCTTGACTGGCCAGATGCGAAGCAAACGAGGGGTCCTTTCGAATCTCATCATGAAGCTTGGTAGTTGCATAAGTCCGCAGGTCGCCACGCGTCAGGTCCTGGATGCGAAGCTGTGGCTGATGTCTGAATCGTCTTTCAAAGACTGGCTCATCTCGGCTCGACGCGATTATCTTGACATCCTGTGACTGGAACCTTTCCAGAATGTCCAAAAGCTCCTGGTGGCCGTCCTCTGGGCCGCACTCATCTAGCCCGTCAATCAGAAGGCAGAGGGGTTTACCAGAGTGTCTGACCAGGCCCAAACACAATCGCTGCAACTCCGGAACTGCCCAGTCTGTGTCAGCATCTTTTTGGTCGAGGCTGCGGACGTTGAGCGATGCGTATTGCAATGCATCCGGTATGGCCAGCACGAGCTGGCGCGCGATGGAACAAAGCATGCCCTTGATGCTCCGTTGCATGATATTTCCTGGACGCCAGAAATAATGACTCGCCACGATGACATCGCGGCGCCACCTTTCCAATAAGATCTTGGTGTGAGGCTGGGACAGGATGAACTTGGAAAGCGTGGATTTGCCCGATCCTGGCTTGCCCATGATCCAGTAGATGCCAAGATGTGATTGCAGCCAGTCGGTAAAGCTGCTCCAGACCATCTCAGGCGTCACTTTTGTATTATTGCGCTCATCATTGGTATAATTCCTGTCATTGCTGGGACTCAGGTCGTCTTGGTCTGCGAAAAACCAGCGAAAAGTTAGTGGATGGGCGTCCTCGACCTGGTTGGCGCGCTCATTCAGGCCAGGATACTTGAAACTGTTGAGTAGCCTCTCTTTGCGCCGCTCTGTGCTGGTTTGCGAAAAATGATCTTTGAACTTCTGCTCGACACTTGCAACAGTCTGGGTGACATGGTCTCGCATGGCCATGTCCGTCTTTCCGGCCTCTCGTATGATAGTCTCTCGCACCCGCAGAGCCTCTTCGGACACAAGCTCAGATGTCTGCCTGTGCCCCTGGTCATACTTGATCACGAAGTGCCTCACGCTCTCCTCGAGGGAATCGATGTTCACGCTGGCTGTGTTTATCGATTTGCTAGCGAAACATTTTGTCAGTACTGTCGCATTGCGAAGATGAACAATCAAGAAGACGAAGAAAAGCATGATCTGGAGTAAGCTGAGAGCTCCTGTTCATCATTTCTGCCTCAGCATACATTCAAGACTTTTGGGTTGCCTTTTTTCTTGTTTATACACTCCTGTCCCTCTCAAAGCTCCTTAAAGCTGTCCTTGAGGACTGACTTCAGATGAAATGCAAAATGACGTACAAGATCCACACAAGTAAAGAGCTTTGCATCAGCTGCTCAGAGTCGGCCAGGTCTCTTTCCATCCTCTCAAGCCGGCGTTTACGCCAATTCACCTTGACTGCTGTTTTAAGTGTGGCTCGAAGGCTACCCTTGATGTTGTGTCCCATGAGGAAGGCAATCTCTTCTTTCAAATCTGTAATCTCTGTCAGAAGACCTGAAGCACTTATTTTAGGATGTGTTAGCCCCCCCTGGCGCATACCTCTTGCAAACCCGGTGCATTTCTTCGTAACGTCGAAGAGTTTCTGCTCATACTGGCCAAGGGGCCGTGGAATCTCGACTGCAACAATGTCTGATGCCACCCCTTGTATTGCAGTACTCTTGTGTACAAGTGTGTGGTCTATGCTACCATTCTGATAGACTTCTTTGACCAGAGCCAAGGTTTCACGGCCGAAGCTGACGGTCTGGAAAATACTACAAGCCAGGCCGAGAGCGGCGAGCCCTTCGAGTCCTGACATCTTGATTGTGTTCGTATTTGAAAGGCTCAGTCTAACCAGCTGTTGGATCTGAAGCACTTTTAAAGATATGCAGTGGATATATGAGGGATGGGTAGGCCTCCGGATAGAAGAAAGTCGAGTCAGCGAGGAGAGAAGGAGGATTCGAGCTCAAGGCCTGTTGAGCGGGCTGTGGGGATCAGATCAGCCCAAGCGCCTGCACAATCAATCATGTAAGCCATCACCAGTGATGGTGCGCAGCGATGCAGCTACCTAGGTACGCATTAGTTCATAATATGTGTGGCCAGTCAAAAGCTGGCTCACTGCTGTAATGGATGGTCACACAGGGAGATGCAGCCAATTTCGGCTTGGCACGAGGCAGAATTGCGAGTGTTGCACAGCCGTTATCTGCGAGACCAACGCCAGTCGAGCTGAAGTTCTTAAATTCCATGTAATTTAAAAGTAAAAACAGTAGATATGCGCCCCTGGCCGCTGGTCGGTCATATACCTGGTATGTAAATGGCCAACTACAAAGGCAGTACTACTTCCTGTGCAACCTGCTATCAAGTGGTTTCTATTTCCCCTTAAATACCTTGTGCTCGCTCTTTTGTGCGTGCCTCCTTATCGAGAATAGGACAAGGCTCTTATACTTGTTTGCACTCCAGGGTACTAAAATAACAATATTAGCAGCAAGTTTTTCCTCAAGGCATATAGCAACATACTTTCAATATACTTAAAAGTTAATTTTCTTAGTTTTAATCTAATAGAATAATAAGTAGTGCTATAAGAAGAGGGAATTTCGAGTATTCTAAAACTTCTTGTTTATCATTATCATTTTAGGAGGTCTAGTTATAAAGGAATTTATTCCCTACATGTGTAACATTGAAGAGGCCGTAGACGCGATATTCTCATCCCGGACTGTCACATGCGCGCCCATGAAGATCTTATGTTTTTCTCCAGCTCCCTCATGGTAGTAAAGGAAATGCAGACCCCTATCTGGGAAAAGATATTGCTAACATTTTCTTTCCACACCCGCACCTCGTCCCTGTCTATCGGCCGTGTATCTAGTGTCGACCAGCGGCCAGCTTCATCAAATATAGGCGACGACAGCTTAATATATTTTAGCCGAGAAGGCTCGGCTGCACAAATTCCGTAGAGTATTGCGAATACTTTTGCCAAAAAGCATATAGGGGAAATACCAGACGGGAACACGGGGTAGTAGCGGAGCCTTTCTCCCCCCTCTATCACCTCCTCATCGACAGGCACAGCCCAGTAGTCGACAAGGTGGAGGCTGATGAGCGAGAGTGGGAGGAGCGAGCGAGCCTCGTAGGCCTTCGAAGGGTCCTCGCGGCCAAACAGCCAGACGCAGTCGGTCGTAAGCTCGGTAAGTGGCAACTGAGATAGGCTTGGTGAGAACAAGGAAGCGAGATCCTTAAACACCCGAAGAGGGCCCTTGCCAGCATTGCTGGTGTAGCCCTTTCCTGTCGTCTCGCCGTTGTTGCTGAGGAGGCCAGTTACCGTCAGTGAGCGCAGCGTGCTCTCGTGCAAGGCGGACTGCCTCGTATCGGGTGGTACTACGGAAAACGCAACGCCTGATGTTGGAGGAAACGGACGGTGGTGTTGGCACCGCCAAAAACCGTCCTGGAATATAGTGACAAGCCTCTCGAGGTTTGGGAAGATGGCCAGCAGAAAGCCCCAGTCCATCACTTTTGACCTGTGTATGACGAGCTCCCGGACCTTGGCCCCGACAGGTTTCGGCAGCAGTAGGGCGTTTGGCGGGGAATAGAACGGTGGTGAGTGTGACTGGTTGGTTGGCCATTCCATTGGGCCCATAACATCACTGAAACTGACGTCCCCCTTTAGCTCCACCCGGCGAAGATGGGGACAGTTGAGGATCAAGTACCGCAGGGTCCATGCGGTCTGAATATCGGTCTCAATTCCGCCTGACCTTGTGTCCCGGGAATCTATGATGATCTCTTCAAGCATGCGCAGAGACCGAGGATTCCGCTGGTGGATACGGGCGGCAGAGCTTGACATATCTGACCTATTGATTTTCGTCCCCGTGACGGCGCGCCCTATTAAACATGCCGGCAGAAGTCCGGGAGTCAGGAGTTGAGCTATGGCGTTGTGTTCGGCGTTGTAGTTGACCCCGTCAGAGTCAAGCTTGAGGCCCCCATGAGTGAGGAAGAGTGTCTGAACACGGGGAAGCATGCTGATGACTACCCCTAGAACTTTCCAGAGGAAGAAGGACCCCGGGTCTGTCTGTCGGAGCTGGAAGAGCTCAGCCACTATGCTATCACGGGCGGTCTTGGGCCAGACAGAGCAGCACTCCGAGACTAGCCCCTCTAGCATCGAACTCATGTTAATTAGAGGCTGGTTGATGTCGACATGGTGGACAAGGTGGACCCAGGCAACCCGACGCACTCTGGCACGGAGCTTCGGGTTGTTCGCCAAGGAGCGTAGCAGGCACAGGAGCTCCCTGCAGTCCTTCAAGGCAACAAATTCGTACAGAAGGGGTTTGCAAATGATTTTGAGCTGCCTTGACGCCAGGCAGGCCGCAGCGAGCGCCTGACGAGATACCCACGGCTCGTTATCAGCACGACGGACCGCCTGTCCTGGCTGGTAATCGTAATCGGTGACGGAACCACAGTGGACAAGCTGCCGCATGACCTTGATTTTCAGCTCGGCGGGGAGTATGTGCCATGGTAGAGCCACACCATCTTGTGGCCCTGCTAGAGGAGCACGACCAAGAGGGAGGGAGTGCGGCGTGCAAGTCGTTTTGAGCATTGCCGCTCGGTGGTGCTGACCAAATTTATTTTGTTGGCACAGACTGTTCTATTCTGAGAAGAAATGTGCTGCTGTTGGTTTAGAAAAGAGAAAAGGAGCCAATTCCAGCCAAGTCAAGTGAGATGATTATCTGTGCATGCAGAGTGTTGGTAGATTCCGGCACGGCACCGCTTCATCATATTTCACATTCAAAGCGCGTCCGAAGGGAGGACGGGGTCTGGCGAGGGACCATCGAGTCTCAGAATATTGCAACATAATGCACCTGTTGGTTGCCGGCACCCAAGCTGCGCCCAATCCGCCCCGTACTGCTCAGGTTGTTGGTAAAAGGGGTGGCCGGGATCCGGCCCAATGATCCGGGTCGTCATTTGCACCATGTCGGTCCTCTGAATGCTTGGCCATCAAGCAGCCTGCAGGATCTTAGCGACGAGTTGGCTGTTTCCAGAGGCAGCAATTGGTACAGCTGCAAAGCCACGACCACACCCTGAGGAGGTCGAGACTGTGTGATTAGTTGTGATAGATGCTAATTATTACAACCATTCAACATTTTAAACAGTATTGGTACAAAGGACCCCCAGGCTTGAAAATCGGTCCTAGGATATCCAGGTCTGGGGAATATGCTTCCAACACGTCTGTCTTAAAGAGAACGGAAATTCGCGTACCCAAAATCAGAAGGCGCGTACCCTCCGCTGACTAAGAAAGTATTCTATACAAGAAGACCTCTTACGAAAGGGCCGGCTGGGGCGAAGGGGGCAAGCCCCGGAGCGCGAAGCATAGCGGAGGGCCGTGAGTAGGGCCGATAGGCACGACCCGAGTTCCCAGAGGACCAACCCGCCCTGTTTGTGGTCCCTTATCGCGAAGAAGCCTTATTTGTTGAAGTCATAAAGACTTTGAGGTTCTGTGCTCTGATTGGTCGAATAGTAGGGAGGGTACGCGCCTTCCGATTGAGGGTACGCGAATTTCCGTTCTCGTCTTAAATGCTGCTTGACGGAGACAATCACCGACTGCGTTCTTCTGAACTGTCACATCATCGACTGATTCTTATTCAATTATCGAATAACTCTAGGTCTCGAGGCACGACCAAAGCACCTTTGATCGTTTCTCCCCTCAATCCATCATGAAATCCCTTTCTCAAGCAGTCTGGTGACAAGTCGCGCGCCGGGAACGATCGGCTCTGTGACTAGCTCCAGAGCTGGTTCTAGAAGCGCCCCTAGGTTCAGCCAGACGAGTCGTTCAGGCGGTGGCAAAGGAGCCGCTGGGGGTGGAACTAGACAATGTGCCGGACAACGCTCTGATTACGGCGGGAGACACTCGGGGCAGGGCTTGGAAGACGGCGGAGATCGCTCCGAGCATTAAGCTAAGATCAATGAAGAAGGTGCAAAGTGTAGATTCTAAAACTACCAGAGTACTCCATGGCTTCTGAAGACGAGACTACCCACGAAGTCGTGTAAGTGGGAGGCTGGTAGAAATTTTGACCACAACCTTGAACCAGGCCGGGCACATCAAAAGGGGTATTTGATTCCTGGTGGCATCCATTCAAAATCATCCGACTACTTCTTTCCGAACAGTGCCCTTCGTGCGGAAAATCGAGGAACGTGGGCTATTATACCACAGAATGAGTATATGGTGGCGGCTTTGGCCTCACCGTCGTCGCCGTACTACATCGCGGAAGCAATCGACAAATCAGTAAGAGCCATCCAGAAGAGAAAGATCGCCATAGAAGGCAACTTACAACCGCGTAGGAGATCTGTGGTTCCTTGTGCTGTCCAGGGCGGTTGAGCCAGGCAACTTGCTCGTCGTAGTCTAGGCACAGGGGCTGCTGCGTAGTGGGTTCCTGTCCGACTCCTTCTTGCATCTGCTCGATCCATCGATCCAGCATCTCCATCATATCAACTTCATCCTTGACGAGCTTGGTTTCAGTATGGAATGATAGGTCATTGCCAAGGGCTAGGTTTCTGGCCTGCACTCCGTGCTGCTCTAACCTGAATGCAGTGATTTCCTCGTCCTCGTCCTCGTCCTCGTCCCCGTCGTGCTCATTCCTTGGTAGCAGAGGGCATGCGGGTTGAGCCCCTGTGAAATAGCTGCTAGGCAGAGACTGGAGTTCCTCACTTTCCTTTTGGAGAGCTTGGATCTCCTCCTCATCAACCTCCCAGGGTCCAGAGTTGCTCGATGTATGTGGAACCTGCGATCCCTCGGCCATGGGACAGTCGCCATCGTTATCTTTCTTGGGATCCGCCATGTTTTTTGATCCAGCCACGGAATCACCATGTCGGATCTGCGGACGCATTGGAAGCTCAAATTGGATCAACCTTCGGTCACCATCGCCCATGACTATGTCACCCCCACCTGCCCGGTTTGGTTCCTCCTCCTCCAGCCGAGCCTTTTTGTTGCCCGAATCGCTCTGAGACATGCTTGGCACCCCGTCGTCAGTATCGCTATGCGACCCCTCAGACGGTTTATAAGTCAAGTCGGCCGGCGACCACTCCCCCGTTGGGAACTCTGGCGCCTCGACGACAGGCCGAAGCCTCACGTCAAAGCCCAAAGATCGGAAAGTCTCCCACGCAACCATGTCGGTACCCTTGAGCGTGGAAGGGAGTCCCGACATGCAGCTTGCGTGCGGGTACGCGTAGGAGGTATGTACGCCTATCCAGCCGCCGTCGGGCATGAAGTTGTCCTGGAGCAAGAGCTTGTGGAGGATCTCGTAGGGCGGCAGCTGGGTAGCATCTATGAGGCCGTTTCCAGCCTTTGGTGGGGTGGTCGGAATTGAGCTCTCGTAGAGGTTGTAGGTCAGGGTGATGAGGTGCCCGGACGTGACGGGCAAGACCGCGCTTTCACAGTCGACGTGGAAAGCAGCCCACTGGATCTCGGGCCGCGCAGTCTCGGCCATACTCCAATCGAAGGTCGCTTTCCGCCCTTGATAACGGACTTCCAACTGACCGCCCTCGTGAATGGATGGCAGGCAGACGACAAGGGATCCAATATACTCGGGCGCCCAGTAATCTTCACGGGAAGTTTCGACATGTGCTTTGAACTTGAAGTGTCCCGATGGGCCCGCGTACACATTCAGTTTTTCAAGCTCGGCTGTTAGCACACTCTTCCTCTTGATGTCCACCTCCTGTGACTTAGGTCCTGGAAGAAGGACCCGCGCAATGTCGTCAACAATACCCAACTCGTGGGGACTAAAAGTGCAAGCGAATTTGGAAGCGTCCAGATTGTAGGTCTTGTGGGAGTACCCATCCATATCATTCTGGTCTTCCCAGACTTCGTATCCGATCGTGGCAGGTTGCATGTCTTTGAGAAGCTGTTCTAAATTGTGCCTCGATCTGCTGTCAGACTGGTCCAGTGGGAACTGAAGCTTGCACGTCGAGGCCGAGACAGGTTCTGAGCTGGGATCCCAGCGGAGAATCACTGGCTGACAGGTCGTTGCTCCTCCAGAGGCCCTTAAGGATTGCAGAGCCGCGTGAGTTGCGACATGAATTGGAATCCTTCCTCCATAAGCGAACGCCATGCTGGAATCCCAGGGTGGCTCATCTCCTCGATCTTCGAATGATAGGACGAGTTCCTCGACAAGTTCGAGAGTCTGCTGCTTCTTTGCATGCACTGCGGCTGCATCACTGCCGTTGGCCATGTTGGAAAGTTCACAGGGAGCCGTGGCACTGCAAGGGGTTAGATGAATCCGAATCCATGCTCTGGGTGGAATAAAATAACATTGAATTAGAGAGGCTTGAGCAGTGTTAGGGAAAGATGGATCTTTTGACAATGCGCTTCAAATATCATTAGGCACCTGTAGGCAGCTGCTGGCTGGGCGTTGGCCTGACTACGCCTTGATTGTTGTTGTTGCCAGGAAAAGTGAGAATGTCTCAGCGTGACTCAAAGTGCATGAAGAGAAAGAAATATACATGTATCGAACTTCAAATACGATGCGACGGCCTTGTGATTATGCTTCCGTGGAAGCTCCCGGAACCAGAGCCTCTCGCCTCAGGCCAGCTGATATCGCAGTCGACACGAAGATGCGAGTACGATTTAGTCTGTTATAAAAACTGGATTATTGTATTGAACAGCCTGAATTTGGAAGGACATTTCTGGTAGCTTGAGTGAAAGGAGTCTCAATAGCGGCAGCATTCAATAGCTCCGTTTCTCGCGTTTACTTAGGTACCCTAGACATTGTGTAACAACTTCGAACTGCAGCCGTCGGTCAAGATTCACCCCTCACGCAGAGGCATGAAAAGCCTAGTATCACAAAGTGTAATCTTTCCCCTTGTCTTTTTTTCTTTTTTGGAACACGTAGTTGGCGCTGTGTAAGGAGATGGACCCATCGATGCTTCTCGCTCTGGGGGCTGCTCTCTGGCAGCTTTTCTAAACCTTTGGGGCATATTCTCACTCTCTCTTGATGAAATCAAGGCGTCAATTGAGACTTTTTACTGGTTTTCCTTTTTGTTCGGGGGTCAATTTAATGTCCTGCTGGTGGGAGCTGTGAAGAGCGATAAGGGGTGCGGGGGTCGTCTGCCGGATGAGTGAGGCTAGATAGGACGTATGCAAAGAGGTTCACCTGCAGGCCTTCAACATTGAGGGGTGCTATGTTGTTTATTCAGGTAGCTGACGCTGTGCTACTATCGGCACTCCTCACCTATGGCCCGTCAGTGAAGCAGACCGTATGTGTGCATGTGGTCTTGTTGATTTCCGTCCAACCAATTCTTTTGCAAACTTCATCTTGAGCCAGATTCATGTCCTGTAACCACCTCCGAAAATTATGTTTGGCACGACAAATTCAAAAGCTGACGAGGTGATGGATTCACTCTGGCTTGCGGCATCGCAAGACTTATTCGGCATCGTGCCATTTCTGGTGACCGCCGGAGTAGTCTTGTTGACTGCCTTCATATATCAAGTAAATAAGCCTCTTCAAAAGTATACAGTGTTATCTTTTTGGTAACGAATTGTTAAAACAAAACAGGTCTCGTTCTCCACCGACATCCCTCACATCAAAGGCCTGCCCGAGATACCCGGCGCAGTGCCCATCTTCGGCCACCTCCTCAAGCTCGGCGAGGACCACGCCACTGTCTGCGAGAAATGGTGGCGGCAGTACGGCCACTCGGTCTTCCAGGTAAAGCTGGGAAACACAAGGGCGGTGGTGGCGAACTCATTCGACGACTGCAAAAAGATGCTGCTCGGGAACCAGAACGCCCTGGTCGACCGGCCGAAGCTGTACACCTTCCACGGCCTCATCAGCAGCACGCAGGGGTTCACCATCGGCTCGTCGCCGTGGGACGAGTCCTGCAGGAAGAAGCGCAAGGCAGCCGGGGCGGCGCTGGGGAGGCCCGCGCTGAGGAACTACCACGCCATGTTCGACCTGGAGAGCTACTGCATCCTGCGCGACCTGAGGAGGGACGGCGGCGGCGGCGAGGCCGAGCTTGACGTGCGGCCTTATATCCAGCGCTACGCCCTGAACACGACGCTGACGCTGTGCTACGGCATCCGCATGGACAGCGTCTACGACGAGCTGCTGCGCGAGGTCCTCCAGGTCGGCTCTGCCATCTCCCTCCTCCGCAGCGCGTCCGAGAACTACCAGGACTACGTGCCCATCCTGCGGTGGGCGCCCAACAACGAGAAGAGCGCCCGCGGCAGGGAGCTGCGCGCCAGGCGTGACGCGTATCTGGGCCTGCTCCTCGACAAGGTCCGGGCCATGATCCGCGAGGGCACCGACAAGCCGTGCATCTCGGCCGCCATCCTCAGGGACGAGGAGACCAGGCTCGCCGGCGCCGAGGTCTCGTCCATCTGTCTGTCGCTGGTGTCTGGTGGCTTTGAGACGATCCCCGGCACCCTCACTTCTGCCATCGGATCTCTCTCGACGCCGGAGGGCCAGGTCTGGCAGGATCGCGCCTACGAGGACATCAGGCGATGTTATCCTGATATGCGTGATGCCTGGGCGGATAGCTTCATCAAGGAGGAGGTTCCGTACCTCAACGCCATCATCAAAGAGGCCGGGCGGTACTACACGGTCAGCTCCATGAGCCTTCCGAGAAAGACAGTGACAGCGGTCAACTGGAACGGCGCCGTGATCCTGCCCAAGACGATGGTCCTGATCAATGCACAGGCAGGAAACCATGGTCAGACCAAGACCGCCCCCTGTGTATATAGAAAAAGCTGACCTGGGAACAGACGTGAGTCATTTTGGAGCGGAAGCGGGCAGGTTCGACCCCGAAAGATGGCTGAAGGGCATCGACCCACCCGAGGAGCGCGACATGACCGGCCTACAACACCTCAGCTTCGGCGCCGGCTCCCGCGCTTGTTCCGGCCAGGTCATCGCATCCAGGCTTCTGTATACAGCTCTGCTGAGGCTCCTATCCGCCTACAAGATTGTGGCTAGTGATGACGCACCGCCCAACACTGACTATGTGGATTACAATGAGGTGAAGTCGGCGCTGGTGGCGATCCCCAGGCACTTCAAGGTTAAGCTCATCCCGCGCGACCCTGAGAAGACTGCCGAGTGCCTGCATCTGGCGGAGGAAAGGACTAGTGAGCATTATAAAGAGTAGAATCAGAGTAGTGTAGCTGTTGCCTGTGACTGTGTCTGTTGCGACTGAAGGGAGGATGCAGGGATTCTAAAGAGAAGGAGGGCACCGCGATGATTCGGGTGGGACACGTCTCGGTCTAAAGGAAGAATAAAAAAAATGTTGCCATGTGGTCATTAAATTGGCAGGCCTGGGAGTCGAACCCGGGGGGGGGGGGGTGGGAGTTGGCGATGTTCTCTTGCTGTTGCTGACCCAGGTTGCGGACCAAAAGAAGGGAAAAAAATCCCTCGAAGAAAATAAACCATTCAGCAAAGACTACAAGTGAGGCAAAAGTCCAAAAAAAAAGTAGTTCCGGTAATTGCAATCATCACATGCGCCAGGAGTTGAACCTGAAGCTCCAGAGGACTACTGAGATTGGCCAGGCCCCCCGAGAGGTTTCTAGACACCAACCCATTCAACCAAGGTGGCGCCGACCACCACACATGTGTGATTGAAACCTGGACCTGCTTGTTTATAAGCTGGGGTCAAGTCCCGTTTGTATGTACAGCTAGGGCGTCGGCGGCGGGGGGGCTAGTAGGCCTGTAGCCCTCGGCCCTGCGCCCTCCCTCTTCCTCGGTGAATGGACTGCAAGTGTCGCTTGACGCCAGCCACTAGGCGTGATGCTCGCTCGTGAGAAGATAGATGCCAGCCCGTCCAAGTCCAGGTTCACGTCCTCATCAGTCCTCCCTCACAGTCTCTCTCAAACACACACTCACCCCATTCACTCATCCCAACTCATTGCCTAAGCCTTCCTCCTCAGCGAGTTATAATGCTCCCCGAGCCCATACCCATGCCGATAGTACGCAAGCCATATCTTCCTCCTCTCCTCACCACCCTCATCACCATCACCACCCCCGCCGCTCGGACGGATAACCTCAGTCCGCCCGTCCTGCACGACACAGACCTCAACCCCGTAGACACAAGCCAGCGCGAGCAGCTCGAGCTGCCCGCCCCACTCGGCCGTGTCCCGCATCTTGGCCACGTACGAGCCCAGGTCCTCCTCGAGGAACCCCGCGAACTCGTCCCCGCGCGACTCGATGTACCCGGCCGCCGCCCGCCGCACGACCTTGTACCCGGCCTCCCCAGTCCCCTCCTGCCCCCCCTCCCCCTCCTCCTTCGCGCTGGGTGATGTGGTTGGGGGCAGCAGCGGCACCCCGGCCTGCCCGAGCTGGTCCGCCACCGCGGAGAACAGGCAGTGCCCGTCGGGCCGGATCTCGTGCTCCTGCAGGCCGTGCCGCGCAAGCTCGGCCGCCATGCGCTCGCGCTCGCGCCCGCGGTGGTCCGTCATCCCCGCCGCCTCCTGCGCCGCCGCCTCGGCCGCCGCCTCCTGCTCCGCCGCGCGGCGGGCGAGGCGCTCCTTTTGCCGGTTGCGCTTCTTCCCTCCTGTCCCGCTGCCGTCGCCGTCTGGTGGTCTCGACGACGCTGGCTGCTGTGGTGGTTTCGCAGCGAGCCCGTTGACGCCCAGGGCCTGCATCCTGGCGGCCATGTCCTGCTCGTCGCCGTCTAGTTCTTGTTCTTGTGTTTCTTCTTCTTCTTCTTCCTTTTCTTCTTGTGTGTCGCCGTCGCCAGCCATCAGCCCCGCCAGCTCGCCCGCCTGCCTCTCCCGCATCTGCCTCTCCATCTCGGCGCACTCGTCGTTGACCCCCTTGCGCGTCTTCTTGGTCGCGTTCTTCTTCTTGCTCGTCACCCGCCCCTGCAGGTCCTTGGCCTCTTTGCGGTGCCGCGCCTGCATCTGCTCCACCGTCTCTGTCGGGGCGGCCCCGGCGTCCATGTCTCAGGTGTCTGTTTCTCCTTCCCCCCCTGGTGGTTGTGTCGTTGTTGTTGATTATGGTGGTGGTTGGTTATCAGAAGCTTTCTTCCCCTTGGAATATGGTGTTCGGGCCGGGTTGGTATGGCGGGTCGGGTGGTGATGGTTGTGGTGTTTCCGTCGCTCAAGTTGGCTTGTAGTCAAACTTCAAGCTCCCCTCCAGCCAGGGATGACGGTGGTGGGGCTCTCAAAGCTGCATGCATGCAGGGTCGGCCAGTACTTGGCCTCTCGGGCCGGCCTCGGCGGACCCCCAACTAAAATGACCGCGGCCCACCCATCTCAGCACTAACACGCCCACCCATTACATGCATGAACCTACGACGCATGAGGCCGCCATCTTGGTTCAGAAAGGCGTACCAGACTTTCTCGGACAACGTGCATATCACACCACGATTTACGCCGGGCTCGAGCGAGAGACCTGTGAGATGCGCCTTGCTTGGCGTCCGCTCCTGTCTGTAATCACTGGCATTGCCTTCTTGGTCCTGTCCTCCCGGCTAAGGGGTGTTTCTCCCCCCTACATTCCGGTTTCCCTCCCTTTCCCCCGCGGCTCCCTCTCATCTTCTTTTCCAAGTTCCCCCCAACAATCCAACAGTAGACAGCCGTCTCTCTCTCTGTCTGTCTGTCTTTTCGACCTCCCAAAAGACTAAAAACCACCAAACCCGCGGCGTCTGAGACCGCTACAACTTGAATATCGCCCGACACGACGCCAGACCCACACGGGTCATAACACCAGAATTATACACCCAAAGGGACCAAACCGCCAAATGATAGCCACCACCAAACACAACCGAACCAAGGTAGGCCGTAATCCATCGTGGGAATATATGACACAAGAAGAAGCAGAAGAAATAATAATAATAATAATATATGTACCAAAAAATAAAAACAAAGCAGAAACGACTGGGGGTATCCCGCGAGCTAATAATAAGCGCATAAATAAAAGACCGAAGGTAGGATAGGTGCGTCAAGAAAAATACGCTAGACAGCAGCCACAACCAGACTGCGCGGTCAGGGGCGGCTAACCATAAGATGCTAGGTCATGAGGTGGAAATGCAGGGAACAAAGGAGATCGACGCGTAGGATCATCATAAAATAATGCCCTCGACGCGGGCGCGGTACGACTCGACACGAGGAGGACGGCTCGAAAGGGGAGGAGGGGCCGGGCAGAGCCACGGTTTGGGATCCGTGTCGGGGGCCCGGCACAACGGCAAAATGGTGGTGCGGTGCGAGGTGCTGCGGCTCTGAAAAAGGGAAAGAAAGGGGGTGCGGGCGGGCTGGCTGGCCTCATCAGAACCCCTTAAAAGGGTCGTCCCTCGAGTACTCCTCCTCGCCCGCGGTCCTGCTCCCGCTGTAGTAGTCGCTCCTCGCACCGCGCGACGAGTAGCTGTCCCTCTGCCGGCTCCTGCTCCTCCGCCGGCGGATCTCCTTTGACCTCCTCCTCGCCCGGTATCTCGAGTCCTCGAGCGGGTCGGGGTAGTGGCCGCCAGCGCCGCCGTGATGGTCGCCCTCGGCCCCAAACTGGCTGAACGCCAGCGGGCTGATGAACGCCTCCATCCTCACCGTGCCGATCGCATCGAAGAAGTTGGCGCCGCTCGTCCGGTTCGAAGCCTCGCTCGTCCGCCCGCTCACGACGCTCATCCCGCCCCAGCCCTGGCTGCTGAGCCCTGCCGACGCCGGCCCCGAGTAGCCCGAGTAGCCCGAGTACGGCGTGCTGTGGCTGTTGTTACTCGGGGTTGAGTACACCTCCGAGGAGCCCGTGCCTGTCGACTGGCTGTTGGTTGGGGCATGGTAGCTGTTGGGGCCCGAGAACCCGCGGAAAGAAAGCGGCGGAGGCACGTGGCCACCAGTGTTGCTCCTCTTGCGCCCATGGATCACACCGCCGCCGCCGCCGCCGCCGCCAACCTGGGCACGATCCCGATCTTGGAAGCGGGGTATAAAAGGTGGCTCCGCGGCGTCGCTGGACCACTCCCGGCTGTGCTGCGCCGTGTTGCCATGGTTCGATGGGTTCGAGTATCCGGATGCGACGCTCTCGCTGGCTGCTGGCGGGGGTGGGGACCTATATCCTGGGACGAGACTCGATGGGACATCTGGAATACTGGGCTTGGGCGCCGGTTGGTGACCTCCGTTTGTCAGCTGGTGTGTCATTATTCCGGAGCCTCCACTGGGATGGGCCGCGGCAGCGTTGTTGGCTGCGTGGTTGGCATTGTGGCCTTTGGCAAGGCGAATGGAATCGCGGATGCGTGGTCTTCGGGATTTAGCCTTACTTGGGGGAATATCAAAGTCTGGTGTCTTGGCCGGGGCCGGGGCTGGCGGCGCTGGTAGGTCAGGTACCTGCTGCTGAGAGTGGGCGAGGAAGGAGAGGGAAGTCAGCCACAAGTAGTGGCGTTCGGCGTTGACGGCTGTGAACTTCAGTGCGCGCTGAGGGGTTAGGATGAGGATCGAGCGGTTGAAGACAACAGTATGGCCCCTGGGCGGCGGGTTGTCGTCCTTAACGTCAAGTACCGACTGGATGGTGACTGCTACACTGTCAGTGAGGGGGAATTGAAGAGGAAGGATCGGCGACCTACGTTTACGACCTGACTTGCCGAGCAGTGCACTACCGCTAGAGGGCTGCTTGCTGCTCCAGAGGATTGCTCTCTCATAGGGGGCTAACCACACCCAGCGTTTGTGCCTGTCATTGCTCGAGTCATCCTTGCCGACATTGTCGTTCGCCACGCCAAAGGACTTCCTCCGGCGGACATACTTGAACATCCATTCGCCAACCATCGTCTGGGCGATGGCATCTACCACCGTGTTCGCAGCCGGCTGCGAGCTGGCATTCGACTGGAAACCGGTTGCCTCTGTCGTCGCAGTGTTGGTGGAAGGGTGGTGACTGTGACCCCTGGCCCTACCACGCTCATTCTTCGGCGTCGTGAGCTGGTTGCGAGGGAGAGGGGGGACGTCATTGGGGGTATAGGGGGGCGACCTGCTATTCTGCCTCCTGCCCCTGCTCTTGCCATATCCACTAGTACCCGGCCTGCTCTTGCGGAGACTATTGGCACGATGGAGCGGCATCCGATTCTTCCTCCATGGCTCATTCCTCGTCGGACTCCGGTTGCTGTCACTGTTGCCGTTGAGAGGTTTACGAGAGCTGGCTCTTGTGGGAATAGGGAATGGTGGGTCCTTAGCATCTTCCTGGTGCGTGGAGATGCCATTCTGGATCATGGCGGCCTTTCGCATCCCTCCAGACTTTGCACCCATGCCGGATCCGCGGATGTGGCCCTTTGAGCCCTTGGTGGCGGGACCAAAGCCCTCAGGGCTGTCTGCGAGCCTTGGAGAAGACGGGAACTCGCTCTTGCCAGCCGGGCGAGTGGGGAACTTGTGTGCGGACTTCTTCGGTGCTACGTCTTCCGGAGACGATGGCATAGATCCGGGTGTGCTTCGACCAGGCTCAGGGGTCTTGACCGGCCGAGGAGCGGATAGGGCAGTCCTATACTCGGTGTCACTCATATCGGCGTCGGCGAAATCGTCAGCCTCATCTGCTGAACTGACAGCGTCAAATCCGGCGAACAAGCTGCTGATCCGGTGGGGTCTCCGCACTGTCGCTTTCTGAGACACCGGACCATCGTCATTGTTCCCTGGATATGCGTCCTTCGGCTCAGAATCAACCGACATACGAGCCGAGGTCGCAAGTTCGCCGATGCTTCTCTGGCTTGTAAGCCTTCTAGGGTTACGAGGCGGGAGATTGCCGGGAACTGGGGTGAAGTGACGTTCCGGATCGTTCGGGATCTCAGTACCCTGGGCTGGGGATGTCGGCCTGGAGTTGATAGCTGAGGGGTGTAAGTGAGCAGGAAGCTTGTCTAGTCGCTGATCAACTCGGATCTCCTCCGTCTGTACACCGCTAGAGCTCATCGGCACGCTTGGCAGCGACACCTGGCAGCCGAAGTCCTTGAATAACTGCGGCAAAAGCGATTTCTTCGGGGTTGTGGGCCGGCTCTTTGGAGGATGTATGGCGATGCTGGGGATAGCCGGGACTGGAGGCGTCACTGGTCGAGGTAGAGGGGGCGGAGATGGAGCGTCAGTTTGGGTAGCAGAAGAGATCATGTCGACTGGCTTGGGCTTTGGCGCTGGCGCCGGCTCCAAGGGCTCAGATTTCGGTGTTCTGGGTGGACTCAAAGGTACGTCTACAGTCTGCGCGGAAGCAGACACCATCAGGATCTGAGGCGCCGTGGTTGGGACAGAAACGGGGCGAGCAGCAGCAGCGACACGCTTCCTCCGCTGATTCGCCTCCGTCGCCTCGGCCTCATGGTGTTTCTCCCACCGCGCTGCCAGTGCCGTCACCCCGGTCAGCTCCGGTGTGGAAGGCTTCGCTGGCTGCGGCTTCGGCGACGGCGGTGGTGAGCACTGCACCCCTGTATCTGTGTAGCTGACCGTCCGTTCCGGGAGTGCAGGTGACGGCGGCTCCTCGATCTCCTGGATGATACCATTGGCGAGATTGCCTTCACCCTGCATCTGCGGCTGGAACTTTCCGCGGGTCACACTGCCGGGTCTGATGAAGCTCTCGCTGCTGCGATGACGACGATGGCGCTTGGACAGGATGCTGGCACGGCTGTCGTTCCGTGTGTGGTTACGAGTGGACATGACGCTGTCTCGGCCGTTGGGGTCCGTCTGGTAGTCGGAGTCATCGTCAAAGTCGAGTTCGTCTGCGAGGGAGTACCCGTTCGCCTTATTCATAAGGGAGAACCTCAAGCTTTCCCGGATGCTCATCGAGCGGACGCTTCCCGCATCGCTGTCCTTGTCCTTTTCCTTGCCCTCGCCGCCGCTCTCTTCCTCAGCATTGGCTTGAGCATCATGGAACGCTGCCACCTCTTCCAGGATGGTCTTCAGCCGGGTCTCGGCCACGTGGAGCTTCCGCTCCATCTTCCGTCTTTCTTCATCCCACTCTTCTTTTTCCCTGGCCCACTGAGCATGTGTCCTGCCAGAGTCGTCTTCTTGCGTCTTGAGTTTCTTCTGTGACGCTTCTAGCTTCCTCCTTGATTCGGCAGCTGCCTCGACGGCCTCGTCTCGCTCACGGGCAAGCTCGCCCAACGCTGATGATGTGCCACCTTCCAGCAGGGCCAGTTGACGCTTCAGTGACCTGTTCTCCTTGGCCGTGCTGACAAGTGTCGTCTGAGCCGAATCACCCTCTTCACGTGTCGTCTGGAGCGTGGACTCCAAGCTTTCAATCAGCTTGAGCTTCTCCTCCTGGTCTCTCCGAAGGCTCAAAATCTCCGAGACAAGGTTGGCGTGCAGGGTCGGTGTGAATCGCCGCGGATCCAAGATGCTGATATTGCTGTCTGTGGCGAAGTCCTTGGACACCCGGTCACTCTTGTCGGTCTTGTCGCTCCCGGGCATTGGTGGCGGTGACGACGAGATCTTCGCTGGAGGTGTTACTGAGCGGCGTGACCGTTTTGAACCGCGCGACGGCGTCCTCGCGCTCCTCGGTCTTTGTGTGTCTATGGCAGCAGACAGGACGGGCCTAGCCAGCCCGCTCCTCTCGTCTTCGGTTTCCCACATGGCCATGCCGACGGTGTGTAGGTTTGGGAATAAAGATTAAACAGAAGCAAGGGATATGTTATAGTTTAAGGTTTGGTGTGGACAGGCGTCTTCTCCCGTCTACCTTTTAGTAAACAAGAGGAGTGAGAAGAGTCTGCGGTCCAAAGGGGGCACCCCTTTGCAGATACGTAGCACCAAGGCTACGCTGAATATCGCTGCATGCAGTCGTTGTCGCGTCCTGTACTGTCGTCCTGTAGATCGGTCAGGAAGTCTCCCAGAAAAGAGGGGTTACACAACGCCCGGCTCCCCAAGAGAGAAATGAGGAATTGGAATCAAGGGGCGGCGGGGTGGAGACGGAGGCGTACGTACCAGAGTATGGAAACCAATGGCGCGGCGCCAGGGTCTTTGCAAGTTGTGCTCAAAAGTCAATCAGATGAATTCCAAGTTGTCAGGGAAAAAAGAATGGAGAAGACTGCGCGCCAGAAAGGCTGGCATATCAAGTTTGTCTGGGGATGGTTGACAAAATTAGCCCGGGTCCTCATCGCCCACGCAGAGCCCCTTGTTGTCCCCTGAGTATAGCGGATCGGGCTATAAGCCAAAGCCTGGGCCGGGGTAAATTGGAAACTAGGTCCCAGGGCAACCAACCTTGAAATGTCCCCGAGGCCTCACAGGCTTGATTGAGGCGCGGAACAGGAGATCAAAATTCGAGTCATGCGTCCACCTACCACCCAGTTTGACAGTTTGAGAATGTGTTCTGTACCCTCCTTCCACAGCTCCAGGAGGGGCAACAGGCACCGGGCAGAATTGTTTGACAGGTAGTGGTGACTGAAATGGCTCCCGGCTAAGCCTTGTGACTGGGCAGGCGAAAGGGCGTTTGATGGACGGCAAACCTTCGAGAGGACCGGATGGGATGGGGCCGGTGACCAAGATATGCTATGATGCCAGTGCGCTGCACATACGTGATACAGAAAGGCCACTACAGACTGACACTGGAGCAGCCCGTCCAATGTAGATCGCGTCTGCGGAGCAGGATCAGCATCGCGGAACCAGGCTGATCACGACATAGTGCTCCATGATGAATTATCGCAGACCTGCCGAGGACGGGGGCTGATAGGGTTGGCCGCTCAGTCTCGTCCCAAGTGGTTGAGTGACTGACTGGCCATACCGGGGTAATCACATTGAGGGGCGCGGTGAGAGTGCAGGAAGGGGGGAGTCATCAACTTACTCCAGATTGAGAGAAGGATCAATTCCAAGTGCCAACAATGCCGGGCTGGGACTGGATATTCGAAGCGTTGGGTGACGTTGAATGGGTTGCAAATGTGGAATAGAAACACAGACACAGAGGCACAGACAAGACATGCACAGGAGACGGGACGGATGTAGCCGTGTCGAGGTCGAGGTCGAGGTCGAGGCCGTGGGCGAATTGCCTTTTTGGCTGGGCGGACAGTTGAGACGAACAGAGTCAGAGCGACTGCCGTCGTCTTGGGTTTGTGCCGGGTGGTCCGTCCGATCACGAAACGACAAGAGGACGACGACACTGGAGATGTGAATGCCGGCAGGTCGGTAGTCAACGAAGACCAGACATGCAAGGCTCGGGCCACGGAATAGTGTGGAGGACGAGGGGCCGGTATATGGTATGGGAGGAGGGGGGGGACTAGGGAAATAATCGTGGACGAACAACACACAAGACTCTGGTCTGGTCAACCAGGCAGTCAGTCAGGCGGGCAGGCAGGCAGGCAGGCAAGCAGGCCCACGGACGATCGAGCGAGGCCACCCCCAGAAGAACGGATGGATGATCAGCAACGGTGGATGGAAAGACCACGAGGTTTAAGATTGAGAGAGTGGGTACCGTCGTAGCGTGCAGGTACGGTACGGTACTGTGCTGTATGAGGCAGAATGGGAAATGCAGGGTATCGACCTTGGCTTTGGCCAGGGCTCGACGAGCACAGGCCCAGGCACAGGCACAGCCAAGGGTGTGTGGAGTGCAGGGTGCCGGGTAGAAGATGCAAAGTGCAAGGGTGTCTCTGCCTGTCTTGTGGATGTACTGTAAGTAACAACAGTAAGGCAGGCGAGGAAGGCGTGCAGGGTACGGATACACAAGCAGAGCCTGGGTGGAACCCATCATACGCCATGTCGTCGCCCCTTGCTCGATTATGAAGGATTATTTAGCCCTGGCTGGCTGGCTGCTGGCTGGCACAAGCCGAGATCAAGCCTGTGCAGGACGAGGGGGAAAGACCCGATGCCCGCCGATACGGGGGGACAGACGTTGAATTAATTGGGCAGCAGGACATACATGGAAATGCATTGGATGGAGGTGGCATTGGCCGTGGGCGACGACTTGGTTCGTTCTTGTTATTCGCTGTGTCCCCTATGTTAGCCGGGTCGTGCGTGTCATGCAGCGTACACTCATCTGCCCTGCACCCAATACGGCGAGTGCACCGAGCATGCAAGCCTGCGAGCCTGCGACCGCACTGCAGTCTGCAGTCTGCAGCGCACGCACATGCAGGTAAGTGTGGGTGTGGGTGTGGGAGAGATCGATTGCCGCAGATGAGTGGGCAGGGTGGCAGCCTGGTTGCCTGGCAGGTGGGTGTGTGGCCGGTGCCGGTCGGGCTCGCGTCTTGGGAGCTGCCGCATGGAAGCCACATGTGGACGACTGACTGTCTGGAGGTGTCTGTCTTGCATCGATTACCCATCGAGTTGGACAGTTCGGTACGAGGGCACCCAAGAAACCCAAGAAAGGGGCTAGATTAGGGGCATCTGTCACATCGGCCGAGGATTGTGACTGTGGCCAACCACCAGACGAGAGTAAAGGGAAAAAAACTGCCAGCCACTCTGCCACCAAGCTAGCCCGTTGACAAGTGCCAAAGTACTTGTGGTTCAGACGATGGCTTGTACCTGAAAGCGCGAGACGAGGTGTCAGGGGTACAAGTGCAAGTCCCAGGCTGTCCAAAACGGGCCGTTCCCGGCTCGGCTGCCTCGGCTCACTTGGGGGAATGGCAGACTGCAGTTTCGCGCCTTTTCTCTTCAGCCGAGAGTGAGTGAGGGAAGCAGGCAGGCAGGGAGGAGTGATTGCAGATTGCTACGTCAGGGTGTCGCTAGAGTCTGTCTGGAGTCTGAACTCTGGACTCTGGACATGTGGAACAAGCTGGAAGCTGGGGTGTACCTGCCTACATCAGATTCAGGCCTGGGCGGCATGGCAGGTGGCAGGTGCCCACAAGCCGGTGCTGCTGGGGAGGGAAGGAGGTGGGCGTGGTGGGGTGGCAGGGTGGGCACGGAAAGGAACGTTCTTTCCAGGTTCCTCGTGCATTGCATTAGCCTGCGGTGTACCTGGAGCTGAATTGGGGGATGGAAGCCTCGACTGCCTCCTCTTTGGGGAACGCGCAGAACATTCGGCGGCCACAAGTCTCTCTCGCCTGCACCAGAATAGAAGGACTGGGCCGCGCCTTCTCCAACAGCCGGGGCCAGGAGGGGCAGGTCAATGACTGACCAGTACGGAAAAGGGACCCTTCATTTCCCTAGTTGAGCTTGACGCAAGCGAGCTGGCGAGGCGATGCTCACTCACCCACCAGAAGGTGCTGCTCCTGCACCGCCCTTGGCCCTCATCACATTGCAATTTCCCACGTCTTCAGCAACAGAATCCATCCAGCAGTGCCGCGTGCACTCGTATTCGACCGCGGTCCGGACACCGCTCTCCGCCTTGTGTTCCTCGACCAGAGACCTGCCGTGTCCAACCCGAGGCCCCCTCTCTCCTCTCTTAATTAATTGGATGCCAACCCAGGCAACTTTGTCCCACTCCTGTTCGCGTCGTCCCGAATGGCTGCGTCTTGAACCCTTGCCAAGCTCGAAACCAAACATGCAAAATGAAGAACAGGAAGACAGAAGAAGAAGAAAAAAAGAAAGAAATCCAGAGACACGGACCCCACCCAACCATCCATGCCTCTTTCCTGCGGCGGTCCGTCGAGCCCTGGTACGACCTCACATTCTTCAGCAGAGCACCAGGGCACTTGACAGAGCAACTCGGCTCAACTCAATTCATGCTGCTGCATGCAAGCATAGCGTTGCTCACGACGGAATGTAACGCTGTCCAGGGTTGGCCGCTTTCCTGTAACAATCATCGGCGTGCATGTGCCCACCGGTCGGCGGTCGCAGCTCTGTGGTATGTCTGGCCCAGTTGCCCAGTTGCCCAGCTCGAGGCCTCGCTACAGAAACGTGCCTCTTTGTCCCTCCTGCAGGGATCGTTGCATCAGCCGCGCCCAATTTCCCACAGTCCCATCGATCACCAACGTGCGGCGGCTGCGGTGGGCAATTCTGACAATCATCAGGTCATGCCCCTTCCTCGGAGACCCGAGCCCGGCCTGGCCTCTTGACATTGGCCTCTTCCACCCAGCATGTGTCAATTTGAAACCCGTCGAGCAAAATCTCAGCCTCAGCTTCGAGACTGCCGCTCCCACATCACAACTGCCTGACAGGGAACCACCGAACGCCGTCGCACACTGCATTGTCACACACGCACACTCGCACACACCACACACACTTGCACAAATGCACCTACGGCACCAGCAGCATACAGACTTGGCCATATCGAGCTGCGAGCTCCGGCACTCCGATCCACTCGTGCAGAGACAGGTGTGGTCTGTGACGCGTATAATGACGCCGCGCCGCGATTGATTCAATTGCTTGCACTCTGCCCTGCACTATCGAAAAAAGAGCCGTCCCCACCGCGGCTCGTTTCCAATTGCTGTTCTAGACTTGCTGACAAGGTGACCGCTGTCACGTGTGCACGGGTCGTCTCGTACACAAGGGCAATCCAGGCTGATGGATGCCGCTTTCTTCTGACAGGTGCATACCCGCTTGTCCACAGCCAGTGCTCCATCCCAGAGACTCCGTCGCCCACAGACTCAGGCGCCCAGCCATCCAGCCCGTCCCAAGCCTCCTTACTGCAAGCTCGCTCTAGTCGAGCGCCTGAGCGCGCCTCTGACAAGGGCCTACCCTTCTTACAATTTCCTTTCTGATGGTCCAGAAGCTGTCAATCTGGCCAGATGACCACGGATGATGTTCAGTGTCCACTTGTCCACCACAAGAGGGTCTTTCAGATGTGGGGAACCACTGGTCTCGTTAATCAGCACGAGTCAATGTCTATAAGGCCGTCCAAGATCGATCCTCACTTTGACGAAAGTAAGACACGCTCCCGCTCGAGGAAGCATATCTCGAGGCGGCTCGCCAAATGTGGGGGCCCCGAGAGAGTTCTACGATACCACAGCACCTCCACCAATTCGGGGGCCAAACCTTAGAAGTAGACTACGCCTCACCATCACCCGCACTCAACTGCCAGGCACGCCACTAGCAACAATGGTCTCATGGACTGTCTGCCTCGCGGAGGGGTTCGAGCTTCTCCATATGACTGGTTTCATTGTATCGCAAGCTGATAATGGCACCCATATTTGCCATTCTTGCGTACATGGATGCCGTTGCCAAGCTGGCCGACCGTGCGGTTCATCAGTTGGGCGACTGCTTATCTCTCCCTGTGGCGGCCACTTTCGGCCGTGAATACCCCGGGCCCTACTGTACATCCGGGGTGATCTTTTCGTTTTCTGGTGCGTTTCCCGTCAAATCATGGCTGCGCGGATTCCTGACAACCACCGGGCGGCCGAGGAGATAAAAGAGCAGAGCTGCATGCGGTCGTCGTGTTCCACACACAACCTCATCCTGCGCGCGTTGGCCGCTGTATCTAGAGGTGAGGTTGACGCCAGCACACAATCTACAAGGCAAGGGATTTGTGCAGGAGAATCCCTCTCCGAGCAAATCCCATTCCGGGGATTTAGCCAGCCACCGCGGCAAAGTTTGTCTCATACGCAAACTTCGTCCTCACTCCCGCTTTAATCTATGTTAATTGTCCCTATCTAGCACTCAAGGAGGGGTGCCGTTAGAGATCATCAGCCGCCTTTCACTACCTGGATAAGTTTTCACGCCGCTACTAATGCTCAATCTTCTCCCGGATGTCGTCAAGGCACGCACAGATGTCGAGGGCCTTGTTGATATACACGGCCTGCGGCACGGTTGACATTTTCCCGCGTGGGATCCCACCCAGGCAGGCCATCTGCCCGCAAGCCGCGGTCGACCAGACCCAAGCGACCCCTAGTCACGCGCATGTCATCGAATCGCGCCGCTGATCAGCAACCACTGGGACGAGATCCATGGCCATGGGCGGTAACTTTCAGCCCCGCTCAACCCCCAATTAATGAGCGATCGCCACAGGCTGCTAGACCACATTGGTCACTGTGGTAAATTTCGGCGTTCCTCGACAAGACACAGGCCGTCATGGCGTCGGGTAAACTTCAACTGTGGGCGCTCCTCCTCCAACTGAGCAACGACGAATGTGGGGGCAAGCCTGCGCTTGGGTCAGCCCCAAAGACAAAGCGTACGCCACTTGGTCCTTCAGAGCATTGCCATCAAACCTTGGTCATCGCATATGTAGAGAAAGTCATCTCGAGCGCGCTGCCTCTGTGCTGAATCATGATGGCGTCCCTTCGGATGCGACCCCGACCCTGGCTTGGCGGGTGTTGGTTAATCCTGCAGCTGAAGAGCTCCACAGGCATCCAGACAGCCCACACCCACCCAACTGCCCGGGTTGGGCGGGGCGGGTCAAGCCACGGCGCGCCCGCGGCACGTAGCTGCAGGACGCGGAGTCTCCCAAGCGAGGCACGTTTTAGGAACGTCTATTTTATTTACAGTTCAAGTGGCGCCAGCGGCTCCTCGTCCGGCGTCGTCGCCATGGCCTCCGCCATGTGTGCTGTGAGAAAGCGGGGTGTCATGGTCGAGATCTTGTAAACAGCCCTCATCCAGGTTGTCCTTGCAAGGTCATTCATCTGGCCTGCATATACACGATATTCTCTTCGCCGGTTTACAGAATCCTGTGGCATGCTGCGCGATACGCGGAACATGCCATTCAGCAGTCGAATTTCGAGTTGCAATGCTGCTACTGAGCGCTCGCAATGTCACGAAGTTGGCATTAATTTACCCCGAGAGGACTACACGGGATTCGCCGCGAATGCCGAGCGTCTGGTAGCAGGACACAGATGGGCGACAACAACATTGAAAACAAGATCAGACCCGTCAGGCCGCCACAGAAATGAAGTCGCGCTCCTCTCGTGCCAACGCTAGGGACTGGTTAATAAGCCGCCGGGCCGCCACCCGCGCTGCAAACCCATCCAACGATGAACCATGCGGGAAGTTTCTTGGAGGACCGCCTTCAACGGCTCGCGGCTCCAAGTCTCACATCCCGACCAAGTAGCGTCTGGGCTGCTGCGGCCTGGTGTAGTGGCCAAGTGGCCTATCCCCCCCTCCGAGCGCCATGCTCATCCACGACTCTGGAAAGCCTCTCTACACAGCGCGGGCGGGTGTGCGTGCGTGCGCGAGTGCGTTAGTCTGGAAGCCCGACGCCATGGTACGCAACTCCCCACGTCCGAGCGATTAAAGAAAACTGGTATAACAACAGTCTGAGCTCTCGCGATCGGCAAGCTCCATAGCGGCTGTGGGGTATCACATAAGTGCTAGATGCATTTCATATTGTCACACTGCGACCCTGGCCGGGCCGATCTCTAAACAATTCCAACACATGTGTGTGCACGCAGGCTGACAGGCACAGTGTTTGCACATCTGCGGCGAATGCAGCATCTCTCTGCACACGTGATTCCTGCTACAAACGATCAACTCCAATATCTTCCGGACATGCCGATGTTCTTCCCACCAAAACATTCTGGCAAGCTGGCGCCAAATTCCGGTTGTCAATCTGAGCGAAACGAGCGAGTAGTAAGCACGAGCCAGCCCGCCAGCCAGCCAGCCCGGACCCTTGCCTCTGTGGGCATTCATGCACTTCCCCTGCACTCAGGCTCTCACGCCTCACAGCTGGCATGATCCCGCCATGGAGCATCGGGCAAAAATGCCGTACTGCTCACTGGCGCCTGAAGGCGCGAGCCGACTGGTGCTCATCGCGCTGCGGCTATCTTCTTTCCCTGCGGAACTCGAGGCCAGACAGATCTCTCCGATCGGCTGCCGGAAGCCTTCAGCCTGTGGATACTGTGCGACCTTCAGACCCTGATTTATGTGTGGGTCTACATCTACCGCCTCTCGTTACTTGTTCAGACTTGTGCATTCACACGCCTCATTTCGCCCCCGGGATAAATTGCACAGGTCTACACGAAGGGAGGCGTGAGGATATTGGGCGTCATAAGTGTGAGGGGCAACGCTCCATTCTGACGATGTCGCCAGGCTGAAGGTTTCGGCTTGGTAAGCCGATGTACCTGCCGTTGACGGGTCGGATAACCAGACTGTCTTCGGATCAACGTGCTGATGGTGACGACAATGTTGGAATCGGTTGCTGCTGCATCCTGGAGGGCTTGTGATGAAAACCCTGCGTCCGGAGCAGCTCTACTTCAAGTTATCGTGTCACAGATTACGTCAGTCAGATCACTTCGATTTGGCCGGGCTACCTGAAGCTGGGCTACCAGATGCCATTTGGTCATCCTGATCAAAACAAGGAATTTGCCGTTAACTCTGGGGCATGCTCCAACCGCAATCTCAGCTCGCCGGCAGGTAGAAGCTGGAGACTAGCCGCCTGCTGTTATGGGGGGACTGTACTGACCGGGGCGGCTCTATAAGTGTCATATCGCGGCCATTTTCCTCACACCCCATCACATAGGCATCTGCATACGGCAGGGCGGCAATCTCGCTCGCTCTCTCGACCGATCGGACAAGACCGTGTTTCATGGCCGCATTTGCGTCTACTCAATGTCGTATCCCATGCAACCTCGGGCTGGGAGCCCTGGAGCCTTGCAGGTCGCAGATGAAATACGCCGCATACCAATTTTATTCTCCGTGCACGCTGTCCCCATATCCACCTCAACGGTAACCCCCCAAGCAGAACCCAATTCTAGCACCGCGCACGTACGATACATGTTTGTTTGGTCGCCAATGCTACGTATGAGTTGTCAAGAAGACTCGGCGCTGTAGGCACTAGGGACAAACAGGATGCTAAACGACAATTATGATTCTCAGCCAGGAACTATGGCACTATGAAGCGGGGCGTTCCATCTTCCCGGCGCAGATCCAGGCCCTTCCTTTCTCTGACGAAGGTCAACGCGCATCGTGTAAGTTTCAACCGGGCTACTGAATGTCAAGCTGCTCTGCGACCATGAGGGTTGATATGTTCGACAGAGAATTACGCCTTCCAAGGTTGCAAATGCGACTGAATGTTACGGCCCGAGCAGTCTCGTGGCCCGTTACACGGTTCGGCAATTGGGATGCTAGACGTTCGAGGCACCTATTTTTATGACAATGATACCATACTTCTTCCCGAGTGCGAACGTGTCAGAGACGTCAACATGCAGCTTTCGAAGCGCGCACGCAGGCGCGCGCGCGCCGACGCGCTGAAAAAGATTTCTACATCTCGGCATCCAGGATGCGTTTACGTATCTCTCAGAGTGATCTTCTGGCTAGAACTCGCATTTGGGTCACACCGGCCGAAGTTCGGCTTATGTTGAGGACTTCGGAATACCGTATTCGGCCGAGGATAGGCAAACGACATCATCCACTCGGGAAGGAGGGGAAAGCCCCTTGCTTGCATATTTGCATTTCCCAGCGTGTTACATGGGAAGGAGATTCTCCTGCGAGATGAGATGCGTATAATCGGACGTGTCGCCTGTTTTGGATTGGCTATAGGTGAGCTATTCCTACACCTTCACGGTAACGTTAGCGTGGCCCCTTCTATAGGCAGGCTGGGTATATACTGAGGGCGGCATATAGGCTCAGCAAGACCGGCTGACTTCATGTTGCAGGTCTCAGGGCTCTAGTCACGGGCAACCTGCCAGCCTGGGCGAGACTACGATTCCGTGCCCCAGTTCCTCTCCAACGTATAATACAGACCGGGTGGCCGGCTTGACCGCGTGCCGGGAAGGGTTACCTCCTGCCTGATCACCGACGGGGGATCAATCGGCTGCTCCGCTCGGCATCGGCAAGCACAAGAGATCCTGCAGGCTGTTTGTTTATGTTGGGTATTTCAGCTCTCATCACAAGTACCGCGCATCGTGGTGGGGCCGGTGGGGGTCAACTGTGTGGCTCTTCACTTGGGATCCTTCAGGGTGTTGTACTTCTGCTTGTCTTATTGCGTCGGGAGTGCCAACCCGCCCGCATGTTGTGGAAATCACGTTACCCCCCACATACATCCTGTGGCGCTGCTGCTGTGCCGCGATCCTGTCGACGATGGTGGCCCAGCGCCAGGAGCACAAGCGAGATGCGATGATGAGGCGAATGTGGATTCATCACGATCCAGCAAGCAGAGCAAGTTCTTGTGTGAAGCTTATTTGATGAAAGGGGCTCACTATCGGTGTCCGTGGCGTCACGACGTGATGTTTTAGAAAGGACATTGCATGGCGGCTTGCCCTGGCGCAGTAATGACCTGCGGATAATTACTACTCGGGTTATATGTTTCTGGGGGACTCATGATGCAGGTTGGGCAGCCGGCCACGCCATCTCACACATGATCACAGCTTACTGGCGTGCGCGGAAGCGTCTGCACGGAGTACATATATTGACATCGCGCCCTTGGTGGGTCTCTTGTATACGTTAATTCCCGGTGTTATTAAACAGCCCTGTCTTTTATTATCTGTCGCCCTCAAAACCCCGTCTTCTCCGGTGACCGAGCTGAACCCGGGGCCGTGACTGTGCTGATGTCGACGATCGTGACGGGATATTTGTCCAGGGATTCGTACCACTGTATTATGGAGCCGACCTGTTCGTGGCCCCATTATTCTGTCAGTAAGGTTTCGGTACGCACGTCCGCCCGCCCGCCCCCGCCGAGATATTTGAAACGGGGATGGATGGATGGATAATAGATGATGGGCGAGGCGGGTTCCCTATTCGAGACTTGTTTTGCGAGAGCAGAGAGATCACCAGCTAGGGCTGGCCGGCTGGCTGACTCTGCTCTGCTTGCCCACATCCGCAGTTGAGCTCCGCGGGACAGGGCTGACTGCAAGGCAGGGCAGGGGAGAGGGTCTCCGCCCTGCCCCGTTCTTTTGTTGGGGCGCGCAGGGCTGGCTGAATGGGCCAGGCCAGGCCTGGCCAGCCGGCTAGGCTGGATTGTGCCGCCGCGGCCGTCTCCACCTTGCTGGCGGGTATATCTTCCGAGATTGATGATAATGAACGAGTAGCGACCAACAAACGGGGGGGAAACGAGGGACTTTAGGCGCGGTGGATCACCGGGTGGAGAGCGAGGGGGAGGGGGACAGATGACATGTGTGAATATACAGATGGACGGACGGACCGGGTTGGACGGGCTGTGCTGCACTCACCAGGAAGGCCCACGACCCGATGAAGGTGGCCCACAGCGAGGCCGCCTCGCAGGCGGCCGACGAGCCGCTCGCGAAGCCCAGCGCGCCGCAGAGGGTGAAGCCCAGCGCGCCGATGAGGTTCCAGAGGCCGATGTGCCAGCCTAGGGTCCTCGGGGCGGGGGTGTGCCAGTCCGGCTGGGTCTCTAGCATGAAGAGGTAGGAGGAGACTATGAAGCCTGTGCCGCCTATTACCTGGGAGTAGGGTTGGGGAGGGTGTTAGTTGGTGGATGGCTTCGTGCGCTGAGGCAATGAGGTGTTGTGTGAATCTTGACACGGCTCATCTCGTCTGGCAAGGACAAAACTCACCTGGGGCAGCCAATATATACCATTCTCAGCAGGCACGCTCAACACCCCCAGTACCTGGGGCAAGCCCGTGAAGCCTGAGATCCAAAAGACCGTGGCCCCGATCATCTGTGACAGGCATGCCAGGAACCCAATGTCGCGGACGTAGTGTGTCCTCAGCTCGTACCAGGACGGCCACCACGTCCACCTCCTCGCCGCCGCCGCCTCTGTCGCGGCGTTGCCACCCTCGCCGGCATCCTCGACCCCTTTCGTCCCCACCCCCAGCAGACCACGCCTGTTGCGGTGGTGATGCCGGCACCGCCTGTGCAACGACCAGAGCAGCCCCCCCGGGCCCGCCTCCCGGTCCTCATCCCGGCCAGGCCCAACATCCTCCGAGCCCCGCAGCGCCTCCTCGACGGCCCACCCGAAGCAGTCGGACCGGTTCTCGTTGACGGCCTCGAGCATGAGCAGCACGCTGCCGACCTCGAAGACGGACGCGCCCACGGCCGCCGAGATCCCGCCGCCCCGGGCGGCCTCGCCGGGCCACGACGCGCCCGGGTTCGTGAGCGGGAGGAGCACGAGGAAGCCGTTGAGGACCCACACCGCGGAGCCGAGGGTGAAGAGGGCTGCGACGTCGTAGGAGATGTCCCAGATGGGGAAGCGGAGGAGCATGCGGGCGATGCCTCCCCTGAGCGTGGGTGGTGGCTCTTTGGTAGGTTCTTGCGGGCTTAGGATCAGCCTGTGGCGGCCCTTGCGGTTGTCGCGTGAGCGCCAGACGTGGTACATGCTGCTGCTGCTGCTGCTGCTGCCGAAGGTGGAGGGCAGCTCCTTTGGCTTTGCTTCCTCCTCGTCCCCATTGCCGCCGCCACCGCCATCGGCTGAGGGCGGCTGGGGTTTGTGCAGCGGGAAGACGCGCGTGGTCGGGTTCAGGAAGGGCAGCGGGCCCGTGATGTGCTCTGCCGCGTAGTGACGCCCACGGAAGTGGGTGGTGGTGCGGTCCGTCATTGCTGCGGGTGTTTGACGACGCCTTGTGCTGTGAGAGAGAGAACCTCCCGGATGTGGAGACGAGGTGAGTTCGGATGCCGGTGCTTGGCGTTGGAGCCAAGACGGAGAATGTGGATCGGATCGGATCCCGAGGTCTTCTGGTAACGGTCCCGGTGCCTGACTGGGGTGCGTGATCTGGGACGGACACGAGTGAGGAGGCGAAACTCAGGTCAATCTGCTGCGTTGTGGTGGTGATTGGATGGCTCGGGGGAAATTACCGGGTGGGTGAGAGAGTAGATACGTCTTTGTGGTGGCCCAGCGTGTTCGGTTCCTCAACGAGGTTTTGCTGCACGACAGTAATGGCCCTCGATGTTGTGTTCTAACCCGCACCAGGAATCAGATGTCAATCAGGGTGTGAGGGGAAATAATGTCATGCCTTCGACTTGCTCGCCTACGTTACGCGCGCCGACGAGCCTCGGAAATGAGCTCCCGGGACGTTGTTCCATGTTTTTGACGTCTTATGACGCGGCTTGAGGATCATCGAACAACTAGTTACTACTATTCCCGCTCCGCGATGATTAGCTCGCAATACCCCTGGAAAAGACCAGGGCTCGTGAAACCTGTTTCTTGTCTAGGAGAATTGGTTTGGGACACCAAACTCTGGAAGGGTTTTACCCGCAAGACTCCCTAGGGTAATAAGCGACTGATCATGTGACACCTGAATGAATCTTTAAAGCTATGCGGCAGTGTTTATCACACATAGCACTTCCAAACACAAGCCTGCTCCGATTCTTCATTTCTAAATGTCATATAATATGCTGAAACTCCAATAAGGGTACAGTATCCTCAAAAAGTCTCCCTACATTTACCTTTTAACATTAAAACATATCACTTGAAATAATTCTATAATAATTTAATAACTATGATATATTTTTTAAAAAAATACTTTTAATGTATTATGTCTTTTTATATATCAGGTTTTAAGTATTTACTATTATATGAAGATACTATATATGGAATAGAAGTGAAACTAGTAAGATAATAGCAATAGTTGCTCGGGCTTTGCTGGCAAGGCAATTCATCCTTTCTAGGTACTGTATTTGTTGCAATGGGGTCTTGAGCGTTTACCACTGTATGAAAGCGCCGCATACGTTTTGCATGTATGGGGATTGGTAACGAAACCACTCATTCTTTCTAGAATTGCAATTGGTGCCCATCCTGAATGACTCAACCAAGACGGCCAGTGGGAGCCCCCATAACAGTCACATGCAGGCAGTGACGCAAACTGAAGCCAGTTGTAAGGATTGTTCGGGGTCAGCAGTTTCAAGCCCGCCAGACGTGTTTTCCAGAGTCGTACAGTGGACCTGTCCGACATGGCAGTACGGACAGGCTCCGGTTGTCGGGCTGCGGCGGCTTTGTTGCATTGTGCAGGCAAGTGTTGGTTGTAGGCCAGCTCAGTGGAGCCGATGACCTCCAGGCAGCCATAAACTTGAATAGCATCGCGTCTCCATACCAGCCAACGACACAACCAACCACTCGCTCCGCGCCTCATCGTCGGGAACACAACCTCTTACCTTGATCGGGTTAAATCGCGTGTTTGGCCATACCCTCTCTCCGCTTTTACTGCTCGCATTAGGCCGTCGTCATCCTTCAGTACAACAACAATATGGGGTTATTTTTATCCCGAAGAGGGCCTTCGGCCGATAGCACGCCCGCCGTACCCCCACCTGAAACAGTCTGTACAAAGCAAGATTACAAGAGTTTGCAGTTTGCAGTCGAGAATCTCGAGAAGACCATCTCTGAGACTAATGACAAGCGGCTTCGTGAGAACCAGCATGCCTGTCTGGCTTGGCTGAAAGAATATGGGCTGCCGATCCCAAAGCACGAGATCTGGGCCTTTGATGGGATTGTTAGGTGTCAGAGAAGTATAGACGGTAACAAGACCCGCTTTTCAATACCTGATTTCCCTGAACGCCGCCATGAGTGCTATGTTATTGTAAGTGCTTCCTCTTTGGTTCATAATACCGTCCCTACGTACTTGCTAATTTATATTCTAGGCCGCTCCTATATATATGGATCACTGGATTCCACTATCGGAGGATGACCTTCAAGCATAACTTCTTAGTCGCGCTGGAATTGTGCGCTGGAGCAATGTGAAACATTGAACCACGCTGGGTAGTGACTACCGTATTAAATACAAGTCAGAGCGTACTCCTGATTCAACCGGTTTGCTTTGGCTAAGATTCGGGCCTATGACTAGTTGCACTGCGGAATATTTGAGACCAATCCAACTGACTGCTTACTGAAAGGATCGCCGGGCCAAAAGTCCAGAATTCCCAGTCTCCTAATAAGTAGCATGTAAGCTCTATACCACCACACTATTCAAGTTAAGAAATAATAGTCTTACCATTTAGAAATTTACGGGTTAGTACCCCCAACACTAGGAATATACTAGAATTCTTTTCCTAGGTTTCAGCTAGACCTACAGAGGTGGTATAGTACTGTTAAGAACGAAGACGGGATAAGTACAACACAGAAGGAAGAGCAGAGGAGGCGATCTATCCGCAACATGGACCTTTGAGGTATGAGTAGTAAGGTAGCGGTGCATGAATAATAATTAAGAACACGTCTCATTCAACATTATTCTCAGAGACATTAGGCAGTTCCATTCCTCAAGAATCAGCTATGAAAGGAGGCCGGACTCACTTCGTCAGGCTGCAGCCATGCATCATCCAACATTTGTTTGACGGTCGGTCTCTCTTTTGGGTCCCAACACATGACTCTCCTGAAAAAGGCAATGAATTTGCATTTCTCACGGCCTTGCAAGTGCTTGACTTTTGTCTTCGAAAGCCGCATTTTTGGGTATGGGCACCTCTGATATCCAATTACCTATCACCTGTCAGTGACTCTTCAGGTTTCATGTGTCCAGCGAGATATTCATCCCTACCGTATTCATCCCAGATCTCGAGAAAGTCCTCTTTATCTTTCCTGATCATATGCAGAGGGGCAGGGCCATGTGCAGCTATCATGCTGGCGAATTGGACCTCGACATTGTAGTGACCGTCTTCGTCTTCACACTCGAACATCGGAATTCCTTCGAGCATAAACCACGCCTGACCTGCTTAGCTAATTCTTCAAAAGTTAAGGGTGATATGCTTACCGTTTGGACTAGGGCCCATATATCCACAGGGTATCCCCAAGCCAAATTCATTATAGCTTCTGGAGCACGAAATGCGTCCGGCATGATAAGGCCTTCGCGGTCGCCCTCAATTCAAGAATGCAACGTACTGGAGGTCCTTAGAGAGCCATATAGTTGATGAAGCCTTAAACCCAAGTTTGAGGATGGCTTGATATTGACCGTTGAAAACATCACCCTGCTTTACAGGGTAATAGTTCTGAGTATTGTATCCTTCAATGAGTTCTTCTTCGATCAGTTGGCTTTTATCTATCACCTCAAATCCAGTCGATGGGAATTGCAAAGGTTTGTGTGATGTCGCAGACCGAGCAGATCCCGTGCTTCGAGACATGTGTGGCAATACCTGGCTGGGTGGAGCGACTGCACAATGCCGCTGCGGAGCCGCCCGGAGCTGAGTGCCCGGACATCCTGGAACGGCAATGATTCATCGGCCGTTTGTCCCCAACAGTGTTGGTCTCTTCACGAGACTGCAAGATCTTGCACCGTGCTGACCCAAACTTGATAACTACGACATTCTTCCCCATAACTGATCACACGGTCGATAAAATTCACAAGACGGATCAGGATATCCAGCACTGGACGAAAGAGCACGACCAGGTCGACAAGGGATTGACTTGGGGAACACTTCATTTCTCTCCCCGGCAGGAGGTGCACCAGCAACATTAGTGAATTCCTGTTGAAGCAATAGGATCGTCGGGTATTTTATCCTCCTTCTCCATCGTCTGCCATGTCTGCTCCGAGCCTGCAGGTAAGTAAGCCATCGAGCAAGCTCCGTCGGCGGCAATCTGGCATGTAGACTGTTCCGACCCGGACCTCCCGGCTAACGACTCTCCAGGATCACTTCAAGGACAAGCCTCTCCAAGAGCACGGTTTCTTATGGAACCAGCTGTGGGAGCGCCAGATCACCAGCTGGGACCGCGGCGGGCCCAGCCTCGCCCTGCGCGAGACCCTCCTCACCTACCCTGAGCTCTTCGACGGTACATACCCCGACCCAGGGCTGCTGAGCGACTTCGTTGGCCACGGGCTCGTCCAACAAGACACCTCATCGACAGCCTCAGCTCCGGCTTCCAAGAAGACAGCCCTCGTGCCAGCTTGCGGAACGGGCTACGACGCGGTACTCCTGGCCAAGGTGTTCGGCTACGACGTGGTCGGGCTCGAGATCTCACCGACTGCGCTGCATGCTGCCAGGAAACACCTGGACGGCGTCGATAAGTTCCTGGAAGCACAATACGCGGAGCCACAGGAGGTCACTGCCATCGACCCGCCAATGCGCTTCTGGGCCGAGAACCAGCACCCCTCCCCAGGTCATGTCCGCTGGGTCTCTGGCGACTTCTTCTCAGATGACTGGCTGGCCGATGCCGGCGTTGAGAAGTTTGATTTGATTTTTGACTACACTGTAAGCCCTGCCCAAGTCCTCGATACACCGTGCTGCCTTGCAGTGGTCACAGGGCCTTGTTCGCCTCCCCACCTGGAGTCGCCCACCCCTGCTGGGGCTAATTGTTGATCAAACTTCAGTTCTTCTGCGCAATTCCTCCCTCTTCGCGGCCAAAATGGGCAGCGAGAATGCAGCAACTCCTCGCCCGGCCCAATGGCAGGCTGGTATGCCTCGAGTTTCCTACCGGGAAGCATCCATCGACAGGCGGCCCTCCGCACAGCGCTGCGTTCTGGTTCTACCAATTGCATCTCTCCAATCCTGGAAACGAACAGATCATCACCTACGAAAAGAAGCATCCGGCTGAGCAGGATCCTCGACAAGATGCCGGTCAAGGACAGGAGTGGGCCGTCACTCCCCACGCCGGCACATCCTCTGGCCCAGGGTTCGCCATGATCACGCGTTTCAAGCCAAGTATAACCCACGCGTGCGGCCAGGATTCGCAAGGCTCGTTTGGTCGGGACTGGATCTCTGTCTGGGGTCATTCACTGGCAGCAGGCCCGTGAAGCGGAGCAGGAGATAGTAATGATGGTTTAAATCCACTGTTTAGGTAATGTCTGCAACCCAAGCTTCATCTAGAAAAGATCTAGAAAAGCTAATCTACGCAGGTCTTAGGCCATCAAAACGATCCACTTTCAGCCACATGTTCCGTAGCCGCCAACATTGTTCGCGCCGCCCCAAAAGACCGCGTAGACACCGGAATGTGGAAATATAAGATGGCTTCGGATGAAGTTCGCTTTTTGCGTTACCAGAATTGTAGCGTCACAGACTTTGAGCGGTGGGGACCCTCACCAGAGAGCATTTGTTGGACGTGAGTGAGGTTGTCACACTGGATTAAGCATTAATAATCCGCAGCTGGCGCTAGAGGGCTGTTAGATCTCGTGCAGATGTTAAGAAGTTGAAGAATTTGTGGTGAATATGATTATAATTGCTGGGATCGTCAACTGCAATTTGATGAAGAATAGTGAGGTCAGGGCCACAGTGAGTGTCCTTGAAGACATCAGCTCCGCGATCTAGACTATGATGGTTGGATTAAAGGGCAGTGTGAGGAGAACACCCTCCTCTATCCCAAGCGCATTATGTTGTAGACAGACTCATGACAAAAGTTTATATAAAATTGTACAAATGTATAAATATATAAATGATGTATATTTACAACTCTGGTTGTAGATAATAGCGCTGACGTGAGATATCGGAACACCGGACAAGGCCCAGACAGTTCAAACTCAAGAGATCGGAAATTCACGTACCCAAAATCAGAAGGCACATACCCTCTACTAACCAAGAAAGTATCCTATACAAGACTTCTCACGAAAGGGCCGGCCAGGGTAAAGGGGGCAAGCCTCGAAGCGCGAAGTACAACGGAGGGCCGTGAGTAGGGCCGGTAGGCACGACCTGAGTTCCTAGGGGACCAACCCGCCCTGCTTATATCCCTAAAATCACAAAGAACAGTTTTATACTTTAATTAACTACACCTCCACAGGGGCAATAAACGTTATTTTCTATAGTAGAGGCCTACTCGCCCCACTATAAAGGGTAAGTCGTCTTTCTAGTAAACTTTATAGTATAGAGACTTGAATAGATCGGTTAACTCTTTAGGAATAGTATCTACTACCTTGGTCCCTAGTGTGTTCTCCTGATTTAGTTAAGTATTGGAGTTGTGTGGGCCTAGGTGGGTTGAGACTTCAGGATTTAACGTTTGTTACCCTGGTGAAGGTGTAGATAGCTGAAAAGGTTTGCGCCTTTCGATTTTGGGTACGTGAATTTCCGATCTCGAACTCAAAATGGCTGGATGCCGAGACTCTGGGCCTGAGGCAGGTATGGTATTCGTGTTCACGTGTGGCGCAGGCGGGGTCCACGTCAGATCTGGTGCGGGCGTATTACTTCACAACACTCCAGCTCCCAGTCGATCATCTCAGTCAATCGATTAAATTCCCCTTCTGTAGCAACTACAGGCAAGAACAACCATGGATCGACTCTCTCACCCGCCTCACGCTGTTGCGGACCTCTCTAGGTTCAACTTCACTCTGGCGCAGGAGGACATCGACGCACTGAATGCTCTACTCAAGCGTCCTCTGCCCATCGCAACATGGGAGAACAGCAGCCAGCCCGACGAGCGGTTCGGCATCAGCCGTGACTGGCTTTCCAACACCATCTCGCAGTGGCAGAACTATGAGTGGCAAGCACACAACACACCGGCCTGTACATAACATCAGTAAGCTGACGAAGAAACCTTAAAAAACCAGGGCCAAATACCAGGAGAGGATCAACAGCGTGCCCAACTTCAAGCTCGCCGTCGAGGACGACGGCGAGGAGTACAACGTCCACTTCGCCGCCCTCTTCTCGGCCCGCGAGGACGCCACGCCCCTCATCCTCATGCACGGCTGGCCCGGCTCGTTTCTCGAGTTCATGCCGCTGCTGCTCAAGCTACAAGCAGCCCACGCCTCGGACCCGGCCTCGCTGCCGTACCACATCGTAGTCCCCTCGCTGCCTGGATACGGGTTCACGGCCGTCGGCACGAGCAAGAACATGCAGACGCCAGACGCCGCGCGCATCCTGCACAAGCTCATGCTCAAGCTGGGCTTCGGGGCCCCTGGCTATATCGCGCAGGGCGGGGATTTCGGCTCGGCGCTGGCGATCCACATGTTCAAGGGGTTTGACGAGTGCATTGGTACAGTTTTAACCTCATCCCGGCGCTCCTGGCTGTTACACTGGAGAGATTGGGGGCTTGCAGGCTAAATCACATCGTGCAGGTGCTCATGTAAACATGCTGTTCTTGACGCCGCCTAAGGAGGAAGGAGTAGCCCCTCCGACGGAACAGGAACTGGTGACACTGAAACGGGTGGAAGACTTCCGCGCCACTGGTTCGGCTTACGCCCTGATTCAAGGCACCAAGCCCTCGACGGTCGGTCTGGCGGTTGCAAGCAGCCCGCAGGGCCTATTGTCTTGGTGAGTCGAAGAACCAGCAACCTCTTGGGGCGGATAGCCATCAGAGCTTCCCTGTCGGCGAGGTGCGACAGGATGGCGAAATTATAGGGGGAAACACTTGTTGCAGTCACTAATCAAGCTGAGCCGCGCCACCAGGATCGGCGAGAAGATGGTCCTTTGGTCACACGCGACCCCGTCCATGCAGGATATCCTCGACAACGTCTCGCTATATTGGTTCACCGGCTGCTACCCTTCAAGCATCTGGGGCTACCGAGAGGTAAGGCCTACTACCGACACACCTTGAGCGCCCCGTATTCCGAATGTCTATCGGGCGCCGGGGGTCTAAATCATTGATGGATACTGACAATTGGATGTCGTGATCAGCTCGTCAATGCCGATATCGAGAAGATCTCCAACTTCTGGGGTCTCGGCGACCACAAGAAGCCCTTCGGCTATTCTTATTTCCCGTTCGAGATCACTTGCGTACCGAAGAGTTGGTGTGATGCCACGGGTAGGGTCACTTTCTACCGGGCTCACGATAAGGTGGTTACCAATTCCTTTTCTTCCCTCTTTCAAAATGTTGCAGTCACACAGCTAAAGGCATGGGGACCACTGACGTTGATGTGTTTAGGGCGGACATTTCGCTGCCCTCGAACTTCCGGATGTCTTATGGAAGGATATTGTAGAATTCGTTGACCACGTCAAGGCTTCTGAATAACTTGAATGGGGCCGGAACCCAGAAACGCGCTGAGGCTGGGTTGGTGGCAGGGATAGTAGTAACGACGTTCATTGACAGACATCAGCAGCCACAAGTCCAAACTCGAGGACTTTGAAAAAGCTCGGTACAGCTTTCAAGTCGCGGGGCCAACTGGTACAACTTTAGGGTAGGCATTGAATAGGACCAGTGCCCAGGTGGGATGTACGTAGTTACGTCTCCAATTTCAACTGTGGACATTTCTCGAGTAACATGTATAAAGTTTAGGTGTATACGACCCTAGAGCGGCGTAGTGGTCACAGCGCCGGCTGGGCTATACATGTAGAGATACGTCTCGGCGGGTTCCAATTCAATGCGCCATCTGATGACCATCCGGCTGTCTGTGACTCAATTGAAGGGGGTACCGGTACCGAAAACCCGGTGGATCTCGTGGAGGCCGAAGGCAGTAGGAGGTCGCGTTGGGTGAAGACATCCACTACTGCCCTTATGCGTCTCTTCTGCAGGTACCGTGGAGCATTCTCCGGGGCGGGATGTCCATCGACATACCACAACCCTAGGACTTGAGGCCACGACATACACAAACTCTTACAGTTTGTCGCCCTTGACCAAGTGCATAGTGACCACCGCGGCGGGAGACACAGTGAGCCGAGAGGAAATGGATACACCCACACCTTTAGGGGGGGGGGGGTGGACACAATGGTTATATGAGCGACTGGCCTAGCTATGGTTTAAAACTTATACACGTAGTCCTCATCTAACGCCAGCCTTAGATTGACGGCGTTCGTACACACCGCATCAGAAATCGCTAACGGTCCATCCATACTAACAAGTAGACGTTGCTTGTCACCGAGACAGAAACCTAGTGCACCCATTTACTCTCCAGTCAGCAGACAGCAAGGTAAAACAGAAATTTGTGGCGAAGCTTCCTTAGTCTACATGTCAGCCTGCGAGCTCAGCAGCGTAAACTTGTGATTGCCACGTTGCTGTGTTTCGCGCTCTTCCTAACAGCTTGTTTGCATCTATGAACATCCCTTATGTGTGACTTACAAGGACTGAATGGCAGAGTACGCTCGTGGTATAAAATAGACCCAAGTCTTCAAGATTTGTCCCTGGTTTCTCCATCCATCAGAACACAGCCGTTTTTGAGATTGTCTGAATACAAGTCTCGCCTGCAAGATATTCGAGAGTACTCCCCTCCAGAGAAGCCAACATTCAAAAGACTTAAAGCCCGAACCACATTCAAGTGGACAGTCTTCCACGTCCAGGTACTCCAGAGAAGAATGGGTTCACTGTGTGGCAAGCCCAGTGGGGATCGCGAGGCGCGGCGAGCGCGGCGAGCGCGGCGACCTGATCTGCCGCTTGAGACCATGAATGCTGGGACCGCATTGGCAGACTCTAGGGGTATATACTGCCCCTGCAAGCAAGACTGCGCCAAACACAGAAACCTGGAGCATTGCCAAGTCTTAACGCGTCGTTTATGCCTGGACTGTCGAAAGCACTCTGTTAATGAGGCGGCGGAGATAGGCCGAGCATTCAATACGCCGGGGTGGCACGTCGCGGGTCAGCCAGGCTCAAGTCGGCCATCTCGCCCATCTCGCCCATCTCGTGCCGCATCGTCTCGCCGCCACGGAGGCTCGAGTCACCGCTGAAATCGCCCGCCTGCACGGATTTGAAGACCCCTATTGACAACGGAACGACCTTTCTTCACAATGGGATGGTGTCAAGATACGGGGTAGCCAATGCATAGCACCTTGGCAGCTATTTTTTCGGTCGCGGCTGTTTTTTTTTGGTGGCAGCTGCTTTTGGTGGCAGCCAGTTTTTTGTTAACAGTCGGTTTTTGGTAATAGCCGGTTTTGGGAATGACAGGTGGCAATTGCCAGTCCTGTATAATATTTAAGTGGCGATAGACGGCTACTAGTAATGGAATTCAGCAGCCCTACCTAGGTAGAGGCTCGCAGCGCCCTTGATGACATCTGGATGCAATGGCACAGAGCAAAAGGGAAAGAGAACCATTGTGAAGTGAAAGTGATTTGAACATGAGACTGTCAAGGCACTTTCATGTACAGTGCTGCGTATAAATCGTGAAGATTTGTATTTGGTATTGATGCTCCAGCGAATCTTGAACACGTGTTCGCTGGCTGCTGGGCTTCTAAGGCAGAGCGTGAAATATTGGTCGACTGTTGACAGGATGCCGCGTGAATTCGGAAAGTGTTGCATTCTGATCGACTGGGGTCATCCATAGGCCCGACCATCTTCAGTGTGGATTTTGAAGTAAGATTCTTTAGCTTCCCCATGAAAGCCACGGGTCCCAGAGACGGTAGAGATAATTCTGACCTCTGGCTACGAGTCTTTTCTAAGAAGGCAAGGATCGAAAAGTAGCAATGCCAGAATCAAAGCAACCAGAGTAGGTATTTTGGGCTCAAATATTGTCCAGCGTTGAAGTTGTTCTGCGATATCTTCGCCTGGATCAGCGGAACTGGTGTATGCATGAGGTCAACTGGAGTTTAGCTTACCCTAGGGTACACAAGCTGGTTGGTTCCCCGGCCCAGAGCATGCATCAAAGTGAGCGAGCACTGTGATCAGGCGACCAACCAAGGCAATAGTTGCATTGATGTCCTTCGAGCAGTGGCCAGGGCCATATTCGAAGTAAGCGCATTAACAGTAAGACATCATCGGTATCCCGGTGTGAAAGTGGTAACAAGTAACATTCTACATTTTCCTCCTGCCCATTCGTGGGCTAGCAACTCCTGGCACAAGCAGAACTGGATTGAACAAATCAATGGATACCACTGCGCGCGATCCATGTCTATCAGCCAATCCATATTGATTAGATGGCCGGCATGGAAGCCATAGTTGAACCAAGAAAACCCCTGATCGCAGCGAAACTACGATACAGTGGAAACAGACCAGATATAACCCTTCATGTTGGAGGAAATCCCGAGGTCAGGACCTCGATGAGCCAACAGCACGTAGAAGACGCGCACAAAAGCCAGCTTGAACTCGGTTGAGTATTCATCCATAGAGCACGGAAAAGAGAACGGAAATTCGCATACCCTTAATCAAAAGTCGCATACCTATCTACTAACTAAAAAGTATTCTATATAAAACAACTTCTTCTTAAAAGGGCTAGCTAGAGTGAAGGGGGTAAGCCCTAAAGTATAAAGTATAGTAAAAGGCTATAAGTAGGGCTAATAGATATAACTTAAGTTCCTAAAGGACTAACCTACTCTATTTATAATCCCTTATTATAGAGAAGCCTTATTTATTAAAGTTATAAAGACTTTAAGGTTCTATACTCTAATTGGTTGAATAGTAGGGAGGGTATATACCTTCTAATTAAGGGTATGTGAATTTCCGTTCTCACGGAAAATATGTTAATTTTAACTGAGCCCTCTATATACGCAGACAGGGCCGCAATGGTTCATTGGCCCGTGAGCCTTCTCTTGGTCTATTCTGCACGAGAAGCTGCTCTGCATTGAATACTTCAATACAGTTATTATCTCGGTGGAATTGCATGCAACTGGCGACATCCTCGTGAAGTTGGGGCCAATGGGGGCTCAACGCAATCTTGAAAAGACACAGCGAAGAGGTAACACGCACAATAGACATTTCAAATCAAGTCTGGGTCACAAGTCAAATATTTGGGAGACTAGTCGGAGGCTAGGAAAGCTTATTGACCCTGCCTCCCAGCCGTCAATCATCTCTCGCTAACAACACGGCAGTTGCGGAGTATTTCAGTCGCCGACTAGGCGACGATCATATCTGTGGTACTCCGGTTGGTAATTATTACTCGGCGCCAATAGCAAAGTCCGGGGAAGTCTTAGCATCTGGAATAGTTGACGTCAAAACTCACCCTACTTACTTAAGTGCCTAAGCAGTAGTGGGGAGACTTTAGCAACGGCCCCGCCTAACTCCAAAATAATCATCAGAGCAATAGCCGAGGGCCGTTCGGAGACGGCATCTCACGATGACTACCAACTGATTCAACCCCTGCCTCATCAGATATATCCCAACACCCAACCCACCCACGAAAACAAGCCCAACCAAAGGCAGTTTAATAAAAGAACAACAAGAATAAAAAAAAAATGCCAGACCACAACCCCAAAACCCTAAGAGGCCTAAAAGCCCTAACCTTCGACGTCTTCGGCACAGTAGTAGACTGGCGGCGCCCCGTAGAAGCCGCCCTGACCGCAGCCCTCAAGCCGCAAGGACACAGCCTCCAGCGCCGCCGCTCGGCCACGACAGAGGACGAGGCCGCCGAGCGCGCCGATGCCGAGGCGCGCGCGGCCGCCCTGACGCCCGCGCACGTCGCCGCCCTCGCGCAGGAGTGGCGCGACAGCTACAAGCGGTTCACGCACGGGTTCCGGCCCGGGCTGGACGCGTGGAAGGACGTCGACGCGCACCACCACGACAGCCTCGTGGCGCTGCTGCGGCGCCACGGGCTGTGGGGGGTTTTTGCCGCCGTGCCGGGTGGCGGCGAGGACGCGGCCGCGGCCGCGGCGGGGGAGGTGCGGGAGCTGAGTCTCGTCTGGCACCGGCTCACGCCGTGGCCCGACTCGGCGGGCGGGCTGCGGGCGCTGGGTGCCGGCGGCGGGGATGGGGATGGGGACGGCGGGGCCGGCCTCGGCCTCGGCCTCGTCACGGCGACCCTGTCGAACGGGAACCGCGCCCTGCTGGAGGACCTGGACGCCTTCGGGTCGCTCGGGTTCGGCAGGCTCCTGTCCGCCGAGGACTTTGGGGCCTACAAGCCCGACCCGAGGGTGTACCTCGGCGCGGTCGAGAGGCTGGGGTGCGAGCCCGGCGAGGTGGCCATGGTCGCCGCGCACCTCAACGACCTCGACGCCGCGAGGAAGCTGGGGCTGCGGACCATCTACGTGGAGCGGGACGGGGAGGAGGACTGGCAGGTCGGGAGCGAGAGGTATGAGGCTGCGAAGGGGTGGGTTGATCTCTGGGTTGGGGTGGACGACGGCGGGTTTGTTGAGGTCGCGAGGAGGCTGCGAGATGTTCTTTGAGAGCGTTGGGTTGTTGGGCTATTTCATATCTTGTTTCATGCGTCTACTCGTCTGCCTTCCTCAGCATTCTGAGTTGTCATTCAAACGTTAATATTGCTCATTCACACGGACTTTTTAGAGACGAGACGAGCAGGCATTGTGGCATCATCACACGAAGAGAGAGCCTAGGACTGAATTGCTACTGCATTTTGCAACAGCGGTTAACTACCTAGGTACCCAGGTATAGCGAACGCGATTCTCTCACATTTTCCGCAGGTCTAAACGCAGATGATAGACACTGCCACCAAAAGCTCTAGAACCTCCCTCTTCTAGAAAATTGCCAAGTTTAGATCGAAGACCGATCGAAGACCCATACCAGACGCTACACAACAAATATGGCACTACAGACATCAAATCAGCTGTAAGATGAAGTGCTTCCTCCCTGCAATGGAACATCGGATGGCCATTTCGGAGAAAGCCATCCGGTCCTTGAACGACGCCCTTGTCACCGCCATATTGATACAAGAGACACACCCAGACCAATAAAGGGTATGCCTCCGTGTGAGCGTATGTGGGCTAGGAACGAACCACAAAAACAGCGGCGACCAAAGCGTTACACCAGCATTCCTACTACAACCTCAGGCTCAAGATTACGGAGGTACGATACGCGCAAGCATCATGGTCAGGGCAGAACGGAAAACCGGGTACCGTCCGTGGCACCCCAGCCAGACTGGCCAGAGCGAGACGCAACGCAAGCACTGCTACCAGAAAACGTGTAAAATTTTCCTCCACCACCGGGGCACCCACCGGCAAGTTCCTCGACAGGAACGCCCTCCTTGGCGTCGATTCGGCCTTGCCAGGAGCGGGGCCCACCCACAGCTCCGTAGGCGAGAGACAACAGCCACAGCAGCGGTCGGTCGGGCAAGCGCTATGTATTTGAAAATGAACACCACTGGCAGTCGGGAAGATTGGTATCGAGTCATCAACCGGCCCGTTGCGGCAGTCATGTTGGACGGTCTAACCACACAGGGGGGCGGTGGCCCCGTCACCCGGCGCTCCCACCCAAATATGTCCAGAGACCCCGGTGTTCTGGCCCAAAGCGTCTGGTCTGGGGAAATTCCTACACCCAGTCCTCGGAAATAACTTGTACACCATGGTATTAACCCCCAGCGACGCGAGAAGATTGGGCATCCTTTACGGGTCGGGGTGGGAACGTCTTCCCTTCCGTGCTGCCCGAGTGCAGATTGCGGGACGAGTAACTACCCATCCTCTTCACGCTCGCTGTCAACATGCATCTGGAAGCATGTGGGACTTGAGAATTTGTGGGACGGCGCGATGGGGCCTGGACTGCGCCTGCAGCCTTGCTGGAGGCGGGACACGACCTCCGGCCAGCTCCTCGTTCATGATCGGAACTTGTGCTGCATCAAACCAGCATCGCCCAAATCGCCGCTCGTCCAACGACGCCTCAGCCTGGCGTCAGTGGGATAGTCCGCAACAGCACATCCCCCCATGTCACACACACACACACACACACACACCGCAGAGATGAATCCCCAGTGCGTACTTGCGCCGCCTTCCACAATTGTACGTCGCGGGAATAACCGACGGGTATGAAACCAGAGAGGCCATCATGAGACGGAAAAAAAGCCAAGCCCGCGTCCCATTACGCGCACACGAACAGACAATACGCAATCTCCCCCCTCCCTCCCCCGGGTGGGCGGCAAGGCGCCAGTCAGCAGACCGCCGCCTGGATGGGAGGGGGGATGGGAGCCTCATATGATAAAACACACCATTGATCTGCGGCGCGCCACTGGCTGTCTCGCATGCGGTGCTTGGTGGCACGCTCGCACACGGGTGAGACTTTTTGACGGGTACCCGCGCCGGCATTGACTGACTCGATGGACAAGGGGGGGGATTTTCCCGCCGTGGAAAAGTTGAGCATTGTGGCACGCAGGCAGCACTGGTCCTATTCTTCTGGGACATGGGGCGAGGCTGAGTTCGCAAACGGGGGGGGGGGGGGTTAGAGCGCGCACGCTGAGAGAGAGCGTGCGTGCTGGTTGGCGTGAGCAGACAAGACATTGTGAAGGGTGGAGAAGAATCTCGACCCTGCCAACTACCCACCACCACCAGCGTGCGACAGAAGCAACATCGAGGCATGCGCGGTACTTGTCCGGGTATGCTGGCACGTCGCATGGCCGTTATGCGCCCGGAAGCCACCCCCACGCGCCCACGGCCCCGCGGAGGTACTCGTTGACAATCTATTGCTTCCCCTGCCTCTGTACGGCAGTGTTTGCGATATAACATGCAGCGCCCGGGTTTCAGTCAAGGCAGAGTCCTTCGGAGTGGCGATGGGCAGGGCAGGGCAGGGCAAGCCGACCCGGGGATCAAGATTCCTGTGCTTGGTTCGCACACGGGAGATCGGTGGACGACAACGACAATGTGCGACGGCGGGCTTGGAAGCAGCTGCCCGCGGGAGGAAGCCGTTGACAAGTCCACAGTCCGTCCATCCACCCCAGGCTGCCCACGCACACAAGTCCGGCTAGCCCCGGCATGCTTGGATATGGGAGCTCTCCGTAGAGCCTCGTAGGCGATGTCCAGCCGCGATACGGGGTGTCCAACATCCGGCCTCGGTCGCCCTGGACACTTGATGGTACTGACGAGCATCTGAAAACCCATCTTCCTGAAGCATGTGACTGAGATGGCAGTACGGAGTAAGGTAGGATCACAGCCGGCGGTCCGCGGGCCGATCTGTCAAGGAGAAAGCAACGAGGGCAGCAGTGGATTGCGTAATGCGTGGATTGCTTTTCCAAACCCCTTCCTACCTTGCCGCTGAGGGCGGGTTTAACCGCTCGGTCGATGCTTCTGGACGAGTGGTCGGCAGCCGTCCAAGCAAGGACGTGTCACATCTGATGCATTTTGGGTTGACGGCAGTCCGGCCAGGCGCAGGGGAAGCGGGCGTCTTCCAGAAGGAGTCGGCCTGGTCCTTCTCTGGTTGTCTGGCAATCTCTGGCCTCGACCTCTGGCGTGCTAATCTCCGGGACCCCCTGCCCCTGCCCCCCCTGTCTCGGCTAGGACGTTTGGCGACGTGAAGGGTGTTGTCCACGTGACATGGCGCTGCTGCGTGTGTTCAAACCTTGAGCCGGAGGGTCGTGAGGCGGGCCTGGTGGCGGGCTGGCATGCTACCTCCGTGCCAACGTGGTGGCTTGTGGCGTGCCGACCGGTTTCCAGGCGGCCGAGCAGCCCGAGTCGACCATCAATCAGAGCCCAGTGGAATGAGAAGTGCGACAGGCTTGGCCGCCGGGTGCAAGTCGGCGATTGTTGACGTTGGGAGGCATGCAGGTATGGTTCTTTTGCCGAAATTGACCACCACCCCTTGCTTTTCGACGGCAGCCCTCGCCTGATCAGACCTAGTGGCCAGCGCTCGATTGGAAATGTCGTGACGAGCCCAGCACAATCGGGCCAGGGTCTTTGGGTGCCCTGAGCTTGGGGGTTTGGGGGTGTGTGCAGGCCTTTTTGCGGGCGGTCCTGACATGTCGACGGTGATGGTGACGGTTTGGCGCTACATAGCGTGTGTGAGATCAGTTGTTAGCAGCTCACCTGCGAGGGTTATTTGACGACGGCGGTGGCGACGGTCGTCTTGGCATTCTGGGTGCATGTCAGCATGTCACTCTGCATCAGGGTTGGGGGGGGGGGGCAGCACAAGTGGTGGGGGCCCAGGGGGGTGGGGGGCTGAGGAGGAGGAGGAGGAGGAGGAGGGGGACGGGTACTTGGGGATGGAAGAGTAGCCGACTTGGAGGTCTCGAAGTGACAGGGAGCTACAGATGCTTGATTGAGGTGCATGCGATGCTTCTTCGTGGAGAAGGTCGAGACTGTGCAGCAGGTGATGATCAAGGTGTATCCAGGTCAGAGCAACCTGGACGATGCGACGCTGGGTCCGTAGTCACCCGTTCCGCGTACATACAAAGTGGACTATGGAGTACAGTGTCTGAGTGTCTGAGTGCCTAGCTAAGCTGCTAAGTACTACTACTACCCTACCCTCTCTGCCTCTCACGGGCAGACGGGTTTGGCGGAGAGCGGAACGGCGGCGCCAGCCAGTCCCCGGTATTACTACTACTGCTATTATTATTACTTAAGTACTATTGTTATTATTGGTGTTGATTATTGTTCGGCAGGTCGTGATCATTGATGGCGTCCCCAGCGATCGCTAAAAACGACCGATGACAGCCCTGAGGAGGGGCCCGAACGGGAAAGGAAAGGGAAGAAAAGAAATTTGGTTTAGGAAATGGAGACTGAATGGGACTAGAGGGGACCGGAGGGGACTGGAGACGCGAAGGTGACGGCGGAGATGGATTAGTTTCGAGAAATTGACGAGACTGGCCATGTCAGCGGCCGCCTCGTGTCGACAGGCCCAGCCAACGGTCCTTGACGAGACACGACAATCAAAAGCAGACCTGTCATTCCACCCGGCTTCCTGTTGTTTGATTGTCTTGTCGTCTCGCCCATTTCCCATGTTTCGCGATGCAGCAAGAGCCCCATTCCCACGTGGGCGGGCATGGTCTGAGCTTCTCGCTTGCGCTGGTGGTGGCACCTTGCTTGCTCTTTCCTTCCTTCCTTCCATCCTTCCATCCTTCCTCCTGTGTCCGTACGGATAGAGCTAATAGTAAGAGATAAAGGAGTACCTTCCTCTGTCAGTCAGCCTGGTTGTTCCCATATTGAACCGTTCAATGGCTGACTGCTTGCTGTGCACAGCTGCCTTCCTGCCTCGTGTGTGTCTGTCTGACCGTATGATATCTGCCGTACGGTACAAAGGTACATGATGTATTTCTGAGCCTGAGGCTAATTGGCCGTGTCTCGATTCAAGATTGACGGACTCGGTATTTCGGCAAAATCCTGCTGGATCTTTGCCCCCTTCTCGAACTCCAAAATGCCCAGGTCATCGGTGGTTGGATAAGGTGATAATGTGTGTGTGTGCGGGCGTGGTGTTGTTTTGCTGCAGTACGGAGTACTTTGATCTTCAATTTACTATCAATCCCTGCCGCAAGCACCACCGGTCCACCGCAGAGCTGCCTTTTTAACCCTGTACCCTGCCAGATTGGGGGACCCAGCTCCCGTTCCCCCCGCCAAAATGCAGGTGCGGTCATATGGCTTGGTAGGGAGTACTCTGGTACTCTGGTACTGTGTAGAAATGGCCCACGCTTTCGACGGCGCCCGCGCTTCTGAGTGCTTTTGAGTGTGCCCTCGACCAATATCAGACTGTGTTGTCTGTCGACTCGCCCGTTCTTGGCTGCCATGCTATCCAACGTCCGCCCTACCGTGCCCACATGCTCGCATCTCGCCTTGCTGCACCGTGCACGCGAGCAACCGACTACGTTATTGTTGCCACGATCATCGACCCCTATTGCACGTCACTCCATCGCTCACTCCATCACTCGTCTCGCTCGCCTCCTCGGGTGCCAACGCCATTCATGTCCAAATAAAGCCAGATGAGAGGGGAGTTTTGGGCTGGGCTTGGGGCTTGGGCTCGGGCCAGGGCGTATTATTAGGCTTTGACAAGCCAGCCAGCCAGCCAGCCTCTTCTCCCCATGCTCGCTCGGCTGTCGCAATACCTAGGTATTTTGGGAGAGCCTTCGGGTCCTCCAAGCGAGCCCTGCCCTGCCCATGGCCGAACACGGTAGCGTCCCCCGACCCCCGAGGCCCGACGTGCCAAACACACGACAAGACACACACACAGGACACAAGCAGACAAGGGGCCGTGTCTCTTGTGTACTATTACCCTATTCCACCCAGCCTGCACGCCCGCCCGCCCGCCCACCTGTCAACTCGCACCTGGCTTCCCGCATCCACTTTGCACCTCATGTCCCGACGGGGCGGGACCACCTTCGCCATGGGGCTCATCAAACGGAACACCTCGCCTAGGCTTGCGGATCCCTCAGTGCCGTGGGTCTGGCCCTGCCTCCCGCCAATACCATTATGGCCGCCGAAAGAATCTGAGCTCTACCCCTACCCTTCCGGGAGGCCCTCGGCGGCCAGGCGGCCAGGCGGGCAGGGTTTGGGCTGGGCTGCCTGGCCTGGACGGGGAAGCTGTCGTTGACCGTCATCTTGTGATTGTGATTGATGCCGGGATGGGATGGGATGGGTCCAGTTCTGTACACTCAGACACTACATGCTGTATGTATGTACATATTGCCATACCCATGCCCAGGCCCATGCCCTGCCCAGGCCCCATACCCATGCCATTGCCATGCTGTGCCCATGCCATTGCCCCCAGGGCCCCCCCCCCAGGGCCCCATATCCCAGGGTGCCGCCGCCGTCTTCAAAGTTCACGCAGGGCGAGAGCTCGATTCAGGAGGCGATCCATGGCAAGGGTCGAGGTGGCAGGGTCTGTTCGGCATCGAGGGGCTCCCTCTCAGCCCATCCTGGCTGCCTGCTGGGACTCCTTCATCAAGCTGAATATTGGGATTGACTTGGACAACCTAACAACTCGCCCTGCCCTGCCCTGCATACCACGCTGCGTGCGCACGGCGGTACGGGTAGGGCATGTGGTCTGCTGACCGACCCCACCCACCTGCGAACCGGTGTCCGGGCAGGATAATGACAGGTGGTCGGCCATAGCCACGGCCACGGCCGCGGCCACGGAACGGCCAGCACCAGGTTGACGACGTGCTCGTGCCGTGCCGCCGTGCGCTATCTGGCTGGCATCCAGATGCCGAGCCGTACGATAGGATACAGTGCGCCGGGGGGCGAGGGTTGGCTGGCCTCTGAGCCTCTGCGGCCAAGGGACTACACAGTACTATGTAACAGCAGTACCACCGCAGGACACGCAGCATTTGCCTCTCCTCTACTAGAGGTCATCCAATCCAGCCTGGCAGTCCACTCTTCTCCACATTGGAACCCAATGCAAGTCAGTCGGGCTGGCTGGCGCCTGCTGGCGTGCCTCAAATAGCAGCAGTTTCTTTTTGACGGAATCCCAGTGATTAATCCCGAGGGGAGACATGGCGCGGGCAAATTGCGACTGGGCCACCTGCTCTAGCAGGGCTGCACTATGGACCAACCAAGGCTGCCGCGAGATTTGATGCCAAGCTGTTAAGGGGGGCAACTGGCTACACAGTAATGGATGGGATGCGTGGCGGGTGGGGGCGAGGACGAGGAATTGCTTCTCTGCCGTCTGCCGCAGCACCCAACCCTGCCAACCCAACCCAGCCTGGGCGGCCTACCGTCAGGTCTACCTGCTGGACTATGGTGGTATTCCAGGTAATCTGTACCCAGCCAGCAGCCAGCTCAAGCACCTACCACAGTGGTAGGGCCTACCCGCACATCTGCGCCTTGCACGGCTGGCCTGGGCACTTTTTTTTTTTTTTTTTGCCTTCCAAACTCCCAATTCGATTCCCACCTGGGACACTTACTATTTCCCCTAGGTTATTCCGGTGGCATATCATGCCCTGGTCCTGCCCCGTCTCTCTAGGCGCTCTTGTCCACATCCCAGTCAACCAACCAGTCCTAGACAGATAGATAGACAGACAGAAAGACAACAACCCTCCCCCCCAATCCAAAAGCTTGGGCCTGCCCGCCCGCCCTCTTTTCCACACTTCTCCACCATTCCCACAGTCCTTCCCCCCAAACAGGCACAGCAGCAGCAGCAGGGTGGCAGACAGACAAGACTGAGAGATAGAGAGAGAGTGTGGGCAGTGTGCACAGAAGTACCAGCAGCAGTTCCAGCGGCAGCAGCAGATCATACCAGGCCAGAACCAGACCAGACAGAGCACCGCTTTTATTATTGCTTATTATTTACTCGACCGTGCGTGGGCTGCACACGGCACTCGTCCGTACAGGCATACTGATAGTCCTCCCTCTGCCCTGGCCATATCTCTGGACGGAAACATTGAACAAGCAAGCAAAGGACCTGCAGTCAGTTCAAGTCAGGTCAAGTCGGTCCATCAATCTATCAAGCAGCAAGTTGATGGGTTGTTGATTGGATCGATTCATCGTCACCAAGCGGGCTCCGGCTCCCTTCATCCCAGCCTGATCTTTTCCCGCACTGCCCTGCCCTGCCCGCATCTTGCATCTTGCATCTAATACGCACCTCGCATCAATCCAATCCAATCCAGTCCAGTCCAATCCCAATCCCAATCCCAATCCACCCCCAGCCCAGTCCCAGTCCCAGGCCCAGTCCCAGGCCCAGTCCCAGTCCACAACCCCCCTCCCCTCCCTCCCCCCTCCCCCCAAACCAATTCCTTAAGGCACAAGCCTTGCCCAACTTTCACGCAACCACGCACCCACGCACCCACGCACAAGCACACGCACACACTCACACCCACCCACTCACCCACCCATTTCACTCTCTCCCTCCTCCACCCAAACCGGTCCATCACCTCCCGACCCCGGCCAGCGACCAGCGACAATACATACAACCAGGTTCAAAAACACTCTCTGGCCCTTTTTCTGCCTCTGCTGCCTCTGCTGCCTCGCCTGCATTGCCTGCATCGCCTGCATCGCCTGCCTCGCCCTCCGAGCCCCATTGTCTCAAATACCTGCGCGACCACGGAATCCCATCCTTTGTCTCTCCGAGAACAATTCCCCCCCTGGTCACCCGACACACGCCCCTTCCAGCCTGGTACCTACGCCCACACCTACGCCTGCGCCTACGCCTGCGCCCGCCCTGCTAGCTGACCCGGCCGTTGATCTCCACCTCGCTCAATCTACCGCGAACCCCTCCTCCGCAGCTACCTCCTGCTTTGTCGCCCAACATCTCTGCTCCTCAACCAACACACTGCATTCCCTCCTCCCACTCCCTCCCTCTGCCTCCCACTTTGCCCACATACATACACACCCACACCCGCAAGACGATAGCCACCATCATCACCGACCATTCCTGCAGAGACACCCTTCTTTGAGTCGCACGACCTTACGGCCACAACAGGCCCTCGCGCGCTTCCCTCCTTAGCATCCCCACAATGGCTGGAAGATTCACAACACCGCACAAGATCGTGGTCCTCGGCGACGGTGGTGTAGGAAAGACGGCCCTGACCATCCAGCTGTGTCTGCAACACTTCATAGAGACCGTGAGTAGCCCTTCTCTGCGATCCTGCCCATGCTGGGCCACCAGACTCCCTCTTGCGACCGCCTCAGGCTCAGGCTCAGGCTCAGGCTTGGGCTCGGGCTCGGGCTCCTGTCCTCCGCCCTCGCCACAGCCATCAGAATTCTTCGATGCAACCCTTCGATTGCCAATTCTCGACGCGGCCTGTCCGGGCTCTCACCAATCCCCCTCATCGCCATCTACTCAGGTCCTGCCAACGCAGCGCCCACGAGCATCCATTCTAACCTCTTGTGTGCCGCTTTTAGTATGATCCCACGATCGAAGACTCGTACCGCAAACAAGTCGTCATCGACGGCCAGGCATGCATGCTTGAAGTTCTCGACACAGCCGGCCAGGAAGAGTACACCGCGTTGCGGGACCAATGGATTCGAGACGGTGAAGGCTTCGTACTCGTCTACAGCATCTCCTCCCGGTCGTCCTTTTCGCGCATCAAAAGATTCCATCATCAGATCTACCGAGTCAAGGAGTCCACAGGAGGCTCGCCGTCCTACCCTGGCTCGCCGATTTCCGCCGCCGGCGGCCCAATTAACGTGCCCATCATGCTGGTTGGCAACAAGAGCGACCGAGTGACCGAGCGCGAGGTATCCACGCAAGAAGGCCACGCCCTGGCACGCGAGCTGGGCTGCGAGTTTGTCGAGGCATCAGCCAAGAACTGCATCAATGTCGAGAAGGCCTTCTTTGACGTTGTGAGGATAATAAGGCGGCAAAATGCCGCGTCCTACTCCGGCGGCGGCGGCTCCAGACCAGCCAACGGCGCGGCGCCCGGCCGTCGCGACACCATGCCCGAGGACAGGCGATACAGGAGGAAGGGAGACAAGAAGTGTGTCATATTATGAGCGCGCCCCTTTGGCCACACTGGCTCCACACTTCCCACCCCCGAGCCACGGCGACATGTCACAGATTGTGCTACCGGATTACGAGAGCGCGAGGACAGAGGCCCGCTGGTCCAGGAAAGACCCCCGACGAGGAAACACGCGGCAGAAACGCGGCGTCTTCCCCCGAAACTTCCAACTTTTTCGATTTTTGTCGCAGCTTCCGCAGACGCTCCCGGCCCGGGTCTGTGTTTCTGCCTGGCATCTACGTTTCGAAGGATACCCCTAAAGTATCCAAACACTTTGACGACCTGGCGAATGGCGCACGATTTAAAAAAGAGGCATTGCTGGGGCGTCAGGATCTGGTTTGACCAACCCGGGAAAGAAAGGTGATCATCTATCTCAAGATCTGAAAAAGGACAGCTATTGGTGTTTACGGAGTTCAAAGGGTTTTCGGGCCCAAAGTGCGACGACATGTTGATGATGCTCTCCCCCCCGCGCGAGGAGGATACGACGAATGGCCCGTCGAACCACCACCACCACCCTCAGCTCCTAGGCGGTCGAGGCACGAAAGCGGGCGGGCCGGTTCTGGACGAGCGAGGCAGACCTCGGTAATTGTAGCGTGGCTGACAGGACGGACGCCTAGGCTTGGTTGACGTGGGCAGGCCAGCCCCAACATCAAAATGGAGCTATGGAGGAAGCAAGCATCCACGGAAAAAGACGCGCGGAGGATTGTCCAACAACCACGGGGCTGCAGCGAGACTACCATGTTGTTCATGCTGTCAATATCGGGCTTCCGACTTTTTTTTCCCACAGGCGACACTCAAATAGACGGTTTACCCAATATCAAAATTCAGTTTCTAATAACGAAGAAGACCGCACGCAGCCTTTTCTCTCGCATGCCTTTCTTTCCCCCCTGCCCTGCCCCGCCATGTCATGACTTGCATCCGAACGAAAGGAGATCACTTACTTAACTGGCCATGCCTCATGCGCCGTAGGGACGAATGGCCCATTCAAGCCCTGCCCTTCTGGCCTCGTGCACCGAAGCTTTTATGCGTTTGCATGATACAGGTTGTTGCGTATTCTCTGGAATTCCCTAAAGGAGCTGACCATAACGAGTCCAGCATGTCGCGCTAACTGAAGACATTACGGCAAGCGCCTGGGCTGGGCATAGGTTTCGGCCGCGAGGCCGCGATCCGGAAACAAGACGAAAAAAAAGGGGATATCAACCCCAAACCAAACCCAACTAACTCAACGGTGCCCCGGACTCTCTAGCTGGCCTAGCCCCTTTTATTAACGGCTGCACCTCGATCGATTCAGACTGACTGGCTTTCAGGATGATTACCATGTGCAGCTTTTCTTTTTAAGTTTTTTGCCTTGTGACCGAGGACGACTCATCGTGTGCACACAACACACACACAGACGCGTCAACAGGCACATGGGGCACATGGCACCAAGTTCAAGCTTTGGGTCCCAAGCCCCCCCTGAAGTTGGTTGTGTGTGTGTGTGTGTGTGTGTGGTCGCCTTGCATCACATCACCTCTGATCGGACGGGAACGACGGAAACAACGGAAACAGGAAACCGAGGCGCGGAGTAGAGAAGAGCCTGAGGGCATGGCATGTCTCCAAAAGTCTGTGTTCGTATGCCCTGTCTCCCTGCCGGCTGCCTCCTCGCTCCCTCCGCGCGCAAGCGACCCCTGTGCTGTCTGTGGTTCAATCAAGGTGCTGTAGTACATACACTACCTAGGTAGTATATTGGTTGAAGGGCGGCAATTCTACGGCCCTTTCGTGCCCTTCTTTGGTTCTCTCTTTCTAGCTTCTGCTGGGTGCGTGCTTGCTAGCTCGTTTGCCCGCTGTCGCAGGGGGGTGGTGAAAAAATCCCCGACGACCGTGGAGGAAGGATGATCATTTCCTAGTTGCCAGGCCGTTTTTGTCCCCCTCCGCATGTATGTAGGTCTATGTGCCTTGGGGTGTTTCCTGGGTCTCGATACCTACCACCTACAGGGGGGCAGGTGAGGGGAGGGAGGAGGGAGGGATGTTGTATACGTAGGTGCGTACGTACCCTTCATACCCAATGCCTTACCTGAATACTGAACCAACGACGGCACTAAGCCGCCGTTGGTTTTAGTGATGGTCACATCACAGAAACGAGTGCTCAGACTGTGGGGTTGCGGTGATCTTCCACTCTCTGTTTTTTTTTGTGTGTCCTGGCCCTGCCTTGCTGGAGGATATTACATCAATCACAGGCGTCATTAATCACCGTCTGTAATAATAAACCTGCCAAACAGCAAGCTACCAACTAATCATCCGACCAACGCGCATTTGGGACACTTGATCGGTTTCTTCACACTACCTACCTACCTACCTACCTACCTACCTACCGGACGACGTACGGCACACAGCGCTCCTCATTATCACAGGCCAAGGGGGGCCTAGCCGGTCGGGCCAGCCACGGTTTGGTTCATCCGCCTCTTCTTCAAGGTTCGACGAGGCCATGGTGCGTTGCTGCTTGCGTGCAGAAACGCACACGCACACGCGCGTGCAGCACGCGCGCGCACTTGCAAATAAGACCGGCCCATCTGGCCCAGGTTGCCTTGCTCCATCTGGTAAACTAGATTTGAGCACCCCATTCGCCTTGCCTTGTCGTTCGTTCGTCCCCATACCAGGCAGCAGAGAACCAAGGGCATCACAAACTCTACAGTATTTAGTCAGTTGGGCCGGCCCCCCCTCCTCCTCCACCATCCCCCCCGGCCGGTCCACACCCAGCAGCCCAACCCCCGTGAAGATCATCTCAGCTAGCTCGGTTTGCTTCCCTCCTTACCCTGGCGGCCCGAGTTCTCGAACCACCAGGCGGGCAGGCGGGATCACCATCACATTTCACCCAACCCAGTTGGTTGCTCTTGTGCAGATCTTATCCTGCTTCTTGTTGCTGTTGTTTTTTCATTTTTCGTTGTTGGTCTGCTCCCATCTGTCCGGATGTACCCCCATCTTGCGCATTATACATGTAGTACACTCCACTATATGTATTTTTGTTGTGTATTATTTATTCTGCCCGCCGTAAGGATATAGGGAGGACCCTCTAATATCCCGGCCCAACTCGACAAACCCGCACTGGGGAAACGCTAGCAAGCCTCACCACACACACAGGACACACACACACACACACACAGCAGCTTGCCTCGACGTTCCATGTTCTTAGGGGGCCCGCCCAGCAGCAACCAGCTAGCTTGCTCCTGGAACTTGCTGGGTGGTCCCTTCAGCCCACCCCAATCCATCCCATCCAACCCCCCCTTTGCATGAACATTGCAACAGGGGTGGGGCAGGGTGGGGTGCATAGGGCGGCGGAATCTTGAGCTCATGCTTTATCACACCTGGGCACACACGCCTTCAATGCCGCCCTCTCTCTGTCCCTCTGTCCCTCTCTCCCTCTTTCTTGCTGCTGCTCCACGGGGCCGCGGATCAGATGTGCCGTTCATCATCGTCCCGAGCGGTCCGATGGGGCCAGTAACCAACTTGATGCCTCTCGCTCGAGAGAGAGAGAGAGAGACGGGCATTGGGGGCCAAGACCGCACGTCGTCAGTCAGTCACATCAGAACTTGAAGTTGCCCTCGACTCTGGATTGGGGAAGGGGGGGTCTGATGTCATCCTACAGCCTGCCTTGAGCTTTGTTCCTGCTTCCCCACTCTCGAGACTGGGGTTTCTTTTTTTGTGTCGTTTGGAGGTTTTTGGGCAATCTCACACGATTACTGTTACTACCTCGGTGACCCAGGCAGCCCAGCTCCAACATGGGCTTGGGCTTGTCTGGTCTTCCCCATGTATGTAAGTATATTTGTATGTACTGTATATTTCTCCAACACGGGGTAGGTAGCATGACCTCACCGTGCTACTTAGCAAGCTGATATATATTTTTTTTCACCGTCAGTCAGCTTACCAACACCACCACCAGCCCTTCCCCAAATAACCGTCGTTATCTTGTTCCGTTCCTCGCACGCACCCGGACGGACGCACGGCCGGAGGTGGAGTCACGGACGAGTCCCGCTGGCTCCCTTCTTCGGCCCGTCTCCCTTGTCAGAGGACATGGGGTGCAATGTGCAGGGTGGTTGGGAAACAAACCAACTGCGCCCATGGACGCCCTACCTGCCCTCTACACAGTACTCTATCTGAGTATGACAACGCTCAGCTCGATAGTTGCCGAGACCAGGGGGGTGGGAGGGAGGTTAGAAGGAAAGCTCCGTCGGTTGAATACTTCACGCTGCACGCACAGTCGCACCCACAAGTGCTGCGCCGGGTGTTGGTGCGTGCCCTTCTCGGTGGTCCCGACTAGATGCCTACCTGGCCAGCACACCTCCTCCCCGCCTCCGCGCCGGGCCTTTCGCCCTCCCACCATCGGGGCCCTGAAGAAGGCACCGGGGACGGAAGCGGGGTTGGATAATAGGCTGTTTCGAGACCCGGCACGACGGCCGGCGGCGGCAGGGCAGGGCAGGGCAGGGCATTGACAGAGCGCCACTAGTCGGTACCATGTAGTACAGGATTCACCCCTAAACTTTGTCACTCGGGGACTTCACCCATGAAAAAATACAACCTTAACAGACCAATCAGATCTTCTCTTTCCACTCTTAAACGGTGACTTCTATACCGTTACGCTCACTACCGTCATATTGAACCTAAGTACTTTACTTTCCTAGTAATCCTACCTTAGAACCTAGTACTACTATGTTCCTTTTTATAGTTTCAAGGTAGCCGGGGCATCCATTTCTAGCCTCTTGGAAGTCACTCTTTGACAAAGATTAGGGGTCTACCCTGTAGTAGGGCGGCGTCAAGGGGCTCATCAGAGAACACTTGCTTTTTCTTCTTTCAAAGTTCTGTGCTGCATTCTAGACTGCAGTTCATCAAATCGGGAGGGGGGGCAGGGGCATGGGCAGGCTCCACACCACCACATGCACCAACGACGAAACAAACGTTGCCTTTTTCTCTTCTTTCTTTCCCCAGGGTTTCATAGTCTATAGGACCTCTCAGGGCCCCCGGCTCTTTGCCGGGTGAACCCTCTCACTCTCCTTGTCTCCCTCTCCAAATCCTTCAGATATAACTACGGTCAAGCACCTATACCGGGTCCCGCAGTTTTGGGTTCGTAGGATTCCTGCCCATGCCACATGGTAGATATTCATCCCCCCTCCAAACCACACCCTTTATTACCTACCCCCTTCCTCACCTCTGCTTGGGTCCTCTATCCAGGCAGGGTCCTGTAATTCCGCACCACCTCTGCTGCTGCTGCTGCTGCGCCGCCGGAAACACCCTTCCACACCTCTTGCCCCCCCGTTCCCCTATTAAGGCCGGCTCGCCTGTTGGCTTGATAGCTCCAAACCTTGTTTTGCCATGTTGAGAGAGAGGGTGTCTACTTCTTTTTCTCTTCGGGCAATTGTTTGGCCTCGTGCGGGCCTCACACCATGCACATGCACGCCCCTAGCCGCCGTTGGCCTGACCACCTTGCGCGTGTATCCCGGCTGTTCGAGACTTCGTGTGTGCACATGTGTGTGTGCCCCATGTCTGCGTCTGTGTCTCGGTGTGAGTGTGTGTGTGTGTGTGTGTGTGTGTGTGTCCGCGCGCGCGGGTTTATCACCTCGGCTATCGCCAGCCGGGCGAGGGATGGTTACATGTTGATAGCACATATATCCCGCGATTAGCATCCCACGTCACGTCCTGGCACAGCGTCCCCGGATATCGCTGCTTACTACTGGGCGGTGTGTCAGTGAGTGAGTGCGTGTATACCCCGGCTCTGATGGGCCGCCCCCCCAGTCTGGGAAACAGGGTCCGGGCATATGGGATCATACGGGACGTTCCTCCTTGCCCTGTGCGTCCACCGGTCAGGTCTTGTCCCAAGCGGCACAGCGGACAAGGGCAGGAGGAGGATGAGGATGGGGTGAGTTTGGTTCGGCACAAGATACGGACCGAGGGTGCAACGTCGAGACCAAAAAGGAGCTAGGGGGCTTGTTCCTCCTCGTACTCGTACTATCCCCATACCTAGCTTTGCTTGCTTGCCTGCTCGCCTCTCCACCTCAAAACGCATGAGGGGGGCAAGAGAGAGAAACGGATGCCAAGCCATATGTGCCTCGGGGAACACCAGCGCCTATCTGCCGTGCCCCGGCGCCGTACCCATCGCCTCGGTGCCGTGCCCCCCGTCCGACCGCGCAAGGGAGACGGGCAAAGGCGTCAAAGTCAGCCTGCATTGGCGGTTTCTTAACTTGGGACGGCGGCCATGGGACAAGACAGCCAGCCAGCCCGTACACAAGTCAATATTCCACTCGATACGTGGATTCCATTTTACAGCGCGCGGAGCAATCCACAACGGCTGGCAGGGTCCCCCCTTCGTGTCAGTCAGCCCGTCAAGAACAGAATAAAAGTAACCCGGCTGTGTGACTACTTGTAATAGGAAGGTATATGCACCCGCGACGGTGACATTCGTGACTGCTCAGGTCGAACCTTTTTTTCTTTCTTTCTTCCGGTCTTCTTTCTTCGCCAACGGGCTTCCAACCGACGCTTATCAACCTTGTCTTCTCCACGCCCTGGCAGGTGGACATACCCTGGAGATGCCCGCTCCCGCCCTGCAGGCCCTCGATCATACTCTCCCTCCGCCTCTCAAGAGTCATGACATCCCTGGGAGCGTCGCAGTCGGGTGTTTTGATGCAAAGCGGGCGAGGCGACGGCCAACCCGGGGACCTGGGAAGGGCAAAAAAAAAAAAGACCTCCCCTTCCCTTGCCTTGCCTCAACTTCACCGTGCGCTGCCAGGTTGCACTTCCTCCTCTCACAGGGAAGCTCAAGTCGAGCAGCAGCCTGGCTGGCAGGGGGGGGGGCCGAGATAGACAGCGACCCGCGCACCCACCCGACCCCCGGCACGGCCGCCCCGCTCTCTTACTTCGGCTGCTGCTTGTGCTGCTGCTCACGTGGGAGCGGGAGCTTGTGGGCAAAGTTTGGCTTTTCCCCGCGATGGTTGCGAGGTTGCTGCGTGCCGTTGCATATTGCATCTCCGCCGCGCGTGCGTTGCGTGCTGTGCTTGTTATTCACGGTGATGTTCGCCTTTAGGGCGGAGAGGCGAAGGGACGGCCTGCCCGCCCGTCCGTCTGAGCCCATCACTCACCCACTGCGCTTCTTGATAGGGTGGTGAGCCCCTGGATGGGGAGGTGGGAGGGTGCCAGTGGGTGGGTGGAGGGATGGACTGGAGGGCTGCGTGCCGCTCTCACCTCCGACACATGTCACCGCAACGGTCTGCGGCCGTGTCCGCCGCACGTGGAACATGCTACCTGAGTGGAATATCCCCGAGGGCTGGGTATTTGGCCTGGGCGCGTTAGACCGAGTGGCTCATATTGCCAGTTGGGGAGGCGTCGGCAAGGGCTTCCTCCTTTTCCTGCCCCTGCTCCCCCACGCTGCTCAGCCCCCGTGGGATGCCCGTGGGGAGCCCTGGGCCTTGCCCATGCGGACCCTTGATTATCGCCATGTTGTATCGGAGACAAGATCCTGCCATGCGAACGAATCATGGCGGTCGAGGATGCTGTCTCTGTGGCACTGTGGACATCGAGACTTGCTACCAACTGCTCGAGAAGACTAGTGTGTTCGCGTCCTTTCTGAGGAGAGTCCGGGGCATAGCCGATACAGTTGTCGTAGAAGCACAGCGCAACACAGCAGAGCATTGGGAGCACTTCGGGCGACGAGAATATATCGGCTGCCTGTCCACGCGTCACACGTGGCTCTGGCTGGAGAAGCCTGGGCTATATCTCACTGACAGCTGCACCAGGTGCATGATATTACATACGTACCCAGATCTTCTTCACTCCCCACCCACCCTCTTCACCAAAGCCAAATGTCACCCATCCAAACTCCAACTCCGGAGGCCGTCGATCCAAAAATGGTCGCTCCCCAACCAACGTCCAAGCCCCATGTGGCTTAAGAGCCATGCTATCACGAACATCCGACCCCGAGATCGCCCGCGCATCTCACGGGCGTTTCGCCCCCGTCCAACGGCGTCCCCGACTCGCAACTCTATCCCACTGTTGGCAGTAGGTCTCAACGGCAGAACGGCAAAATGGTTTGTGTCGAGAGGCTTGGGGCGTCCAAATTCCCATCTCCGGCAGGGTAGGCTAATGCTCTGGCAGATGAGCCGGGGGAGAACTGTCATGGCTCTGGCAGCCGGTCAGATATCACCTTGCAGAGAGCGGCAGGGTCGCTGCCCAGCAGAGAGCATCACATGCACGCAAGGCTTGACTCGACGCTCCCGTAACCAATGGGTCCCAATTGACATCGGGCTTTGGAAACAGCCACATGGTCGTCGAATATCTTGGCTGACAAAGATCAGTCGCACCGCCCCACGCAGAAGAAGCAGCGCATACACACAAGGCGCGTCGATCACATGCCGTGCGACTCAGGCGCGCCGGAGAAAGAGAAAGATCGCCCTCGGACCCAGGGCTGAACCTGAGAGCTTCTGGGGCTGCGCGCCTGCTGGGGAGGACCCTCGAGGCGAATGGGGGATGGCGGACCCCTCTGCGGGCATGGGGAGCATTCCAAAAGTGAGAAAACGACAGATAAACGGCGACCATCATGGCTTGGCGCGGGCTCGGTGACAGCCTCAGCATCGGCGGCGGCAGCACCCTGCATGCTGCAGCTGCAGCTTGGGCTCTCCTCAGGCTGGACAATCCGCTGCCTCTCTCCCACTCCAGTGAAAGGCCGTTGGGACCCAAGGGCCGAAAGGGCAGGCAGGATGAGGGAGCTGTGGGCCCTTTCAGGAAGGTCGGGATCTCGCTGGGCTGGATCTCATTTGAGCATGCTGCTGCTGCTGCTGCTGCTGCAAGTATCAGCGCCTAAAAGGGTGTGGAGGGGTGGCCGCCAAAACCGAGATCTCACTTGTCAGATGCGTGCGCCTGCTGGGCTACTGCTGATGCATATCCTGCCCAACCTCCCTGCGTGCAGGAGTTCGCTTGGCTGCATGATAGGCCGCCGTGCAGGAGCAGTCTGACAGGTGTACCCGGGGGTTTGGAGGGTCAGAATATGCGCGTCTGCGGTGCTGCGTTTGGGGGGAGAATTGCACATGTGCTAAATCCTCTGCATGTGGTTGTTGTCAATATAGATGTCGTTCGTGGAATCAGTACAATGAGTACATTTGAGGAATCACGCGTCTGTGGGCGGCACGTTATAAGAAAGAACCTCCGGAATAACCAGAAAATTTTGTAAATTTCAGGAAAAGGTAAGGCCCAACCGATTGTCAATACCTTTACCCCGTATTTCAGATCTCCGCGTCGGGCAAGCAGCTCGCGTGCCGGTGACAAGCTGCAGCCATCTTGCAGCTTACACACATAAACTTACATTGTGTAAGCTGCTATGTCAGCCAGTCAATCAGCCAGTGTCAGTGGTGCCGCGACAATTGCCATGCATAGACGCCCGGCAGCACCTGCAGAAAACTTGAAAAGCTGGGCTCGTGACACATTGGAAGAATACTCAGGCAGGGCCGGCAGGCTCACCAACCAACCGACCAAGAGGAGAGGAAGAGCTGTCCCAACCTTGGAATCCACCCTCGGGCATCTATACCGCATCAGCCATACCCCCGCGCGCCCGGAACCTCGCGCCGCTTCGCGCAGGATCTTCGCCGGCCACCATACCACCCCATCCTCCTGCGCTGTGACTCGGCCTGACTGTCCCTTTTTTGTCCTCGGTCCCGCTGACTCTTCCTCCACCGAGGGGGTGGAAGGAATGCAAGTTACGAGCTTGGTTGTCCGGCAACTGTCACGCACGGTTCATCTGAGGAAGGACTGCATTGCCATTTGTAGCTCACAGTGAGTGGTATTAATACTCATGAAGCATCACCATGGGCAGCAGCAATAAGTATGATGATTAGGAGTAGAAGCAGACGAATGACAGCAAGGTACAAAACACATCAATGCCAATTCATGAGAACAATCTACAGACCATTTCTCCACTAAGCGGGAACCACGACACGTGTCCTAGAATTCGCTTTTGTCGTGATATAAGGACTATGTACCTATGGCAAGTGTGGCGTCACTTTTGCTTCGAATACCACAGTGGAATTCTTCGTGACAGCCTTTATTTCGTATACGTCCGAAGCCATGCTATACTGGGCCTTCATACAGTGAACCCGGGTAACAATAGCTCCATCGACGCGTACTCGGCAATCTGCTAGTAGTACCTTTCGCAGCGATTTCGCGCCATAAGAAATGATTCCCGGAGCTCCTTACCATTGAAAGCCATCTTTGGGGTTGAATAGAAATATGCTCGTTGAGTGAATTCACAAAGTCTAAATCACTAACAAGCTTGGGAGCGGGGATTCACACACTGATCCGGACCGCTTGTTATTTCTTAGTTGACTAAACTGATTGTGAAAGTCCTGTGCATTTGAATGACTTTGTTTCCTTGACGATACGGCAACGTGAAACTCATTTTAATTATGGAGTGTTCGGTTCCTTCAAAACAGCCCTAATAGAGTCGCAAAGCGCCGCGAACGCCTGATCAATAATCTGGTAATGGAAACAAAGACAGCCATGAATCAGCTCCCCGGTATGAACTCGGAACTGGCTAAACACCTCGACGTAGTACTCGAGAGTTAAGCCCGATCCCGGGATATCAAACCAGACCATGTTTGTCTCCGTCTTCGTGGCGAAGTTGCTCCGAAGCTCCTCCCACAGGGCCATGGCACGCAAGGCCTTGTCCTGCACGGCCTTCATCTCAACGCCAAAGAAGACGTCATCGATAGCCACCCTACCCGGGCCAGCGATGACAGCCGACGCGCGCGCTGCCGCCCAGGAACCCACGCGCCCATGACTCGCTTGATGGAGGCTGTGGTGCCTGTGACAACATCTGGACGCTGCCGATAGGTGCGTCAAACCCCTTTTTGAGGCACATCTGAATGCTGTCGAAGCACTTGTCTCTCCTCCTCCAGTGATACACGCTCCCTATGCCGTTGCCTTCGGCGCTTGATAGAGATAGGTACCTAGTAACCTCCTCATGTAAGTAAAAGCCACAAGCATAAGTGCAAACAGCTTGTAACAGAGCAAACTTAGACCAAAACTCTTCAAATGAGTAGGCTTGCTTTCCTTCTCGGCACCCTTTTCGAAGTCTGATTGGAAGTGTTCGTGTGCTTCCAGGGCCTGGAATACATCGGTCGGCTCGATACCTCGCTTCTCATTTCTGGCGAGGGCATGCGCTACACGCATGATATTCTTGATCTCGCGGCCATTCACACTGCTTTCTGACAGTTGCTGCATCACGTCCTCTCCTACCCATGTGAGCCTCTTTCCGGACGAGGTGCCGACGAGCCAGTGCTCCCAAAGTTTCCTTCGGGCGAATGATGATAGCGGTGGGTAGGAGAGTGCCAAGTGTATCCGGGATCGAAAGGCTGGGTCGATGGAGGCTGGGCGATTGCTAGTGAGGAAGAGTATACCCTCGTAATACTCTATCACTCTGAGGAGAACTGCAGAGAGTGAGAATGTAAATCCATCACGTTGGCTGGGAAGAACCTCATACCTGCAACTAGTTCATTCGCTTCGGGGGCGGAGGGGTCTCTCCGTTGCATAAAGACATCGGCTTCGTCGAGTAGGACAACCGCATTCCAGCTCGCCGCAAGTCTGAGAGGGCTTGTGAGGGATGCCTCTTGATTGTGCCTTCCAACGACGTCCCCTGAGTCAACGATGAGCAAAGGTCGTCTCGCAAGGTCGGAAATACCCTCTGTTTCAGCTATTAGCTCTGTTCTTACTTCTGCTGACCCTCGCAGCCATCGGAATTGTGTCAGACGAGCTCACTAACCTGCAGTCAAAGTCTTTCCAACACCCGGTGGCCCGTAGAGAAGGAACACCAAGCCTTTGCCCTTGCTTTTGATAAGATCATCAAAGTCATCACTATCGCTTTCGTGTTGAATCACGGGAGAACGAATCAATTTCTTTTTGTTCTCCTCCAGTATTAAACCTTGGAATGCGTCCCAGTTGAAAACTATATCCTCAACGAAGTCGATATTGAATATGGCCCAATTCTTCGACTCAAAGGCGTATCCATGTATCTCGTGGGTGCAAATCATCAGCTGGTCGACTGAGAGTTCGGGTGGATCCTTTACTGGAATTTCGGTACCATAGACAAAGTCGTCCCAGCTGTCACCCTTGAAATTCTTGTGTGCTTTCTGGTCCAGCATAATTCGGCATGTGACCTATATAGAAGTTAGTCACGTGCCAACTTGTTATAATGTGCCTGATGGGCTAACATGGGTCTTGGTAAACTTGGACCGGTCATGTGAGAGTGGGTCTTGGAATTGTGCAAGACCATTGTAGAGGCAGTAATGAATCCCGCAGAAAGACAAGTACTTGCGCCCCCTTTGCTCTGTCATACGTTTGATGCGGTCCGCCTCTGGATGAAAGAGCAATGGAAAGACTTCGAGGTTCTTGACGGCCTTCCGCCCGTCAAATTTGTTGATAAATCCTGGTCGTTCCATGTGACCAAACTCTTCGCCGTTGTACACGACGCTTTCTACCCATACTAGTACGTGCCATCCAAGTGTTTCGTTTCTTGCATCTTCATGCCGATTGATGTCTTGCAGTTTGGACACGAGTTCCATGCCATCCTTCTTTTGGTATATCAGACAGCCTGGCTTGAAGATGGCCCACAAGTTTTCCTGGTCGACATGAAACTTGAACGGGTCTGCAACGCCTTCTTCAAGCAATGCAATCTCTTCTGGCATCATCTTTTCCATGTATTTCAGACATAAGGATATATGATCCCTGTCCTTGGTATCCTCGCATGCATCTGCGTATGCCCGCAGCTCCTCTTGGTAGTGGAAAAGACATTTAGGCGGTGTTGAGAGGTGGACTGTCGATGCATAAAAGTTTTCTCCGGGATATGTGCCAATCACATCTTTCAGAGCCTTTATAATTCGCTTGGATTGTACTTTGAGGGTCGTGTGAAATCCCTTGCCAAAGCGGGAGTAGTAGCGGGTGAGGACAAGACTGGCCCGTGGGCTTCTGTTCTTCTCAAGGCTGATTCTGGACTTCGTTCCTACTCGCAGCAACACCTCCTCCCCTCGGGTATCGTATCGGGACTCGTATATGTGTAATTCGCAGTCCTCTCCGTCTTCGTCTTCGTCCTCGGAGACTTGAGCAACGTCGTCAATTTGGTCTTTCAACTCAGCTTCTGTCTGCAAGAAATTGTGAGCATCTCGGTTTGTTGTCGAAGCAGTCGGACTATTCCACAACCACATGGCTTATAGGTATATAGTTTCGCTTCTATTCTATATACATCTAAGGATATATATAGCACCTTTATATAATAGTAAGTATTTAAAACCTAGTATTTAAAAAGAATATAATATTAATAATAATAATTATAATATAATAAGTATTTATAGTTTTAATTTTATAATATATAAATAAAGTTAAAAGGTATTATTTTAATAATAGTATTAATTAAAATATTATAAAGAAATTATATAGTAAAATTAAATTTAAAAATAATTATTATATAAATAAATTATATTAAAAGAAGTCTAATTAAAAATTGTTTTTATATATATAAATAAAATCTTTATTAAATAAGTTTATAAAGTTTAATATTATAGTTTTATTTAAATATATAATTAATTTTAAAAGATTTTAAAATAAAAATAATTTATAATATATTACTTTTAAAACTTTTATAATAAAATATTAAAACTTTTAAAGAGAGTTTTAAAAGTAATTTATAAAAAAATAAAGAAAGGGTATAATAAGTTTATCCTTCTTTAAATCTATACTTTTATTATTAATAACTATTAACTTTTTAATAATATAGAAAAGTATAATAAAAATAAAAAAAAGAATAGATTTAAAGTTCTTTTAAAAAAGGACTATAAGAATATATATAAAGTTATTAAAGATTTTATATATAAGCTCTAGATTAAGGAAGAAATAAGTGACTAAACTAAAAGATAGTTATATAGTGTAAAGGAAAAATACAGTGTGGCCGAAGCCGCTCGTAGGTATGTCCGATAACACTCACGTCTTCAGTTGACGACATATCGCTCACATAAGACTCCCAGCTGATATCCGATTCTGTTCTTGTTTGTTTCCCATTGAACGCTGGTTTACGTCTTGGCTGCAATGGTAGCCTCTTGCCAATCGGCGATGATCTGACTCTGTGCTGTGGTCGTGGCACAAACACTCTTCGGCTCGATTTGAAAGGAGTGGGCCTCATCTCAGAAGGCTGTCGAAGGGTCAACGAAAAAGAGTCCGCGCTAGCAAATAGAGATAGCGGATGGAAGTGTCAACATTGAAAGTTGAAATCGGCCCAAGATGATGAACGAGGGGCTTTTTTTTGTCAAGACTGTTTAACTTGCAGTTCTAGCATTGGGGCAAGTTCTCATTTACCACATGTGCACACACTAAATGGGCCTGAAAATCCGGGCAGGTTACATCTTGAGTGAGAAGGGTCTCTAAAGTACCGCACATACTTATCCACTAGAAAGAATGAATTGCCTTGCCAGCAAAGCCCGAGAAACCATTCCTGTCATCTTGCATACTTTCAAATGGTCGGCTTTGATCCATCAAAGACTTCAGGATAGCCGCCACACTCTACAAACCCTATGATGCTCAATTACACGTAGTATTCCGCCTTCTCATACACGCTAGGCGTGAAACAGTCTGCCATCGTCCAGGACGCAACAGGCAAGCCAACCATAGCGCATGATGTGCCTGTGCCGATGCTACGGGCGGGCGAGGTCCTTATCAAGGTCCGAGTTGTGGTAGTGGCGCCCGGGCCGAGCGACTTCAAAATGGGGACGCTGTCCGAGCGCCATCGTCGGCGGGGATTTCGCGGGGCGTGTCGTCGCCACGAATGCGCGTGATAACGACGTTCACAATGATAATCTTGATGGGGATGAGGAGGGGATGACCTCTTAAAATAACACTGTTAGTAGCATTCTAATATGACATACTAGAACGGCGGCTGAGCACAACGCTAAGATGAATTCCTGGGTGGTTTCATTTTTTAATCCCTATATATATAATATATATATAGTACCTTTATATAATAGTAAACACTTAAAACCTAATATCTAAAGAAATATAATATTAATAATAATAAAAAAAGAATATAATATATAAATATATAGCTAAACTTTATACTATATAAATAAAGTTAGAAAGTATTACTCTTAATAGTATTATACTAAAATTATTAATATAAATAACCTAAAAATTAATAGTTATTAAAATAGTTATATAATAAAACTAAAATAATTTTAAAATAACCTTTATAAAAAAATTCTATAATATAAAACTTAATAAACTAACTCTTTTCTATTAATATACTTATTATATAACTATTTAAATCTACTCTTACTAAATAAACTAAATATATTATAATCCCTATCCTAAATATATAACTAATAGAATAATAATACTATAATAGTAAATTTATTTAAAAAACCTTTTATATAAATTTTATAAAAAATTAAAACCTTTTAAAAGCTAAGTAGAATTTATTTATTATATATTAAATAAATATTATATAAAAAAAATAGAAGTTTAAGTATTTAAAAACTAAATCTTTTTATTCTAGATATACTACTTTATTATTAAAGATTTATCTATTTCTATATAATATTTAAGGAATATAGCAGAAGAAAGAGCCCTATAAAGAAAGTTAGTAACTTTATTATATATAGATAAATTTAAGGGTATATATTAAGTAATTATTAACTTTATATTTAAAGTATTAGCTAATGGCTAGTCTAAAAGTCGAGAAGATAATGAATAGATAAATATATAGTTAAACAAAAAATACAATGTGGCCGAAGCCAAGATAAATTCCTACAGAACGAAAGTAGCAGAATGGAGACCACGGGGATGTGCCAAACCCGGGCGGGAGGGTAGTGAGCGGAAGAGATGACAATAGGCCTGGTGTCTCTATGCGTGATGTTCAATGTTGTTCTTCCCGATCATGTCACTGGGAAGCACACACACAATCCCTTATTGATAAGTCCATTCTCAGCAAACCGTCAACTATGCAGTCACTTTCTTAATGTAATTTATGAGCTCATCCGTCTTCTTCTGGCCAAATCCGTCTCCGTATGCGCCAATTCTGAACTGCCTCTCAATCTCTTCTGAATCAGGAATCGCTTGTCTCTGATAGTTGATAGGACCATCGGAGATTGAATGAGGTATAAATAGCGATGCATTCGTCGTGATGGGTGTCCTGTCTTCTCGGATGCCCATGCCCACGGGGTCGCCATCGACAAACCAGAGACCCAGAACAGGGAAATTGGACTGGCCCTGCGCGTCTTTGAAGTCGGGAAGCAATGCCAGCTCCTGCACAACATACCCTTCTGCTCCGTAGTATCCCGAAGCCGCGTCCTGGAGTACTTCTCCGTCGGTCTTGAGCACCACGTCGGCACCTTCGCGGGAGAAGATCGGCTTCCGTGCAAAACTCGTCAACGTCGCGGGCACCTCTTTGTCGAAGTAAGTAGGAAGCAGCCACTTGGCCCGGGGGTCGTCCTGGAAGAGCTCCCATAGAATAGCAAAGAGTGCTTTGTTGCTCCAGAGCAGCTTGTACGGCGCCTCGATCCACACAGTGCCTCCGACGTAGTTTCCGGCCTCGTCGCGCAAGCCAATATTCTCCATGTCCTTGAAACAAGCTTCTCCGAACTTCTGCTGGACCATGTACTCCCACGGGTATAACTTGAAAATGACATCAATGTGCTCGCCCTGTTGGTCGTAGAAGCGGCCGTCGGTTCTGGACCGACAGATTCCCTCCATTGTGATAGCCTTGGTCTGCCAGCCCGCCTGATGACATGTGTCCATCAGGAGCATCGCGTTTGATGCATCCTCGCCTGTGGGCTCGCCCTCCCCTACAGCGAAGTGGACAATGGGTTTATGGCCTAGCCTTTCTTGCACGAGGGTGAGGTTGCGCTTCCAGCCTTCGACGAGCATCTCCGTGATGTGATTGAACTGGTCGTTGCCGTGGCCCGTTTGTTCCAGCCATAGCCACTGAATCGAGGCCGCCTCTACCAACGACGTTGGCGTGTCCGCGTTGAACTCGTAGAATTTTGGCACGCGTAGCCGTGGGTCGGGGTGGTCAAGACCGCCAAAACAGATATCAAAACGGCCATATATGCTCCCCCAGGCAGGCTCTCGTTCCCATGAGTCGACTATCTGTTTCAGCGTAAATGCTGGAACTGCCATTTTGCCCGTGATTATATCTTGATGCTCCACAAGATACTCTACAGCCTCGCAGCACATTGCAAAGACGTCTTTGGCTGCCGTCTCCAGAAGCGCCACTTCCTCGGATGTGAAAGAATAATACCGGTCATCGGGCCAATAAGGCTCTGTTCCGCCAGGGGTGACGAGGTCAGCAAAGACGAGGCCTTGGCTTTGGACAAGGCGCGTGGCGTTCGGCCTCTTCTCTATTGGTACACGGCGCATGACGAATTGCGGGAAGTGTTCGCGGATCCTGTCTCGTAGGCGCTAACTGTATCCCTCTGTCAAATTTTAATAAGTGAGTTGAAAGAGGAGACCCGTGAGTGCCGGGCTCGATTACTCGACAATGTGTAGAGATGGCATTTAGCAGCTTTTGGTAGCCCGTGTCGCTTCTACCGCTTTAAACCTCGCACAAAGGATCTCGCAGCCTAGCATGGCAGTGATCTATTTGCTGAAGCAGCCAAGACGGCCTTGGTTCGTAGATGGTAGGATTCCCGCATCGCATGACTTGCGGCTTCCCCGGTTGTCTGCTGACAACGAACGACTCAGTGCTATCCATGGATGGTGATCAAACAGGAGGCAGCGGCCTTCCCTAGCACCATCACCACAGCCACGATTCATAGCGACGGGGCCGAGGGAACAAATGAATACCGACAAGAAAAACAAGCATTGGAAAGAATACTCTGAAACGTTATCTATAGTGGGCCCTGTAAACCTTGTTTGTTAACAGTCAAACATCCGATGAACCACGATCAGCTATTACCAGGATCAGGATGTTCACCCGGATCTACTTCCAAACCTGGTAGATCTACGGCCCTACAAGATACCCCCCTAGGCAAAGCCAACAAAATGGCTACCATAGGTTCTAAAAATATGGCACAGCGTTCTCTCTCAACCCTTCAGGAACACACTAAGGAGGAACACACTAGGGAATTGGACGCGTGGAAGAGGAACAGAATTCTTAATTTAGAAATGATTTGTGATCACACGTCTCTAATCTATTTACGTGGGTGTGGTAATCTATTTACCAACCCCACATGTTGTCGATACCGTTGCACCATTCGGCCGGCAGCCCGCAAAATCCCTGGTCGGCCTCTGTTGGGGCACCGAAGCATTTGTTCTGCCCCGATGTGTTGCGGATGCAGACCGAAGTCACTGCCTGCGGGTTTGGCCACGCCTGCCGCAGTTGGCAATCTGGGTTGAGCGTGATAGTTGTTCCCGCGTCCCTAGATGCCCACTGCCAGGAGTCGCATGTGCTGCTGAATGAGAAACCAGTGATTGCGTCTCCGGTGACCTGGGTCTCTGCACAAGTCCCGCCAGCGCGGGCTGAGACGAAAAGCGCCGCAGCGGTGATGATCGTGGAATAAAGCATCTGGAATCGTGTCAGCCATGCGAATTCTAGCTCAGCCAGAATGATTGACTACCCACTTTGTAAGAGTTGAATGATAGTAAAGACCGTCGAATTGTGAATGTGGTAAATGAATGACTGATGTGGAGGTACACCTACGGGGATGCATGAGAAGGCGGTCTTCGCATCGATCACATCAACCCTCAGTATTTATGTCAGAAATCTTCTCGATGTCGATCTCGAATGCCGAGGACTCAGCATAGTCATTTCTATTAATGACCACCACCCTGGAGAACTCCGTGCGTGAGTCGTGTACTAGTCACCTGAGAGATATCTTTAGAAAATCATTGATAGGTATCCGACAATGGGGCTATGGCCGACAAAAAGTAGCGCATTGGGCAAGAGTTCCTGGGGATCTCGTAAGGCATCTCGGATCGACAGGGAATTAGATTGTTTAGCACCTCAGCGACATAAATGTCGGCTCTGCCCTCGACTTGTGATGTCTTGATTTGGATGAGCAGCACCATCACACTCTCTTTAAGTCTCCAAATCCACGGTCTTTACAAAGCCATTCATCTTCATATACAATCATGACCAGAGAATCCGTCCCTCTGCCCGGTCTCAGGGCTTTGACAACTGCCTTCTTTCTCGCCCGCATCGCTGAGGGCAAGGCTTACTGTGCCGACCTGGACAACAAGGTCGTACAGTACGACAGCTGCGCGAGCAACATAGAACAATCTGCCGACACATTCTTCATGTTCAGCAGTGACGACCAAAACATTTCTTTGGGCTCCACCATCGACCCTAGCAAAACAGACCTATTTGACAGCTCGGACCCTGTTGAGCGGCAGAACGTCCTCCTCCCATTGGACATGGAGTCCGGTGGCTTCGGAAAACGTCAGGACGGGTGCGGCGGCGGCGGGAGTGGCTCGGGCGGCGGATCGAGCGGCGGAGGGGGTGGAAACACTGGAGGCATGGTCGGAGGGTAAAAGGCCTAAGAATCAGACACTATAGAAACAGTAAATTCAATAAATTGTACCTAAGACGTGTTTCTACAGTTATATTTAGGGATAATAAAGGGAAGATTTAATATTAACTTCATGTAAAGCTTTAACTATATTATACTTTTTTATTTAACTATTTATTTATTTATTATTTTTAAAGTTTTTAAACTAATTATTAGTTTATACTTTAAGTATAAAGTTAATAATTACTTAATATATATATTTAAATTTATTTATATAAAAGTTATTAACTTTCTTTATAAAGCTCTTTCTTCTACTATATTCTTTATGTATTATATAGAAGTAAATAAATCATTAATAATAAAATAATATACTTAAAAAGAAGATTTAATTTTAAAATATTTAAACTTTTACTTTCTTTATATAATATTTATTTAATATATAATAAATAAACTTTATTTAACTTTTAAAAAGTTTTAATCTTTTATAAAATTTATATAAAAGACTTTTAAATAAATTTATTATTATAATATTATTATAATATTATTATTTTATTAATAAATATATATATATAAAATAAAAGTTATAATATATTTAATTTTTTAATAAAAGTAAATTTAAATAACTATATAATAAATATATTAGTAAAAACTAACTTATTAAAACTTATATTATAAAATTCGTCTTTTATAAAAGCTATTTTAAAATTATTTTAATTTTATTATATAATTACTTTACTAACTTTTTAATATAATATTATTAAAAGTAATACTTTCTAACTTTATTTATATAATATAAAGTTTAACTATATATTTATAAATATACTATATTCTTTTTTTACTATTATTAATATTATATTTCTTTAAATATTAGATTTTAAATATTTACTATTATAGGGATCTTTATAGGAGATGTTATTAACATTTTAATATGAAGGAATCCAGTTTCAATCGGAGTCTAATCTTGGTATTAATGCTAACCTACCTCGACGCTTCTGGGGTGATTAGAAGATGTGTTAAGATGCTTAGCGACCTAGTATCCTCAAGTAGGACACCTTCCATATAACACAAAAAGGAGAACGCCGCGTTGCCCAAAGGTCCCATACTTGCGAATCTGCACCACTGTGACGCTTTATTTGTTTTAGTTACCCCCTGTCGAACTGAAGATGGTCCTCATGCCATCTACCTCCTCCAATAACCGCGTCGCTGGCCCCGCTCTGCGATTTAGTCTCCAATCATCTAACTGGAATGCTCCAGCCTCATATTCATCGCCGGAGGTGCTTTGGGTCTGTTCACAAAGCGCAAGTTTCCTCGACCTATTGATGCATTTTCCAGAACAAATTTTCAGGAGAGGCCAAAGCGTAGGGATAGTACTAAAGATGATAATCGCATGCATCTAAAAATGAGTCAGTCACCGGAAGAAATTGCGCAGGCCGTGCGATTGACCCATGCTTGAATCCGCCTACCTCTGCACTAAAAGAGTCTTGAACATCAGTGATTGTCACCATTATCGAGGGATTGCTGGTACGGCGGTAAGTTGTTCTACCTACATATACCAAAGTGTCATGGGCGCCCACGACAGCGTGATATCGGAATCTTCAGTAAAAAGATCTTGAAAACATGACATTTTCATGAATGATGCGGCAGCGGCACTTTAATAAAAGACGCGTTTAGCAAAACTCGGCGTAGTAGTTGAGGAGATGGAGACTTCATACAACCACCCGCCTCCCATAAGCAAACACAAGCCAAATCTGGTAATGCAACTAATCCTCAGTTTTCTTATCAACAATGCGGGATATGTTGCTATAATGATATCCATTAATGCGTGGTACGTGCTGATGGTATAGCCGATGGCAACTCTGCAAAGGGCACCACTTATCAGCAGATAAACTAAATAGCTGGTGCAGACTCACAGAGGAACTCGCGGACTGTCGTCATACTGGGTTTGTGTGCTCATGCACCATCCTTCGAGAGACGAATCCCATTGCTTGGCAGCAGGATAACACAATCCAGTGGTGATCAGAAGCCCCAGTATACTCATAGCAACCGTGATTCCACACACGACCCACACTGTGACGATATGCCATCTTGGGGCAGCTAGTCCCATCAGCCGTACGAGAAAAATCAATGCGGACACCTTCGCAAATGATATCGACACAAAGAAAAAGGTTGGCGCGATCACGGTGTATTTGATGGCTTTGGCTAGATTAATAGGGTTATCAATGGTGTATTTCGAACTTCCGAGGCCGTAGTATGTTCCCACATTAACTAGTACGTTGCAAGCGGTTGCGAATGTCTGCATATTGTCAGCTGCTCAACCGTAAAGTTGACAAGACAAGATCTGGGGGCGTACTGTTGCTAAAACGTTGAAAAGGTCATCCCAATTCGGCTTATTCAGTATGTTGAAACGTACCCACAGTCGCCCTGCGCTCATACAAATGATGATCGCGCCCAAGGTCCAGGAGACAGCCCGGATTGCGGTCACATAATCCACTGCTTTTTCCATGGTATCTGAGTGGAACAGAGGTGACTGGGTTCCAAGTTGATTTTATTGAGTCCATGTCCAAATACTTCGTCCCAGCTTCAGCTGAAGTGCCGCTGGGGCAGGATAAGTGACCATAGATTCCCGGCGTGCCGTCCCCTGCTACGACTGAGTAAGCAACGACTCTCATACTGAGACTTTGTCGACCCATTGGCTCATTTGTGCCGAAGAAGTGGCCGAATTACATATAGATCGCCAATTGATATGCTGTGTAGCGTAAAACTATACGCAGTAGCCAGTTGAAGCTAAGAAGCGTGCCAGTCGACGTCAAGAGTGCCCCCAAGGTGCTCACCGGTAGCATAGGCCCCCACACCCATTCAGTTCGGCCAGACAGGTCAAATGCAATCATGTTGTTACCTACCGCTAAGTCTGCCCTGCCACTGCCACCTGCATACGACTGCACTTGTGCATTACTTCCCGCTCCATGACGCCGTCTTCGTGCGTGCGGAGACAGCCCACCTGAGATCGCAAGCGTGGCTGGAACAAAATTTCTTCAGACATCTGTACAGCCCGCGCATCCAATATGGGTATAACCTCGCCTCCTGGGTTCCTTTCTTACGATGCTGAAGAGCTCCACGTGACCCACGTGTGTTGACCACTTCCTCTCGCCGGTTTCAACATTTCTCTTCTTGCTGGTACTGTTAGGAGTTCGAAGAGGACCATCCAGCACATTGACAGTTGAGGATCTCAGGAAGCTTTCGTTTCTAAATCTTGCCTCAGACCTGGCAAGCAGTCCGTGAGGATAGGCCGCCGCGGAAAATAGATGCCAGGAAAAGTAACAACACAAACCTGTGACAGAATCCAGCAAACCAGGCAACCTAAAGATAGCAATATCAACGGCAGCAAAGGACGATGCCAGAAAGTTGTCGGAATGGAGGTGGCTTTGGTATTAGTCACCACTTTTCAGGCTTGCTGGACTGATTTCACCATCCAGAAGTTATCCACGTTCGGAAGAGCATCATGACTCCGCTTTGTCGGGCTAACAGTAATCAGGGATTGGCCACAAAGCGGAGGCAAAGGGTTTGAAGCCAATCGTCGAATGGTGATCTCAGCATGTTGATATCCTGAAATGTTTGACTCATGGCCACATGAGAGGGTGAATTCAAAGTGTTCATAGCTGGGGGAAGTGACAGGCGTGGCTCAATGTCACTAGGACAAACGTCTTTGCGTACGACTCATAGCCAATTTGATACAGCAAACTGGCAGCCGTGTGTAGATAGTATTCTCCTATGATGATAGTCGTAAAAAGTCTATATGACAGGAGCGAAATCCATCACCTCTTAACACGGCGGGCGCTGCGTGATTCATACCCACGCGCACCGCATGCGGCATTTGGCCGAGTACGTCGAATACCAATTAAATGAATAGACGAAAATGGACAGGGAGTTGCGTAAGTGATGAGAGAATATAGTGCGCCCCAAGGATGGACGTGGAGGATCAACTGACAAACAGCCCAAAGGTTTCCAGGTGATCCAAGATCTGGCATGGTACAAACTTTACTCATACACTCAGCCTAACGATAACTCGCGCTCTAAAGAATAGTGAAACTGCAGAAATTGAAAATGACATTGATGGTAGAGAGAATCGGTTGGAGTTGAAGGTTATGAGCGGAGACAGACTCACTATCAGCATAGAGGTAACCTACCTGCCGAGCTGTATACTATCAGAGAAGTAACCACTTCGCCACGGCAAAGAGCAACTGAGCCTTCAATTTCATGGTCAGATATGATTCACCACCACGGTCTGCCTGACGCTCTGGAAAAACATAAATACCTAGCTGGTCGCCTTTTGCGAAGACCTCCCCACCATCTTTCCTTCACAAACTCCACCGAAGTCTTCTGCATGAGGCTTCCTTCTCTTACCACCAAAACTTCTGCGAAGACCTCTTCATAACATTTCCCTCCCTCACCGTCAAGATACTAGATACTTTTCATTCACATACAGCACTGTCAACATGACAACTTCTCAACCCTCGCCTCAGCCAGGCGTGGCATTCCTCAAGTATCCCGACCTCCCCAAAGAGATCAGACTTATGGTCATCGAAGAAGCTGTGGAAGAGGCTATCCGAGCGGCCCCTCAAGAATATCCACAAGAAGACGCATCATGGGCCGTTCATGTCGTCAAGAAACTAAACCCCTTGGCCCCACTATCAGGCGTCAACCTCGAGTGGAATAGGGTCATCGAGATGCGCCTCTTCAAGTCTATTACGATCGCTGCTTCCGAACTCGCCGACTTCGCGGAGTACTGCAGCAAGCGACATGGAAGGCTAAACACAATCAGGCTCGCAATCAAGCACGAGGAGATCGACGTCGGTGTTCGCCCCGAGTACTTTGTTGGCAACGCCGTGTCGCAACTCCTCAACACCATGCACCTCTGGGATCCCCAGGACAGGGAGCGACACAGTCTAGTTGAAGTACAAATCGACATTTGGGATATCATGAATGCCTCAGCCGACTTTCAGATCTCCCATGGCTTTGGGATGCTTCCTCAAGTGCCCCTCATCGAGGCGCTGTACGAGGTGTCAAAGCCAGAGGGAGACCCACTTCTGCACCCTTGGAGCTCTCTTGCCCTGTACCGGGCCTTGCCAAATGTCCGTCGTGCCGGCCTCAATTTGAGGCGAGTAAATCACGAGCATCTTTCACCAGCACAAAACGTGCACATCTCTTTAGCACAAGCAAGAAGTAAGATTTGTGGAGATTGACTATCGAATCGACAGGGACAAAATTATTGTAATTATTGTTGAGGACTTTGCTGATCTAGTTCCAAGACCACATCTTCTTCTTGGGAGCAACCCATCCAAATTTGACACATTTGGAGCTCCTGCCGGACCTACAACGATTCAATTCAAATAATATATCGCGGCTATGGGCGCCAGGGTCCAATTGTCTTGCAGCATTCCCACCCTCCTGGCACAACACCCTTGTGAGGCTCGAGCTCAAGCAAATCAAGGAGCTGCCCGGATTTCTCGCCGAGGCAGGAAGGATGGTCTGGCCGAACCTCAAAACGTTGGTCCTGCTTGGAGACGTGGAGAGCTATGATATGAGCAACTAGCAGCTCCGTGTCATCAACGAAGTGACTTGCACAACTGTCGTCCGGGGTCTTATCGCATTGATGTCGAAGACGCCGAAGCTCACGACAGTCCTGGTAGAGATGGTTGACTTTGCCTGGAACTGGGACTATGAATCGTTCAGAATCCAGATGTGTCTTGGGGAAATGGCAGAGGGTGTGGAGGCTAGTTCTGGGCCGTCTTGTTCTTTCAAGCCCTGTTCTTACAGCTTTGTCCCGACCCAGGTTCTTACTACTCTATCTTGGTACACATTTCCATGTCTTGTGTGCTGGAATGATGCAAAATGTATTCTATTCAATAAACTAAACTAAGCTAATGAATCTCACGTTTAGGACCTTGGCACAGTGGTCGTATCCGGCACCAAGGTTTTGGGCGAGGTTGCGACAGAGCTGCAACGTACTGTTCAGATCAACCAGCGCAAGGATCTAGCTGTGTTCTCCCACTACTTGAACCAGTCAATCTGGGGCAGAGGCCCGTGTCGGCAATGGGATGCGGAGAAGAGCAGCTGGGATGTCGTCTTCGAGAACGAGGCGGACGAGATCATTTACCAGATGGGACAGTACCTCGACCTGACTGAGCCTTAGATGGTCACCACCACGGATCGACGCGGAATCACAGCGTGGTTCAGGATTTGGAGAAGGGTGACGGTGTTATGGATGTTTGGCTTGTCTTGGGGCGTTTTATGTTGTCGGTCAGGTTTGGGCTGTGAAGATGTTTTTTTACTCTTTTTTTTGGGGGGGGGGGGGAGGGGCGCATGGTCCCCGCTCGATCATGGGGATCTGTCATGATTCTGGTGCCCACAAATGGCGAGCAGTGGAGTTTGGAGTAAATAGTTAGGTGCTACAGCGAAATTTTAGACCTTGGTATTAATATATCCCTCTAGTGCACACTCGTGCCTCTCACTACCCATCGATTCCAGTCAATCCCAATGTGAATTTGTTCGGCTTGGCCAAGATCACGTCTCGGTCATCTTTCAGCTCATCCACATCCCAATTTGCCCATACAAAACGGCCGTTGAGAAACCGAGCCTGCGGGCTGACAGCCCACACCACGAAGTCCGCGGGTAGTTCGACTAGATTAGACGGCAATTAGCAGTTGAAGCAGTCGACCCTTGCCATCCAGACAGACTTACCATCGTCCCATGGCATATTGGCCATGTCCATTTGTATGCCTTTCGCGATATTCTCGAAACCAGTTGACATTCCCGTCTCTGGCACGAGACCAGGTTGTAAGCAGAGCACGAACGTGTCCGGGTTCTCGTGATGCACGTATTCGAAGAGTTTTACTGCACCGGCCTTCGAGGAGCAGTAGCTGGATTCGTTTGGGAAGTATGGGCCGTGGGCGACAGCCGATGACAGATGGATTATCGCGGGGGTGGCACTGGCATGCGGGAGGAATGCGTGAACGAGATTGAAATTTCCCTTTATGTTCGTCTCGAATGTGTTCTTTATGTTCGTCTCGAATGTGTTCCACCACTCAACCGGATCTGCGCCCCTGATTGAGGTCAAGGGTCCCAGTACCCCTGCGTTTGCGACGAGTATATCAATAACGCCACTGTGACACTCACGGGCAAATGAGCCGAGCGCACGATCTACAACAGCCAAGTCGGTAATGTCCAAAGGATAGGTAAAGACCTTGGTGCTGTTGGAGACGGCCTCGACAGCCAGCTTGGTTTCCAGAAGAGCATTCTCACGGTGCCCGGTAAGAGCTAGGTATGAAATGTCTGACTTGGCCAGTGAAATGGCGATGCTTGCTCCAATCCCTGATCCAGCGCCAGTCACAATTGCAGATTTCGACTTGGTTGACAGCGCTGGTTGGGTCGGATTAATGGCCGCGTATGACTTGCGGTGATAGATCTTGTAGGGAGTTTGAAGGGCATTTTCTGACATATTTGCAAATTTGTTTGACTCGATGAGGACAGTATTGACGTGCGGCAGTGACTTTATTTTTGGCAAGAAAATGAGAGGTGATGTAGGCTATGAAAGTGATCATCTCACGTCTTGCTAGATACGTTTTATATCGGATTTCTTCAAGCCTGGCCTACACGCACTCTGCACCACCCCGAAGGTTCCACAGATGCTTGATCGCCCAACATGACTAATCCTACTAATGTTACGTGATCAGAGGTGAATTTTGCCCGTCTCACCACAATTTGGGTCTGTGCCGGGCTTGATGCACGGCAAACACATTGCAGCGTGCTCGTCATTCTACGCAACGACTCCACAAGCATACGAGCCAGCCTCGGCATTCGCAGAAGACCTCAGATGGATAACGCCGAAGCTGAACTCAACGTAGGTACCCATGCTCTCGTCGCAATGCTGGGCAGCTGATGAACAAGGACAGCGCCGGAGGGAACGAGCCAAGATTTCCCAGCGGGCATTTCGTGTACGCCAAGCCACGACACTCCGCGACCTACGAGATGAAAATGCACGACTCAAGAGTATGATCAAGAATATGGTGGAAGTCTACCAGAGTGACGACCCTAATGCTTTCCACTATATAATCCAAAAAGGTGCCGAAGCAGTCGGCCTTGACTGTGAGATATCTCATCGTAGCGATGCAGCAGCAAGACCAGCCAGCACTTTATCTCCAGAATATCACGACTTTCAGCGATCAAGTTCCACCGGCAGGGCTGTTGATCTTCACACTGGATCATCATTGGATCCCATATTGTCCGGCGGCGAGCTGCAACCGGCGTTGATAACAAAAAATGCCGACCCAGTTGTGCCGCATGGCCTCGGACAACACCAGTCCAGCTGCATGTCGTTCCGTCTTGACTGTGGACTCTTCGCATTCCCCACCAGTGCCAGTCGTATACTGGACCCTCCCCTAGATATTGAGCCTTATCTCGGCCCCAATAAACACACTCTCGCAGCTCAGATCTACTGGTACTGCACCGCAACAACTGTCAACCTAGTATACCAACTTACCGGCCATGATCCCCGCAAAATGGCATCTGCAGCTCAACATCACCCTGTCTTGGCAGATATGCTGAGATACGTCTCCACAGCATGTAGCTATAACTATCTCTTGGCCCTCGCCGAGGCGCGTCTGGAGTTTTATCGGCTGGGCTCCTGCAAGCCAGGCAACCTAGCAGCAACAAGGGACTCGGCGCTCCTACTTCGTCAACGTGTCGAAAAGGAGCACGGGGCAGAGGTTGAGGACTCGGGGGAATGGTGCACGGCTAACGCAGTTGCGCGGATCGTCGAGGAAAGATTGAACGGTCGGGCGTTGAGGCGGCTTGAGGCCGCGATGCGAAACAATGATACGGACTTGGGCGCAAGAGAGCAGTTGAACACCTTCACCCACAATCTTTGGCTCGGTTCGACCTGCTTTGGTGATGGGCCGAGGTGGAAGTATACTCACATAGAGGACCGAGCTGCATGGTTAGTCCGAGCTTTGTCGAAGAGCAACCCGCCTAATTCTGGCGTGGCATAGTGCTCGCAGGCCGAGAGACCGTAGCCACCACGAGCCACGCCTCACTTGAATTTACACTTGACACTGTCGTGATTTGGGCCAAGTCTTTCCGGGCTGTCTGGGACTTTCCGAGCTTAACGATTCTTCATTTGAGAACGGCTTTAGGTTGTCGCCTCCACTCTCTTCGAGTCGATGGCGGCCGCTCTACTCATGATGTCGGACTGAACCTTGAGACCTTTGGATATTGTGGGAAACACTTGTCACGATTTATGTTCCATACAAGAAAGTTCAACTGAGCAGGGAACGTAGTATATGGAACTCACGATGTTAACAAAGCTCGGCCAATTGATAGACCGGGACCGAATGCTATGAACCGAGATTCTAATTCAGAAACCGATATACCTTCTAAGGCGTATTGCCACTGATAAATCTGGATCAAGAGACACAGAGAGTCGTCATTGGAAATGACATTGTATTAAGGTGCACCAGCGTAAGGGCACACCTAGTAGTATGCCTAGGTAACAGTCCCGACCGCAAAGACCAAGGCTGACAGTCGAGAGCACGGTCATTGGAGCCCCCTTCCATTATTCATCAAAGCCACGGTGATGTCATGTTCGGACCGCTGACATAGACATTGATCTGCATTGCCGTGAGCTCGTCGTTGTAGTACTGGAGCACTTCGAGGGTGTCACCAGTGCCCCCGAAAGGTGCAACCAGCGGCACAGACGGATCCGTAGCTTGCATGTACTCAATGTATTCCACCTGTGCCTCTTGTGCCGTGGTCATCTTGTTCGGAATGAAGGCAGACACATTCCCGCCGTATGGATAGGCTGTTCCCGGTATGACCCACTGGTAACGACGAAGCCCAACTCCTCGTCGATGACGAGTGCCACTCTTGCACTGTCGTCGGTCGGATGATCGTCAGGCCAAACGCATCCGAGGGGGTCGGTAGAGCCATTGTTGTATGTTCCGGCGTCCACAACCTTCCAGCCAATCTCGGTAAATTAGCAGCTGTCGCTGACGATGACCGAGAAGTCGCTTCACTCGGCGAAGAGAGCCTCGTCACCGATCAAAGAAAAGCAAGGCATTCAGTACGGGATGAGGGCATCTGAAATTAGCTCTTGAATAAGGAGACATGCTATGCACGTGCATGCTTGAGCAGATTACGTTCGCGCCACTTCCCTCCCTCACTTCAGCGCAAACTGCTGCTTCATGAGTAGTTACTTAACATCTGACCTTCGGCCATTTGCAGCGTACTTATGCTGAATATTATTGCATTGGATAAAAGCCTAGGTATTGAATGTATATTGGAGACTTCGTGTGCTTGGGTATAAGCACTGTGGTAGTATTATGTAGGATACTAGAGGATGACTTCTCTGTCTAAGATTAGTCTTTAGATCTAGCAAATGATTCTAACATTGCCCCGTTCATGGTCGACCGATGTCCAATACATCTCGCTTGGAGCGTCGTTACCTGTTCGGACGTCCACGGTCACCGAATACCCATCGCACCTGCGATATGCATGTTCAGTTACAGATAGATACAGCTAAGAGAATTTAAAAGGTGCTTTACAGGGCTAAGGCTTCAGCCACATTGCATTTTTTATTCAATTATATATTTATCTATTTATCATTTTTTTAGCTTTTAAATTAACTATTAACTTATACTTTAAGTATAGAGTTAATAATTATTTAATATATACTTTTAAATTTATTTATATATAATATTATTAACTTTCTTTATAAGGCTCTTTTTTTATTATATTTTTTATATATTATATAAAAGTAAATAAATCTTTAATAATAAAGTTATATATTTAAAGAAGAAAGATTTAATTCTTAAATATTTAAACTTTTATTTTTATATAGTATTTATTTAATATATAATAAATAAACTTTATTTAACTTTTAAAAAGTTTTAACTTTTATAAAATTTATATAGGAAGGTTTTTAAATAGATTTATTATTATAATATTATTATTTTATTAATTATATATTTAAGATAAAGATTATAATATATTTAATTTACTTAATAAGGGTATATTTAAGTAGTTATTAAGTATATTAATAGGAAAGAGTTAGTTTATTAAGTTTTATATTATAGAATTCTTTTTATAGAAGTTATTTTAAGATTATTTTAATTTTATTATATAACTACTTTATTAACTTTAACTTTAATATAATAATAGATTAACCTTTAGATTATTTATATTAATAATTTTAATATAATATTATTAAAAGTAATACCTTTTAATTTTATTTATATAATATAAAGCTTAATTATATATTTATATATTATATTCTCTTTCTACTATTATTAATACTATATTTTTTTAGATATTAAATTTTAAGTATTTATTACTATATAAAGGTGATATATATATTTTATATATATAGGGATTAAAAATGAAACTACTTATAGGGTTAAATCGTGAACGCGCTATTAAGAGAATTCAGGCAGTATACAGTAGGGGAGGTCAGCCGCTGACACGAAGGATGGTAGCAGGAAATACTATGCGAATAAATCGAATCATTTCTGCGGAGTCAGCACCATGCAGGTTGTATTAAAACCCTGACCTATACGAGTCTGGGTGTGCCGCCCTGTCGGTATCCCGCAGGATCGTACTTGGGCTCCGATCCTTTTTGTTGGGTACCGCTCCCGCTTGGCAACGAGATGGCCTTGATTCGGCCTGCCAGCCGAACTCGAAGGATTTGCCAAGTATGTGCTCCATTAGTGTATTTCCTCCTGCATGTACTGTTCCTTCATGTTTGACGAAATTTCCCACATATGCTACGATACTGAGGCAAAAGTCCATAGGTGAACGTGGAGGTCGGCTCACTTTCGCTTGTTGAAACTGTAGTAAAGACTCGCTTAGTAGCGATTTGACCTCGATATATGCGCAGTGTCTGCGAGATCTTCAATTGCTGGCTTTCTTTCGCACGTTGTTTGTGACATCTAGCCAGCTCAAGGCTTCACGGTTGTCATTATGGGACTACTGCGCGAAGTGGCGGTATTGACCGCGGCTTCATTGAGCATCTACGTCAGGGCCATAGGTGCATCATATCCGACAGTGGTCCTTGTCTTGGTCAGTTCTTCAGCAGTTCAGCTGTCTCTGTTTCTAGCCTACCACAGCCTCATACACCGCTGGTTTGTTGCCCCCACAAAGGTGATTCCGCATCCAAAGGTACGCTCATATCTTCCTCAACCTGCATTGCACCACTTCCTTGCTGATCTGCTAGCACTAGAACACGTCTTTCTTTCTAGGAAACGTGATATCCTTTCTTGTTGAGCCATGGGGAGTCCCTCTCGTCAGATGGCAGCACAGCGTGACAGCTTCCCCAAGTGGCCTTTTCCGAATTTTCATGGGTCCGTTTGACTATGTTGTTCCAAAGGGACCCCGGGCCATCTATGAAACCTTGAGTCAGTATGCCTTCGAAAAGCCTCCGCTTGCTCGTCAGGGTCTCGAGCGGAGTCTCGGAGTTGGGCTTGTCGTGGCCGAAGGTGAGGTTCACCGCGTGAGTCCTACAATTTTTCATCATCATGCGTACATGCTCCAAGCATTAGGGTTGTTTTAATATTTAATCAGCAACAGAGAAAGATGATGAGGCCAATATTTGGCCTTGGTCGCAACCAGCGCCTTGTGCCGCAGGTCTGGGCCACGGCAACGGTCCTCTGTCAGAAAATAGAGGAACTTGTTAGTCAGGCGAATGGATCGACAATCGTGGAAGTGCATTCCCTGACAATGGCCACGACGTTGGATGTCATCGGCGTCACAACACTGGGATTAGATTTTGAATCCATCCAGCACCCAGAGCGGTCCATTCTCCAGGCCTATAAGCTGATTTATCCGACGCCTGAGAATCCAACAACAGTCGACAGGATTGTGGGAAACATCTTCGGCACCATTCTCCCACCCCGCTTGCTTTTCAAAATTCCTTCCAAGACCATTCGGGGATACCATGCTGGGATGGCTAAGTTGCGAGACTTCTGCCTCCAACATATCCGCAGAAAAAAGCAGGACATCAAATCTGGAAGCGCGGGGGATGTAGAATTACGAGAGAAAGGTAAGCTTGCGACATGAGGACCCATGATGTAATTAGCTGAAAAGTTTATCACAGACATTCTTTCTGCCATCATCACCACCGGCCTGGCAGATGAGATTGAACTACTTAGCCATGTTTTGACAATCATGGCAGCAGGGTAGGTCCCGCCTTCGAGACTTACCCACATTCCCAGTGATGATCGCTTACAGAGGATCCTACCCTAGACACGACACCACAGCTGTAACCCTAGACTGGGCGCTGTTCAGGCTGGCCAAACATGCCGATATTCAAGACCGTCTAAGGGCAGAAGTTGCGCAGGCAATTGGTAACCATGACGCGGCTCCAAGCCTCGACACCCTCAACTCGATGAAATACCTCCATGCCTTCCTTATGGAGGTCCTCCGGTTTTACCCACCGCTACCCCTATTGGCACGCTCTGCTGTCGAGGACACCGCCATTGGCGGCGTACGAATCCCGCGGGGTCAGGGCGTTCTCATCAGCCCCTACGCCATCAACAGGTGCCGTGAGCTCTGGGGTGACGAAGCCGAGGAATTCGACGTTGGGCGGTGGGAAAGCTCTCACACCGGTGGGGCGGCTTCGCCGTATGCCTTTTCGACCTTTTCCATGGGCCCACGTACTTGTATAGGGAAAGACTTTGCTCTGATCGCCATTAAGACATTGCTGGTCACGCTGCTCCGGCGGTTCCGCTTCGAGGAGGTGGCACCTGGGTGGCATCCACCATTTCTGAAAGATACTACGCTCAAGGCTCGTGGCTTGAAGATCATGGTTTCACTTTTGTGAGAGTGTACATATATAGTTCAGTCCGTGACCGTTATGCCAGTGGACTTGGGGAAAATAATTGTATTTTATTTTACGGGCATGTCCATGTAGTACCAGTAGCATGTAGCACCGGAGGGTAGGGTAAACATAAATAAATTCTAGGTTGTTAATTTAACCCGACGCAGTCGATCTAAATTGTCTCTGTACAATTCAGATTCTATTTTGCTGGAGTTTGGCTCTGCTCCCGTGTTTCTCCACTGTAACGGTGTCGTGCCTTGGAGTCATATGCATTGTAGGCCGAATACGAATTGTTCCAATTAACTAGAGCATGAATGTGGTTTCCCCGGGCCGACATGACTCCTGCGGATGGAACGGCCGGCTGGAATCCATTTCAGGGAACAACAGAGGATCTCCAAGTCGTGATAGATTCCTACCAAATTACATTTGTGGTGCACAACCCGGTTTCAGCAGGGCCTCGAATTCCTGCAGAGGATGAGTCCATTCTAGTAGTCAAGAAGAGGGCTTGCTCTTCATTCTCGCGAAACCGCCAAGGAAGACTCCAAGCAACTCAAGGGATTTGTTGATGCAAGTTCTTATCTCCCCACCAGAGGTATTCCACAGGAATGGCCTCGTAAGAAATCTATACGAGCCCCAACTATTCCCATCCCCAAGGCTTCCAATGATTTCCCTTACCGGCCGAACGAGCTGAATCAGTATTGAACGGCTTGTACTCATTCCTTCCCACCACACATTAAAGGTTCGGGTAGTCCATAAGTCATCACAGCATACAGGGCGGGCTGGTGGCTCAGCTATTACTCAAGTTGCACCTCCAGCTAAGAGAGGTTACTGATTTTGAATTTAACTGGCTGCCTTATTGCGAATGCAAGACTGAGACTCTGTTCCTTTCGTCAATATTCCACCGGCTTATAGGTTCTTTATATCAGAAGCATCTCTTCTGGACCTGTCCTTGAGGATTGATCACGACATTGACCAATGCCAGGTCTCTTTTCGATGTAATGATTCCGCAGGGAGCTTGTAACAAAGATACGATTAGCCGATTAGGATTCATGGCTTACAAAAGGACTCACTGCAAGTACCAAGACAATGAATATGCTCCAGCCTTGCTGCCAAGTACATAGGGATCGAAACCTGCTAGAAATAAACCCACATCGTGACTCACATACTTGCGAGTTGTGGGTACATAGGCAAACTAAATCCATTGGAATCCTGATCTTTATCGTATTGGTCTGACATATAATTGATAAAGGAGGAGACCCAGTAGCCTCTTAGACACCCTCAGAGCAGACTAAGCACGTACGTGATCCTGATGGCATTTACCTTTCGTACTAGACGTAAGAGCTTGGCCGTGGTCCGTTGCTTCCAGCGTCGTATATTGACAGTGGAAAGACAGACAGGCTCATTTTGGAATTCAAAGAGAGGGTGCGAAAAAGGGCAAACGCCGAGGCCCAACTGGCGAAACCCATGAGTAAAGCACTAAATAATAGACAATACTACTTGGTGGGTTTTCCTTCAGACTTTTGGACAATCGACCAAGCTTGAAAACACAAAGCCACCATGTCGTCCAACGTCTATGTGGGTCTCCTGGTCGCCCTCACAGTCGTTCTGGGCTACTGCTTCCATCTCCTCACCCCTCTATCCTATCCAGGCGATACACCGTACAACCAAGCCTCGATCGGCCGCCCTCTGGGCGACCTGAGCCACATCAAAAGCCATGCATGTCGGACAAGCGAGTTCTCGGACGCCATGTTCAGCACCGCCCGGCGGCTCCGCAGCCCCGTGGCGCAGCTCCTGCTGGCGCGGTCCGCGCCGCCGGCGTTCAACGTCGACGGTTGCCGCGAGGCGGAGGACATCCTTGTGCGGAGGACGCGCGAGTTCTACCCTTCCGAGCTGACGACACCCGCACTGCGGGCCCAGAAGCGCATGTGGTCCGACGCCATGAGCCACGACTTCCTGCGGCGCGTGGTGGCACCCAACACGCGCGGGGGCATCGTCGAGCTCGTGGGGCTGTGGCGTCTGAAGGCCGCCGCCGCCGCTGCTGCTGCTGCTGGTGTTGGCCGGGAGCAGGTATTCGACGGCGCGTGCGACCTGAGCCGCTGCCAGAGGAGTTGTCGGGCATGGAGGCTACAGAGACATTGTTCCGCCGGCCCAAGATGGCCCACGTACGCCTCAGGCCGATAGCCACTGCTTTGTGAGATGAGCTAGACAAGTCTCATCTTTTCAATCATTTGATCAAGCCTGACACAGACACTTTGACCCGTCGCCTCGTAATAACTATGGTCTGAGCAGTCTGTGGTATTCTTGAAACATTCGTAGTATCGCTATAATACTAGGTGGAAAATAATATAGCGGCATATATGTAATGCTAAGAAGTCAGCAACCCACATGTCTATAGTATAGAATCAAATCTTTTACGGAGCCTTGTCCCGTAGAAATACAATAGCACTGGAACTGGAACAGAAACGAGACAAATGAATGCCAAAAGACTATTTCCCCAGCCAAGGCCCAGCTGCTCATACATATCCAGCCCTCCCAGAGGCATTAGTGCGCCGATCAAAGACCGAAACAGCATAATGGCAGCCGACCCAGATACCGCGTAAGTGGCTATAACAGGATTCAACCCACCCCCTAATTCAGCCCACCTAAATTCACCTTTCCACAATAACTACCTATCTACTTTATCCTTATTTTTTTATTAAAACTAACTCTTATAATATAATTATTTAATATTTCTAATAATTTAAACTTTTTTTATTTATTAAGTTAGTTTTAATTATTCTAATTAGAATTTATACTCTTTATATATCTTTAATTTATATAAACTTTAAATTTAAATTTCTTTTAACTTTTTCTTTAATAAATATTATTATATTTAATTATAGTTTAAGTAATTTAATTTTATAATATATTATTTTTAATTATTATATTCTTTATTATAATTTTATAAAAGAAATAACTATTAATAATTAAATTTATAATTATATAAAATAAATCTTTATTTTTAAAAGAATTATTAATATTTAAAATAATTAATATATTTTAAAATATTTAAAAATTATAAATTTAATATAAAGTAAAATATAATTTATAAAAATCTTAAATTTAAACTTAAAAGTTTTTTAAAAATTTAACTTTATAAAAATAAATATTAAAAACTTAAGAAAAGTTTTAATTAAATTAAATTAATTATAATATAATAAAATAGTTTTAAAATTTTAATTAGAAAATTATAATTATAAGTCTTTTAATTTTATATTAAAAGGAAATAATTAAAATATATTTAATAATTTTTAATATTATAAATCTTTAAGTTTTTTAAAAAAGTTTATATAATAATTATTTATTAAAAGTAATAATTATAATAAATAAAAGGTTATTTAGGTTATAAAAACTATATTTTAAAATAATTAATAATAGTTTTAAAATAATTTAAATAAATATAAAGTTTATTAAATTATTTTTTAAATAATAAATACTTTTATTTATTAACCTATTATATTAAAATAACTTTCAATACTTTAATATTAACTATAAAATATAACTTTTAAAAAATTAAAATAAGTAAAAATCTTTTAAACTTTAACTTTATTAATAATTATATTAAAAGTTAAAATTATATTATCTTTAATATATTATTTTATTAATAAATAAAAATAATACCTATAAAGTTTAAAGAATGAAAAAAATTATTATAAAGAAAACGTATTTTATATAGAGTGTGGACCTAATATAGTTGTGGGTATAGAGAGTGGGCTGAATTAGGGGGTGGGTTGAATCCTATCACGGCAACTTAGTTGGGGTGTGAATCGGTCTGATAGTTCTGGAGAGACATCTGAGTACTTGTCAGCTCTTTGTAATTTGGTGGTAGGTTCTCCCTAACTTACATTGGTTCCGGTGAGCCCGGTTGCAAACAAAACAACTCCCAGCATTGGCACAATCCAGTGTATCTTGTATTGGGTAGCCCATCCATATATCAAAAGACCAACGGGCAACGTGATCCCTGTTGGCACGAGCAGCCACGGGTTCAATTTGACCTCGGGTCTGTACTCGTCATCCGGACTCATTCCCTTTTTCGCCCGGCGGACCAGGTAGTCGTAAATATGTCCAAAGGCTTGCACTCCGATCAACATACCAAGTCCAGCGGGCAGAAATGAAATGCCAGTAGTGCCTTCACTAAAATTGTACTGGCCTGAATACACGAAGGAAAATGTCGAAATAAGCAAGGTCATAATGCCATAGCTGATCCCAACCTGAGTCGCGATGATTGTTACCAAGGGAGTCGCGAAGAGGAACTTGAAAGGTCTCTACAAAGCCATGATAATGTGCTAGCGTCCCTTGGTCTCGTATTTGCCTCGGAGCATACCTAGGTAGGGTTCCCCTTTTGGGTGCGCAGACGGCGTGCTTTGCGGGCAAGGCGAACGGCGGCGCACAGCTCTCTTTCATGATGAAAAATGCTAGGACGCTGAATACACCTCCCTAGCTGCGTATTAGCTCTAGATTAGGGAAGAAAACCATAGCCCGACATACCATAATTATAAGGAGCCAGTAAACCCAACGCCACCCAGCCGCCTCAATAAGATATCCACCAGCAATGGGGCCGACGCAAGGGCCTAGCAACGGTCCGACTGCCCACCAGGAAATTACTCTCCCTCGTTTCTCAAGAGCAATCATGTCGACGATGCTTCCGACACCGATCGTGGTTAGCACACAACCCACAAGACCCATGAGAAATCAGGAGGCTATTAGCATCCTAATATTAACGCTATATGCGGCAGTAATGCTAAAGGTAGTAAAGAAGATGTTTCTAATATAATATATAAATAAAACTTAATTAGAAATTATAATTATAGATCTTTTAGCTTTATATTTAAGGGAGATTAATTATAATATAACTTTATTATTTTATTATTATTATAATAGTATGAGCTTATAGATTATTAGAATAATTAATAGAATAAATTAATTATTATAATTATTTAATTAAGTAGTTTAATTTATTAATAGTATTTAAAGAAGTTATTTTAATAATTAATTTTAAAGTTATAAGTCTAAGTTTTTATATTTTAAAAGTTTTAAATAAGTATAGAGATAAATTTAAAAGTTACTTAAAAGTATTTTAAAATAAGTTATATATTTATAAATAATTAATAAATTATAATATTATAAAATATATTTAAAAGATTTAATTAAATTAAACTTATATTAAGTTTTTATTTTATTTAAATAATTTAATAAACTTTAATAGGTTTTAAGTAAGGAATTTAATAGTATAAATTTATAAATAATTAGAATAATTAATAGAATAAATTAATTATTATAGTTTTTATTTAAATAATTTAATTTATTAATAGTAATTAAATAAATTATTTTAATTATATTTAAAATAAAATAAATTTTATAATTAATAAAAGAAATTAAATTATTTATAGAAAGTTATAAATTAAAAATTATAATTATTTAAAGAATAATTAAAAATATTAAAATTAAAATTTTATATTATAAAATCTATAGATTATAAATTATTTATATTTTTTAATTTTACTATTAAATTAAAAATAAATAATTAAAATCTTAAAAGAATAAAATATAATATATTTTTAAAAATTAGTTTAACTAAGTTTATTATATAGGACTTTTATAATAACTTTATAATCTATTATATTTATAATATTATTTATTATTAGAAGATATCTTTCTACACTAGTATATTAGGCTATACCTAATTTATTTAGGCTAGTACTATTAGCCTAATAAAGGTTAAAGCTATTATAAATTATAAGCTACCTAATCTTAATACTATTAAATACTATATATAAGGTTACTATATAACTCAGGTATAAGTTAGCTAAAATAGGTAAAGATAAAGCTACTATCCTCTTAAAAGATATATATAGATTCTAGCTCTACTCTATAAATAAATACCTATTTAATAAACCTAAAAAAACTATTAGCTTTACTATATTATAAATAAAACTACTTAAAAGTAGTCACTTAGCCCACTAAACTAAGAGACAACTAAATAAAATAATTATACTCTATTACTACTTTAAGTTTATAATTCTAATAGCTCTACTATAAATAGAAAAAAATAGCTATTAATAACTAAATTTATAACTATATAAAGGTAGACCTTTACTTTAAAAAGAAGTTATTAATATCTAAAATAATTAATATATTTCTAAAAAAGTTAAAAGATTATAAACCTAATTTAAAGTATATTAAAATTTATAAAAATCTTAAACTTAAAATTAAAAAATATAAAACTTTAACTCCTTTAAAGATATTAAAACTAAAAACTTAAAAAAAAGCTTAAATAAAGTTAAATAAGGTTATAATAATATAATATAGTTAAATAAAAACTAATTATAAAATTATAATTATAGATCTTTTAGCTTTATACTTAGAAAGGATTATAAAATATATAAAAATTATTTAAATTAAAAAATTAAATATAAATAATAAATTTATTAAAAATATATATAAATTTTAATTACTTTAAGAATTACTTTATTTATAAATTATATATAATTTTAAACTTATAAGGCTCTTAATATAGTGTAGCTAAATAGCTAATTATAAAACTAGTAGCCTAGACTGTATTATAGGTATTAGAACGTGTAAGTTAGCTGAAAGCACGGTAGGAATGCTGCATAGGGGGGATTTGTGCAACCCTCTCCCTTCTAAAAATAACAGTCTGATAGCCTTAGGCGTGTTGACACGTTGTTGGCAAATCTTCCAAGGTTAGTAAGCACACCGCCGACAGTATTAGGCTGAGCTGCGGGCGAATATCATCCCAGACCTGCAGCCAGCTGATGCATATTCCCCTCACCAGATGTTGCGCCTCTTCAACCCCAGAATTGTATCATCTGCCGTTTTCTCGAGTAAAGCAGATATCCATATCCTCTACAATGGCAGCGCAGACCGCGGAGCAACAGAAAGTCAGCGATGATGGCCATTTTCAAGCCAATGATGGCTCGAAATGGCCCTCTTATTCTCCAGATGGAGCATCCGTCAAGGAACATGGCGGCATGCAGGCGGCTCGGGATAAGGACCATTCTGTACTGAATGATGGCGCCTCCTCAGAAGAGAACGACCCAGCAGAGTCATCCGTTTCAGCAGAAAAATCAGTTGACAGTGAAGACTCGGACGCCAAGTTAGTCAGAAAACAAGGATATAGCTGTGATGAATTGTCTGAGGATGATTTAGTGGATTCTGAGAGTGGAATTAGATCACTGATACGCTCAGATCTCTCTGATTTTGAAGAAGACCTGAGAGGTCGGCCACTCCGCGAGGTTTGGAACAAGATGGCGAGGTCGGTAAAATTCCTCGCCGAGAGACCGTGGTCTGTATCTCCATCCAGGATGAGAAGTCGAGGAATGAAAAGCCTCACTGGCGATCGTGAAAGGGTGGCTTTCAGGGACCACATATCACGTCGGGAAAGGCTCAGAAGGAACTCTTATTCCTGGATCGAACGTCGCAAAATGCCTTTGAACACTGAAGGAGACGGAACCAATACTGAGTCGAACTCTGAAGACGATTCGTCCGAGTCGCTATCTGGCGTGGATGATGTGGAACCCGAGGAGCAACTCTGTGAAACTTGCCGTGGAATCAATGCGGAAGTTCTAGCTTCGGGTTACGAGCACCTTCATCTGGACGAATTGCAAAAGTCAGCAAAATTTTGTCGACTATGTCGGTGGTTGGAGAGGGGCATTTATGTGTGGTCGATGATCCCGTCAGCATCCTTCAGCGGCCTATTCAGCATAGTTCTGAGCTGTGAGTCTCTGGTCGTCAGATATCCCCAGACTAGTTGGTCGGAGAGACAGTAAGTTACATGAAGCGAGGTGGTATGAAAATCTGGCGTTTGGCTGACCATCAACGGTTGCAGTGACTTCCCATACTTCACCAACGAGGATGACCCCGCCGTCCAGTATGGGGTTCGCTCAAGATCCCGGCTGACGACTACGAAATCGGAGAAGTCATTTGAAACCGCAAGGACCTGGCTTCGCGAATGTCTGGAATGCAAGGGGCCTCATACTATGGTGAAAGAAAGGCCTGACACCGACAATGTGTCCAGATCATCTGAGCCCTCCAGGACCCCGTATGAAAGCTCGAGTTCTGGTGGCTCATTACAAGACGAGATCTCCCCACATGGAGGCATTGAGCAAATCGCCGCCGAGCGACCATCTAGGCTGATTGATCTACATCCTGAAAGCACTGGACCAGGAGTCCTCAAATTGGTTCTGTCGCTGAGTGGCTCACATGAGTACATGACACTAAGCTACTGCTGGGGCGAGCACAGGAACCCATCGTGGATCACCACAAAGGAGAACGTCCGGAGACGTTTGGAGTCCTTTTCTACCTCGGAGCTTCCTGCAACCTTGTCTGACGCTGTCAACATAGCAGATCGACTGGGCGCGCGTTATCTGTGGATTGATGCTATTTGCATCGTGCAAGACGACGTCGACGAATGGGAGCTTGAAGGAGGACGCATGGCTGGCATCTACCGCGGTGCAGTACTCTGCATAGCTGCATCATCGAGCGTCTCGTCGGTTGATGGCATCTACAACACACGATCTACTTCGCACTTTGAGAGATCCAGGGACAAGATCATACGCATCGACGGTACTGTGACCACGCGTGGAACGGACCGGAGCAGTGAGCGGGTCAAGAGCACCCTATACTTTCAAGATAGGGATATGCAGGAGCTTTTCAAGGCCGATCGGATTATAAATTCGTACATCAATCGTGGGCCGCTGTCTGAGCGGGCGTGGGCTCTGCAAGAGCGCCTCCTATCATCGCGAGTCTTGTACTACACTCGCGACCAGTTGGTGTGGCAGTGTGACCACTGTCAATCACTCGAGGACCGAATATTACACAACCGAGCATATTCACCCGATTTCCATTACAAAGAGCTGCGTGCCTTGTCGTCGAAGAAGTTTGATGGTGACCAGGTCGGATGGCTTTGGTACCGTGCGATCGTGTCTGGTTACTCCGACCGAAAGCTCACATATGGGTCTGACAAGCTCATCGCCATCAGTGCATTGGCGCGCGCTGTGTGCCTCGACCACCCTGATGTGTACCTCGCTGGTCTGTGGCGGGAGTCGCTCATCGACGGTTTAATGTGGTGCCGTGTTGGGCCTGGCTGTAAATCGGGCGAGTATCGGGCCCCCTCGTGGTCATGGGCATCACAAGATTCAAAAGTGATGTTCTCGTACTCAAACGAGCGGGGCGATTGTGATTGTGTGGTCACTGCGTTCGATGTTCAGACCGATGAGAGCAACACAATGGGCAAGGTGTCAGGAGGCTTTATAAAGCTCCGGGCACGAGCTATGGGGGGGATCGTTATGAGGACCGTTGAAGACAAGGACGAGTATCAATATCGACTCGTCTTGTGGGATGATAAGAGCCTGATCTCTTGCGTCGCTTACATGGATGATGACGATGACATCAAGGTCAAGACCGTGGTCTGCATTTATATAAGCGGGATAAGTGGGCTACTACTGCGACCTGTTGCTTCCGAAGAAGGTGCTTATGAGAGGGTAGGACTTGCTGAATGGTATCATTCGGAATACTGTTTCCCTGACTCTATCTTAAGCTGGCCTTGGAGAACAATAACTATGAGATAAGGATTTAGATAGGAATGAGACTGTGAAGGCCAAGCATTTCGATGAACTCACCCTGGCGGCCCCGGTTCTGTTGCTGGCTTTTGTTTTTATAAGCGACCTCGGCCGAGGATATGACAAGGTGCTGTGCATGCCGTACCCCTGAAGGTTCGACAGGGATGGCGGACCACAAAAGATGCCTCGGCTCAAACGAGTAACGACAACCGCGCATGGTGAGGGACCGCCAACTGAGGACAACACACTTCAAGTTGTTCCCCCCTCCACTGACCTGAATTCCTTGATACGAGAGCCACTGCTGTCCAGACCAACCAAACTTAATTTCCCCGGCCTAAATATCACCATGGATGTAAACAGCTTATTCGACGTCAAGGTAAGCAATACCCCACCTCGGCATGGCTTGAACGTCCCGTGCTAACATACAACCCACCACCACAGGGCAAGGTCGTCCTGGTGACGGGAGGAGCCAAGGGCATCGGGCGGATGATATCAGAGGGCTTCGTGACCAACGGGGCAAAGGTGTACATCTCGTCGCGGGACGGCAAGGCGTGCGAGCAGGCCGCCCAGGAGCTCACGGCGCTGGGTATGTGCATTCTCATTATCATCATCATCACCACCACCACTGGTCACACTCATATCGCGTCATCAATATCATCACCTCACCTCATCTCACTCATTATCTATGCCACCCACTCACCTCCCTCATCCCCTATACCACTCACTCACCCACCCGCCCACTCACTAACAACCCACAGGCAAACCAAAAGGCGGCACAGCCCACGCCCTCCCAGCAGACCTCCAATCCCTAGAAGCGACCAAATCCCTCGCGGCACAGCTAACAGCCCTCGAGCCATCAGGCCTCGACATCCTAATCAACAACTCAGGCGCCGCATGGGGCGAGCCGCTAGAGACCCACCCGGACGCGGCATGGACGAAGCTGCTGACCCTCAACCTCCAGCGCGTCTTCACCCTCACCCAGCTCCTCCTGCCCCTCCTCCAGAAGAAGGGCTCCCTGCCGGCCTCCTCCCCCTCGAGGGTCGTCAACATCGGCTCCATCGACGCCCTCCGCGTCCCGACCATGGAGAACTACGCCTACTCCGCCTCGAAAGCAGGGCTGCACCACCTCACCCGCACCCTGGCCGCGGCCCTCGGGCCCCGCGGCGTCACGGTCAACACCCTCGCGTGCGGGCCCTTCCCGTCCAAGATGATGCGCGCCGTGCTGGATGACGCGGGCGACGCCATCGCCGAGGCGAACCCGCTGGGGCGTATCGGGACGCCGCCCGACGCCGCTGGGGCGTGTCTTTTCTTGTGTGGGAGGGCTGGGGCGTTTGTGAATGGGGCTACCCTTGCGCTTGATGGTGGGGTGAGTTTGTTGGCCAGGCTGTGAGGGCGGGATGTGTTGGGGAGAGGTGGGGGGGGAGAGGGGAGGGACTGGGGGCTTGCGTGTTGATGGTCTGTCGATGGGCTGGCTGGCTGGAGGCGGGATGTTGGGACCCGGCAAGGCTGATGAATTCTGGCCTCGGGCACCTGATGTCTGGCCATACATACATATATGGATCACCCCAGGCCGATGGGGGAGATCGCGTCCCCACGCGGAACTGGCATTCTACGCGGGCACGAGACGAGACATATGTTCATTTACACTTGAATTGCGTCTTGGCGTGTGTATACATACATACGCATCCAGCATCAAGACACAAAACCCAACCCCCGGAAGAAGAGGTTTGGAGTCGTAGATGATGATCTGCCTCGACTGGGAGGGTGGACACACAGGACCAGGGAGAGACAGGTAGGTAGGCAGGCAGGCAGACAGACAGGCAGACAAGACCGGATCCAGACACTGCGCTGCCCCTTCATCTCACCCCCAAGGTCCGCCACGCCTCCCTCCCATCCTTCCGTGCCAGACAAGCAGGCCCAGAGCCCACGCCGTCCACCCCTAAAACACCGCAGGACCTCATCAACCCCCACTCCTCTCCCTCTCCCTCTCCCTCTCTCTCTCACTCTCACACTCACACACACTCACACACTCACACATACACACATACACACACACATACACACATACACACATACACACATACACACATACACACATACACACATACACACATACACACATACACACATACACACACCTCTATCACCACACCATCTCATCTCGTCTAATCACAACAAGGACGGGTTGATCGGTCGGTCGGTCGCACGCAGCAGAGGGTACAACAAGTGTCTTGTCTTGTCTTCGCTGCAGAGACGCTGTAGTAGTGTAGTGTAAAACAAAACAAAAAGTCAAACGCACTGAGGAGGGATATCGATGCAGTTGCAGTAGCCTCGCCTCTTTCCCGCAGGTAAAAACGACCCAAGGGGCCTTGTCTTCACAGCCAAAACCAAAAGCAAACATCCCAACCACATCACAAAACTCCCATGCGCCTGCCCCGATGTTGTTCAGATCGTAAATGCTGGTGGAAAAACGCCCCCGATTGTGCCCGCGTGTTTACTGTGGTTTGTTTGTTATCCTCCGCCTGTTTGCGTCTTCGAGGCCCGCACCGGGTCTCGTTGTGCCTGTCCTGTTTCCTTTGCCACACACACACACACAGACACTCATCTAAACCCGAGAGATCGCAATCATCCTTTTCCCAACGGCGAGGACGGGCCATGCGCTGGCTGCTGCGTTCCGTGCACGGACTTTTTGTGGTCTTCGGTCCTCCAGGATATGACAGAAAGGGCGCCGGGCGAGCAGATGGAATATGCCGTCGCGGTCCACGATTAAGACCGCTCCGCCGAGCAAATTTGGCCGACCGACCCCTTTCGACATGTCCGGTAGGTAGGTACGATTGGTTGGTCTTTCGCGAGAGTGCGGTGCGGGTGCGGCGAACGCCCAATGCTCGCCGCTCTGCGTCAAATAATAAAGATGGTCTGCGCTCGCTCCACCGCCCCTATCCCTGGTTCATGTCGAGCAGGCCACACGGTGGTGGAGCCCGCCCCCGAGAGAGACCCTGAGTGCAGATGCGAGGGAATTTCGCGACCCCCCTGTTTGGCCGACCGGATTCGGGTGGCCTGACGAAAGGACCCCTCCCTTCCAAGAATGTTTGTTGGTGGAAGAAGCCCCGCGGCCCTAAATCAAGTACCAGGAGAGAGAAGGGAACGAGGAGAAGGGAGAAACAGGACTCTTCTCCAATGATGCAGCCAAGCCATGCAAAATGCCATGCCGTCCGGCAAAATTCCCCCAAACTTCCGGTCGCATGAAACTTGTTCCCTTGTATGAGGGGTCGAATAGGTCAAGAAAGTGGTCAGAGAGGGAAAGAACCGAGTCGTGTATGTCTTCGGGACCCGGCGAGATAGTCTCCGCGGTCCCTTAGGACAACCCGATGTTCTCAAAGTCCCTGACCATGACAGCGACCTGGGCACGTTTCGCAGCCTCGGCGACGAGGGTGAAGTCCTTGAGGAAGGCGTCGGTGGAGGGGGCGGCCTGCTTTGACTGCTGGCGCGGGGCGACGGCCGGGACCGAGTTGCCGTAGCCCTTTGTCGCGGCCTGGGGCCAGTGCGAGGCGGCAGTCTGGGTGCGTTGTGTGGGCGAGGAGAGTGGGGCGTCCATGTTGGCTGTGGTGGTTATTATTTGGGTGGTAGTTTGGAGAGAGGGCGTCTGTCTGTCTGTATGGTTGGCTGGTTGCGGTTCTCGAGAGAAGGCGTGCAATAGGCGGAGAGAGATAAAAGGCTGTCGTGGTCGATGTGCGTTTGCGGGAGGTGGTGATGATGATGATCCCAAGATCAAAATGGATCGAGGGAATTTTGTGGGTTGACCTTATCGCTCGGAGGCCAACTAAGTTGGTCGTGTGACCGGTCTTGTGGTAGTGTAGATTTTGTTACAGGCGATGGGATGGTGGTGTAGCGGTAGGCAGCAGCAGGCGTTGGAGACAAGGCTGCGACTTATTCGAGTGGGCGCAAAGGAGGTGCTTGCATGCGATAAGAAGCAGTTGTATGCGGGCCACTCAGATTGCTGGCGATAACACGCAGTGGCAGTGGATGGTGACTCTGGAGGGGATCTCGTCTCGTCTTTGTATTCTGGAGTGACAGGGAGAGAAAGAAGACAAGAGACAGAGATTCAGAGTGGACCAGGCGGTTTCGAGGAATATTGGGGGGGATTGGAGAATGGAGGATGGGGGGGGGGGTGGAGGGAACAAAGCGAGGGAGCAAGAAAGAGGTAGTAGAAGTAGGTGTGTGGACGAATGGGCCGAGGCGGGCTGGCGGCTGGGGTGGTTGATATATTGGGGTTTGATTGACTGGTTGATTGACTTGGCCGACCGAGAGACAGAGAGAGACGGAGGGAGAAAGATGGGAGGAGAGACCGAGCGAGATTGGAGTAGAAGAAGAAATCAGGCTGGGGAGTGAGGTCCCCAATATTGGAATAATAACCAGCGGGCCAACCAGGTTCTGCTGTGGTCCTCTCTTGACTTGACTTGAGATTCAGCAACAGTGATGAGTGCCTCGTCTCGCCTGGCCTCGACGGTAGATGGGAGAGAGTGATACGGTATTTCGCCGAGGCAATGTGGGGGTCGGACGATTCCGAGCTGTGACGATGTCTGGCCGTGCCTGCCCTGTCCCGTCCCAAAGTGCCTGAGTGCCTTCCGATGCTGCTGTTGCAACTCGCTCCTGCTGCCCGGTCGGTAGCCTGTCCAGGATTCTTCCTGGGTAGGGTCTGGGGCTGTTGCTGGGATGTGGTCTGGGGGGTTTGATTCTGGGTCCCGATGGTGTGAGTGCGAGTGCGAGTTATCGTGGGAAAGGGCGAAGGCGCGAGAAGAGAGAGAGATAAGTGTACTCCGTACTAAAGAGATGGTGTTGTGTGGTGGAGCCTCGTCTGGTTTTTTTTTTCTTTCATTCAAGCATTATCTTCGTATCACCACCATACCATATCCTTCGTTCCTTCCTCGACTGAACTGGCTGGCTGGCCGGCTGGCTGGCCAGTGGTACTACGCATATGCTGCAGACTACGCAAGGAAGGTACCGTGTATTTCCAGCTGATGCTGACAAGCCACACTCGACACTCAGGCTGAAGGAAGAAAAGGGACTGGTTCTGCCTGACAAGAATGCAACCACCCTTCCATGACAGGCGGCCGCAAAGCCAGGCCAAGTCGCTGGTTCGTGACGCATGCGCACCGCAACCGCACATACGCAAGCTCAGCTTCAAGGTTGGTTGCCCGGTTCGGGCATTTGACTCGAGTCGAGGCATTGCGCAGTTGGGAATCTGGCGGTACTTGCATGTACGTACTGTACCGTCCAGAAGGGGTGGTGGGGTTGGGGGGGCAAGTACGTACCCCAAGATACATTGGCCGATGTACCTCCGTGCCCTGCACGGACAGGCCCTATCAGAAGGTACGGCGGATGGACGGCTCGCAAAGCCAGTTAAGCCACCCCAAGGCCAACCAGCGATTCCCCTGCAAGGGGCGAGCCGGCGCGACGACGACGTGAGCTTCTGGGGCCCCACAGTCGCAGGTACCTTCTGTTTCCCGACGGACGGCCGAGACCTGGGGGCTGACCGCGGCGCCTTGTACTGTACCGAGGTACTCGCGCTCACTGCAGCTCCAGATTCTGATTTGCCGCGCGACCCAGTCTTTTTGGCCCTGACTGATCTGATCATTCGACATGACGATATGTGCTTGGCCGATGTATACCTAACAGTAGGATGGAGTCCACATCAAGAGTGTGTGATGCACGTTACGGCGTACCATGGTAGGGGACACGTCCTCAGATATATCCCTTCTCCTCTGACAGTAGAGCCCTCCTGCTGTATGGCAATGTGGGCTGAAACACCGGCCGGCTGAGGCTGGCCGGGGCGGGAGGGTTGGTTCGTGTGGTTGCTGGCCCATCAGCCCATCCCGATACACACCAAGGCAGGCAAGGAACGGAATACCACTCCGCACCAGACGGCGACATGTGCGTGCCTAGTAGATGCAACCATCTACCTGGGCCACCGACGCAGCGAAGCTCGACTCGGCCAAGGGCGTGAACAGCAGGGCAGACAGGACGACTACTGCCTGGCATCGAGGAACCGGGTCGAATCGACGATGGCCTCGCAGGCAACCCGAGCGTGTCCTTGCGTGTCCTTGAGTGTTTCCCGCAGCCGCGGCTAGTTCACCCGAGACGGAGAACGGAAAAAGGCCAAGGACGACGACGGCCATGCCGATCTGCCCCGGCCCTATCTGGCCGTCTGGATAAACCGCAAGCAAACCTTGTTTCACTCGGTTTTCCATTTAGATACACAGCAACAACTCTGTCCAAGTACCTAGTCCTCCTCGGGGGGCTGGTGTAGATATACTACACGTTACCTACTCCCGCACGAACTAGCGGGATGATCTCGAGCTGTTCCATATCGACCAAGACCCCTTGGGGGGAAGCCTGCGGGGGTGATCAACCGAGACACATGGCGTCTGTTTCTCCAAGGGCCAAGTCCGAGGCGGCCCCTTTGCCTCACCGGGCTTTCTCGAGCGTCTTTGGCGACATTGCGAGCTGCAGGCGCACATTGCACATTGCACATTGCACATTGCACATTGCATACGGTACGGACGGGAGAGTAGCACCGGGGGATTCTCTGTGGACGCCAATCGACCCTGGCTGCGAGGTTCACGAAAGCATTGGAGTAGGACAGACACAAAGGCAGGGAGTAAAAAAATACAGCCGCGCCTATAGAAGAAAAGATCCACCGGGACGTGTCACTCGCCATCGGAAAGTGACAGTTGATAGCACACAGCTAGCTACAGCAATTACGACGACAACAGAACAAGAACAGTGATTCCGAGATGAGAGACGACAGACCGGGGGGGCACACGGTGGCAGGGCCGCCCCAACCAGGATCCCGGGTCCTCTCCGGGGATATTCGGGAGCGTGGGCTCATGCACTCATGCCAATGCCGTCCCACCGCCCATCCAGAGTTCCATTATCGTGAGATTTGGTCCAGGGTCCTCCAGCAATTTTTTTCTTCTTCTCTCTCTCTCACAGTACACTAATAAATCTCATCAGGCCAGGGTTTAATTGGGCCCCAGTAGGGCCGGGCTGGACCCTGGGCTACTAAGAGGGAGAACCTGCATGTCCTAATCCTTTTCTCTCTTTCTCTGCATGGCAACCGACCGCATGGGTGAGAGACAATGCGGAAGAATGTTCTGCACCTGCGAGTGCATGAATAAGTCGGTGTGGTTTTTCCCCGCCGTCTACTCGATATTACATACACACTACTTTAGCCTTGCCTGCATCCATCTCGACTGACTGACTGACTGACTGACTGCCTTGGAAGCAGAGAATGATAGACATTACCCCGTACCGATGATCATGTCTATCTCTTGTCAGACATAGTAAGCATCTACACGGTACGTGTGCACGCATGTTATTAGCCAGCCAGCCCAGCCGGCCATTCGCCTGACTTGGCAGATGGCATCATCCAAGCCAGGCCCAACTCAACCTGGCCGACGATCTCGACATGCACGAGTCGCCGCCGCCGGGCTCGCAGGCGACACGTGCGGTGGGCGGCGTGGGAGCTTGTGCCCAAGGCAGGGGCCATGGCGGGCAGGGATCACGTCTGGTTGTGCCGCTGCAATACTGTGTACTGTAGTGTAAAGCTGGCAGGCAGGCAAGGCAGGCACGGCAGCGTCAGGGTCTGGGAGGAGGGTGGTGTGGGGGGAGGGGGCCTGCAGCTGATTGGCGCCGATCTGAGATGGCCTTGGAAGTTGGAACCTTTGGAACCTTCGATATCGACGTTTGGAATTTTCAACCCAGATCAGCCTTGCCAACCTGCCAACCCAACCCAGTCTGCCAGTCCTGACAGCCCAGCCCAGCCCAGCCCCTCCACCCGACCGGACCCCTCCTCCTGTTATCTTCGGAGGACCCAGAATCATAATCGCCATCTGGCTGCCGCGCGCTGCGTCACTCGTGCAAGGGCAAGGGCAAGGGCGACGACAAGGATCCACCCACGTCGATCCGACCTGACTGACTGACTGACCCCGATCGACCGACCCCTCGACATCTTTTCCGGCCCTTGACCCGGGGCGGAACAGCTTTGTCCGTCGCGCAGCCCGCCCCGACATCTGCAACCAACAAAGCAAGGGCTCGGTTCGGCTGAGACCAGCTCAGGCTTTGAGCCCACTCACAGCCAATTCCGACCTTCGATGCCAATGCCGCCGCTGCTGTCATGACAGACTCGACACCCCCCACCTCCTCTGGCAGGAGCTGGGTCCCCGCCGTGCCGGGCCCCCTCCAGCGCCTGTTCGACGCGGTGCCCCTCGTCACCTACGGCCCCAACGAGCTGCCCCTCGGCTCGCCAGGCGCCTCCGACCTGCCCACCCTCCACGTCTTCACCACCGAGCACGATGCTGCGCGCGGCGCCCCGAGCTTCAACCCCTCTTGTCTCAAGTGGCAGGTGTGTCTTGTTCCTCCAGCCCCCATGACAACCCCTGGCTGACCATACGGGTGACCCAATCCACAGACCTTCCTCCGAATAGCAGGCGTCAAGTTCCATCTCCGCCCCTCGACAAACCACGCCTCCCCAACCGGCGCCCTCCCCTTCCTCCTCCCGCCATTAACCACCATAACCCCGACGACGACGACAGACAAATACGCCCGCCTCGACGGCAGATCAACCCGCCCCATCCCCTCCTCCCGCCTAGAGGCCTACGCAGCCCAGCACGGCGCCCTGCCCCCCGCAACAGTGACAGACCAGGCCCCCACCCCACAGCTCCAGTCCCAGGCCCGCCGCCGCCAGGCCTACCAGTCCCTGCTGGACGGCGCCCTCCGCACCGCCTGGCTCTACTCCCTGTACCTGTCCCCGCCCAACGAGCCCCTGCTCCGCCGCTGGTACGTCGACCCGGCCTCGCGGTCCCAGCTGGTCCGCGACGCCCTGCTGCGCCGCGTGCGCGCCGTCGCGCGGGAGGAGGTGGCCAAGTCTGCCGAGGGGACCGCCAGCGTCGATGGTGGCAAAGGGGGAGGGCGCTGGAGCATCTCGGGCAACGTGGGCGACCTGCTCTCCTGGGCCCTGGCGGGGTCGTCCCCGGCCGTCGACCCGGCGCGCATCTACGCCGACGCGCGGCGCGCCCTGGGCGCCCTCGAGACGCTGCTGTATGCCGGCGCCGAGGGGGAGGCCGACAACAAGGAGCCCGGCGGTGGTGGTAGCAGCAGCAGCGGGTGGTTCTTCGGCGCGCCACACCCGACGCTGTTCGACACCGCTGTGTTCAGCTACATCTACCTGATCCTGAACGGCGCGCGGGCGTCGTCTGGAGGCGGGCGGGGAAAAGAACAAGGAGCAGGAGGGGAGGGACAGCAGCAGCGCGACGACGGCGGGGAGGCGTGGGGCGACGACACGCTCCGCCGCATCGTGCTGGAGTGCCCGCGGCTCGTCGCCCACACGCGGAGGATCGTCGATTCGTACTGGGGGGACCTGGATGATGGCGGGTGGGTGTCGCTGGACCGTCACCACTAGCTGGGAACGAGACGGCGGGGGGCCAGGTGCTGTGGACGGTCCCACAAATAGTGCCAATGCCTACCAACTTCAGGAGGGGTCTATGGGGCCAGTACTACTTGGGGCATAAGGGGTTTGCTGCTGCTGCGTGGCCCACCCCTCTCTCTCTCCGAGCGCATGAACCAGGCAGGCGGTTGCGGTTGCGGCTCCTGCCGGCCGCCACGATACGCATGTTCTCACAACGCACCGAGTCAACCTGGCCCCACGGGGACTGCAGTGAATTCGCAACGAGGCTGCGTTCAATGGCCAGTCTAAGGACGTGGACACGGGCGTGGTACATGTTCCTACCAGCCAGGCCACCCACCATGTTGTTTGGTCATGCAGGTGCGCAACCTCTCTCACAGCACCACTCACCCTGCCACGGTTTTGAAGCACGTGCAGACAACACATGTGCGGAAATAGGAAAGACAGGACCATGTATGTAGTCAGATACCCAAAATTAGAAGAACAAAAAAAGATCGATACACGAAGAGGTCATAAATACCAGGTAGTATATACCGAGGAGATATGCCCGTCGATAGGGATGAGCGTGTCTGTCTGTCTGTCTGGCCCATCTCACTCACCACCACTCACTCATCCACTTTCTCAAGCTCGGTTTGGAAGGGGGAACAAAAAGACATTCACAAACTGACCCGCGGAGCAATTCGTGCGCACGGTGCCTGCCTACCTAGGTATTTAAGTACCCGCCTACGGGCTCAGAGACAGAAGACCGCCGGCCAGCCGACCAGACACATTTGAAAGGCCTTGGCTGCCCAGGTAGGGAGATGTGACTGTCCTCCGTCCTGGTGATGTGACTGTCCACCCGTCCTGGTGCGGGCATCACGGCCAACCCAGTCAGTCAGGTGGTAAGATATAGTCTTACTCAACCATAGGGCAGAATGGGTGGATCCCTTGGATAATTCAAGACGGACGTCTCGGGCTAAAGGAATGGGGAGTTAACGTGCGCATGGTATGTTGGGATGGACACAAGACGGATGCTGCTACATGTAGAGTCGAAGTCCTTATATTACATGAATATGTAATAAACTATTTTTCATGTTTGTTTCGACTTTGATTGTCTTGTTTATTTGTCTTCCTTGCCCACCCACACCGTCCATCCTTCACTCCAATGGATCTCACGGTGACCATGTACGACCATTAAATACGCCATCACACAATCAATTAATTGTACATGTTTCCATATTAGTCGCTCACTATATTAGATACCATCGCATCCCATCTCATCTGACCCCATCCAATCCCCTCTAAACCTCGATGATCTCACGAGTCTGTCACACCCTATACAGACAGACGGATACTCCTTCCACCGAGTCCAACCCAGCTTACTCACCTATCCCACATCCACCGACCTCGCCACGAAACCCAAGCCAGACCAAACCAATCGCCATCCATCCTCCCCCCCCCCTCCCTCCACATTCAGATGGACATAGGTAGAGTGATAAGACGAGTAAAGTATAAAAGTATGTAAATACATATGTACTGTAAGACAGAGCCACAGCAATAACCAACGCCCCACCCCACAAGACATATCAACAAGAAGAACAAAGACAACTACCTAGGTAGGTAGGTACCAACGGAAAAGAAAAATCTAGTACAAGACACCCGTCCCGTCCCGTCCCGTCCCGCCCAACACAGGACGAACCCCACATAAACTCAAATCAAGCAGAGTCCAACAACCAAGTCCCCGAGGGTCAGCCAGGTCGAATCATCCAAGCCCAGCCAACCCACATCGTGATGTACACAAGCAGGAATAAACAGAGAGGAGAGGAGAGGAGAGGAGAGGAGACAGAACAACAGGCAGTAAGTAGAGAGCAGGATTTTCTTCTTTCTTTCTCTTTCTCTTTCTCTTTCTTCCTTCTTCTTCTTCATCTTCTTCATCATCTTCTTCTTCCAGCAGACAGACAGACAGACAGACAGACAGACAGACAGAAAAGAGAACGAGCCAAGGACATAAAATAAAAAAAACGCCGCCCAACCCCCTTCCCCCGCTCGCTATACCTACCAAATAACCGGCCGAAAGAACCATACCAGCCAGACCCATCGATCGCCGGAAACAGGAGAGGAAAAGAGACCAACAAGGCCACAAATATGAGTTGGGCCAAAAACAAAACACCGTCCGTGCCATTCATCCATCAATCAATGTTGCGAACAAACCCCCCCCTCTTCAAGTTGGTTGTCACTCACTCAGTCACTCACTCACACACTCGCTCACTCACACACACCCACTCAATCAACTCTCTCATCCTCATTTCTCTACCAAACCCCAAGAAACCCCATCCACCCTAGCTAACAACCGATCAATCAACCGAACACCGTGGACCCCATCATCCATTCCACACAACCGACCGGCCGGGTCTCTCCCACCCCTCCACGCCAGCCTTCTTCCCCCCTCAACCAAACTAAACTCAGCCCGCTGGTCCCGCAACCCACAGGCCGGGGGGAAAAGAAACAATCCACCTCAATTAACTCCCCAACTACCCACCGTATCCCCGCTGGCGTAATATCTACCCGATGATCATGCCTGGTGTGTGTGTGTGTGTGTAGAGTGAATTATAAAACACCAAACACGAAGGGAGAAATAAAAAAAACAATATGTATTTAACTGTTGTTACCGCAGCCTCAAGCCGCAGTGTGCCGCTGGTTGAATTGGTCGGGTTTGTCAGGCGCTCGTTCGCTCGTTCGCTGGGTGGGTGCGTGGGTGCCCACAGCCCTCTCTCTCTCTCTCTTTCCTACCAATACCGTGACATGCCCATGACTCCATACACGGCCCATGTGGTGAGCCGCACCGCACCAAAAGTCACACACGGGGGGGAAGAAAAACAAAACCAGAAGCCGAACCGAACCCAGGCCGACAGAGCTCGAGTGGCCGAGGTCAAGGCGCGCGGCCATCGCCCACCCAGCGCAGCGCAACCGAGCTGGTGGTACCGATAGACCAGGCAGACACACCCGACCCCGATAGGATTCTACCAACAAAAACTCCGTGTTAAGCCCCATGCATTGCCTTGCCTTGCCTTGCCTTGCCCATGCTGAAAACAAAAGAAACAAGACAACGCCCAACTCAAGCCGAAGAACCCCAGGTAAGTGGCTGGCCAGCGAATAAGATCCGCTGCTCGCTGTGTGGCTGGCTGCACGCCCCACGATTCCGTCAGCCCGTCCGTCTATCAATCCTCCGAGATCTCATTCAACCACCCCGGAACATCCACACCGGGTACGAAGCAGGGCGCGGCAGGGTTGAGCGACGCCGACGACGTGGCATGGCCACCGGGAGAACCGCTGCCGCGTTGTTGTGCAGCATCATCAGGCTTGTTCTCCCGCCGGACTCGTTTCGGGATCGGCTTCATTAGGGCACATGACGCCCGGGCGGCCAGCTGCTATGAGGCGCCGCCCGGGCCGGCTCCATCATCATCGTTCCCCTAGAACCCCTGCCGGGGCGTGTCGATCTCGTCGATGATGTTCTGCAGGGTGACGAACGCGCCCGGCCCGCCCGTCTCGGCCAGGTCGTCCAGGAGGACAGAGGTTTGTGCGTACATGTTTTCTAATGCCGCGCGGGATGACTTGCCCAGGGATTCTGGAGGAGTTGTGTTGTCAGTTCAATCCCCCCATCTGTATCTTTCAAGACATGGGCGTGACTGGAATAGTGGCAAGGAGGTCAAGACTCACGCAGTATGGCAGAGTTGAGCTCCTCGGCGACGGCGACCCGCCCCTTGCGGTCCAGCAGGTGTGCCACCTTGGGCTCCTTGAGCGGATTCTCATACGCCATGAGGCTGAAGATCTCGTTTAGTGCTTGGTGCACCTCCGTCCGGTCGTCATCCCTGTACTCGTGTTGCAGCGTCTGCCCGTACCGTAGCGCATCCTCTGTCAGGTCCTGCTGGTCGTGCGCGCCGTCCATGTCCTCCATTTCCTCGTCGAGCTCCATGTCCTCGACGGCCGGAGGCTGCCTATGCCCGTTTTTGCCGGAGATGTGGGCGGTGCCTTTGGGGCCGCCCGCGCCCACAAGGTTCGTCTCGGCCTCTCGTCGGATCATCTCGATGAACTTGCGGCATCGCAGGCGGAAGTGGACGTGCTCATTCACCTCGAGGACTTGCGGGTAAGATGCCTTTGTTCGGTCAAGCGCCTTGTCGATGTCGCCCTCCAAGATGGCTCGACGGATACCTAGTACCAGTAAGAAAACAGACCGCTGCTGGGCAGGCTGGGTGTGGTCGGGCGCATTGAAACTCACTTTGTCGGTTATTTGCATCTTCATCGTCTTTTATATCAATGCCGGGTATCTCCTCGTTCGGATCTAAACAGAGAGCTTGCTTTTCGGATTGTATCTCTTGGGCGAAGGCTCGTGCCGTGTCCACGTAGCCGTCATGTTGTAAAAATTGCAGAACCTGTGGTCATGTCAGCTGCAGTCTCTCGCTGCCCGTACCTTCGAGACATACTAATTGCTGGATGAGCTCCGTCTCGCTGAGTGGTGGGGCGAGTTTTGTGGTGTCTGCTTGCTCGATCTCCTTTTCAAGCTGCCTGATCTCTTTCTGTAAAACTAGTCAGTATTTGCCCACTTCCACATGATGAGCAAAAGAAGAACCCAGCCACGATTCGCCCAGTACGGATCAGCCACGCGGCTCATTATTGTACGCAAGGGCGTGGCCGACGACATCCCCGAACCCTGGCCTGAATCTGTCGTATCTGAGCTCCAAGGAGAGGCGCGCCGGGATGGGACCCAATCTGGCCGGTAACGAACAGGCTCTGACTGCGTATAACGCCGTGGTTGAATCAACAAGGGGTTATTGAACAAGCTGTCGACGATGTTGGGGTGGATCCGTGGATTCCCATCAACAGGGGCCGCACCACGACGCCATGGTGCCAGATCGTTCTGCCAGATCGGGTTGTGGCTTTCCAGTAACCAGGCAAGCCAAGGGTTGAGCTCCGCTCCACTCATGGTGTGACAGGTGCCGGGCAAGAAAAGAATGTAGGCCAACGATGAGACTTGGTATGCAAAGCGAACGAGCGGGGATATAAGAAAATCAAAACGATTGGGGCTTAGCTGAACATGCCTTCATAACTGAATCAATGTCGAACAAGAATGGTGTCTGGCCGAAGTTGACACGAATATGCTCTCCGGTCTTTTTGAGCCCAACAGAGGGGTACAGCTTCCCCTTGACTTCTCGGAAGGCGATGCCTGCGGTTGGGAGTCAATAGAGTCAGCAGATGCGGGTAGGTAGGACCGTGGCAGATCAACTCGCGGCTTCCCCTCCCCTCTCCCCCCTTTCTCATCAAACTCACCAAGGTAATGGCCATTTTTTGTGAAGAAGGCGGTCCCTGTCCTGAAGTTGACACCGCACCCGATGACGTCGCCGTATCCGAAGGTAGGGCCGTACTGCTTGCCAGCGTTCTGCGCCTGGAAACAGTGGCCGTCGTCGCCGTGGTAGCCCCAGGACTCGGGTTCCCATCCTGGTGCTCGATTTAAAGATGCTGATTTACTTGAGAAGCCGACGCCGATGAGAGTGCTGCAAGATGGGAAGCCCAGTCAGAATCCGTTCTTGTCTTCCCAAACGCTGAATATCCGCGCCCAGGGGGCTCTGACTCCTGTTGCTGCCCCCGTGCAATGAACGATGGTATGCCAAGTGTATGCATATGTGTGTATGTGTATGTGTGTGTGTGTGTGTGTGTGTGTGTCTGTATGTAAGGTATGCAGTGGTAGTTCGAGATGTAGACCTACTCGTTATGTTTCCTACCCAGAATGGTGACCTCGTAGTAATAGAGCCCGCACCGGACGGGCATGGGCTGGTCGGCACGGATGGCGCGCGCCTCGTGGTCTCTCTCGTTGGGATCCCTAGGCCCTGTATATTTGACCTCCAGACCGTCCGACAGAACCTCAAGCCCAGCCGCCCTGTCCTCCTTGACGTTGCTCCACCGCGACGGTAGCGAGTCCACCAGGTCGTCGTCCTCGTGCGGCGGCGTCCGCTCGACCACGTCGCGTGCGATGCCCAGGTGCTGGTGCTGGTGGTGGTGCTGCTGGGATGCGGTCTTGTCGCCGGGCAGGCTGGCGCCGTTCTTCTCGTGCGAGTCCCGCCTCTGCCTCTGGGCGTGCAGCGTCCTCTGGCGGGCCTGGTGCTCCAGCCTCGCCAGGTAGTGGGAGCCCTGCAGGTACGAGGGCCTGGGTATGCTGCTTGCCCTGGGGCTGGGGCTGGCGGCGGCGGGGCTCGGGCGGCCGGTGGCCAGGATGTCGACGGAGGGGAGGCTGTCGAGGGGCGTCCTGCTCATGAACATGTCGAAGGCCCGCGAGGAGTAGGGCAGCTGCTGGGAGTGGGAGAGGGATCTCGTGGGGTACAGGCCGCCGGGGCCACCAGCTCGGTCCATGGTCGAGCCGTTCTGGGTCATGGCGGCCGTGCTGCTCTCGTGATGTGAAGGGTGGGAGGGATGGCGGCTGTCCCAATCTGGGTCGACGGGGTTTAGGATGTGGTCGAAGGAGCCTGGCCCTGCGCGGGTGCTCCCGTGTGCTGCTGGGGAAGCTCGTGGGCTCGTGGCGGCGGCTACAGATGCATGCGAGGAGCGAGGGTAGAGGGGAGCTGGTAGGAAGCTGCTTTGTCGGGTGTTCTGGGGGTTTGGGGAGTTCTGGAAGGGGCTGGTCATGTCGGCCCCAGTGTGGATCGGCGTGTGGTTGTTGTTGTTATTGTGGTAGTGGTGGAGGTGGAGGGCAGCTCGAGGGGGGGGGCAGTAGGTGGGACGAGTTGCGAGGAAGGAGATGAGGTCGAGCAGTGCGTGCAGTCGAAGGTCGGGGCGGGATGGGCTGGTGGTGGTGGTGGTGGTGGCTGGAGCTTGGTTCAAGGTCACCCGGTCGACACAAGGCACTGCGGAAAGCTTGTTGGGTTGGGCAGGTTGTCAGTCTGCTTCCTGGCAGCCAACAGCAACGGTATGGACAGCAACGAGGACAGGATGTGGCAACGTTGTCTGAAGACTGCTGTTGAATCGTCCAGGTTCCCAGATGACGATGACCTGATGGCGGGGGGGGGGTGATGTTGAGGCACCTAGAGCTACTAACTAGACCAGGTAGATTATTGCATTACGTCTAGGCCAGTGCTATCTAGACCTAGTCTATCTAGGGGCTCCCCTGGGGTAGGGGGATTGTAGACTATGGGGATTAGATACCCTATGTTTCGCTTAATAAAAGAAAGAGTAAAGTATATATATTGGTTACACTAATTATAAAAGAGGAAACTTTGTAAGAAAAGCAACATAGGTATATTTAGGAGTATACTTCTATTTATTAAAGGGACCTAAGGGTACTTAGTAATCTATATTAGGTTGGTATATTAAAGAGGGAAACCCTCTATTACCTCCTTCCCTAAGATCACTATTATATACTTAGTTCTTTTTAACTAGTTTATTAAAAACTATTAAGTTTTTTATACTTATTAAGTTTTTCTATTTATAGCCCTTTTTTAGTTAATTTAGAAAGTAGATTTTTATTAAAAAATAGTGGGTAATATACCCTCTACTCCTTAATAGTCTGTACTTATAGTGCTTATTGCACTATAGGTACTTAAAATACTTATAGTATTCTATAAAGTCTTTATATTTATTCCTTTTTATTAATAGCCTATAGAGGGAGGTATAGAGAAAAGTAAGTTCTTTTAGGTATTTAAAGGTCTAAATTTCTAATATTTAATACTTAACTAAATAACTTATAACTTATTAAAAATTAAATACTCTTTATTTCTTAATTATATATTTTAAGTATTTTTAGGATATAATAGCTACTTCTCTATCTTTTTTTATTTTTATTTATAAATTTAATTTAATAAGTTTCTCTATTAGTTAATTTATATATTTATTCCTTAAATTTAATATATTTAAAAGATTATTTAATCTTTATTAAAATACCTTTTAGTTTCCTTTAATTATATTAAAAATAAAAAACTTTTATTATAAACTTATAAAAATATTTTTATAAATACCTTATATTATTAATATATTATTAATATATAAATAAATTTTATAATTTTAAGTTTTTATAATTAATTTATATTTATATAATTCCTTTTATAGCCCCTTTAATTTCTTTATTATAAATATAAACTTTTAAAAATAACTTTAAATATAAGTAATTTTAATACTATTTTAATATATTATAAATACTTATAAAATAATTCTATAATTTTCTAAATTATTAAAATATATTATAATTACTATTTTAAAAGGTTACTTTTATTTATTATACTACTTCTTTCTAATTATTTTATTATATAGTATAAATAGCCTTTCTAAATTAGTTATTTATATATATTTTATTATTAATACCCTTTTAAAATTAAATATATAGTTTAATAGTATTAATATAAATTATTTATATAATTTTAATAAAGTATTTATTCTTTAAAACTTAATATCCCTTTATAATTAGCCTTTAATTTAAAAGAGCTATTTCTCTCCTCTATATTATAATAAAAGTTAATCTTTTATAAAAGGTAATTTTAATTTAAAATTTAAAACCTTATAGCTATTTTAAACTATTACTACTTAAATATAACTTTAATAAATAAAATTTTTAATTTTAATAAAGTATTAAAACTAAAATAATCTTTTATATTAATAATATTATTTTAACTACTATTTTTATAACTCTATTTAAAATATTTAAATATATCTACTATTTTAACTTTACTATCTTAAATAAATCTTAAATATTAAGTTTTTAAATCTCTATTATTATATCTCCTTTTATAAATTATTATAAAAGAATATATATATTTTATTATTAATATTATAAGCTAAAAAAGCCTTTATTATTACTTTATTAAAGCCCTTAAAGTGTAAAATAGCTTTATATATTTTAACTCTTTAAATTTTAATATATTTATAAAAATAAATTTTAAATTAAAATAGACCCTTAACTACCTTATTACCTCTACTAATTAGACTATATTATAGCTTACTTATACCTATAATTATATTAAATAGTACTTTTAAAAGAAATAAATAAATTTATATTTATTAAAAGTAAAGGTTATAGTATTAACTCTTCCTATTTAAGTATATTAATAACCCTTTATTAAAAATTTATACTATATTACCCACACCTTTATTTATTTTAAAAAGAAAAGTTATTAATATATATAAACTACCTTTATTTCTCTCTTTTAAATAAAAGTAACTATATATATAGTATAAATAGAATAAAAGATACTAAAAATCTCTATAAAAGTCTATAAATTAAATCCTTATCCTTTATAATTATATCTTTAAACTAAATTTAAACCTTTCTATCTATAATAAAGCTTAATACTTATTCAATAATATTAGTTAACTACTTTTATTTTACTAACTATTTAATTAATTTATTAAAAAATTAAATTAAAAGCCCTTTATATATTTATTATAAAGAGGAAAGCCTTAAATCCTTTATTAAATATTTTTAATATTATAAATTAAAAATTATAAAGTTTACTATTAAATATTTAAATAAAGCATTAAAGTACTAAAAGTTAAAGAGTTTATTAAATAAAACTATTTTTACTATTTATTATACTACTAATCACTTAAACTCTTTACTTATATAATTAATAAATATAATTAGTTAATAAAATTAATAAATAATATAATTTAACTTTTTTAACTTTAAAATTATAATAATTTTATTATTTTAAACTCCTTTAAATAATATTTAAAATATAAATATACTTTATATAATATTATAATTTAAAACTTAATTAAATCCTAAACTATAATAAATAAAACTACTATAATATTATTTATTTTTAAAATAATATTATTTATTTAAATATAGTTTATTTTAACTTTCTTTATTAATATTATTAAGTTTTAAAAGCTTTATAATAACTTTAAAGTCTTTAAAAATTTTAATATTATTTTTATTAAAAATAATATAAAATTATATTTTAAAATACTTTATTTTATAAATTAACTTTATAATAAATTAATTATTATATATTAAAAAGGGAAGTAATAAATATTTATAATCTTATATTATAAAGTTATTTTAAATATTTAAAAGTTCTTAAAGGTTAATTTAATTTAATTCTTTTAATATATCTTTTAACTACTCCTACTCTTATTTTTAAAAGTTTTTAACTTAATATATAACCTTATTATCTTTATTTTATTATATTTAAATAAAGTCTACCTTTATTATATAATACTCTTAATCTTACTAAATAATCCTATACCCTTTAATTAAGTATAAATACTTTACTACTTTAATAGTTATAATTATAATAAAGGTTAAATCTATAGTTAATTCCTCTAACTTTTTATTATTTTTATAATTTTTTTATTATTTAAATTAAGCTTTAAATTAATTAATAGAAATTTAAATACTTTATTAATAATATTATAAGCTTACTTCTATTTATACTTTTAAATATTAAATAAAATTATAATTATAATTATAAAATAATCTAATCTAATTATAAAAATAAGCTTTATTATTATTTTATATTTTAAAATATTAAAGAAAATAAGGTTAATAATATTATTTAATTTATATATAGGTACTTTTAAGTTCTTTATTATAAACCCTATTTATTTAATTTAATTAACTAACTTTATATTTAAGTTAATATATTTATTATAACTTAATTATTAGAATTAATATATTATATTAAATTTTTATAATTATTATATTTAAATTTAAAATTTATTTCTTTAATAATATTAAAACTTTTAATAAATATTTTAAAATATAATATATATTTATTATTAAAACTTTATTAATTTATATTATATAAACTTATAAAAGGTAAAAGGTTTAATATAAAAGGATTTTAACTTTATATTTTTATAAATATAAATTAAAACTCTTAGTTTTATTTTTATTTAATCCTTAATTAAAAAAGATATTAAAGTTTAAATATATTTTTATAAACTTATAATCTTCTTTAAAGATAATTTATAATTTTTATATAAATAGAATATTATATCTTATTTTTAAACTAAATTTAATATAATATTATATATAATAAAAGTTTTAATTATATTTAATTATATAAAATAGAATATATCACCTTTATACTTTTTATTAATATATACTTTAAAATTAAATTAATCTATTATTAATTAATTAATATAATATTATTTTTATAATTTTATTTAAACTTTTAATTAAATTAATATTAATTAAAGTTTCTATTATTAAAGCTTAAAATTATATTATTAGAACTTATATTTAAATTTATAGTAATAGAATTATTAAATAATCTTTAATTTTAAGAGCTATAAATAGGGGTTTTCTTTTAAACTTTACTTTTATATTAAATTTTAAAATAATTTAAATTATTTAGATTAAAATCTTATATATTTTAATATACTTTTATTTTTAATTATTAAATAGTTTAAAGTTAGGCCTTAATATATTAAATTATTATTTTATCCTTTTTTAAAATAAATATTATATCCTTTAAAAATTATATAGTAAAGTTTATTATAATTAATATATTTAAAAATCTTATATATAATTAAAATATTATATTATATTCCTATTATAGTTTTTATACTTCTTATTATAAGTATAAATATATAAATTATAATAATTAAGGTATTTATTATATTAAATAATTTATACCTTTTATTTAACTATTTAACTAAGTTATTATTTAAAATTTAAAATTTTAAAGTAATTAAATTAAAAAAAATTATTTATTTTTATATAATTATTAAAAGTTTTAATATTTAAAGAAATAATAAATAATTAACTTTTTATATTATTATTTTTACTTTTAAAGAATAATATTATTTATTATTTAAATATTATTATATATTTAAAGTTCCTTAAAACTTTTAAATTATATAAATTATTTATATTTTAACTTTTTTAAATAGGTATTTATTTTTAAAAAGAATTATAAACTAAGTATATAATTATAAACCTTTTAATAATTAAATAAATTATAAAGTTAATATAAGTTTACTAAACTTATAAAAAGTTTATAAAAAACCTATCCCTTTTATTAAGGTAACCTTAATTTTTATTAAAATAATAATTTTTAAAATATATTATTTAAAAGTTAAAAAAATATAATTATTCTTTTAAATTATTTAATTTATTATTTTTATTATTATGCTTTCTTTTTTATAATTTAATTATAATTTATCTTACTTTATTAAATTTTATTATTTTATAAAAAGTTATAATATAATAAAAGAAAATATATATTAATTATTATATTATTATAATATAATTTATATTATTCTTATTTATTAAATAGAGTAATTAGGTTATTATCTTTAAATAAACTTTAAGGTTATCTTTAATAAAATTAATAAAGTAATAAAGTAAGTTACTTTATTTATACTATTTATATTAATTAATTTATTTAAAAGGCTTATAAAAAAGTTTTTATTTTAAATTTAATATATTAAACCCATTTAACTTTATATTAGTTCTTAAAGTTTAGAAAAGCCTTTTAAACTTTTATATTATAATAGTTATTATCTTATATTATATTTATATATTTACTTTTAGTTATATAAATTTTTATTTATATAAGTTAAAAGGCTCTTTTAAAAGTATAAAAGGTTTTTAATTATAAAAAATTAATTTATTATTAAAGGATATATATCTATATTTTTTAATTTAATATATTATTATTATTTTTTTTATTATTAATAAGTTTATAATAAAAAAAATTATTTATTAATAGTTAAGTAGGGTAAAAAGAATATTAGGTTATATAGTAGTAATGCTATTTAATAGAAGAGGGTATAAGGTATTTTTTAATATATTAAGGTTTATTATAGTGTTAGTGTAGTAATTTAGATTATAGACTTTCTTTCCTTAAGAGGTGGTGATAGTTGTCTTGGTGTTGTAACTTAGAGGGGGGAAAAGAAAAGAGAAGAAGGATCTAGACCAGGTAGACCAGGTGCTGGAGACGCGAACTCTACTAGTCACTTTTACCGTGTGTGGTGCCAGCAGTGGGTGAGTGAGGGGCTGACGGGACGGGACCAGACCAGACCAGGCAAGACCAGACTCGCGTGGGCGGCATAAACTCGACACGGTTTGATTGAGGTGATTATTGTCTTCACAGATCAGGAGCACAAGTACGATCCTTTCTCTTTGCAACACACTATGATGAGGTTGGAAGATAGAGAGGGAGAGGGAGAGGGAGAGATTAGTCGCTTGGTACTCCGTAGTGGTGATGTCGTCAGTGGGATGTTCTGCCGAGTAATCAACCCAAGCTGCAGTGTACGCACTGGACCACCGGTGCCGGCAAAGCCCCAGGCAGGGGGTGGGGAATGGGGGGATCTCCGGATAAGTACAACTCGAAACCGAACTCAAGACTCACATCGTCGAGCAAGGCATTGTTAACAAAGGACGATATGTTTGTTGTATGCATCATGTCTGATTCCTGGTAATTTATTCCAGACTTGAATGATTCTATCAACAACAAAATCGGAGTCGGATCGATTCCTCTCTGCAGCTCAAGCAGGCCGGCCCTCTTTCTTATCACATGGCATTCCTGTATGACATTTACTCCGAAGACCACAGGTCATTGGGGGCGGTCCTTGGCCCAAGGTCAACTAACCACATCCAAGCCAAGCACCCGAAGCAGCCGCCCAACCAACATGTGATTACATTCAGAGCCAGACCGAAGGGAACTAACTAATTGCACCGTTTCAGCCTTCAGCCTGCTTTTTTGTGTGGACGTGCGTGTCACCGCATCTGTCTGCTCTCCGTCAGCTTCATGCCTCTCCGATCCGATAATATAAACACTACTGGCAGTCACCATACATGATTACCGGTGAACAACAAGTGACGGTGGTGGCTGTTGCTGCCCGACCTGGGCGGACACCGCTGGAAACAGTTGGAAAATGGGCTGTCGGAAGGGGTGGTTGGTTCTCTCTTGCCCATTTCCGGCTGCGGCCAACAGATTGCATGTTGCGTTCCTTGCACGATTCAGACCTAAGTGATCTGTATAAGGTGGGTGGGTGGCTCAACGAGTGGCCCACGGATACCTTGGGGCTGGCCCCGGTGCGAGTCACACGCTATCATCGCCTGTGGCAAAATGCTCGTCACCATTGGTTGTGAGTAGAGTGTTGACCCTTTGGTTGGGTTGGAATCGCCCATTCTTCATGGGGGCTACACTCGTTCGACCTTGCGTTGGGCGAGCCTCTCACGACAGCATGCCTGACCTTGGGGCGGTCAAAGTTGTGGAATGGTTCAGAGAGCACATAGCGCCCTCGACGATTGTCCAGAGCCATGCCAGGTAGTGGCAGCTGGTCAAAATAAAGCACACTGGTTACACGAGACGGTATAGTATGGACAAGAGCCAGGTCAGGTAATACCAATATTTGGCTTTAATCCAGCCAAGAATCTACCGCAGAATTGGAAAAAAAAAAAGAAAAAAAAGAAGAAAAAAAACTCATCATCCCTTCAAGAACGCCGCCCGACATGCCGTTTTGTCCACCATCCATAATGAAGGGACCCAAACGAGGGCCCGAGCCTTGGTATTTCCCCTTAAAAGACAAACCAAACTTGTCTTCCGTTGCAGCAATAAAAAAAGTAGATGATAGAAGACCCTCCGGAACCGGTTTTTCGTAGACCCTTTCCTTTCCCTTTCCTCAAACGCCTTGACTATATGAACACACAAGAATATAGGCTGTACACACGTGCTGCTGAGGGTGAAACTCTGATCCCCTCAGCCCTGGCCGGGGGGGTTTGTGTGGCAGGTCCCCCCGCGCAGCAGACCCCCCTAGGCACCCGCCGCGATGGGCATGGGCGCGGGCGAGCTGGCCTGGACGCTGGGCAGGCTGCGCATCTCGACGTCGGCGCCCGAGATGCTGTTGTTCTCGCTCTTGCCGGCGCCGTTGGTGTTGGCGTTGCCGGCGCCGTTCTCCTTGTTCTCCTTGCTGCTGCTGCCGTCGGCCGAGGCGGGCGTCGACGTGGGCACGCCGTTCTCGTCCGGGGTGGAGGACTCGTCGGCCGGCTTGGGCTTGGGCGGGGCGGTCCACCGGTTGATCTGCCACTGCACGCCCGTGAAGGTCTTGAGCTGGAAGCTGCCCTTGGTCCACTTGCGGCACGGCTTGCCGCTGCGGTCGAGGGCGCGCAGGCCTGCGTTGATGGCGCCCTGGTTGGCCTTTGGGCCCAGCCGGTGGGCAGCGGCTCGGGGCTCGAGGGTGCCGTCGTCGCTGGGGGACAAAAATGTTAGTAATCGATTCCGATGCCTCATGTGGGTTTTCTGTGGGTGGTCTCGCGAAGTACATACTTGACTTTTCTCCTCTTGGGGCCTGGCTTGCCCCGGACCTTAGGCGGAGCGTCCCCATTTGTTGCAGCCGCAGATCTCTTGACGCCCTTCTTCTTTGGGCCCTGGCCGTCGCCCGGCGGTCCCATGACGGACGGGGCAGGTGTGCCGCCGTTGCCGGGGGTCGCAGGGTTGGAGTCGGAGGCGTTGTCGGGGTTGGCAGCAGCGCCGTTGGGCTGCGGCGTGGAGACTGAGGGCGAGTCGTTGGAATCCTTCATCGGGGTGTCCTCCTTGGCGGCGTCGGATGCTGCTGGGTCGAGGACCGCTCGCAGCCTGTCGGGGTGGACCTTGAGGGTGATGACTTTGGAGGTGGCCGAGGTTGTGCTCGCCGAAGACTTGCGTCGGTCCTTTGCAGGAGTAGACTTGCTTGATGGTGCCATCGTGTCGAGTTGTTCTGGTGCAGGTGGAGGAGGTGGTGGTGGTGTTGCAGCACAGAAACAATCGACCCGTTGAAAAACGGAAGTCTGCTGTCGCCTTTATAAGAAAGTTGGATGAAGGGGAGAAAGGCAGTCAAAGACAGCAGAGGCAAAAATTGGCTTGGTTGCCGAGTCGGAGACCAAGACGGCCGTGTGCCAGTTTCGGTGACGGGAAAAGAAGGGTGAAGGAGAATGGAGCGAGGCTTGGCTCGGGCGTTGGGTTGGTGATGAATGGGGGTGGATTGATTGCCAGTCAGTCAGTCAGTCAGCAGTGGTTGCGTGTGCACTGCAGGCCAGGGCTGGGCCGGATCGTGGACGGTCGTTGGTGTGTGGGATCCTAGTTTGGGCGTGTGGGTTGAATTTGCATGGAGCTGGCGCCGGCGACGGGGGCAGAGCGTTGGACGGGCGTCACGGCGGTGATGGTGATGATGATGGTGGTGGTGGGAGATGGTTGAGGGTGAAGAATTGATGGTGGAGGGGGGAAGGGCGGATGGGAAGGGAGGGCATGGGAACAGATCCCATCATTGTGGTTTTAGATCAAAAAAGGTTGGACGGGCCATGGTCGGTTGTGGTGATTGCAGCCATTTCTCATGGCAACCCAGCTTTTGGTGCTGGGCCTTGGGCCTTGTGCCTTGTGGTGCTGCACCACACGCGCGCGGAGGAGGTTCGCTCTCTCGCAATGCGGATGGCAGAGGCAGAGCTACCTACCTAGTACCTTTTCTGCGGGACGCTATTAAAAGCACGGCCCACCCGGCCTGGGCTGACATAATCGGTACATTTGACATGTACCCGTCGCCCGTGGCTGCACCTGCTGCGAGTACACGGGATTTTATTACTGCTGCATGCATTCTGTCTGTGGTGAGAGCCTCTTCTTTCTGTCGCGCCTCGTTGTGAGGGATACCTGCGGTGCAAAACATCTGCCCCAGCTGCCGGTGTGGTGTGTCCCGTGTGGTCTCCATTCCTGTGCTGATCTCGTCCAGCTGCGAGATGGCCTGGACTGGGCTGGGGCTGGGCAGGGCATGGTCACAAAAAGTTGCCTGTGTGCTGCTTTGCTCTGACGAACCAGTCTGACTGACTGACTGACTTCGGCCGGCCAGCCAGCCCAGCCAGCCCAGCCAAGCCTTCCGCTTTTGCTTCATGACGCCAGGTACAGCCTTATCGCAGGACCCCTGAATCAGCACTAACAGGCTCGCCTGCACCACCCTCGCCCTGTTAGTGCGCAACAGACAGCGTCACATCTCGAACCTCGACGACGGAAAGGGCAAGGGTCGGTCGGCTCACGTCCAGCTCCGGCTCCAGCTCCATCTCGGGCTCAGTTGCACTCTCCTTCGTCGCCTTCCCCCCTCTCCCCCCCAGGCCCTCAATTTCTCAATCTCCGGATCCCCGCCGGGTTCATTCACAAAGGGGCTGGCGTTGGTTCTCCCTGCCTGCATGCAGACAAGACAGGACAGGACAACCTGGCCGTCCGAGCCACCGAGGTCAGATGCAGCGATCCAACATCAGGACGCAGTGAGCATCCATCGTCAGCGCAATCGAGGAGGAAACCGAGCCCGCCAAGCCCTGCACAACCAGCATCGATACCGAGGAAAACTCTGCCATCTGGCTGGCTGGCTCTCTATCCTCCGTCCTGGATTCAGAACCTGCACCGGCTGCCCGGCTGCCTGCCTGCACCAGGCACACGAGTTCATCGCCGCCCACAAGACCAGGACCCTTGGATCCTGCGAGGCGCCACCACCGCGTGCACCACAACTCCCGAGCGAGCCCGAGGCAAAAACTAAACTCCACCCACTGACATCCTGCACCCGACTTGCCCGACCTGCCAGCCTGCCCGACTCCCGCTCAAAGGCAACCGGCAAACAGGATCGTGGTGATAATGCCTCCTAGCTCATTCGTCATCGCCTGCCGCTCGACCCGGCACCAACCCTACCTTCACGATCAATGCCGTTTCGCGAAGCAATCCCCACTTGGACCGCCCTCCTCAACAAGGGCCTCTTTTCCAGGCGCTTACTGATCTGAAGGGTGATTTGTTTTTTAAACAACCATGGTAGGTAGGTGTCTGGTGATTCAAAACGCCAACCCGACGCGGATCTCCGCTCTTTCCCGTCAGCGACCACGTCGATCGGCAGGGTCACCAGCGTCTCCTTTTCCAATTTCTCCATGCTCTCTGGTTTGGGCTCAACGCAAGATGAAACACCACGCAAGAGGGCGGCGTGTCATTTCCCCCGTACCGCGAGACCCGAAATGCATGGTCGTGCACATAGGCGACAAGCGATAAGCACGCTTCAGATCACCATTCCGGCATGGCTCCTTTCTACTTCTGGAATGCCAAATACAGGACTCACTCCGCACCATCTTGCTCTGATTTCCACTTCACGAGATCTGAGTCGTGCTGCAGCGCATTGCTACCAGCACGGTCGCGGCATCAACACTAGCCAAAGCTACACCGAGCAACTAATCCCCCGTGCATCGTGCGACGCAGTATTCTCAAACAATCTGTCCGGGATCCTAGCGGATGCCCCAAACCCACCAACAGGGAAGCTCATCGCATTTGCAGTCGAGTGTTAAAATCCATTGAGATCTAATTAACGGGGCGATCACACTAAGTAGCGTGCCAAACCACAGCAACAATCACTCAACGGATGAGCTACGTAAGTCCACAGGACAAGCCTCCCTGACATGTGCTCAACCCTTCGACTCTAGGAATAGTATCCATTGGCCTGTCAATGAGGCTCCCCGCCTCCAGGAGCCTGGCCGATACCAGTCTGCGCGGCCTAGAATTAATTGTACTGAAATACGACGGTTCCACCGGACTGTATCACCGCCCTCAGAGTGGCAGAAGTGAAGTGGTCAAACAAGGCCACTGACATCGAGAACCACCAGCAAGGCGCCGAATACGAATGCGGTTGAGGTGCAGCACTTTATGGCATAGCATGGAATCCAGGCTTCACGAGGTGCTGCGGAAGATGAGCTCGAGGTCAGTCTCCCATGCAAACAAGCTCTTGTGGTGTTTACGTGGGCTCTGCAGATGCAAGACGTGGTGCACCTGCTGCAATCACGATACATATTGTAATGGAACAATGACGTGCTCCTCTACCGTGTCTCAGAGACTTCCTGCCAGCGAAGGTTTGGTTCGGCGACCGAACCCCGGAGGTAATAGACGGAGAATCGTTCCGGGAATCAAGGCAGCGGTTGCAAACTAAATCTGGCCGGGGGCTACTCCATTAGAACCATCACAATTGGCACTGCGCATCGAGCAGGCTCAACGACGTATCCAAGTTGTGAGAAGCACTGTACGCACTAGCTCGTGCCGCACACCTGAAACAAGCCATACGTCGATTGAGGTATCTCTAAATGCACCACAAACATTGCTAACGGGCGCTCCATGAGCACACGGCGAAAAAACAGCGAGATCAACCCTACACCACCCTGCACATGCGTAAACACCCGCATCAAGAACGAGCAACACCCCTCTCCTCGCAGTACTTCTCAACCTCCTTGCGCAGCGTCTCCTCCTGCCGCCTGACCAGATCCATGATAGCTTGCACCTCGCTGCCAAGCTTCTCCTCGCCCACCGTGGCCGCAATGTTGACCATGTCGTTGAGCACGGCCTTGAGCTGGTTCGGCAGCCAAGTGACGATGGGGCTGCCACCAGTCGCGGTGGGGTGATCTGTCATCTTGAGGATGTACTCCTTGCCAAAGCACCAGTGGCGCCAGCGGAACTCGCGCACCTGGTCGAGCAGCTGCAGCCAGAGCCGCCTGCTCTCCCAGAGCTCCTCGTCGTCGTCTTCGTCACTGCCGGCCTGCTTCTGCAGCCGCAGCGCGAAGTCGCGCAGGTTGACCTCGACGGACCGGTCCCGCACGTGCTGCAGGAACGCGCGGTGGTTGGACGGCCTGTACTTGCGGAAGTCCTTGAGGATCTCGGTCAGCGGGGTGTCGGGCATGGGGATCTGGAGGAAGTTGTCCATGAGGGGGATCATGGAGTCGTTGGCGCCGGACTCGCCGCGGAAGCTCATCGGCTTGCCGTCGTTGACGCCCTCGTAGACGACGCCGTCGGGGAACATGGACTGCGACGTGATGCCGAAGATGAAGGTGCGGAAGGTGGTGTAGTCGCGCGGCTTGGACTTCATCCACATGGTCTCCATGGTGGCGTTGATGCGCCGCAGGGCGCCGAGCTGCTTCGCCATGGCGGCGTTGAGCTCGCGCCGGCTCGCGTGCGCGGCCTGCAGGGCCTCCACCGTGCCTGACACCAGGGGCCCCGAGTTCTGCACCATGTCGATGTGCACCAGGACGAAGCCCGCCTCGCTCGACGTGTGGTCCAGCCCGTGCTCGAAGGCCCGGATCAGCCGGATGTTGTCGTAGTCCATGCCCTTGGACGGGTCGGCCAGCTTGTAGTTGTAGAGGGCGTAGCTGCCGGCGTACTCCATGAACGGCATGAACCCGGTCCTAGGTCGGTTGTTAGGGCCATGATGGGACTAAGGCTAGCTCGGGATGAGGGCGAGGGGAGGCAAAACAGGGTTGGGGAGAACTCGAGACGGTGTGTGTGTGTGTGTGCATTGCATGAGAACAGGAGACAAGCAGAATATTTTTTTGGGGGGGGGGGCATTGCTGCGACGCGAGTAAGGAATAAAAAATTGGAAGAGAGAAACGACAAGGTGGAAAGTGTAGCAAGAGAGGGAAAAGACAACGTTGGGTTGGTGAGCGACCAACAAGTTTGATGGTAAGGGGTGAAGGGCACAGGTGATGATAGGTGTAAGTGGTTGGACAAAAGCGGTAGAAAGCGGGTCCCGGATAGCATGGAGCCAATGAGAGGACAAGAACGCCGTGTAAGTGCTTCCAATGTGTGACAGGCCAACGACAACAAGACAACAAATAGACCAAACAGGGAAAAAGAGAGGGGGAAAAAAAAAGGAGTCACGAGTCAAGAGACAATATACATAGGAAGGGAACAGAAGAAGAAGAAAAAAACTCACAACTCAGCGACCCTAGCCATCGGCCTCGCAATAACAGCAGGCAGGCTCTGACGGCCCAGCCCGTAGGGCTCACCCTTGAGGAACCTCATGTGGCAGGGCTCGAGCAGGTACGCGGACAGCAGGAACGAGTAGTCGCGGTACAGCGCGTTCATGAGCGGCTTGTCGGCGGCGTGCTTGTCGACGGCCCACGTCAGGTCGGGGAACGACTCGTCGACGGTGGGGCCCAGCCTGCCGTGCGCCAGCAGGCCCGGCTCGCCCGACGCCGTCTTGACGGGCATGCGCTGCAGGATGTCCTCGAGGGGGTCAAAGTCGGAGGGGAGCTGCCATATCGGGTCCGCGCGCGGCAGGAACCCCCTGGGCTTGGACACCATGAAGGCCTGGAGGGTGTGGTCGTCGGGCCGGCAGTCCTCCAGCACGCCAAAGTCGGCGGTGGAGTAGTTGTCGTCTACTGCGACGGACCCCATTGTGGCAGGCAGGTGGTTGTTTGGTGGTGGTGGTGGTGGTGAGTTGTCTTTTTGAGGGTGTATAGCGGATATTGGTATGTGAAAAAAGCTGGGGGAAATTTTGGTGCTGGTGAGAATGTGGGATTTTTGGTGTTTGGATTGTGTGTTGAGTCTGCCGGGCCAAGTTGAAGGGTGGCTGCCTGGCTTGGAGCGAGCCCGCGTTGATATACCTGTGAGGCCGGAATGGATTCCGGCCTCTGCGACGAAGACCGGAGGTCCAGGTCGACCACGGCACCTTGTCACGAGCCACGTCCCAGCATGATAAGCCAGGGCACCTAGTGAAAAGAGGAGAGCCGAGAGTCCAGACCAGACATGGCCGTGTCAAGCCGAGGGCTCGAATCGGGCAACACACACTCCATCGTGAGTGTTGTACGACGTTGAAGGCCGTGATGTTTGGCGGTGCACACAGTCGTTAACTGTATTTAGCTAGTCAGCGGCAGTTGATGGGCTCATCCGGGGTAATATGGGCCATGTAAAAACTGCTGACTATTGCTTGTAAATTCGAGCACTCTACTTGGCTCGATACATAATCACTCATTGCCCTGTGGCCTGATCCCAAGGCAGGAGTTCGCATCAGGTCCGGGGAATGGTGAGATCTGGCGGAGAGATTGTGGAGGGTGGTTGAGTCAAGGTTGCGTCCGGGTCTCCACTCCTGGTTCTTGGCTAGCGGGCTGACGAACCGATTCTCGGGCACCGTGCAAGTACTTAATTCCGGCCAGGTGTAAGAAATGAAGCGCCCGTTCAAGTAGCAGTAATGCAACAAATTCACGAGTGTGAGGGCAGGCGACTGTGCATGAAGACGACGGCAGTTTACTTGTCTTGTGTGTAACAGAGTCTAGACACAAAGTATCCATTACTACTCTATTTAAAAAATTTCATACAAATGTTGAAGCATTTTCAGTGCCTCCTTCTTACCTTTCGCCAGAAAACAGGTAGCATGCCTATCCAGTTCTCAAAGAATGCCATCTCATAAACCTCACTCTCGACGACCCTTGTCAGACGCACGAGGTTCAGCACTCGAGTGAGTTTCGATACACCGGCACGCCTTTTGCGGCTTTGCAGGACCGCAAAAGGCTCGAGATTAAGCCTAGAGATGGGCCATCGCCACTGATGTCCTTATCGCCGGCAGGCCTCTGGACGCCGGTAGGCTGATGAATCCAGCCCAACCACGATCCCCCACTCCGCTCGTAACTGGTTTCGCCTCTTTATCTGAAGCCATACATGGTGTATTAATATAGTAATAATCGCTTAAGAACCCAGGATTTAAGATAAATGGAATGCTGATAACAGTAGCAAAAATACAATAGGTGCACGTGGCCTCAGTCTTGTGACGTACCTGTAGACAAGGCTGCCGTATGACTCCATCGCGGCGTCAACACTATCGTTAAGACGGTGCCCCTTAGCCTTATCTGTGCGTCGCAAGGGTAAGGCCACAAGTACTTATCATGTTATGACTATTATTATTAACACCATGTTCTTTTCAAGCGCTAGTTCTTAAGTGTTTACCACTATATAAGAGGCCATATATGTCCTCGGACGTATACGGAATACAAGCGAAACCACATAGACAAGGCTAAGGGGCACCGTCTTGACGGCGGCGTTGACTGGAATGACGGAGAAGCAGCCACACAGTCAGGCTTCAACAGTCTCTCAAGATGGTACTCCGCTCGTAAAGCCTCTCTGGGAACCTCTCGCTAGCCCATTTGGACGCACTATAGCCATCGATGGCACCGGACGTGGGAGGAGGGTATACCACCGCAGACTCCCCCCCAAAGTATTCCAGCCGTGAGCACTTCAACACCTGGCATGCTGGCAGTCAAGACAGGGAACGAGGTCCAAGCGTCCGCTGCCGAATCGCAGGGACAGGTTGGCTATTTCTGTCGTCGCCGCCTGGAGGTTGGCCCCAGGTGCCAGTGGAGGGACTCGTAGGTTCTGGGATCGGACGTGTTGGCGCCGTTGTGGATGATGCGGTCTGCCGGGCTGAGTCCTGCACCCGAAGCTTTTCTTGATCAGAGCCTGATCTTGTAGGGGGGGCAATGAAGCCTGTCTGATATTGAAGGTATCGGCCTCGAGTCTGATGCGGCGCATTCTGGCGACATGGCGAGACACAATTTCCTCCCAGATCTTCTTCATCTTGGACTCGGTTTCGGTGAAGGCTGGCGGCGGTATACTCCTGTCTTCATCTTGATTATCCTCCAGGGAAGAAACGTCAGGTAGCGGTAAAGCAGTGATTGCCCTGCGTTTAAGCTTGCTTGATACCATCTTTAGCAATTTTTTGACAGGGGTTGCAGCTGCAGAGAAGTTGTTCGAAGCTGAGCACCAGTCTGACAAGCATGGAGCCATGCAAGTTCGCGATGAGCTGGTACCACTTGGTTCAGGGGCTGATGGATGCTGCCATGTCGCGATCTGAGCCTATGCAAACAATTGGCAGTGGTTTTGGAAGTGTGAAGAAGGCATAAAGCTCGGTGATGTTTCAGAAAAGAAACTTGTTTGCTTTCTGGAATGAACAATAGTTACTTGCCTGTAGTGTATAAATTTCCTCTTCGAAGAAAGGCAAGCTTTCTCTATAAATGTCTGCCTAAGGCAAGCCCTTCCTGACAGCCTTGCTATCACTTGAGGTGTTTCACAGGAGGTTACCTAGGTATCTATCTCATCGCGGACCAACCCACATTGTGTTTTTTGGTCATCCCATATTGTGTGTTATGGTGAGAATTGGAGTTGCATTAGCATGTGTTTGTCCATCCATAGTGATGCATCATGTGGCTTTCGATATTCACTTTCTCCTTCACCATCACCCTGGTTACGGGCTGGGTACCAACAGAGTGAATGGTTCCTTCAGCTGCCAAACCCCTCCAGCTGCAACTTAAAAAGGCATACGGCTCTTCCAACACCATTTCCATTCGTAACGGCCGTCACACCTAACGACCTCACCGCACCACCACAACCATGGCAATACCTCTCGAGTACAATCCGTTGACCAAGGTCGTGCCCTCCGACCCCGATCGACTGCCGCATATTCCAGTTCAAGTCCTTTACCTAATCGCCCAGGCACTCCCGCAGCCGAGCCAAGTCTTGAATCTTGCTAGAGTCAACAAGGCCACTTGGGACTACCTTCAGCCCGCCCTTTACGAGTGTGAGGTTACCTATGAAGCCAGACTGGTTGCCCACTTTGGCGATGGCATCCCTAAGAGACGGTCGGCGCCGCCAACCGCCAACACCAGTGGTCAAAACAATGGCGACGACGGAGCTCATGGTGCCACCGATAACGACGAGCAACCAGAAATCCGTGTAAATTGCGAGCATGGTCTGGCCACAGGGCTTTGCGAGACGTGCGGACAGCGAATCGCGATTGAACGGAAAGACTTCAAGACTTATTTGGTAGAGCGCAACGTCAGGCAAAGGTCCGAGCCACATTCCAGAACTCACTTCTTCAAGTCTCGTGGCATGACAGCTCTGCACTGGGCATGTGCAGAGGGAACATTCGCCTTGCCTGTTGCACGGAAGGCTATCGAGGCTGCCAAAGCTCATAACCCCTCGTATATCGATGGCCTAGGCCTCCGAGCGCGACAGTATGGCAACAGAATTCCCATACGGCTCTTTGGGGAGATTCCGCCCCCATTGTTCACGGCCACCGCTTTTGGCAACTTGAAGCTATGCGTGGAGTTAGTTGAGGCCGGCTGCAACGTGAACCTGTTCCAGGCAATGCACGGCGCGGATAGCCGCACATTTATCGACGCATTCTTCCGGATACACGACAGCTGCGTCCCAACTGAACTTGTATTTCCGCTTGGTCGCGCGGCCGCAGGCCAGTGGCTATCCAGCGGGCTCATTCCGCTGACTTGCAACACTGCCGGCCACGTCGCGTTAGACTTCGGACATGCCGACGTCCTTGGATACCTTCTCGACAACGGTCTAGATCCTCTTATGGGTAAAGAGCCGCTGATACACCAAGCGGCTCGCAAGTGCGATCTCCCCGCTGTCAGGGCTCTCCTTCAACGACGGCCGGAAATGGCTCGGCATCGCTGGGATGAAGTCACGCCTCTACATTCGTTATGCAGAAGCGTTGAGACTGGTGGGTTCAAAACCTTCTCACTGGATGATCTCAGATCCGTTGCAGAATACCTAATACAGAAGGGTGCTTCTTTGGAAGCCAGAGGCGATTTCGGGCTCTATCCGAGTCTATCTCTCACACCATTGCAGTGTGCCCTGGAGAATTTCGCACAGATCGAAAGCAACAAGGCGAGTGCACCTATTGCCCTTGTTAAGCTGGGAGCCGATTGGGATGTGCCCTTCATCTCGCATTCCGTGCGGACTGTGCCTCTTTTGATCCACTGTGTTCGGGAAGCGATCACACCACCCCCCTCAAATCAAGCCGAGGATCCTTGGGGATGGAGAGTATTGGTGCCAAGGCGGTATAGATACCACGCCATGGCATATGCAAATTTGATCAAGGCCATAGTCAGCAGCACATGGCGCTCCAACCCCGATCCAGCACTGGCACCAAGCAGCGAGCGTCACATGCAGGCATTCCTCGACGCGTTCAGGGAGCTGGCCAAGACTAAGCTCGAGTACGCAGTAGGACTCCGGAAGAGTAAGAACACGTTTGCCATCGAGGCTGTCGGCAGAATGCTCTTGTCCACCGGTATCCGTCCGATTCAAAAAGACATGGACAAGTGGGAGACATTGATCGCGGACAACGAGGCGGAGTCTAGGGCAGATGAAGGGGTCGCACGCCAGTGGCGAGAGGTTTTGTCTGACTTGCCCTCTGCAGGCCCAGCAACTACGCAGTAAACCTATAAGGCAGTGCGTACAACGTGATCAACCATAGGATAAGCTCCTGCTTGATCAGGCCCTCTGGAAAAGCCACACGCGGGGGACTCTTTTGTAGGAAATCTTCACTAGGTCGCGAATAGGCAGTCGGATAGATGGTAACCAAGCCCCAGAGGGCTTCGATGAAATTTTGGGATTTTGGAAGAATTCTGGCAAAGCCGAGATTTTGAAAAGGCTTTTTCTTTTGTATGATGAGAGACGCAGTGACCCATACAATGCAATACAACTGCAAACAAGGGCCAACACAAAGCTTGGGAATTGCAGAATCCCGAAATTGAACAAATTGAACGGCAATAACTTAAAATTGCGGCTGATGGTCCATGATTACTAGATGCTAACGCTACTCTTTATTCCCTGGGTATACATACTCCCTACATCATCACTGTTCAAGCGGCGACCCCAAGGTGAATTGTTTTGCTGAACATCTGGTCCTCGATTGACAGTTTTCAAAAACCTATTCTGCTTCCGGTCCGACCTGGCCGCAGGCCTACTACTTATCCAGTCCCCTGTGGTCCGTTTCAAAGTTTAGGCTGGCGCACTGAAACAACTAGACTCCCCGATAAAGTGTTTTCCGATGTGTATGGCAGATAGAACATTTACACGAATTATGGACCGTAACCCGTCCGTTAATCGCGTTACACATCTAATTACTAGATATATCCATAGGGATAGCTGGTTAAGAAGTTGCCCTCTCGTGAAGGTAAAGGGATGGCTTTGAGAGCTACCTGGATCCTCCTTATACTCTTTAGGAACTTGGATTTTATATCGGTGTAGTCTTTAATGACCAGACACCCATCGCGCTTCTTGAACTCACCGTCTATAAGAATATACCGGATATCTCCAATACTAGCATAGAGAATGACTACTATAATAGGGTCTAACCATCTAAGCAATAAATAAGAGCTCCCATCCCAGACAATTATATCCACCTTCACTCTAAGCGATATAACACCAAGGTCCTTCCGACCTAAGGCCAGGCCGCCATTTTTAGTCGCTAATAGAAACGCTTAGTTAACTAAGAATGAATTCACTACCGGGACTTACTAGTAGTCTGTTGTGTTTTAATATATATAAGAATGTATAGCCTGAAGCTATAGCTAGGTTTAAGTAAGTATATTAGCTAAGAAATAAAAGTAGGTATTTATATTAAGTAAGGTTTAATCTATAATTAGATAGCTTATAGAATAAAGATAGTTATAGTGTATCTTACTCTCTATAATAATAGATATATATTTATTAACTTTTTATAAGAGCTAAGCGCCTCTAGTGCCTAAGTATGCAGTATATAATATCACGATAGGGGCACTGGAGTTTAGAACCCTAAGGCGGTACATATCCTCGGGAGTATTTCCCACTATATAACCATATCAGTAAGCGAGATCAATGACACAAGGTCGATGAGAAAAGGCCCACGCATATACGGCCCTTCCAACTGGTGAGTTGTCAGTAATAATCCGTTACTATAGCTATAATGAGTTTACCTAGTTACTGAATCTTCAACATGTGGATAATACACGCTTCATCAAATCAATAATAGCTTAAGTATCAGCCTCCGTTGAGTTGTCAGTAAAATAATCATAAGCTATGACAAGCTCAATCAAGCTGCTGTTAGACATAGCAGACGACAGTCGCTTCCATTGTGCGATTTGTTCTGGAATTACGAATTGGGCGGAAGAGTTCTGGAAGGCACTGGCATACGCGAAAAGAATTCTCGCTCCACTATCGACTGAAGCATTCAGGCCCGCGGCGGAATGGTCAGGGGTCCAGGTATGGCGTGCATGGTCAAGGATAGTGGTGACCCCCGAGAACAGTGCCTCATAGATACAAGCAAGCTGGCTGATGTATACATCTTCTGGTGAAAAGAGTGGTGCGGCTACTACGGCGCTGAACCGGAGAGCATAATCTGCCACTGTTGTATTTGAGCCCATCGTTTTGAACACCGTCTGCCATCCATGGCGGTCTTTTATATGTCAGCAAAATTCTGCAGTGTTTCAAGCAACTCTAGAACATTTACAGAACATAAAGGCAGAAAATTGAGGAAAGTATCAATGAAACCCGGTGTGATGATCTGCCCGGTGCAGTCTATGACTTCCGTACCGTGCGGGACGTCGGTAGGCGCGATATCGAACACGGCGCTGATCTGACCGTCTTCAATGAGGAGAGATCCATTCCGGATCGCATTCAGCTGCTCGGTAGCCTGGTCAAATGCTATGATTGTGCCGCCACTAAGCAATTTTGCACGTGAACTCAGGGACAACACTTGGAAGAAGGCGAACGTCTTCGCGGCAAGTTCAGAAAGCAGCATGGCGCAGGTTACATTGATATAAATCGAAGAAGGGGCGTGATGTTTGACAGACCAGAATCTGACCGGTATGGCTCGAATTACTTTCCTAGATGAAATTTGCACACGATTGGAAGCAGAAGCTTTAATGACGCGTAGTGCGTTATTGCAGATGTAGACTGACATTCTTCGACTCATAATTACTCACAAACAGAACCCCACGCGGACCTATCTATATTTAGGTAAGCATGGCGGGGTGCGGACCTGTGGGTGTACGTGTGCGCGCGGGCTAGTATGTCTCACCACAGCTAAGCACATCCTGTGGACAGCATAAGGCCTTGCCCATGCCGACAGGCCAAGTCACAGAACCGTGTACGTACCAACAAAATATGTAAATTGAAATAGACTGAAAGGTGTCCTATCATTTCAAAAACTACTTGGCAAAGCTTGGGACCCTCTCAGATACTGTGAATAAAACACAGATTTAGAACATCGGTGGGGCATTCAATGTTCCTAGCGATCATTTGAAAGTACAAAGGTTCAATCAGGTAGGCCGCCAAGGCATAAATTCGTGACGTAGAGATGCGGGCAGATTAATCAGCCCGGTCTGACAGAGCCCACGCCTTTCTGCAGTCTAAAGCTTAGATACATGTCGTAGATGTTGATTTGGACAAATCAAATACATTTCCTGTGCCCAGGCTGACATGAATGCGGCCCTTGCACGCAAGTACCTGACAATACCAGCTTCGACGGCGCGTTCGCAGTCGATTTCTGACCGAGCTCTGGCCTTCTACTATGAACTTGAAGTATGCTCAACGTCACGCACACCTGTCTGATCAAGCGTGCGTCAATGGAGAGGGCGCTGATGTACTTCAATCCGCACCAGAATGAGTATATAATTAGTATTTTCTGGTAGCCTTTTCACTCAAGGGCAGGAAACCAAGTGCAAACAGGAGCCTCAAAATGAGGAGTTGCCCCCCCATTCTGCCTCAAGTGCTTGGACTAACCACCGCCCGTACCTACTCCTCTCTATAGATAGTGCCATCGATGGGGATGATCATGGGGGAAAACGATTCCTTCAATCATCGGAGACACCAGCCATGATTTACAAATTTATACCTTCCAGAATCACTTACCTTAAAGTAGTGTGCGTACCAGGGCGAAGCATTGATGACGGGGGGCAAGTTCGACATCATTCGGATTCTCCACGTGGACACCTCTTGCCTTCCTGTAGAAAGCAATGCAACATGACTAGGCGTGGAATTCTGCCACTCATACAACCGTATACCTCGGATGTTCCGATGCCGGTGGCTGTTCGTTGCCTACTTGGATGCCGTTCAGCACACGCCTGGTATAGCTCGTCGGAATCACGATAGGAAGGTGGCTGAGAGGGCTTCTGGTTTACCGATCGTTTTATCGCAAATGCATTGACAACTGTCCGGTATAGTATCCGCTGAGAAGATGGGCTCGTCTATTTTCTAACAGCGTTTCGCGAGCCAGGTTAAAAAGATTAATTGCTGTAAAATCACGACACTCTCTCAGATAAGGACGTCAATGCCACCAGCCTGATGGTCTTTCTTCAGATGTTACCAAGGGTTCGGCCCCGTCAGAAACATCCACCAATAATGGGCTTCACTCACAGGTCAGTACCTTCAAACAGATTACAATTGATTATCGAATGTGATGCGGTAGTATCTAAAATTGAAAGCAAACTACATATGTATTGACGGGGAAGAGTTCAGCATGATCTGAGCAATGTTTTAGACGCATCAAGTATCGTGGTTTCGATTGCTGTTATTGAAACTCTTTCTGTCCTAAAAGAATCGGAATTCTTGGTTGATATCTCCCATGTCATCCACTGCATCAGATACTGCCATGGCGCCCAAGTCTGACTGAAAGCCACAACTTCGTGTTATTACTACCGATCTTGGTCCATAGGGGGGTTGCATGCCCGAAATTAGATTCATTCTCCGTGTCACGGCTCTCAAGTGAGCTGTCGTCTCTGCCCAGGTGATAGCCTAGGGTAATAGTGAAATGAGTGATATAATAGTATGCTGCTCATAATCATGGCTAAATTCTGAAGTACTAGTAGTCTCATTTTTAGGAACATTCAATAAGGCAGCAGCCTGCCTACCTAGGTAGCCCGATAGAAACGTGGGGTTTCGTTTCTAATCCCCATACATATACAATGTATGCGGCGCCTTCATACAGTGATTGTTCGACACATCCGAGCCTTCTGCCCCTCGGCGGGAGCAGTCGCCTAGTACGGATTTCGGTAGCATTATTATCTGCATTCAACCGACATAGAAAAGAAGTCAATGAAAAGGTCATTCCTAACACTATCTACCACTGCAGTCGCGATTGGGGAGATGTCTCTAGCTGCAGCATACCTGACCATTTATCTTTTTGTAGAGCCAAGCTCCAGAATTCTTGGGTCCTTTGAGACCTTTGCTATCCTTTTACTTTTAATGTCTGGGCCTGTAAGAAGAGACTCCGAGCCCAAGGCATTCATTCATCCGGGGCTATCAGGGAGTAGATAAGACCCTTCACATGTACCTTTCACGTGCTGCCAATTAGGGCCCGGTGCTCAGTCTTCAGCTGAAGTAGAGGCTATAGTGATTCATTTAGCATCAAAGGGAGTTCGCCTATACAGAACCTAGAAATACATGAAAGATTCCACGAAGGAGGGTGGCGTCTTGATCAGGACCCAGGATTGGGAGACGGAGGCTCTATCAAAAGGACAACGAGGCTTACACCGGCGGAACAAATCTTTGCCAAGATATCGCAGGCTCTGATGGTTGCCTGCAGTAGAAGATTCTCATTCGTCGCCTCAGAGTTCAGGACTCGGAGAATGCTCCCAGAAAGGTTGCTGAAGGAAGGTGAAGGGGGCTCCAAAAGTGATGCGGGTGGCTGAGACGATGATGCATTTCGGCCACCGTATTGCGGCGCCTTTAATCCCATGCGCTCGCGCCTCCGCCCTGAAAAAAGAAAGGGCGAAAAGGGGATCTTCAATGGCCCGTCCGCCAAGCCCCATTTGTACTACATATGGGTGCACATGTGGTCTGGTTGCTCGAGACCTGTGTGAGCAATCGGAACGTATCCCAAGCAGGTTAGGAAACTGGAAGACACTGGGTTGCATTCATCCTTGCAATTCATGTGACACCTATGGTTCGCGGTACACTGTGTACACATGTACACCTCCGTCTTTCCTTCGGGGAAGATCATGCATGATTACCCGACTAATGACCGCCAGGCGGGAACGGCCGTGCCGCCTCTCACACGAGGAATCCGACCATAATGCAGGCTTCACGCACTTGCGTGAGGTTGGGAAATCCGTTCCCAGCCGGCCTTTTCGCAATTGCGCGAGGTTTGGGGATCAGTTCCAAGCTTGTCTCGCACCCTTGTCAGCTTCTGCATATCTTACTTGCATGCCCCTTGGCTGACGCTGACGCCCAGGTCCGCTTGTGACAAAAGTAACGCCTACTGATTTCGGTCCTGCGCCTCCTGTCCCACGCACACATTTGCCTGTCGCAGGCACGCGTTGATCTGCCCCGTCGGACAGGGGTCTTGGTTGGCGGTCCGAAATGCGTCGTACGCGGTTGCGTACTGCAGAGACCGCTGAAGGCTTCTGCTGGGGGCCTCTGCTGCAATTCCTTCGCCCCGGTTTGCGAACTTGGACTCTAGTTGGGAAGGCTCTCTATCAAAGGTTTGGCTAAGACTGGGTCTGGGTCAATCGCCGTTAGCCACCTAATTCACAAGTGTGATCGTGCCATTCCAACACTTTCTGGTGCAGGAATTGTGAAAATGCTTATTATTCTTGGTAGAAGTCACCGCAATTGTATTTATACCCTCAGAGATGGCACCTTTCTTTCAATGTATGTCCCTTGACAGCCGACATCGAACATCAACTCAGGCCGTGGGCCCGGTCCCGTTCTTCCTTTACAATGCAGGGTATCTCGACTCTGCAAGGACTTCATCTCATCCGCAGAGACGCTGCCCACACAAAACCAGACATGTCTTACTCAATTTGTTCAAATTCTGCTCCAACCCAACAGCTTCTCAATCAGACCAAGTCTCCTAGTTATTCTTTTCTCAAGGCTGCCCCGAGTGTGTCAACGCCTCAGACCCGGCCACGGAAGAGCCCTCGCTTCCCAAAAACACTCATACCCGGCTGCCAAACAACGAATGATGGTAGCAATGACCCTTCCGACGCCGCACAAAATCTTGAAAGTCCAAAAAGGGTACCTAAGCCGATTTTCCGGAGCAACAGACAGTTGAAGGAGTTGCATGCAAACGACACAGAGATCGAGATGGAGATATCAGCCAGTGGAGGTCAAGATCATGACAGCACTTCGGGTCGGAGAGTTCATTCACTGGGAGACACTCTCACAGCGCGGACACACCCCATTCCACCCAAAGTGCTAAGTTCTGGGCCTTCGGATCTCGATGCATGGTCCAGGTTTGGCGCAGTCGTGGACGAGTTGGCGCGGACGGTCATGGAGAGATTCGGCTCGATGCATCAGGGTTCGTCAAGGAAAAGGTCCATTTCTCCAAGCCCGGAGAAGTTTCGCAAGCGTTCACGGCTGGGTCCTGGCCCAGACCCGGCAAGTGTCGGGCCCAGTGGTGATATCGAGCAAAAAGATGGTGTACTAGCCAAGCAACCCGCCGAAGCAAAATCAAGGATCTGGCCGTGCCCATTCTATGCTAGAGACAAGAAAAAATACCGCGTCTGTTGGACAAGACACAGCCTCCTAAACCTGGACGATGTGCGAGAGCATTTGTGTACGGTGCACTTGGAACCTATCCACTGTCCGGTATGTTACATATCATTTCAGACAGTCAGGCTCAGGGATGAACACATGCGGGGCCAGAACTGTCAGTTTGATTTGCCACCTGGATTCGACGGCCTCAGAGATTCACAGGTGCAGGACCTTCGAAGGCAAGACACTGCCGTTGATAAAGCTCTGCATCTGCAAGAGAGGCAATGGGTCAAAATGTGGTGCATCGTCTTCTCTTGTACACGG